CAAAGTGTCTGGCACGTCCCCCATGTCTGTGGCCTGGTTTCAGGATGGGAATGAGATTGTTGGTGGGGAAAAATACGAAATCTCATTCTTGGATAACATTTGTGCTTTGAAGCTGAATGCCCTGGATGTCACAGATACAGGGCCATATACTTGTGTGGCAACTAATGTGGCTGGATCTGATGAATGCAGTGCCTTCTTGACTGTACAAGGTCAGTGGAAGGGTATCACAGACCCTTCTACAAAACGCTTCTTCCCTCTTTATACCGTATCTCTTATTTCATGTATTTTTTTCTGGTTTCTCCCTTGCACTCTCTTTATTTTAAACCTGTTTTAGATTTCATCCCCAACAGGAAATCTCCTATTAATATCTTTCTCCCTCTTCACTTCTTTGTGTGACCTTAGAACCACCTTCTTTTGTGAAGACACCTGATCCCCAGGAAGTTTTGCCTGGATCAAGTGTGACATTCACTAGCCATATCAAGGGCAGCACGCCCTTCAAAGTCACCTGGTTCCGAGGCATCAGGGAGCTGGTGCCAGACAGCACCTGCTCCATTTCTCTGGATGAGTCTAAGGCACAGCTGCAGCTGTTCAACGTGGAGCCAGGGAGCAGTGGGGACTATGCCTGTGTTGTCACAAATGATGCTGGCAGTGCCTCTTGCACAACTCAACTCTTTGTGAAAGGTGTGTGTTTTGTCTATGCAAGGATGTATCTCTGCAGCACTGCCATACTTGTCCCTCACCTTATTGACCTGTGCCTCCACACAGAGCCTGCAGTCTTCATGAAGAAGTTAAGTGATTTCAGTGTAGAACAAGGAAAGTCCATTGTTTTGGAAAGTATCTACACGGGTACCCCTCCCATCTCTGTTACCTGGAAAAGAAATGGCATGCCAATAGCTCAGTCTCAACGCTGCAGTGTTACAACTACTGACAAATCTGGCATTCTTGAAATCTTCAACAGCAGCAAGAGTGATGAAGGCGAATATACCTGTGAGGTGTCAAATGAAGCGGGTGGGGATATTTGTCACAGCCTTGTATCTATCTTAGGTACGCACCACCCTTGATCCCCTAGGGTACCCCAGTGATGCTCTGCCTCTACTCACTATGCTCTTTCCTCTCTAGAACCACCCTATTTCATCACACACCTGGACCGTGTGGAGGTGAAGATTGGCGAGCCCTTGGTCTTAAAATGCCAGATTGGTGGTGCACCAGAAATCAAGGTGTCTTGGTACAAAGAAGACACCAAACTCAGATCAACACAGGCTTACAAAATGCACTTCAAGAATAACGTGGCCACGCTGGCATTTTCCACCGTGGAGGACAGTGACATTGGAGAATATACCTGCAAAGCAGAAAACAGTGTTGGCTTTGCTACTACCACAGCTTTGCTTGTTGTTAAAGGTGATGGGCACAAGGCCACTCTTTCCTGGGGTATTTTGTAGAAACTCTTTGTTGTCTACAAAAAGGGGTTCTTACTGGATTCTGTATGTTAAGTAATTCTAGGTTAACAGGATAGCTTCCTACTTATGGTGGTGATTGTTATTGTCTTGCAGAACGTCAACTTCCACCTACGTTTGCCAGGAAACTGAAAGATATTCAGGAAACTGTTGGTGCTCCAGTGACTTTTGATTGCCGTATAAATGGCTCAGAGCCTATCCAGGTCTCTTGGTATAAGGATGGGGTTCTCTTAAGTGACAGCGATAATGTGCAGTCAACCTTCTTAAATAATGTTGCGACTCTTCAGATCTTGCAAACTAATATGGCTTACTGTGGTCAATACACTTGCTCAGCCCAAAATGCCCTGGGAACTGCATCTTCCAGTGCTAAGCTTCTCCTTACAGGTTTGTATCTTGCTCTTAAACAGAGATACTTTGTATCTATTTCCTCTTTTATTTCTTCACTCTTTCTTGCACTCTACTCATTGTGTGGTGGTAAGGGAGTATGGGCATGGTGTCGTGAGGTGTGTGGTAAAGTCTGATGGTGAGATCTGCCATGCCTTCCTCTTTGCAGAACATCTACAACCACCCTTCTTTGACATCAAGCCAGTATCTATTGATGTGGCACTAGGGGAAAGGGCAACCTTTAAGTGCCATGTGACTGGCTCCGCACCCATGAGGATTGTGTGGACCAGAGACAACAGAGAGATCCGCCCAGGTGGCAACTACAAGATGATGCTGGTGGAAAACACGGCCAGCTTGGTGGTCCTAAAAGTGGGTAAAGGAGATGCTGGACTCTACACCTGTACTGCCAGCAACAGTGTTGGAAAGGATGCATGTGCCGCCCAGCTGGCTGTACAAGGTACTGCTGGGAGCTCTACTGTTCAGCAGACTTTGATTTGCGAAGTAGACACCCTGAATAGTCCATATGTGAGACTAACAATCTTTTCAAGAGGGTACAGTGAGATTTGTTATTTCATGTAAATACTATTTTAATATTTAAATGCTTATCCATCTTCCTTTTGGTCTGATACAGTGAGTCCTACTAGAGGAATTCTCTCACTGAAATGTTAAAATTTACTTAATACCACGTTGTGCCTTTATGAATGATCCCATCAGCCAGCAAAAGCTGTCTGCCTTAAAGTCTTTCTGTAGAAATGTCATTCACTAACTGATCTAGAAGAGGGAACGGTAGCTGGAAGAAGCAGATTATCCTAAGAGACTTAAATGTGTTTTTTCTGTGTGTTCAATTCCTGCAAATATTTTCACTCTTCCAGTTTAAAATCATTGAAAACCACTGTTGTTGAATAGGAAAAATTGTAGAATCTAGGGGCAGACTTGGTGGCGAAACAATCATTCTGCCAACACTTCTCCACATAGTGTGTGGATGTAATGGTTTTTTGAAGGTCTAATTTTAAAACTGGCCCCGTGTAAGTGGCACTTGTATCTTACTGTAATTTCCTTAATGTAGGTGGGAACCTTGGTTATATTTATAGCTGTTCCGGATATCTTATTCCTGCTTATTTTATGAAAGAACAAACATAAAATCAACTACTTAAATGATGTATGACTTTCTATGTCCCTGTTGTTTCAGGGGCGTTCTTTTCTTCCACTGTGTAAGCTTTGAGGTGAAAAAAACACCAGAACAGTACACATGTGCATGCAAACATTTCAAGAGTAAATACTGTAACTTCTACTCTGAGACAAATAACAGAAGAAGATAAACCACCACTAAGATTTTGTAAAAAATACACATCAAAAGTATTAGATAGATCTGGAGCATATTCTTTCCATACAGATTTTTCTCTCTGGGTGTATGAGGACTGTGGCAAACTGCATTACCTGTGGATTCAGTGGCAAATAGAGATTCTATTCTTATATAGATTGTCCTACAAAAGTTATTGAAATACTGTAGCAAGAAATCTTATTTAAAGAAATCTCTTTTTAAAGAAAGAAATCTCTTTTGAAGGTTTCAAGCTTGCTTGCACCAGAATCACAATTTTGCTTATTGTGAATGATAACAGTACTAATATGTTCTTTTGACTGAAGTTACTGTTCATAGAAGGATCTTGACTAACCTTATTAATTCTCTTACTCTGCAACTCTTTATTCACAAAGTTGTGAATCGATCCTTTTATGTTTTTTAATCTTATCATTACTTACATTCTTTAGAATTTGTACGGTTTTCTCTTTTCTTATAATTTGTCATAAAATTCCTACAGTACTTGGAAGTGTAATCTTATGTATGAATTGGTTTACCTTTTTTTTTTATTTTGGGAAGTTGCTGTCTCATCTTTATGATATATATAGCTTTGTTTCTAGAATCAAGATCTTGTGTCCAACTGACTTTCAGCATCTCCCAGTTTTTTAAATTAAATTTTAAATTAAATTAGATTTAGTGTTCTAAATCTGTAGCTTTAATAACTCTTTTAGAAACTACTTAACATTTTAAGTGTGTGCTTTACTAAGCTATGTTCTCATTTTTGGAAAGAAATTGAGTCAGAGGGTGACTGGCCAGCAACTGACCAGTATGCAGACAGGCAATCGTCTGTTTATCAGTGTGAAAATTGATAGTAAATTACTGAGATTTCAAGAGTTCTTGTGTTAACAAGACATCATCTCTATTTTTAGAAACTCAAAGGAAGTTTTGTTACTAACAACATAGGATCTTCTGTAAACATCCCACAGGTTGAAGGAACCCAGAATAAAACAGATATTCTTCCTACACTTTGCAGACAGATGCGCAAACAGGGACTTAACTGTAGAAAGATCCTCTGGTTTCGCCCACATTACCACCTCATCATTCTACTACATCTATCTTTGATCCAGGCGTATTCAGAGTCTTGTGATTCTGAATCATTCATGTGTTACTTTTGATGTAAAACATCAAACATCTGCTCCTTTCTCTCCTAACAGAAAAGAATGTAACTATCTAGTTTACTGTGCAGTCACAGGATCTTTATAACCAATTTCAGTAATACCAACCATCTCATAATTCTTCCCAGCATGACTGTTTTGAACATCTTTTATTTGTGGTGCCTAAGCTCCTGGACTTTTCTTCCTTGTATGCACCTTTATGTTTGGTTTTGCAATGAATGTGTGAAGGGTTTTAACTCGGGAATATTTATTGACTGTATCAATTCTTAATGACCTGTTAGGTTATAAAGCAGTTGCTATAATACTCAGCATAAGTTCTCTTAATAATTCCTAGCTGACTAGTTTGAATTCTTGCATTTCTATGGTCATTCTTATTATCCACATATTGCAAGAGGATATTATTAAAGAAAACCACACATCAGCTGATCTAAACTGGATGATGTATAGAAAGAGAAGTAGAATGGGAAAGTAAAATAAGGAGAAACTAACTGAAATGCCAACAGAGAATTTGTTTGCTACCTAATATACATTTTGGACAAACTTGAATTAATAATAATAACAAACATAGAAATTACAAAGTTAGAATGTTTGCATAAGTCCCCAAAGTTTATATTTTCTGTTACGTATTTACCTGCTTTTTCAAAGAATCAGCGCAGTTTAAAGCATCATCTCCCATTTTTGGCTTTCCAGAACCTCCAAGGTTTATTAAGAAACTAGACTCTTCAAGACTTGTGAAACAACATGATTCCACTAGGTATGAGTGCAAAGTAGGTGGATCTCCTGAAATTAAAGTCACCTGGTACAAAGGAGAAACTGAGATCCATCCAAGTGAAAAATATAGCATGTCCTTTGTGGATTCGGTGGCAATCCTTGAAATGCACAACCTCAGTGTTGAAGACACTGGTGACTACAGTTGTGAAGCCCAGAACCCAGCTGGTAGTGCTAGCACCAGCACCTCACTGAAAGTGAAAGGTGAGAATCCAAGTTCTTCCCCGTGCCTTTCTGCCTGTATGAGTACTCCTGTGTGGAAAAGCTGTTAAATCTCACTTTCTTTAATAGGAAGGGACAAAACCTTTTGGAAAAGATGCAGAGTCTCTTGCCTGCTTGTTATGCTGTGGGAGATCTCTTTTATTTATCGTTTGCCTTTTTTATTCAGTATCAGTTTGACTACTTGAATACTCTCCCCTCTTTAATGTCCTCTGCTCAAATAACACAAATTTTAACTCCTTTGTTTCAGCACCCCCTGCTTTTACCAAGAAGCCTCATCCAGTCCAGACCTTGAAAGGGTCTGACGTTCATCTGGAATGTGAGCTTCAGGGCACACCTCCATTCCAGATTTCATGGTATAAAGACAAGCGAGAAATTCGAAGCAGCAAGAAATACAAGGTCATGTCTGAGAACTACCTTGCTAGCATTCACATTCTCAATGTGGATACTGCAGATGTTGGTGAATATCACTGTAAAGCTGTAAATGATGTGGGAAGTGACTCCTGCATTGGCTCTGTAACACTTAGAGGTTTGTATACAGATTGGCATCTTCTCAGAATGTCGTTGTTCCCGTTACTGTCCTTCTACTTTTCCTTTTCTGGACTGTGATTTTTACAATCTTCTCTTAAATAGCACCACCAACCTTTGTGAAGAAGCTGAGTGATATCACTGTTGTGGTTGGGGAGACAATTGAACTACAAGCTGCAGTTGAAGGAGCACAGCCCATTTCTGTTCTGTGGTTAAAAGACAAAGGGGAGATCATTAGAGAAAGTGAAAATCTTTGGATTTCCTATTCAGAAAACGTTGCATCTTTGAAGATTGGAAATGCAGAACCAGCCAATGCTGGGAAATACATTTGTCAGATAAAAAATGATGCCGGATTTCAGGAATGCTTTGCCAAACTAACAGTGCTCGGTGGGTAGCATGGGATAACAAAAACAACAGTAATAAAAAAACACTAATGCTTAAAAATTTCAATTTTTACGGTACTAATAACTCTTGCATTGTTGTTTTTTAAAATGTTGTGACTTACATCTCATTGCAGAACCTGCAGTCATTGTAGAGAAGCCTGGTCCAGTGAAAGTTACAGCTGGAGACTCTTGTACTCTGGAATGCACAGTAGATGGCACACCAGAGCTTACTGCTAGGTGGTTTAAGGATGGGAATGAATTGTCTACTGACCATAAATACAAAATCAGTTTCTTCAACAAAGTATCTGGGCTTAAGATCCTCAATGCAGGACTAGAAGATAGTGGAGAATATACTTTTGAGGTGAAAAACAGTGTTGGTAAAAGCAGCTGCACTGCTTCAGTGCAAGTTTCAGGTTAGTTGTCTACTCTTTTTGAGTCATATCTGATCAAAAGTTCCTTTACAATGCCTTTATGTAGCATACTGTTTCTTATGACTAACAGTCTGGGAGACTCACTGCTTGTATAATTTTTCAGTTCTTTTGCACATGACGATGACAAGAGTCAGGGATAGATGCCTACCTGACATCTTAGGGGCAGGAACTGCTGCAAGGATTTGATTTTTTCACCTTTAATCCAAGCGTCTTTTTTCAGACAACTGGTGCAATATTATTTAGTATAAAAAATACTTAAAAACAAACAAACAAAAAATCCCGCCCTTTAAAAGTGTGTGAGTAAAATCTCCAGCCTTAGTCATCAATATCTTTAGTCATCAACTCTCCATTTCTCATTGACATAGGCATGCAGGAGCAGATTGATAATGTATGTACAGTAAAAGAAATCGAACTGATTTTATGATACATAGAGAACATTCTATAATTTAAGCTTCTGTACAATAGTTTTTCATTTATTTTATTATTTTTTTTAAACAAATACAGATCGTATTATACCACCTTCTTTCACAAGAAGACTGAAAGAAACATACGGTCAGCTGGGTTCTTCTGCTGTTCTGGAGTGCAAAGTTTATGGGTCACCGCCCATTCTTGTTTCCTGGTTTCATGATGGACAGGAGATTACCAGTGGAGACAAATATCAGGCTACCCTTACAGACAATACTTGTTCTCTGAAAGTTAATGAGCTTCAGGAATCTGATATGGGAACTTATTCATGTACAGCTACTAATGTAGCTGGATCTGATGAATGCAGCACATTTTTGAGTGTTAGAGGTCAGTATCTATCAGATACACTTATTTGTTTGCAAAAAGTCTTAATTCTTTTGTTACACGCTCTTCATCAGAAGATCAAGAGTACTACTTCTTTGTCTGTTTTATTTGTATACTTAGAGCCACCATCTTTTGTGAAGAAACCTGAACCACTTAATGTTCTATCTGGAGCAAACATCACATTTACAAGTATTGTGAGAGGCTCTCCTCCATTGGAAGTTAAATGGTTTAGAGGTAGCGTTGAGCTAGCACCAGGACACAAATGCAACATTACCTTGCAAGACTCCATTGCAGAATTGGAGCTATTTGATGTACAGCCACTTCAGAGTGGAGACTACACGTGCCAAGTCTCTAATGAGGCAGGGAAGATTTCTTGCACAACACATCTTTTTGTCAAAGGTTTGTGCAGACTATTTCTTACACTTCTTCATAGAAATAATATGGCTTTACTTAATTTATTTTCTTCTTATTGTTTGTTATAGAACCAGCGAAGTTTGTGATGAAGGTGAATGATTTAAGTGTAGAGAAAGGAAAAAATTTAATCTTGGAATGCACATATACGGGTACTCCACCAATTTCAGTGACATGGAAGAAAAATGGAATAATATTAAAACAATCTGAAAAGTGTAGCATCACCACTACAGAAACTTCTGCCATACTGGAAATCCCTAATAGCAAACTGGAAGATCAGGGGCAGTATTCTTGCCATATTGAAAATGACTCTGGGCAAGATAATTGTCATGGTGCAATTACAATACTAGGTGCGTCATCAAGCCACTATCATTTTATCAGATGCTATTTCAACCACTAGTAGTCACAGTGCCATACCTTTTTTTTTCCTTTTTTTTTTGTGCTAATACCATGTGTTTGTTCTTTAGAACCACCTTACTTCGTTACACCTTTGGAGCCAGTGCAGGTGACTGTTGGGGATTCTGCATCCTTACAGTGCCGGGTTGCTGGAACACCCGAAATGATTGTGTCATGGTACAAAGGCGATACAAAGCTGAGAGGAACAGCTACTGTGAAAATGCACTTTAAGAACCAAGTTGCCACTCTGGTCTTCAGCCAAGTGGACAGCGGTGACAGTGGGGAGTACATCTGCAAAGTAGAAAATACTGTTGGGGAAGCTACTTCATCTTCTTTGCTTACTGTTCAAGGTGAATAATTCTTTCTAAAAATTAGGAAAATTGCCTACATTTCTTAAGTATATTTGCTCTTTCAAAAACTAAGATTACTTTTTCCTTCTTAAAAGCTTTGCTCTTTCCTGGCCAGTAAGATACCCTGTCTTCTATTAACAAAGGCCTTCCATTAAAACAAATTGAAATTAATCTCTCACTGATCCCATTTCTTCTGTAGGAATAGGAGGTTCTGCATCTTCATTACACACTTAGGAAATTTTTCTGATGGTTTCTGCCTGACAGTCCTGGGTGTTAAATAGGCTAACTGAGGGCCGAATTGTTGTATATTTTCCTACAACCAGATGTACTGTGGTATTTATACATCAGCTCCTGAATTAAATGATATTGTGGATGAAATTTTTTGATGAGTTATTAGCAGAAATGCATTTTATGAATCGCTTAATCAGTGATTACTGGTGAGCACTGCAACAGTTGCATAGCTTTTGAAAGCACTCACCGTACAATACATGTTTTCTTACAGAGCGTAAACTTCCTCCTTCTTTTACAAGAAAATTGAGAGATGTTCATGAAACTGTTGGCTTGCCGGTTACATTTGATTGTGGCATTGCTGGTTCAGAACCTATTGAAGTATCTTGGTTTAAAGACAATGTGCGTATAAAAGAAGACTACAATGTTCACACATCCTTCATAGATAATGTAGCAACTCTGCAGATTTTGAAGACCGAGAAGAGCTTTATGGGGCAATATACCTGCACAGCGAGCAATGCTATTGGAACTGCTTCTTCTAGTGGCAAACTTGTCCTTACAGGTCTGTGGGCTGTGAATTATCGAATGGAAATATCTTAAAACTCACTTTTACTTTATATACGTATTTAATATTGTAAAAATAGTTGTATTTATTTCAGGGAGGTTTACAACAGCAAATTGAGATGTTAACATGATGCTTTTTATTTCCTTTGCTCTTCAGAGGGGAAGACTCCTCCATTCTTTGATACCCCAATTACACCTGTGGATGGTATTGTTGGAGAAAGTGCTGACTTTGAGTGTCACATTTCTGGAACACAGCCAATTAGAGTCACCTGGGCAAAAGATAACCAGGAAATTAGAACAGGAGGAAACTATCAGATCAGTTATGTAGAAAGCATAGCCCATTTGACCATCTTGAGAGTTGACAGGGGAGACTCTGGAAGGTATACATGCTATGCTAGCAATGAAGTTGGAAAGGATTCTTGTACAGCACAACTGAATGTTAAAGGTACTGAATAAATAATACTTTGTGTGAACATTTCTTTTAATTGAAAAGGAAGGTAGTTTAATTGCTGCAGGACAAGTTTGAAAAAAAACTTGAAGCATAACTTTTGTGATACACCTCAAAAACACCTATCTGGAAGTACGTACAAGTCTTTGGAGGGAATTTGGAAGGGTCATTAACAACAATGGGAGAAGGAAAGAAATAATATTGTCTTCAAACTAATTTCTTTATTGTCTTTGGATTATTTCTTTCTTGATAACTCAACAAAAATCTTGTGTTTTTAAGGTCAGTTGCCTTAGATCAATGTAAAAGATGTGGGTTTTTTTATAGTTGCTTTTATGCACATAGGAAAATTAACTAACAGTGAATGTATGATTAAGACACTTGCTATTGATCTTGGCTTACTCTCACTTAAAAATGGAAAAACAGTCCTGTTTAAATGAGAGCAAATACTGATTCCCCAATGTTATTTTTTTTCTTGAAATAATTTATTTAGATTTATTCATTTCAGGTCTGATGCATGTGTTCTTTCTTTACAGAACGAAAAACTCCACCTACTTTTACTCGGAAACTGTCTGAAGCAGTAGAAGAAACAGAAGGGAATGAACTTAAACTTGAGGGCCGTGTTGCTGGTTCTCAACCTCTCACTGTTTCTTGGTATAAAAACAATCAGGAAGTTCATTCAAGTCCTCACTGTGAAATATCATTCAAAAACAATACCTTGCTTTTGCATATCAAGAGCGTAGGGCAATCAGATGCTGGTTTATATACCTGCAAGGTGTCCAATGAAGCAGGAAGTGTGTTGTGTACATCCTCTGTTGTTATCAGAGGTTAGTTGAAGCCATGTTTTTCTTTACTTCTTACTTTTTCTCGGTATGTTAGCTGCAAATATACAGCTTCTATCTTATAAACTTGTACAGTTAATAAATTAATTGCATGTGATTATATGTGTTTGCTTACCTTAACATCAATAGTTTGTACTGAGAAGGACAAGATAAAGCTGATTTGAACCACAATATCAAGGAATCTTTCAATTTGGGGGAAATCAAACCATTTCTTCAGGGAGTGGCTTCTTTATTTATTCACTACTTACTATGCATTATCTAAAGTAAACATTGAAATCTTTAACATGATATTTTGGTTGAATCTTTAATCATTCTCTCTTTTTTTTTTCTTTCTTTTTTTTCTTTTTAAGAGTAACAATTTTTCTATGCACTTACAACTAAGCTGGAGCAGCATGGCACATTGTCCTAATGCTACTGCAGGAGATTCTATATTTGTTTCTCTACCAGTGCTTATGTAGTTTACAGACTAACAGCAGTACATTAGTTTTACTATTTTTTGCATGTGAATGTCCTTACTGTGTGCAGAGAATGTGTTATGTAAAGCACTCATTGCATGTTTGCATTCAAAGCATACTGTCTAGATAGTAATTATATTTCCTAAAACTATGATTGGGATTCTCAGACTTCTTATTCTTGCTCGTTCCTTGTCATTTTCTTTCTTAAGAATCACGTGTATCTCTTCCTCCTACACTCTTAATCATGCTTTCCTTCTTGGAGAATTCACTGAAGCATTTTCACCTTTCAGAACCAAAAAAGCCTCCAGTTTTTGACCAGCCTCTTCAGCCAGCAGCAACAGAAGAAGGTGATACCTTGCAGCTCAGCTGCCATGTCAGAGGATCAGAGCCAATCCGGATTCAGTGGCTGAAGGCAGGAAGAGAAATAAGAGCTTCAGAAAGATGCAGCTTCAGCTTTGCTAATGGAGTAGCTCTTCTGGAACTTGCTGCAGTTACCAAATCTGATTCAGGAGAATACGTGTGCAAAGCTTCAAATATGGCTGGCACTGACACTTGCAGATCTAAAGTGACAGTTAAAGGTACAGTTCAAGGCAAAATCAAAACATGCAAATGGAAATCTAAAATAAAACTTCATCCTGCTTTGTTTTGTGTGGAACAAAGATACTAATATTCTAACAGGAAACAATTAGTATCTTTTAGTTCTTTGCAAAACTATGCAATCTGGGGAGACGGTATATTGAAAAATAATTTACATATAAATATCAACGTAAACTGTGAGTTCAGTGTCAAACCAGTAATATATCCTCACTGAAAAGATGAAGAATTTAGTTCCTGAAACAAAACACAGAATTTAACAAAAAGGAAAGCTAAGTTAGTTAAAATTACATTCATCTGTGCATGTTTTTTGTAGTAGCAGTGTTTATTAAAGGAAATTAGAAAAGGAATTTGATTCATAATGTCGCCTTAGAGGTTAGTTGCTTCAAAGCTGTTAAAGCTCCAGTGCATTTTGAAATTATAACTAGAAGTAAATATTGCCTAACATGAGACCTTCCATGTAGTGTCCTGTCTTACAAATGCATTCAAGTCATGAAGATCCAGTAACATGTAGAAACAGTTTTTGTCACTATGTGGGTAGCAGGAAAGATAAGTACTACACAAAAGAAAAAAAAAACAACCAACAGATCACTGTTTAAAAAATGCAAATAACTTGGAATAAAATTTCCAGAAATAGACAGAAAATACTTCATTAAAAACTGACTCATTTTAGAAAATGAAGCTTCTTATTTGCATATCCATCTATGAATTTGCAGCTGTGAAAATATAAACGACACAACTAATATTATTGAAGACCACAAAGTGGCCCATAATACTCAGTTTCATCTAGAAAGCTCTGGGCAGTCAGCTTGAGTCCTCTGCAGGCTCCTTTCAACCTTACCTATTCTGCGATACTGTAAATCTTGTTTGTTTATTTGTTTTTCCCCAGAAAAAGCAGCAGCTGCACCAGCAGCTAAGAAAGCAGACATGGAAGGAAAACTCTATTTTGTATCAGAGCCTCAGAGTATCAAAGTCATGGAAAGTAAGAATTCTTTCTAAAATTACCCTGTTTTCTATTTGCGTATGCCTGATGCTTGAGATCATGTCCTGCTGTCATAGAAACACCAAGAAAATACTTAGCCTTCTTATTTGCATCTTTCTGCAGAGACTGTTGCAACATTTATTGCAAAAGTTGGAGGAGACCCAATTCCAAATGTTAAGTGGATGAAGGGGAAATGGAGGCAACTCAACCAGGGTGGTCGCATTATAATCCAGCAGAGAGGAGATGAAGCCAAACTGGAAATAAAGGACACAACAAAAACAGATTCTGGCATGTACAAATGTGTAGCTTTTAACCAACATGGTGAAATTGAGAGGAGTGTCAACCTGCAAGTTGAAGAAAGGAAGCAAGAATTTGTTGAAGAGGATGTCAGGGGAAAACTGAAAAGGTATACACAGAATTTGTATAAACTACCTTCCCATCAACACAGAACTTTTTGATTATAAGACTCAGATCAAGATACAATGATTTAATGTTTATTATATGTGTTTAATTGTGTACTGAAAATAGTAGCACCTGAACTAGGTTACACTAAAGGATTGTGCTGTGTGTAGCAGTTCTAAGTTGATGGATTTTTTTTTCAGTAGACGTCTTTCTAGGAAACTTAATAAATTTAATGTTTGTTATTGGTTTGAATAGAATTCCAACAAAAAAGAAGGAAGAGGAAGAGCAGACTATCGATATCTTGGAACTTCTCAAAAATGTTGATCCCAAAGAATACGAGAAATATGCTCGCATGTATGGAATTACAGATTTCCGTGGCCTCCTGCAAGCTTTTGAGTTACTAAAGCAGACCAGAGAAGAAGAAAGCCATAGATTGGTAAGATATATTGCCACTATGGCATTGTTTTTGTTAGAAGTAACAAAGTTCTTTTAAACAGACCTGGTGACCTGTACTTTCTATACAGGCTTTTCTGGAATATGTTCAGATGTTTTACTGATCGTTCTCAATTTCCTGCATGCTCAAATCAAAGAAGAAGGGATGGCCCTTCTGGCCAATTGTGTTCTGCCTTGACTATGTGGCTACTATTTTTAAGATGGGAAGATAGACTAGTTATAGTATGGTTACATCAAATTTGATGTAAGAACTAATTCTGTGTTGGATGAACATGCCAACTTGGCATTTAGTATCTAATCATTATGTACATTTTGTCTTATTACAGGAAATTGAGCTCACAGAAAAGGCTCAAAAAGAGGACCAGGAGTTTGAAGAACTTGTAGCATTTATTCAGCAACGGCTCACACAAACAGAGGTGACATATTTTTGTCCTGATTCATGAAATATTCAAACCCATAACAAGAAAGATTACACTAATTTAAACTACTATTTTTTTCAGCCTGTTACTCTAATCAGAGACATCGAAAATCAAACAGTTTTAACAGATGAAGATGCTGTCTTTGAATGTGAGATTAAAATTAACTATCCAGAAATTAAGCTTTCATGGTACAAGGGAACTCAGAAACTGGACTCCAGCGACAAATATGAAATTAAAATTGAAGGTGATCGCCACATACTGAAAATCAGAAACTGCCAACTTGAAGATCAAGGGAATTTCAGAATAGTGTGTGGACCACACATTGCCAGTGCTAGGCTAACTGTGATTGGTAAGTATATTTTGAAGTGTGTATTTGAAGTATTTTTTACTTTATTCATTATATTGTGTGATGTCTTCTAAAATGTATGTTTTAACATGCTAATAGAGCCTGCAGTTGAACGGCATCTTCATGACACTACTTTCAAGGAAGGAAACACATGCACGCTCTCTTGTCAGTTTTCTATCCCAAATGCCAAGTCTCAGTGGTATAGAAATGGGAGGCCAATTAAGATAGGAGGGAGATATTCAACACAAGTCTCCGACAAAGTACACAAACTCATCATCAAGGATGTTAGAACAGAAGACCAGGGACAGTATACCTGCAAGCTTGACAATCTAGAAACAACTGCTGATCTGGCCATTGAAGGTTTGTAAACAGATATAGAATATCTTTATTACAGTAGTGATAAACAGTTGCTGGATATCCCATTAACAGAAAAGATGAAAATAAAAGGGATTTCTTAAAGAAATATCCTCAAACTTGAAAATTGATCATACAAGAAGTTTTGCTTTTCTTTCTCTTTGAACCATATGTGATAGTATTTGTGTAATTTAATATTTTTAACTAAGTCATCATTAGTAATGACCTCTTGATCTGAAATCATCAGTCCTATTTTCTTGTATTTTCTTCTTTCCTGATGCTCTCATATTTTCCTCTTTTTCTTTGGATTACCTCTTTTTCTTGAATTATTCTTTACCTTCTCTTTATTTCCCTTATGACTTCTCTTGTATAATTTATCTACAGCAATCTTATTATATTTATATTCTTACATCTTCTAATCTTCATTCTTATGTAGAAAACTTCACAGTAGATGGAAACTCTTGTTTCTTAATTGTTATTATACCTTACTATAATGTGTTATTGTCATGAAAGCTAAATACCCTGAATGGTAGACAATAACTTACTTATTTTTGTTTCTAAAACAGCTGAACCAATTCAGTTCACAAAGAGCATACAGAACATTGTAGTAAGCGAACACCAATCTGCTACCTTTGAGTGTGAAGTGTCCTTTGATGATGCAGTTGTGACATGGTATAAAGGCCCCACTGAACTGAGAGAAAGCCCGAAGTACAGCTTCAGAAGTGAAGGTCGTTGTCATTATATGACTATTCACAATGTTACTGCAGACGATGAAGGTAAAAATTCCTAGAATGTTTGGGCTGATGCTACTTTATCAGATTTTGTTGTGTGTTCTTTTAATTATGAAGTCATATTAATACAAAATTCTTGGCTGTTGCAGGTGTATATTCTGTAATTGCTCGTCTCGAACCAAGGGGAGAAGCAAGAAGCACTGCAGAGCTCTATCTGGTAACCAAAGGTTAGCCGATTTTTAAAACAAATTTGTGATCATAGCGTCTGCAAATTTGTGAGTTTAAAACATGATTCTGGAACAAATAATTCTAAAAGAAATTTATTTTTCTTTTGCAGAAATCAAACTGGAGTTGAAGCCTCCAGGTAAAGATCATGCACGAGATTAGCGTGTCTGTTATCTGTCATAGAATGCATTGCTCTGCTTTATCCTTTTTTCATGGTTGTAGTAAGTCAAACCTACACTCTGGAATAATACACCTTACCTGTATACATGAGGAATTATTTATTCTTATACACTATGGTGATTACTACTGTGGTAACTTTAAAATCACTGATTATCATCATGTCTGGGGTCTTATTTTATATGGTAGGTATGGGAAGCTATATTCTCTAGAACAAATGAGTTTATTTAAATGACTGAGGAATACAGCAATGAAGAGATACCAATGAATATATAATCAATGTCCTCATCACAGCAATAATCTGCTTCTGATGTATAATGATCTTCTTTTCTGAATGTTCTTAAGGAAGAGCCTACTCCAGAATGAGGTGAGCAGTATGTAGAAATAATAAAAAAAAAAAAAACAAAAAACCAAAAAAACAGTAAAGTCTGGCCATATAAGAAAGATTAATTCAAATAGTTTTCTATACATTGGGTTGCTTATGCTTAAGGGCCAAGATAACTGTGTGCTAGAACAAGAAAAAATGAAACACCATGAGCTAGTCCTGGGAGCAGCAAATTCATATATCTATTTCTTTTACATAGTTAAATGTTTTTCTTTTCTAGATGTTCCTGATACCAAGGTAGCAGTTCCACCTCCAAAACCAGCTGAAGGTAAAATAACAAACTAGACTTGTTCTGTAGTTCTCTTTTATGTCAGTATTAAAACAGCAAGGCAGTAGGAGCCTCAGAGAAAGATCACAGATAAGGTTTTGATATGATCTGGTTAGTCCACTCTTTAGAAATATGTAAGAGTAAGCCTTTGCTTGGTTGGACTCATTTTGCATTGTGGAAGGTGAAAACCATAAAATAGGAGTGCTCTTTAAAAGAAATAAAAAAAATAAAATGAAAATAAAAGACGAAGATTATTTTGAAGTTGTATAAACAGATTGGAACAGGTTGGAGCTCCCTTAGCTTCCCAGACTCTGTTAGTGGACTACAGACAAGCATTACATATGTTTCTGCTAGATTCAGCAGTTCAGTATGGACCTAGAAATTCATTCTTCGTTTTGTTTCCATGATAATTTGGTAAATGCTTTGAGATACAGCAGGAGGGAAAAGATTTTGTATCTGGATGAGTTACTATCAGCAAGAAAAGGAGAATGGTGCTAGGAAAAAAAGCTTCCAAGTATCAGTATGCAAATAAAGGCCAACTACAGATTTCCATTCAAAACACATTGTTCCAGCTACAGTGAACTATCAGAGTGAGCACCAATTTTGCTCCTATTCTGCAAGTACAGTAAAAAAAAAAAAAAATCTCATTTTTCAAATGCAATAAGATTTTTCTTCAATTAGAATTCAATACCATACTCATTCTAAGTATATGTATTTTTTTTTCAGAAGCTGCCCCCATTCCTATTCTTCTGCCCCTCATTACACCACCAGAGGAGAAAAAGCCAGGTAAGATTACTTAAAGTAACTAGATAGTGTACATATGTTTAGTTATGTTTTGTTCTTTTGTTTTAACTTAAATTTTCATATATATATATTTTAAGCAGAAAAGAAAGTTCCAGTAAAGAAAGTCTCGAAAAAGGTGGTTAAAAAGGGTCCCAAGGAAATCCCACCACCTGAAGGTAATTTGAAAAAAAAGAAAAGAAAAGAAAAGAAAAAAAAAACCCACAACAAATACTCTCTTAAAAATAGTAACATTATTTCGGGAAAAGACATCTCTTGGATGTCTGTGCTTATGATTTTTTATAAGATCTTATAGATCTTATAAAAAAAATTCACATAACACTGTCTGCAAGGAAGAACTAATTTCACTAACTGTGAACATCCAATACACTTTGCAGATTCCAGGCTATGATGATAACATGGTTGTTTTGTTTTGCTTTGTTTTTAAGTTCCTGAGATACTGCCAGAGAAGCCCAAAGAGGTCAAAATAACATCTATGGCAAGGAGAGAAGAGATTCATGAAGAAAAAATGGAAGTATATGAAAAACCCAAAGAAGTTTATGAAGAATGGGAAGAAGATTATGGAGAAGATCATGATTATTATTTCAAGGAAGAAGGTTATGATGAAGGAGAAGAGGAATGGGAAGAAACTTATGAGAAAAGGGAGGTGGCTTATGAAGAAAAACAAATCATTCATGAAGAAGGTATAAAAGATTTACAATTGTTTTACCAATGGAATCCAAACATGGTGCCAAATTGTAACTAGGACTTGACAATATCAAGACCCTGGTATGGCAAAATGTAAATGCAAATGGAAAATGATACACTGTTATAGGATTACCAGCAAACTTTGCAGATTGGGCCATCTTTAAAATCTAATATGAATTAAGGGTTTGTAATTTGTTTTATTTTTAGTTGTTCAGGATATTTCTGCTATCATTTTCACACATTCATGCATTCTAGATAGACTTGATTTAGATAAATTTTTCTAACATCAATTTTTTTATGCTAATGGTGGGATAATTTTGCAATTCCTTGTATGCTTCAGCTGTAGTATGCCTCTATGGAAAAACATGGAAATAAGCAAAAAAAATGTACAGCAGCAGTTCAATCTTGAAAACTGTGTGTTTGTTTCAACTCATAATCTTATAATGACATAACTAATTCCTTCTGTGAGACTTTAGAAAATGTAATTTTCATCATTAGGAAATGTTTTTGTTTTTAAAGTGGTGGAAGTTCCTAAGAAGCCTGTGCCTGAGCGAAAGCCTGCAGCAATTACAGCTGAAAAGAAGGAAAAGAAAGAAGTTACAGTTCATAAAGGTATGTCATTCTTGCAAAATTAACAGCAGGTGCTCATTTTGACCTCTCTCATGCTACTCTCTCAAGCTGTACTGCAATGGCTTCATTTCTCTGAATAGGAGAGAATGATCTTCATGTTGAACAGTGCCCTGACCATGGGCCATGGCATGGCAACCTTTCTGTTCTCTCACCTCAGATTTTCCTGCAGAGAGAGAATATGACAAAATGATTGAAGCAAAATCAGAACTGTTAGTAAAATCAATCTGTGCTTCAATAATCTTTCCCTCTTAAAATATATTAGCTTTGGACCTAAGTGATTTTTTAAGCTAGTGGAAGCTGGAGTTTCTGAGAACTGTTCGTATAGATCAATGCATATCTCTCAGGGGAAGGTGGGCTGTATTGCCTATTTCATGAATACCTTTACCACTATTGTTCAGTGGCAGTGAACAGTGTGCTGAATAATGCATTGGATGCTCATATCTTAAACAGGAAAAAGTCAGTTCTACCTGTTTTATGTCTGAAAAACAATTTGCAAGATGACACAAATGATGAGTATATTTGTATTACTTACAGTTGTCAAGAAACCTGTTGATGAAAAAGTTGAGATTACCACTCAGAGGGTTGCAGAGGAAAAACTCAAACGGGCTGAGGGTAACTACTGCTTAATTACCTTAATGTTGCCTTTATGTGAAAGTTACTTAGCTAATATGCATGTGCTTGTTTAGTCACAGCAACCCCAGGCAACAGTACAGGCTTGGGGAGGAGTGGCTGGAAAGCTGCCTGATGGAAAGGGACCTTGGTGTACTGATGGACAGTTGGCTGAATATGAGCCAGCAGTGTGCCCAGGTGGCCAAGAAGGCCAATGGCACCCTGGCTCGTATCAGGAATAGTGTGGTGAGAAGGATTAGAGAAGTAATCCTGCCCCTTTACTCAGCATTGGTGAGGCCTCATTTTGAGTACTGTGTTTAGTTTTGGGCATTTCAGTATAGAAAGGACATGGAGGTGCTGGACTGTGTCCCATGAAGGGCAAGAAGGCTTGTGAAAGGCTTGGAGAATATGCCCTACAAGGAGCAACTGAAGAATAGGGGCTGTTTAGTCTGGGGAAGAGGAGGCTGAGGGGAGACGTTGTTGCTCTCTTCAAGTACCTGATAGGTGATTGCGGTGAGAGTGGGGTTAGTCTCTTCTCGCTGGTGATAGGTGACAGGACAAGGGGAAATGGCCTCAAGTTGTGCCAGGGGAGATTTATGTTGGATATCAGGAAAACTTCTTTACAGAAAGGGTTGTTAAGCACTGGAGTAGACTACCCAGGGAGATGGTTGAGTCACCATCCCTGGATGTGTTAAAAAATGGTTTGGATGTGGTGTTCAGGCACATGATTTAGCAGAGGGTTGTTAGAGTTATGATAGTATGGTTAGGCTGTGATTGGGCTCGATGATCTTTAAGATCTTTTTCAACCTGAGCAATTCTATGATTCATTTCACATGGATCTGACCAATTTGTCAGTCTTTAAAACAGCTGTAATAATGGCTTCTGCAGCATTTTGTAAAAGGCAAAAAGTTTTTTAGGTGAAAATAGGAAATTTAGTTGTTGACAATGGATGCTTTAAAACAGGAAGTGTATAATTGGATCAAGTGACAAAAAGTGTTTCACTTTAAGCTCAAGATGTGAAATCTCCATCTTCCTCAGATTTCCACCTTGACTTGTCTATCAGGATATCTTAGTTACAAGATGCATCTTCATTCACTTGGTAACCAGTTCTTCTCATATAGCATTTACCATTCTGCAGCAGGAAATCAGGCTAGAATTCAAAATACATTAGGATAATGACCTTCTCTGCACTACAGAAGTTACCAGCCCCTTTAGGAGGCAGCAAATTGAAAGAAGCAAGCACTTCTTTTTTCTTGCTTTGTATGGTTCTGGGCTAGTTTGTTTGTTGTGTTTCCAACATTATTCCTAAAAAGCCGTAGATTTGTTTTAATCTCTTTTCTGAATATATGTCTGATTAACCAAATTTAATGCTAACAGTTACCAAGAAAATCCCATCAGCAAAACCTACACCAATGATCGTCGAGGAAAAGGTTATGAAAAAGGAAGGTAAAGATCTGCAGCTTTCGATTGTACTTTGCAATATTTCCAGTACCCTGTGAATTCTTGTGTCTCTTGTGAACATATAGAACTGTGCATGTACTTGGATCTGTTGTACTGATCATACTGTGACTACTTTCATTGTGCAAAATGTATGTCTACCATGATTCTGTGTGTCATAAAGTATGTTCTTCTCATGTTTGTGGCTGTCTTTGTGATTTGTATTCAAATAGTCTGTCGGATATTGTACTTTGATTTGGTTTTCTCTTTAAATGTTCTGCCTGTTGGCACATGCTTATATAACATCTCAGTGCCCTAACACTTCCTTGAAGAAGTGCCTTTGAAATCATTGTGATACACTAATTGCAGAAGTCTGAGCATGAATTTATTTTGTATTCTCTTATTAGGAATATCTGTATCCTTAGTTTCTAACCAAGTAAATTTTACATCTGTTGTTGTTGTGTATTCAGTGTTTCAGAATGTCATTACTGACTGTCTAAATATGTTCTAAGACTTTAGCATACAATACAGATACAGATTTCATAAAATTCACATGCTCTCTACCACTGCTGTGGATCTATAATATAAAATACTAAAACAAAATCCTATCTTTAAAGTACCGACAGTAGAAAGATGGACTGTTTCAGAAGAAAAGATGTCAGTTTCTGTCCACAGAGAAGAAGAGTATTCATATATCACAGGTATGTAAAAAAAAAAAAAAAAAAGTTTTAAAAACAAATTAAAAAAAAAAGTAATGTTAAAAAAAATCACACACACCCAAAAAAACCCAGTACTTTCTGTATTGCCATTTTTTCTTTAAGTCAATTTTTCTGCTTCAAATTACATATTTAGACATTTATGTTTCGACATGCCTTGCTTCTTTTTGTTCATTGTGCTATTTATCCTCAGTTTTCTTTAGATTAACAGATGTTAACATCTAAGCTATTTTTTCTAAACATTATTTAAATGCTTCTCTTTGAAGAGCCTACAGAGCATGAGAAAACAGTTGAAGAAAGATTCTTTGAAGCTGTTTACCCAATTGAAGGTAGATTGCTTAAGAATGAGATACTAATCAATATTTAAGATTTTTTTAAAAAATTTGAATCTTAATCAAAACTCACTGTGAGATCTGCACATTCAATTGATTTTCTGGACAACATTAGCAAATGTTGTCAGTGAACCTTTGTGTACTGGACACATAATATCTTAAAAGTATTTCAGTTTACTACAGACATTAGGATTTCACATCTCTGTATTTAATATCTTTCAAATTCCTGTTGCAGCACATAAGGAAGTTGAAGAGGAGGAAGGAGAGGTCATTTCTGAAGAACTGGAGACTCATCACGTTGAAGGTGAATTAAATCTTTGCATCATCCACCCAATTATTTTTTTTTTAATTTATTTGTCTTACCACTCTGTATCAAAGAACAGCATATCAAGGCTCAGTTCTTATGGTTCTACCCTCAAACATCATCTCCTACCATGTTTCCAAGTCTACTTCTTAATCACTACTTTAATTAAATCTTTGATTTTTTGGGAAAATTTGAGAATATTTCCCTGTCTGAAAAATAGCATATTTTTTGACATGCGGTGTTTGCTTACACAGCATGTTGAAAACAGCCTACAGCAATGTACTCTCTTTCCATCTTCTAAATGTTCACCACATATCTCTTTAAAGTGCCTGAGATAACAAAGAGGCATGTCCCAGAAGAAAGAAAGCCTGTTCCTGTCCCAAAAGAAGCTCCACCTGCTAAAGGTATTTCTTCTACCCAAGTTAAAAAAAATAAAAAATCTTACTATCTTTCAGTATATTTTTGTAAGCTGTCTTGAATGTTTTCATGAATCTGCTGTCTATGTGCCTTTCATTTTGCCTGGTCTCCTTTTTTGCTTTGTGCTGTATCTTAGTTTACAATGCTTGAATGTGTCTCAGTGTTGGCTCTTCTCTTTCCTAACAGTCTTGTTTGTTTCTTGTGTTTGCTTTGACTGTGTGTTTTTTGCAGATAAGAGTTGGGTATTATTTCTTCTAGAGTACCATGAAAAACGATAGCCCATAAATGTGGATGTTGGAATTTTATGTTGCATTTTTGTGTCTTTCCTAAATAGTCTGCATTATGTTGTAAACCCTGCAAAGGGTTATACAATGTATTGTGCTGCAGTGTTTAACTATTTGCCCAGACATTGTGTGCTATAGAGCAGTCTTGAAATCTGAATAAGTGTTGTGAAAACTAAAGTTCTCTCTCTTTGGAAATGCTTTCCAAGTGCCTGAGGTCCCTAAGAAACCTGTTCCAGAAAAGAGAGTTGCTGTTGCTAAGAAGGAGGTGTCTCCCCCAGTAAAAGGTACAGAATCTTTTGAAAGTGAACTTTAACCTGTCCTGTACTGTTTTGTTCAAGCTACTACTCAATTTTAAATGTAAGCATATGTAATATATGTGTGTTGTATGTCTCTTCTCATCTAAAACAATTCAAAAGCTTTGACAAGATTCTTTAAATACATTTTAATGTCTTTAAAGTGCCTGAAGTGCCTAAAAAACCTCCACCTGAAGAAAAGGTACACATTCCAGTTCCCAAAGCAGAACCTCCACCTCTCAAAGGTATATTTAGTGATGGAGTGTACCTCTCAAATATCTTTTTTTTTAACTGTTTTTTTGTTGGTTTTAGTTTCTATGTAATTATATTTGTCAGGTGCTTTTTTTTTTTAATGTATAATTGTTTGTATGCATGTAACACTTTTTAAGGTCAGGTAATATACTCAAGTAGCTCTCTCAAGTTAAGGAATTAGTCTCAAAGCACTTTAGAGGCTTCCTGTGACTGAATAGATAAATGTTTTTTTCAACTGTATATTTTTTTTTTTCAACTTATATTTTTCTGTGTTAGATGTAATATTTATGTGATATTGACGTGTCCTGATATTCTTATGAATGGATGCATTTGTAAAATACTCAAACAGATCTTTGAAACATGGAATTCAATTGTTTTGTTTCATGTTTTTTAAGTGCCAGAGGAGCCCAAAAGAGCTCCCCCTGAGAAAAAAGTTGCTGTTCCAAAAAGAGAAGCAGCTCCACCCCTTAAAGGTATACTTAAATCTCTTAAATATCTTAAGCATTTTGTTTGTCTAATTTTGTTCTTTATTGTTAGGTGAATCTGGGTTCAGTTGTGCTTCAGTAATACTAGTTACATGGTTTTTTTGTGTGTCAGTTTTGTTGGTAATTGTGCTTTAGATGTAGTCTTGAGACACTTGTAATTTTATTTAATATTGTTTAATTAATATCTCTGAAGCACCAGAAGTACCTAAGAAACCAGTACCAGAAGAAAAATTGCCTCAGATTCCTAAACTAGAAGAGGCTCCACCTGCAAAAGGTATTGTCTCCTAGTCTTCAGAACATAAACATTTCCCTCAGTTTAGTCAGTTGTGCTTTGTAAACAAAATGTCTGTGTAATCTTCTGTTTGAACAATACCTTTCTGTTTCGTGTTGCTTTTGAAAGTGTTTCACTTTCTAGATCCTAAAATTAAATGTTTTTTTTAAAAGTGCCTGCAGTTCCTAAGAAACCTGTCCCTAAAGAAAAGATATCTCCTGCTGTTCCTAAAAAAGTTGAGGCTCCTCCAGCTAAAGGTATGCTTTTCAGTAGAATAAATAAAATGCTGTTTCTTAGCTTCTGTGTGTCTGTTCTGTCTTGTCATTCATTTGTGCTGCCTTTATGAATTCCGCAGTACTGATTTAGTGACAGTAAAAAAATGATTACTTTTTGTGTGCTGTACGTACAAAAATACGAATGTTAAGTGTTGAATCTCTGTTGTGTTATTTGTTCAAGACCCTTAAGCAATTCTTTGGAAACTTAGTTACTTGCGTTTTGGAAGGTGGCTTTCACACTGGCATTAGAAAATCATCCATTTAATGCTATTATCTTTCAAAGTACCGGAAGTGCAGAAGAGAGCAACTTTTGAAGAAAGAATGCTTATTACAGAAGAAAGAATATCTATTGCTGTTCCAGAAGAAATCCCATCACCTGAAGGTAGATTGTTAACAACTGCCAATGAGAAACCTATGCTTCTTTTAGAAGTCTCTTGCTCTTAAGACCAAGATGAAAATATGCAAGAATTTTATGTTAGTTGAGTGAGTTTTCTGTAGGAATATTTTATAGACTTCTAGTTAGTTAATACCCTCTGAATGCCACTTAACATCCCATGAAATGTATGGGAATACTACTACTAATCTTACCAGCAAACTTTCATGAGATGTATAGATGTATAGTGTTGAGGTTAGATACCAGCACTTAGGACCACAGCTATCCATTTCTACTCCCTACTTGCTCTCTGCAGCCTTGCAAGTAGCAGGATTATGTTCTCCACAACAACTCTTTTAGTTCAGATTCTCATACTCAAAAAAGGCTGGGATTGGTTGTTTTAAAGTTGGTCTGTTTCAAGACAGATGAAATCAACATTTTGACATTCCATACGCCTTTAGTGATTTGCCTGTCAACATAATTTATATGTTCTATTAAAAATACAAATGGGCTTTACAGGAAGATATGGAAGTTATCTATTTGCAATATGAACATACTAATGTATGCTCACATATACTGATATACTGTTAATTTTTCTCCCCTGCTAATCAGTCTCTGATGTTTTCCCTGATTGTCATATTTGTAGACATATATGACAAGCTTTCCTTTCAGTTCATGATCTGCCCTTATCTTGTATCCTTCTTACTTTCATGTAGCTAGATCAAGTAACAACATCTAATTCTTTCCCCACATCAGCTGTTGTGAGGGGGAGGTCTGGGGAGTTGAGGCATCCTGATGGGCTGACATTTGACCTGTGAAAAATATTTGAGAGAGACAGCAGTACACAGTATCGTACATGGGTCACTTAGTGCAGATCATGAATGTCTGCACAGCACTTTCTATACAGTATGTATGTTGTTATACAGAACTTTTAAGAGGTGATCTTCACCTTGTCTGTCCATTGAACCATCTACTCATTCACCAGAAATAATAAAACTAAATATTTTCTTTAAAGAACCAATAGTTGAAGAGTGGTCTGAAGAAGAAGCAGAGGAAGTATCTGTTTCCATTCACAGAGAGGAGGTTTCTGAAGGTATGATCACAATTCAAGAATACTAGACAACAACAAAAATAAAGTTTTGTTTTGTATCAAAAATAGCATAAAGATCTACTCTATATAAAAGGAAATTTTACTGCTGCACAAATATGCCTTAAGTTTCATATTTCAGAAACTGTAATACTGTCTTCACTTTGTCTTGCTTTTGAGAAGTGTAATTACTCTTGATTTGATACAGTGAAAATAAGGTGTCTCTTTGTTTTTTGCTTTTTTTTTTTTTTACACTTACTCTATGTTGAAAATTACTCTTTCACTTTGTTTTCTGGATGAAGTAAAGACCCTTCAGAATCTCTTGATGTATTCCAGTTTCTTATACCATTTCACAGTAAACTGATAAAATTATTCCCAATTTGAGTTTATCTGTGTTAAAATAATTCTGCGAAGAACAGTAGCATTATATCGATTATCTCAATTTTCTTCAAAAGCAACACCATGTATTTACAAGGGATAACTTTATCCAATGAATTAATGATTTTTTTTATAAGTATCTGGGAAGCTTTCTTGAAGTGGACAAGTTCTGATAGTGTACTAACAAACACAGGAATGGAAAGTTCTGATCTGGCACTTCATATGCCGGATTTTCAAATTCACAGAAATACAAGATAAGTCTTAAGTTGCTTGGACTTGTTCCACTGGCTTCAGAAGGAGCAGGAGGGTAAAAAATCTAGATTTTAAAAGACACCAGAGATGTCTTTTAGTAATTCTCACTTCTTACTCTTGTCTTACAAATATTTTGTTTCATACCAGTGTTGTAAAGACAGTAATAGATGTCTAGTACTGAAATTCAAGTATTTTTATTTTACTATTTTTAAGTGACTGAAGAAGAGTCTTATTACATAGAAGAGAAGGTAACTGTGCCTAAAAGAAAGGAAGCCCCACCTGCTAAAGGTATACATTCTTTTCATTTAAAAACAGTGGTTGTTACTGTTTCAGTGTTCTTTGTGTCATTATTCTGAGTATATGTTGCCACTATGTGTTTCTGTACATTTGTGGGTTTTTACATTAAGGAAATGTCTGTATGCTAAAGTGATACTATTCTTCTTTGTAAAACTATGTGTTGTAATCTCTTAAAGTGCCTGAGAAGCCTAGGAGAGTTGCCCCTGAACCAGAAATTCCAGCTGCTCTGAAGGAAGCTCCAGCAGCTAAAGGTATAAGACAGTTCCTCATTTGGATGATGTTATATGCACCTCTTAAAGGGGATAATGTTTATCATACTGTCTTTTTATGCTGCCATGGATATTGTCTACTTTCAATGATGAGTTATTGTCTGAAATTCCATCTTCTACTATGAAAAATAACTCAGTAAATTGCTACTATAAAAAAATGACAAAAAGTAATGTAGTAGATAATTACAAACGTTACAACTTATTCTTTCTCATCTTCCCATCTTACTCATATTTTTGAAGTGCCTGAAGTTCATAAAAAAGTAGCTCCGAAAGAGAAAGTACCTGTCCCTGTTCCTAAGAAAGTGGAGGCTCCACCATCAAGAGGTATATCCGTTGTTTGGTCCACTTGCATAAACAAATAAATAAATTTATTCCTACGTTCCTTCTTTGACATGCATGCATGCTGATAAATAAAACCCACAAACCAAAATTCTTAAGCGTTAAGCATGTACTTATGTCTGTTTGTCTACAATATGGACTATGGATTGTGTCTTGCTGGAGGCATTTATATGTTTTTGTTATGTCTGTTGGTGAGGTCAATCCCATTTTCTAAAGTTGCACAATCTTTTTTAAGAACGTCCAGAAGAAGTGCCCACTTTTGAGATAGCTGTTGAAGAACCACCATCAACCAAAGGTAAACAGAATAATGTCATGAAATGTTTTCTTGTTTGTCTTGCAGTATTCGTGTTCGGGTGTTTTACATAAAAGTTCTTACTTGCTCATATCTGTGATTTCTTTGCATCTCTCCTTTCTTCCAACTGTTTACTTTATTTGTTCTGTGGTTTGAAGTACACTCTTCTGTGATGTCTCGCTTTTGTTGTTGAAGTTTCCTAAGCATTTTCTTTTATGCAAAATCAGATGAAGTACAAAAAAACTCCATGCGTCTTCACATCAAATGTTACAATTAAGTATTCTTATTCTTTCAAAGTGACTCAAGTGCACAGAAAAATTATCACAGAAGAAAAAGTTGCGGTTGCTAAAAAAGATGAGGCTCCACCCAAAAGAGGTATATAATTTTTCAGAGCTACATAAGAAAGCATTTTTATCTGGTGACTTATGTTTTTTGCATATAATTGTATAGCACAAATTGTTTTGTTGTTGTTTGTTGTCATTTGCGCATTTGAGTTAAAGAATTATCAGGTCTCTGCTTTTGTGTTTTGTCATCTAATAATGTTTGTGACTAAGTCAAAATCTTTTCAAACAAACAAAAATTTTAAAAATGCCAGCAGTGCCCAAGAAGACTGTGCCAGAAGAGAAAGTTCCTGTTCCGGTTTCACGGAAAGTGGCCGCTCCACCAGCTAAAGGTATCTAAGTTCTTTTCAAAGTAGAGAAGACTTCTAAATGTCAGATATATGCATGTATCACACTCATCATCTGCCTGGCTAATATTCCATTCTCTATCATCTTGATTATAAATGAGAAGGAGCTTTATAAATGAGAAAGGAACTTGGTCTTCTCTCTTGCAAAAAATGCAGTAGGTGATGGAGAACAGTCACACGTCTGCATTCCTTGCATTTTCTAAGCTGCTAGTAACTTCATTGTTTACAATGGCTGCTTAAGTGCTTTGGAGAGCTAAATGAAGCAATTTAGAGAATAAATGTGAACACATTTAGAAAAATAATATAAATGTTTTAGAACATAGTCAATTTTCAGAGTGGTAGATTTCAGTCTTAGAAATGTGATCCGCTTCTCTGATCTTGGTTTTGAAATGTAATTTTTTCATGTGTGTTCAGTGTCATGTGTTTTGTCATTAAATTATGTTTCTGAAGGACCTAGAGAAATCTTTCATCTCTATCTTTGCATATTCATTTTGTGTGTTTATGCAGTTTGCTTTTTGATGTGTTTTACACTGTATGTGAGTCTAACGTTTTCTGTATTACTGTAGTAGCTTATATTTCTACTGCTACTAAAATTGTCAGATGTTTCAAAGGAACTAGCTCTAGGGAATTTATTCTTGGAACACCTCCAAAAGAATATTCTCCCAAATACTCAGTGCCTTCCTAGCCACCATGTATTAAAAATTCAGCTGGTCAGTTTCTCTGTGAATTTAAATGTCTTTATGTTTGTGTGTTGTTTTTGTTGTGTTTACTGTAAGTATTGTTGATGTGTAGATCTGTTCTATTCCCTTGTAATTATTTGTCCATTATTCTTTTGTATGGACGTTGTATGGAAATACATTATTTCTTTAAGAATTTAGTATTCTTACAACTACTGTCTTTAAAGTGCCAGAAGAGCCAAAGAAAATGATCCGAGAAGAAAGAGTACGTGTTGCTGTTCCAAAAAGAAAAGTGTCACCACCACGAGAAGGTACTCCTGCCCATGGATTAATCTATGAACAGACTTCCCTAAAGCAATACCATGAGAGCTTAAAACCTAACATGCTGGCACATTTTTTTATAGTTCTAGTGCTCCAACAGCATCCCCCAAGGGACTCTTAAAAGAATCTTTGTAATACACTGGAGATATTTTCCCCAGTTACTTCGGGTGTGAGAGATGTCTGGAAATAATTATCACTTTTCTAAGAAACACTTAATGGGATATGTATTTGTACATGATATTGTGCCAGAAAAGATATTAAACTAGACTCTATCTTTAAAGTACCAACAGAAGAAGAACACTGGGCTATGTCAGAGGAAGTGTCTGTTTCTCTTCACACAAAGGAGGAGATTTCATACACAGGTATGGACTCAACAAACTTGGTCCAAATCTACATTTGACAGCAAAAAAAAGAAAAAAAAAAGAAAAGAAAAGAAAAGAAAAAGAAGAAGACACCATAATATAATCTATTTTTCTGTGAATAGTTTATCTTAAAGATGAAGCTTGTAGAATACCAAAGGAATCGCAGAGCAATATTTAAGTCTCAAAAAAGGCTTAAATTTTTCGTTCTGGCTTATTGTTAGAGTGAAAGCTCAACTATTTCACTAGACCCTCCTTTGCAAATCCTGCCATCTCATGGACATTTGAGGGAAAACAAGGCAGCTGTGGTTTAGCATAATCTCATGTGTCAGACCTACCAGGTGGAGGGTTTTAATCGAAGTCCATGGCTCTTAAAGAAAATTAATTGCCATATTACTTAGGGAAGTAATCTATTGATTTGTGGAAAATTATTCACAAGCTGGCTCATACTTACTATTTTTGCTCCTGTTGCTGTTGATAAAATTATCATCACCCTGAATATATCAGTATGAATTGAAAAACTAATATAACCACATCAATGTGAAGTTTAAATAATTTATTTAATCTACTGGAGAATGGTTTGGGGACAGGCTGATCATGAATACTGTAAGGAAAATATAAGAGGACTGTCTTTGTAATTTACCAGCTGTTTTTGGAAAATAAGGGTCAAAACAAAAGGATATCAAATTCACCTGTTCTCCCAGCAAATTGAAGTGTTGTTGTGATAAAAGAATCCATAGAAACCTGCTTTTCCTGAGAAGAGTATTTACTCACAATGCAGTTTTTGTAATCAAATCAATCAAAGTTACCAGTTCCAGTCAGTTTCAAGATTTCAAGTAGAGATGTACTTGGCCCTTACAATTAAAAATCAAGAACTCTGCCAGAGAACTTTTAAAAAGCTTGGTAGTCTTCACATCATCCCATTCCCTCTGCATCTACAGTCACTGTAGCTTGCCATGAAGGAAGCATGTGGGAATTGTCAGATTTGCCATTGACGGAATGGATTCCATCCTTAAAGATCATAAAGATCTCAGATCTGACAGAATAAAGGTCAAAATTATTCTCAAACTTAGCAAGCTTTGCTGCCTCCCAGATGTTACAATACTACGGTAATTTTCTGTGCACCTTCCCCTGATATAGATTAGTAAGTCCCAGAAAGTAAAACCCATACACTGTTGCTGGAAGAGAAGAGAATATGCTTTTTAAACACAGTATGCATTCTTTCCTGAATTTTCTGAATCTTAAAATCTGTGCATATTCACATCTTAATCTTTTGGAACTTTTTTTGCTGCTATAGAGTGGTTGCTTGCCATTACTGAAGAAACCAGGCATTATGTAAAACAAATGACAGAAAAGAAATGCCTTCTTCACTGAACAGTGAAATCTTTTAGCCTTAATTAGATTAGGGATCTTATCCATTCTTATCCACTCACTCAGTTTTTTTCTACATGCTCCCCCCATCTTCATCTAGAGTTTTCTTTGCAGACCTTTTGTTAACAGTGATTGAGACTTTGTTCTGTTACTGATGTCACTGTTGTGGAGAAGAACAGCCAAAGAGGATGCAAATGGAATTTAGTGGTTTTGTAGTTGGTTGAATATGGATTTTGAATTTTTCCCATCAGCAGACTTAACTTCACTGCTGGCAGCAGTGGATGAAGTAGAAATAATCTCAAACACTTATGATGGGATCTTGAAACATTTATTGTTTTTTTATTGATTTACAGCCTACTTTAGTTCTGTAATTACATGTCCATTGTCAATAAGTGCAATTGTCTTGTGTATTAACCATGTATTTGTATGATTTTTTTTGTCTTGACAAGAATATTTTTCTTCTAAATGCCACTTCTAAGGATTCTTAAATATACATATACTGTATCTTTTAAGTGCCTGATGTACCAGAAAGGGCTATCATTGAAGAAAGAGTACCAATTTCTCCTCCTAAAAAAATGCCAAGACCACCAGCCAAAGGTATACTGAATGAAGTACTGAAATATGATATAAACCTTTTCTGTGTCCTGTATGTTCCATGTATAGTGAGTACCAATCTGTTTTTTGAGAATTGTTTGTCCTCTGGTATTAATTCTTACTTGCCATTGCCTTGTGATCCTTAGTATTATTAAGATGTATGTGCTAAATTTTAAAATTCTTTTAATTGATATCTTTTTAAGTGCCTGAAGTACGCAAGATGGTTGTCCAAAAAGAAAAGGTGTATATTGAAGTTCCTCAGGATGAGGAGGAAGAAGAGGTTCCACAATATGAAGAAGTAACCAAATATGAGAAGGAAGTAATCCATTATGAGGAAGAAGTCCAACATTATGAAGAAATTAGTCACTATGAGGAAGAAGCTCCTCAGTATGAAGAAGTTCCTCAATATGAAGAGGAAGAAGTCACCCATTATGAAGAAGAATCTGCTTATTATGAAGAGGAAGTTCCTCAGTATGAGGAGGAGGAGGCAGAAATTCCCCAATATGAAGAGGAGGCTCCACCTCCAGTTAGAGGTATACTTTAATATTAGGACTGTGCAAGAATGAGAAGTATCTTCTGTTAATGTAGAATAGTTTTGTCTCAGTGTGTTCTGATGTGCTTCACAGATTGCTCTTTTCCAAGGCTTTTGAGGATTAGGATACAGAGTTGAAAGTGTGCTATATGCTTACACTTCACTACTTCCACAAATTTAAATGTTCCAAGTCATAAATGTTCTTTCCTCTTTCACATGAAGTCTATATAACCAAGACAATTTAATTGGACTTTATTTTGTCCTTGTCAAATTCCACTGTCAGTCTGTGCTTGAAATGTTTAGAATTGCTCGTGAGAAGTGTAACAAAAAAACCCTATATTTTTATCTAGCAAATGGCCAGGGTAATTGAAAATAAGTCATTTAAGAGCACAAGCCTCTGTGAATTCCTCTCAAAATTATTTGAAAATTCTGTAAATGTTGTTAGTGTATTTATTTATGGAAACAAAAGATATTAAAGTTCAATTAAATTGACATATTTCAATCCCCTTAATTTTTAGATATTTTCCTCAGAAATCATGTTTATGTTGATGGTATAAAATTTCAACATTGTTAGAACAGAGTGAACAAGTTATTTACTGTTTAGAGAGGAAAACTAGACCATGCCAAGATCTTAGTAATAAAGTCTTCCTACGTCTTAATATAAAGACGTGGACTATGTCCAGTTTTCCAATATGATGCAATTGTGTAAGAGTACACAAAGCATATTTTCCAGATATGAATCAAATCAACCCATAGTGTTTTTTCCCCATAAGGAAGTTGAAAAAAATTTTTTTAACTAACTAATGAGTAAAAATTATATTTAAAGTTGTTTGCTCTATAATTTTAATAAATTGATTAGTACAATTTTCCTATTAAAGAAAAGGCCATGCTGCACACAGCAAAAGTGAGGTTTCTCCTGAGCTGGAAAATTACGGTTGGTTAAAATTTCTCTTGACTAATCTCAGCAGTTAAAATTAACCTGTATGTGCAGCAGTCTTTCTTCAATATGCTCAGCAAGTGATCATTCTCCTCACATCGACATAAAACTTACATGAATACTTCTGGATTGTGGAGTACAATAACTATTAGTATACATTTTAGTTGAAAGTGCAGTTAAATGGAAAATTTGTGCTTATTTCAGCTGAGTCAGGATTTGATTTGATGCCATTAACCAACAAATTATGGTATGAACTGCTGAGTGCTTGTTATTTGTCCAGTTCTCTGTTGGATTTGAATCAATTGGTAAACTGTGTCCACTTGCTTTTAGCATGTTGGTAGCACTTGGAAAATTTTGAAGAATAAAATGTAATCAGCAATATATATTTGATATATGTGCAAAACTGATGCAGTCAGCATGATCAAGTGTAGCCTGTTGAATGTCTTAGAAGTGTTAGGATCATAGCTTTAGAAGAAAGTAAGGAGAAAAGTGAAACCCTAAATATTAATACTGCACTTAAAGCAAGTGCTTATTACAAAGTTTGTTTTCATCTACTGTTAGCATTTTCATTTGTTCCAAAAATTGAGGAAAGGGTTGAATTTGTATTTTAGTTAGTTTCCCCACTATTATCTTTAATTGGTTCTAAAAAGCCACATCCTGCCTTTCTCAGTCTTTGGATCAACAAGTAAATTCTTGAACTAAAAAAGAAAATGTCTTGGTGGCATCTGTGGCTGATCAGGGAGGATAGGCTGAACAGCAATGAATGTGATCTGTTTTCTGTTTTATTTTGTCTTTGTGCTCAAATCATTTTAAATTATAGCTGTTCGTTTTGGGTATGACTTTGAGATTTATTTGTGTTAGGAATTCTTGCTTGTTTGTTCCTGTTGTTTTGGCAGTAAATATCTAAGACATTAATGGTATCTTTCAAGTGCCTGAGGTGCTCAAGAAGGCTGTTCCAGAGGAAAAAATACCTGTTCTGAAGAAAAAGGAAGTTCCTCCAGCAAAAGGTATATCATCACTTGATGTTAGCAGGCATTCTCTGAATATATAACTTACACCATGTTGCAGATGCTTCACTTGGGCATTATTTTTTCTTTTCTTTTCTTTTGGGAGGGGGCTCTGTTTGATGTGTTTCCGCTGCTGTTTTCTGCTATTCTCTGTTTTGAATAGCTCGTGAGTTATGTTTTAACCAAAATAATCTTTTGAAGTGCCTGAGGTGCCAAAGAAACCTGAACCTGAAAAGAAAGTCCAGGTGCCAAAGAAGAAGGAAGCTCCCCCACCTAAAGGTATAGCAGCTTATAATTATATGTAATCAGAAAGGTCTTCTAGACTTCATTTATCTTCTCACTTGTATTAAGCAAGATGACAGCAAAAGGATTATTGGTCTTAAGAACTGTCATTCTGTGTGTTTGTGTTAAAATGTTTAGTGTTATTGGCTTTTATGTCATGGTGTTGCAGCTGCTTATTCCAGGCTTATTTTATGATAATATCTTTAAAGTTCCTGAAGTGCCAAAGAAACCTGTGCAAGAGGAGAAGGTTCCAATTCTTGTAAAGAAAAAGAAGGATCTTCCACCAGCTAAAGGTATATCAGCTCTTAGCCAAATATTTTTAAAAAGCAAAGTTCTTCGTTCACATGTGTTCTTTAATGTAATGTAGTTTGAAGAGTCTATTCTTGTGTGTTCGTTTTGTCATTCAAATAGATTCATTCAATTTTTATTGATTCTTTGCGTGGTGGTTCAAAAATCAAATTCTTTAATTGCAATTATATCTTTAAAGTTCCTGAAGTACCAAAGAAACCTGTGCCAGAAGAGAAAGTACTTGTCCCAGTACCTAAAAAAGTGGAAGAACCTCCATCAGCCAAAGGTACACCATTTTCTGGTTCAAACAAGTAACCCTAGTTTTGTTTCTCCAGTTTTAGAAGACTGCAAGCAACAAACCCACTCCTCTTCTTAGTGTATTTCATACTGAACCATTCATTGCCCTGTGTGTTATCAGAACACTGTATTGTGACTGTGTTATGTACACTTATGTTGAACATGGGTGATATATTTACTTTACACTTTCTAAATTTCCATGTTTGTGTCATGTATTGTCTCCTTTTTGTGGCTTTTTTTTTTTTTTTTTTTTTTTGAGTGGGGCAAAAGATAATAGCTATTTACAATTCTAAGTTATTTTAAAATACTTGCAGTTTCAAAACCAGCTGCTCTGAAAGATAATGTACCTAAACATCCAGATTTCCCCCCAGCCTTACTACATTGACTTACAATGCAGTCAACTAGTTGTTTATAAATTTATATCTGTGGAGGGATCTGTAGTTGTTATTTTGAGAACAGTTATCATACACAATTAAATGTATCATGTTTGTGTAGTTATCTTAATGTCAGCTACACAGTTATTTTATGTTACACTGAAAATTATTTTCTTAATCAACAATGTCTTTAAAGTGCCTGAAGTGCCCAAGAAAGTTCCAGAAAAGAAAGTACCTGTCCCTGTACATAAAAAGCCAGAGCCTTCACCAGCCAAAGGTATCTCTTCTCATCGGCGAATTTGTGCAAAATGCTTCTTGTTGTTTCTGTATGTTTGTTATTATTATATAACTGTAGTATCATAGCAGATTGTTAAAAATGTACTTGCTAATTTGCACTGTTCAGCTTCTGTATGTTGTCTCTCTGCTTCTGATGTTGTCTATGTACTTGCTAATTTGTGCTCTTCAGCTTCAGTGTAAGTTCTCTCTCTGCTCCTGATATTGTGTCTAAGTTTCTTACAATTAAATACTACCTCAGAAGTGCCAGAAATACCAAGACCTGCTCCTGAAGAGGCACCTACTTTTATTCCTGAAGAAGAGGAAGAAGAGGAAGCTATTCCAGAAATACCAGTAAAAGGTACAACATTCCTTCCTGAAAATTACCTGAAAGCTCTGTTCAGTTCATCAGATCTTCATCTCTAGTGATTAAGTTGGGTGTAAACTTTAATTATTCTTTTGAAGGAAGTTTTCTTCATCTTATGGTTGTTTGTGACCCTTGTTCTGTATTTTTTTGTAGCTGTGTAGTAGTTGTGATGTTCTAAATGTAATAGAAAAATTCTTATCAAAACAATATCTTTTAAGTGCCAGAGGTGCCCAAGAGAGCTGTACCAGAAGAAAAAGTACATGTTGCAGTTCCTAAAGTAAAGAAAATTCCTCCAGCTAAAGGTATATCATTTTGCAGTGTGTGAAGATAATTCTCTTTCCTTATATTTTCATGTTGCAGTAGAATCGGTTTATAGTCATGTGAAGCCACATCCCAGGTTCTAGCACACTGCTACTCCACTGTAGATAGTGGAGTGCTAGATCTCAGGTAAGGCTTCCGTGGGCTGAGAAATCTGGTCTTGAATGATTTATTTGTTTTCAATTTTAAATGTTTGCCATGAATTAAAGAATTCATTGTGATATTGTTAGTGGGAATTCATCTTCCTGACTCACAATGTTTCAACAAAGTACCTGAAATAATGTCCTGTGGGACTTTATCTCAAAATTCTTCAATTCATGGAGATCATTCTGACATATATTTTGAAAGTGTATGTTATAGTCTCAAGCCTACTAACTAATACACACAAAAAAGTCAAAACACAGTTGGCTCTGTAAGTAACCAGAAGATGGATCCTAAATGCAAAATTTGATGTGGAAGCAGATTACTCAGAACCTCTTCTTCAAAGCTGAGCAAAGTCTACCTAAGCAGCTGAGTTTTTAGAACAAAATTGAAAAGAAAACAATTATAGGATATGTGTTAGAAACTAAAAAAATCTACAACCACTCATTTGCAGTTTACATTGGTAATACAGTTGGTAATAATTAAGTATAAGAATTAGGCGAAAGCAAATTCTCACATAATCTCATAATCAAATTGCTATTTTCATAAAAGGAATGGAAAGTAATGAATTGAGTTTCCCTTGTGTTACTTACTGTTATAGTAACTATCTTAGAGTTGGTGTCTTTTTGTTCTACGTCATCAATTTTTCTTTGGAACATTGCAAAAGTTCTTAATATCTTTTAAAGTGCCTGAGGCACCAAAGAAAGTTGTGCCTGAAGAAAAGGTTCCTATGTTTATTCCTGAGAAAGAAGAAGAGGAAACTATTCCAGAGAAAACCATACCAGCAAAAGGTACAACACTGCTTGCAAGTTATCCATGAGATCTTTTGACTTAATTAATGTACTTCATTTCTTTTTCTGAGCTCTACGTAAATCTTAACTGTTGTATTGGTGAGTTTGTGGTCTTGTTTCATGTTTCTTAGTGTCTTCAGTGTTCTGAAAGTAGTTTTAAAATTTGTTTGCAAAATAATATCTTTAAAGAGCTGGAGATTCCTAAGAAACCTACTCCAAAAGAAAAAATACCTGTGCCCACTCATGACAAAATGGACCTTCGTCCAGCAAAAGATATATAAATTAATAACTAGGAAAGCTATCTCTTGTTGTTCTCATTCAGTAGCAACATTTGTTTTATGCTGCTTGTTACTTGTGTTATTTTTGTGTCCTTATTGTCTTTCTGTATCAATGTCTCAGAGTGCCTATCAGATTCCTGACAAATAATAATCTCCAAAACAATTTAACTTCTTCAAAAAGTCTGCCCATGTCCTTTATTGTTATTTCTTTATGTATATGTATATATATGTTTTTATGTATATATCTATGTTTTTTGTAGTCTTACTGTTACTTCTGGTTGATGACATTCTAAATTGAAAATATATCTTTAAAGTGCCTGAGATGCCTAAGAAACCTGTTCCAGAAGAGAAGGTACCTGTTCCTAAAAAGGTGCCGGTTCCACCAGAAAAAGGTATTGCATTTGTAAATGCTCTGTTGTTGATAGATAGCATTCTTCATACAAGCTGAGCTTAGCACAAGACTTTTTAATATGTCTGTGTTGTACTGAGTTTGTCACTTCACTGTTCCTTTCTGTACACTGTTGAGTTTCTGTTCTGCTGTTGGAAAGTGTCTCGGTTTGTGTCTATTTAAAAACTGTGCAACAAGAACACTGAAGTCAGGTTATATCTTTAAAGTACCCAAGGTGCCTAAGAAAGTTGTTCCTGAAAAGAAGGTACCTGTTGCCCCTCCTGAAAAAGTGGAAGTTCCTGCTGCAAAAGGTACACGTGCTCCAGATCATTTGTATTCATGCTAAAAAGACTCTTGAGCTTCTTCTTTCTAACTTTTCTCTGTTGTATGAGATTTCTGCTCTGATTTACGTTAAAACTCTTATCACTGTTTGCATTGTGAAGTCATTAAGCTGTTTATTGTCCATGTGTTTGTTTTTAATTATATTGCTTTAAGTTTTTCCTTCTAATTGCTAAAAGAAAATCATATCTTTAAAGTCCCTGAGGTGCGTAAAAGAGATGTTGCGGAAGAGAAAGTACCAGCCATTGTTCCCAAGCCCAAAGAACCACCTCCAAGTAAAGGTACAGATACTTTTCTTTCTTCCAAACTTTTTTTTTTCCTCTTCCTTCCTAAAATCTTCTGGAATATGTACCATTTCTGGAGCATATTCTTAAATTTTGAAGTAAATAGTGCTTGTGGTTATCACAAATATTTTCTGTTCTGTATGGATGGTTTTGTCCAACTGTAAATGAAATGAAATAACTGTAAGTGTACTAACAATAATACCATCTCTAAAGTGCCTGAAATACCCAAGAAACCCATTCGGAAAGTCCCTGCTCCAGCTCCTGTTCCTGCAGCAGAGAAATATGAATATGCATATGAAGAGTATGAGAAGTATGAGACGTATGAAAGTATTGAAGAATTTGAGGGGGTTCAGGAAACTGAAGAAATTGAAGCATACGAGGAACCTGAATTACCTGAGAGATACAGAGAAATCCAGGAACAGGAGTATGAACTGGAGGCTGAAGAGAAGGAAGATATCTATGAGAAGTATGAGTTTAGGGAGAAAGAAGAAATCTATGAGAAATATGAGGAAGCATATGAGGAAACTTATGAAATCCCACCAGCTATAGGTACATCATGTCATGATTTCTTTATTCTTATCATTGCTGTTTAAGCTACTGCTTAAGCCTCCTTCTTTATATTTTTCCCCATTTGTACTACTCTGTCTGCAGCTGATGATGATAAATCCATTCCCTATTACTAAGGAATTCTTTCCAGAGTGGAATGGAAAGATTGAACCAGTGTAGATGTGATACGAACAAAGTAAATGATACTTTTCTGATGCAATTCAGCTCCAATCTGGATTCAATACTGTTATGTATCAATGTGTTTCTTTTGTACATTTTAGTTCCAATGAATCATGGAGCTGTTAAAATTCAAGCAAGGCTTTCCTTCTTTTATATGTGTGATTATACGATCATAGGATCCACCATGCCAATCAAAACTGTATCTGAAATGTACCAGAAAGATGTACACTTATATTCCTTAGCTACCATCAAGTTCTGAGACTAGTGGTTGTTCTCTTGATGGCATAGATAATTATTCTAAATTAAGTGATTATTCTGCTTTCTGTCTTTGTATCTGTTGTAATTCCTCAAAACTAACTTAAAATCCCTATTGAAATATTTCTTAAAGAACCCGAGGTGCCTAAAAGACCTCTGCCAGAAGAAAAAGTACCTGTTCCTGTTCCAAAAAAAGAAGCTCCGCCAGCTAAAGGTACATGAGCTTTAAGAGGAATTTGAAAACGCAGACTTCTGTCTTCTCAGAATCCCCAAAAGCAGTAAATTACCTATTCTGATTTGACAAATACCTTATTTTTTTCTCAGTACTGTCAAAGGCTGGGATTAAGGTACTTAATTATTAAAGATGAATACCTATTTAACAAATCAAAACTTGGACAAATTCTTTCTGAGGGCAAAGGCATTTGGAGGATGACCTCCAAGATTTAATTTTTGCTGTCAGAGTATTAACAACATTTTATATCTAAGTATTGAAAACAAGTAGATGTATAAATTAAAAGAAGTCTGTCAAGCAGTCAAGCCATTTTCCCACAGAATCCCAGAAGACAATTACTTTCTTCAACCTAACTATATGCTGGAGTGGATTTGATACTGATATGTGTTCTCAGTGTCAGTCTCCACAAAGACTGTGTTATGAACAGCAATGATCAGCGCATGTTAGAAGAGTTCCTGTTGTAATTCAGAGTTCTTTACTTTTCTCTTCAGAGCTCTTAATTTGCGAGAAACTCACCTTGTGGTCAGTTTTTTATTAAGGCCAATCCCACTCTACTGAGTTTACCAAACAGCTGTGTGAATCCATGCAAAACAGATGAGGAGGATAGCTCTTAAGGTTACCACTCAATAGCAACCAAAGGCACTCTAATTTGTGTTTTTCTAATTCAAACTGTTCTTTTCTGACTCATTGCACTGTTTGCATTTTTTTTAATGCTTATTCTTATGTACTGTTACTACTGCAAAAATACTTAAAAACGTTACAAATGTCTTTAAAGTGCCAGCACTGCCAAAGAAACCTGTTCCAAAGGAGAAAGTACCCGCTGTTCCTAAAAAGGAAACGGTTCCAGAAGGTATATTTCCTCTGTGTTGTCCTCACTGAGTCATGAACTCTGATTTCAGTCTTTTGTTTTCATTATTCGTTGAGAAATACGTATCTGTGTTTTATGTCTCTAAGAAGCTCTACTCAGTTGTTTGTGATTGAGTCATTTTTGGCCTGTTTGTTTCAAGTCATTTGTTGAAAAGACATGAGTGTTGCTTTGAAAAATATGTGCCTCATTCTTTAAGTTCTTTTAAGTTCAGCTAAAACTAAGTCTGTCTTTCAAGAAAATGTTTTAAGTATGTTATTCTTCTGTCTAATCTTCAGAATTAACATAAATATTCTGTCAAGAAGCATTTAATCCTTCGTTGCTTTATGAATCTGTCTTAGATTTGCTTTTTTTCTAACTTCTTCCAAATAACTTTAAAAGCCCTAAAAGGAAATAAGATCTTAAAGGGCTGGCTGTTATCAAAAGAGCTGTCCCTGAAGAAAAGAAACCTACACGTGCATCTGAAATGAAAGATAAAGGAACCTTAGCTATGAGATTTTTTGGAAAGGAAAAATTTTGGACTGTTTTTTCCCAACTAATATCTTCTAAAATGATCCTCGTGTTCTTTACACCATGAGAATGGTGTAATTTAGTCCCTAGCTGTTGCTTCAGCTCTAAGTGCTCTCTCATTCAGATATTCTGTATGTTTGCTATACATGTGCTAGACAGAAATATGATGATTTATGAACAAAAAAACATGTTGAGTAGTTACTCTACTTACACTATCCAGACATGAAAACTTAATTTTTGTGATGTAGATGTGAATTTAGTTTAAACTGGGAGTTTAAAGCAAGTATAATAGTAATGATATTCCTAGAGAACTAATAGCACAAGAGCTAGTAAGTTCAAACCACTGATGTTGTCACGTGTGTCAGAAAGAAAGGCAAGACCGAGTGAGAAAAGCAAATGGCATATGCTTTTTGAATGCAGAAACAATATGTTTTCTACATAATTCGTTGTTCCAGCAAGACAGTTCTAGATGGAATGTTTCTTTCATCAAAATGCTCAGTATTTGGGAATTCAGAGAAACTTTGTTATCTGGATTGATTTCTCTTTGGGATTTTAAAAATTGAAAATTATTTTGAAGTTACTAAAAGAAAGCTAATATCTTTTCAAGTTCCCAAGATTGATAAGAGAGCTGTACTTGAAGACAAAATACCCATCTTAATTCCTAAAGAAGATGAGGCTCCTTTATATGAAGGTACATCAGTGATACATCTACTGAGCAGTAAATTGCAGAGAATTCTTTGGTTCACATTCTAGGTTGTTTTATAAAACATGAGTCATTTTCAGTTCATTTTGTTGTAATTAGTTGTAAGTAATTTCCATGAGTATCTTTGAGACTCTCTCTGCCTCCAACATTTTGATATAATTTTTAACATTTTTCTTTTCTCTGCTGGGTGAAATAAATGTAAATAAGAGAGAAATTAAACTTCTGATCCTGGAAAACACGTTCAGCTGTATTAGAACAAAAAAAGAAAAAAAAAACCCACAAATAAAACAGAATGAAGCAAATGCTGGCTTAAGAGTTGATCTGAGTATGACTTAAATAATGAGCTGGAATATAAATGCTTAAGTCCAGATATGGGTGTGGGAAATTCAACTGAAATACAGTATTGCATCTAAAATGACAAATAAATAATTAGAAAATATAATGAAATATTTTTATAAATTTGTATTCTACACATTGGGAATGACCATTTCTAATAAGTGTAGGCAAACAATCAGGTTGAAATTAGATATTTAAATAATTTATGTTCAGTTATTTGTCTGTATTTGTCTCTGCATTTTACACGTTCTTTCTAATCTTGTCTTGTACATAATATTAAAATATGTAAAATATGCTAATATCTTTAAAGAGCCAGAATTTTATGAAGATCTTCCAACAGAAGAGCTCCCTGCTATTATTCCTATTAAGCCAGAAGCTCCAGCACCTAAAGGTACGCTGTTAAAACCATATATATGTAAACCAACATGCATAATAATAACCTACAAGTCAGCTATTCATACCATCATCACTCTGTCTTTGCTGCAGTCACTTAACGTTCTCATTCTAATGTTTCATTAGTTACTATGTGTCTGTCATTTGTTCTTTGTTTTGTTACTTACATTTTGTTAATGTTCTTAAAAATGTAATATCTTTGAAGCACCTGCAGTGACAAAGAAAGCAGTTTCACTTAAGAAAATACCTGCTGCTGTGCCTAAAGAAGAAGCTCCTCCACCTCAAGGTATATGATCTCATAATGGAATTTTTTCTAATCTCTTTAAAAATTGAGATATCAAGTGAGAAATCCATCATGAATCTTTTTACTGAACAGCGATAGGAAGTGCTGTACGCAGTTTTCCTCCATTTCATCTCTTATTGTATGAGCAATTTATGTTCTGAGGAAGAGAACATGCATACCAGGGGGGTTAAAGGAAATCGTTTTGCTAACACAAAGAAATACAAAATATTTCAGTAGCACTTTTCACAGGTTAAATTAACGAGCGCTTACCAATGCAGTAATTCATCATTTAGGAGAACAAATTCCATATACTCTGTAATTATTTATTTTTTTGTCTTCTATTAGGAGCTGCACAAACACATTGATACATTTTGCATCAAGAACTTAAAATTTAAACAGACAAAATTATTTAAACTTTCCCACAGCCCAAAAATGTTATCAGTCATGTTATCAGGGAGTTCACTGCAGAGCCAAGGATCAACCTCATTTTTTGACTGCTAGTCACATTTCTTTTCCCAAACTACGTTCTCTGACAATGTCTTAAAACTAAATAAACAAAGAAATGCAGCGACAAATCTGCAAAGGTCCCAGAAGCCCTCTTTCCAGTTATGTCAGGAGCTCTGTTGAAGACTATGACTTCAATTCAGACAAAAATTACAAAGCCCTCCAGATATTTTTACAGAAACGTAGCTTAAAAAAAAAAAAAAAGCGCAACATTTGTTATCTTTGCAGAGATTACCAAATTCAGACTTGTAAGTGCCAGGAGTTACAAAAACAGAAATGCATAAACTTAAGTTGTCATATTGTATTCACAGCTTAATGCCTTGCATTTTTATGTTTTTTTTGTAGTAGGATTTTTGTTGTTTTACAAACTGTGCAACTTATTTCCTAGTGCAAATTTGTAAAATAAAATATTTTTAAATTTCTGAAGTACCAAAGAAACCTGTCCACAAAGAAAAAATACCTCCTGCTCCAACAAAAGAAGAAGCTTCACATCTTAAAGGTACAAAATATTTTAAGTGGGATTCAAAGAATAAGAGATCTGTTTTCATATATCTATCTTAAACAATTTTGGGAGTATTTTATGCACCACAACCTGTAGCAGCCACAGTATAAACCTGAGTAAAAAATAAAACTCACCTGGATTTGTGCTTCAGGGAAAAAAAAAAATTGTTAGCTTAGTTTTGCAGCAAATGAAGGTAGGAACCCCCAAGGAAAAATAATAATTAAAAAACAGACAAATTGGAAAAGTTAGAGTGGTCTAATCGAGAAAGTAGATCAGTTAAGGACATGTCACACGTCTTCTGTTAATGTGCAGAGCTCTTATTGTGGCAGTATAGAAAGTCATAGTTGTTTTTTTTCCCCCTTATTCCAAATACACCTGATTTTTAGTGTAGATGTAAGATAGAGCTGTGCATATTAAGATGAGCTTGTACATTTGATTTCTTTGTCTTTCTTACTGTCTTGTCTGAAGATGTAATTCTATGTTAACTTTAAAATTATACTAATATCTTTCAAGTACGTGAAGTTTATGAGGAAATATATGTAGAAGAAGAAATTTCCACTGTTCATAGAAAAGAGGAGGCTTCGACACCTAGAGGTATATGAACTTCTTGATCATCTCTCATCTGCAATTTGGTCATTGATCATCTGCAATTGATTATCTGCAATTTGCAAATTGATGACCTTCAAGAAAAATTTAATTATTCATGTTCATAGTTTAGATCTCGTTCAATATAATTAATATTTGTGTTCATTCTTTTTGTTCGTTACTTGCATTTAATACAGGCTTTTTTTGTATGACTTGTTTTTCTGTTCTGTAAAAATTCTTAAAATGAACTAATATCTTTAAAGTGCCTGCATTTGTGAAAATTGCTCCTGAAGTGCCTCTTGCTGTGCCTAAAAAACCAGAACCTACTCCTGTGTCTAAAAAGCCAGAATCACCATTTAAAGGTACTATAGTAGTCCAGTTAAACCTAGGCCTTGTCAACTTTCGCTCATATTTTGTGTTTCTTACTCGTTTAATAGTTAGTAATCAACTTGTGTGCAATTTGTGATGTTGTTTGTCAGTTTTCGTGTTTCTCTACTAGTCTTATTTATTTGTATGTATACTTTAAGTCATAAAATTAAAAACAGTAAATATCTTTCAAGTGCCTGAAGTGCCCACAAAAGTTATCGCTGAAGAGAAGCCTGTCCCTCTATCTAAAAAGCCAGAAGCTCCACCCGCCAAAGGTATAGGCCAACATATCCTTTCTTACTCCTTTTTCTTTAGCTTTCTTCTGTCTTGTTTTGCTCTTGTCCAAATGTTGAAAAATAGTTCAATTTGGCTATTTCTTCTATCCAAGAACAAGCCGTTGCAGTGGTACAGAAATTATATCAGAAAATTATCAGAAGGACTAGTAGTAATGAGAAAAACTTTAGCTGAGTCAATAGGCAGCAAGATTTACAAAATAAGCATTTTCATTTTATGGATATTAATATATACTTAAACAGCTTCAGAAATTCCACAATACTCAAGCAAGAAATCTCTGTTCTCTTTCACATTGTTCATGTTAAACTTATTGATTCATTTTTGAATAGAAATAGCATTTGGCTATTGAAAACATTAGAAATACAGAAATACAATATAGAAATGAAAACATTTCTAACAGTTCATTCAGGTATTTTGGAAGGCTGTTTGAATGAGCATTTTGTGTCATATGTCACTACTGCATGACAAAAGTCTCCCAGTTAAGCTGCTTCAAGCCATTCTTTGTCAGAGTAGAACAAGTGCAACTGTTTTGAACATATAAGTGTTGTCAGACTGTCCTTTCATATCTACTTGTTCTATCTTACTTCCATGTGTTGTGTGTTTTATTTTTCTAATTCCCAAAAGTGCATATCTTTCAAGTATCCACGCTACCTGAGAAATCTGTCTCAGAAGAGAAGGTACCTTTTGCTGTACCAAAAAAGACAGGAACACCACTTAAAGTCTATATGTCAACAATGGTTAAACTCTGAGAAGATTTCTCTTTCTCTTGGGCAGAGGTGTTTACATTAAAATAAAATTCATCCTTTCTCCCTTATTTATAAACATTCCTATAGAATGTAGTAATATACAACATTTCCTGCATTGCACATCTAATTTCAGATTCGTTCTTATGAATCATTCTGCTATTCTTCTTGTGACGCTCTTCTAAATAGTTTACTTTAAATGCTTTAAAAATAACAAAAATAAATGCTGTTTTCTTTAAAGTGCCAGATGTGCCTAAGAAAATTCCAGAAGAGAAAGTACCCATCACTGTGCCGAAAAAACCAGAACCAACACCAGCCAAAGGTATATATAGAACTACAGTTTGGAAGAAAAGACCACTAACATGATTGTTTCAACTAGTTTCTGTTGTTCTACTATATTTATTTTCTGTGGTCATACTTCTAGTATGCTACTGCTTTGAAAAATCTCTTCTTTGGAGTGTGATTAGTGTACTAGTGAGTTTAGAATGCTCATATAATTGGGCAGTTATGAGACTGATTCTTGAATACCGTGGCAGAAATCTTTAAGGAAAAGCAGTGCTTCTGTAATCTGAAATACTGTTGACTAACAGTAAAAAGGAAAAAAAATAATAATTAGCTCCAGAAGAGTGTTTAAGAACATCAAAGTACAGTGTGATCCAGATGTCTAACACAAGGGAAAAATCTATATTGACACAGAGACAAAATTATCATGCATAGAACATGACATAGAATATGACAAAGAAAGCAGACTGGACAGTGGCAGCCTTAGTCAGAGATTAGAGATGCTGTTGACTTAAGTGGAAAAGTTATTTTATGCAGAAGAATGCATTTAAGTCTGCCACATCCCCGATCTCCACTTGTCTAAAGCTTCTAAAGGCTCTGAAATGCTACCTCAGACTTTACAGGGACACTGAGTACTAACCTTGTTTTAGTAAAAATGTGATTCCATTAAGGCTTTTCCTAATTTGTGGTTTTACTTAAAAATTTTGAACATAGCTGTGAAATTCTATAAAATATCTGTAAATCATCTCTTTCCTTAAAGAGCCTGAAGTGCCGAAGAAAATAGAAGAGAAAATCAAAATTGCTGAGCCTAAAAAGCCAGAAGTACCACCAGCTAAAGGTACCTGACATTAATAAATACATGAAAATAATTTTTTTCCTTTCACTGATAAGATCTTTTTGATACTATTTATCCATATTTTTTACTTCATAAAATGTGAGCTTATATATTTAATTTTGGGGAACAGACTCTTTTCCCCTTGATATGTTCAAATGTATCCCAATCAAAATTGAGAGCAAAAGGTCTCTTTGGTAAAGGATATTATGTCTGCTTGATGCTCCTTGGTGTCCTTTTGCTTCTGTCTTTTTTCCATTTAATTACATTCAAATTTATTCAGATATTAATATTAGCATTAGTATTAATTTTAAGGTGCCAGAAGTGCCCAAGTTGCAGAAAAGAAAATACCAGTTGTGGAGCCTAAAAAAGTGGAAGTGCCACCAGCTGAAGATATTTGCCATTGTGAAACAAAATAACAGAATGGGAAATATCACCCTTTATTGTTTTAACATTGTAGAAGACAATACGCAAGACCTTTGTGGGATTTTCTTCTTTTGTTTAAGCTTAAGTGAACAAATGTTTTGATTTTTATTATGAGAAAAAGTATCTATATATCTTGATAATTGGTGAACTCCCTAGTACAGTTATGCTATTGTGCTTTAATGCTGTTTATGAAATTATCATAGAAAAAGTTAATAATATTTTTCAAGTGCCTGAGGTACCAAAGAAAGTGGTCCAAGAAGAGATTTCAGTTAAAGTACCAAAGAAACCAGAACCTCCACCAACTAAAGGTAACTGCTGTACATGATGAATTAAAGAAATACCCTTTGTTGTCTAGAATGTGATTTTAGTAAATTTATTTTCTGTAATTATAAATAGTCAATATTTTTTGTTGATTTTGTTGTAGTTTTTATATGTGAGAGACAGAGAAGCATAGAAGTTAACCTTTTTGTTAAGCAAAAAAAAATTGCCTCAGAAAATTTTCTATAGCCAAAGAAAAATAAATGATGCTCATAACGAAAACCACTGTTGTTTTTGATGTCCACAAGTTTTATTTTTGTCATGTCCAAAGTGCTAAGGAACTGTTTAAATTTCTTACGAATAACATAAGTTACTTTCTTTTAAGTGCCTGAGGTACCCAAGAAAGTGGTTCCAGAAGAAAAAGTACATGTTGAAGTTCCTAAGAAACCAGAACCTCCACCACCTAAAGGTACATGTTCAGTACTGATAAAATTGCACAGAAATTTTAATTAGTTTATCTGAATACTATCTTTTAAAGTCTGTGTTATCCTTTGCTATATTCTTACACGCATAAGTGTTATAGTTTGTGTTGTCTTCTTCCCTTATGAATAACTCTCAGTAACAGTGGCTATTACTGGTGCACATTAAAGAATATTAAAAACACATAGACTGTTTATAAGAGGGTTTTTTTTTTTTTTTCTGATAATGTTATCCTTTGAGCTATATTAAATTACAATTCTTAAAATTTCTGAAAGTAAGCAAATACGTATTTTTAAAGAACCTGAGGTGCCAAAGAAGATTGTTCCAGAGAAGAAATTACCAGAACCTGTGGCTGTACCTGAAAAACCAGAACCTCTACCAGAGAAAGGTAAGTCTCAACGTTAGTAGAACAATAAAAGCAGTATTTTTCCCCTTTTCTTTAAACTAATTTACCAGGCCTTCTGATTCTGAGATTTCAAATTGTATTTGTTCTATGTATCTGGATATGTTTGTGAAACATGCATAGGTGGATCGTTTAGAAGAATAGTGACAAATTTTGAATGTGTGAATTACTTGTCTTCTTTGCTCAAAATCATCTTACTATTTTGGATTATTCCTACTGTACTACTCACTACCTGCTTTGGTTAATAAAAACAGCGATAACTAATATCTTTGAAGTGGTAGCAGCAGAAGAAAAGTATCCATTCTAGCAGCTAACAGCAGACCATGTCAATGTTCTTGAAATACCAGAAGGTCTACCAAGAAAAGCAATATGCCATCACTCAATTCTTGAGCTTCAATTTCTATTATTAATATCTGTTAATAATAATACATGCAGTATTACTAATATCTTTTGTCCTGCACACTTTGTTTATAAATACTGTGATTTTTTTACTTATAGTGTAAATTACACTATCTGTTCATATATACCTCCACATATGGTGACATGAAATGTGTGTGTGTATGTATTTGAAAAGAAAAAAAAAACTGTGTTATATTTATCATTAAAACTAACATAAATGCTTGACAATTTTTTAATGTTTTCATTACAATTGTGCTTTTATGTATTTTGATTTACTTGAAGTTATGTGTTTGAGCAATCATTAAACTTAGAACTAATATCTTTTATATATGTGAAGTGACCAAGACAACTGTCCCAGACAAGAAAGTACCTGTTGCTGTTTCTCAAAAAACAAAGGCCATTGCAAGACCCCCCAAAACAAAGCCGTTTGTGGCACCTCAAGAACTAGAACCTGTGCCAGTAGTGCAAAAAGCAGAGCCTGATATGTTGCCTGAGGTTACAGGGCCTTTTGTGGCACCCCAAAAATCAGAGCTGTTCGGGATAGCAGAAGAATCTGAGACTGTTTTGGTACAACAAAAAACAGAACTTGTTGTGGCATCTGAGGAAGCACGGACAGCTGTGGCAGCCCAAAAAGCAGAGCTTTTAGTGGCAGCAGAAGAGTCTGAGACTGTTTTCCTACAACAGAAAACAGAACTTGTTGTGGCACCTGAGGAAACAAAGCCAGCTGTGGCAGCTCAGAAAGCAAAACTTTTTGTGGCAGCGGAGGAGTCTGAGACTGTTTTGGTACAACAGAAAATAGAACAGATTACATCTGAGGAAACGAAGCTGGCTGTGGCAGCTCAAAAAGCAAAACTTTTTGTGGCAGCGGAGGAGTCTGAGACTGTTTTGGTACAACAGAAAATAGAACTCGTTACATCTGAGGAAACAAAGCCAGCTGTGGCAGCCCAAAAAGCAGATATTTTTGTGGCAGCAGAGGAGTCTGAGACTGTTTTGCTACAACAGAAAACAGAACTTGTTACATTTGAGGAAACAAAGCCAGCTGTGGCAGCCCATAAAACAGAGCGTTTCTTGGTGCCTGAGAAACCAGAGTTTGCTGTGGTATCTGAGGAACCCAAGCCTGATGTGGCACCTCAAAAGCTAAAGCGTGGCGTGGTGCCATCAAAACAAAAACGTGTTGCTGAACCCCAAAAACCAGAGCCATTCATGGCCCCTGAGAAACCTGAGCTCACTGCAGCACTTGATAAGTCAGAGACAGTTGCAACATGCCAAAAAACAGAGTATGTTGTGTCCCCCAAAAGCAAACCTTTGGTGGCACTCCAAAAACCAGAACTTATTGTAACACTTGAAGAAACAGAGTTTGCTGCAGATTCCCAAAAATCAAAGATGGTTGTGGCACACCATGAGCAAGCACCTGTCACAGTGCCTGAGGAACCAGAACCTCTTTTGGCAGCCCAGAAACTAAAGCATTTTACAACAATTCAAAAGCCAAAGCCTGAAGTGGCATTTGAGGAAATAGAACCTATTTTGGAACCTGAAGAACCACCACTAGCCAAGCTGGTCAAAAAGTCAGAGATTGTTGCTGTACATAAAAAACAAGCTGCTCCACGACCAAAAGGTATATCTTATGAATAGGAAGTCTTTTTCTTGAATGTAGTATGATTCAATGCTCATATTAGAGCTTAAATGCATAACTAATATATACTAATATCTTTAAAGAACCAGTAATGCCTCAGAAGGCTGTCCCAGAAGAGAAAGTTCCTGTAACTGTTCTGGAAGAATCAGAACTTCCATCAGCCAGAGGTACATACAGTCATGAATATGCAAATACACATAATCTTCTCTTAAGCACTGTTTTAACCTCTTTGGTTCTGTCCTTTTTAATGTGAGATTTTAAATGGCGCTTGCCACAACAAATTGCACTGAGCATGAGTGTGTGACAGATTGTTTCTTAAGAACATTTCTCATCCTCTGTGTTTCAGTCTGTGTATTTATATTTAGATGTATTGTAAATGTAAAATGAACTAATATCTTTGAAGTGCCTGAGATGCGTGAGAGGGCTGTCCCAACGGAGAAAGTGCCAACTTCTGTACCTAAAAAACCAGGAACTCCACTTGCTAAAGGTATATGCAATGGTGAACCCCATCATTATTATGGTGGGTTTCTTAATTTCTGAGTTACTTGGAAATCTCATTTTAAATTGATCTTTTACTGTCATAATCTGGTATCTACCATGTTGGAGTCATGTACAAAATGTGAACCGCAATGAAAATAGTTCAAATGTATTTCCTCAGAATATTCAGGAAAAGAGATTTTCCAGGTGAAATACTGAAAAATTATTTAAGTAATATTAAAAATCTGAATACACTATAAATTAATGTAATGCTATTCCATTTCATTTTTTTCACAAATTCCCAAGCAAAGGCCAGAGAAATATGTTTTTTCTGTCATTGTGTTTTGATTCCCTCAAAACACAGTGAGAATCCTCATGTGAAGTACCATTTCACAGTGATGGAATGAAAGGCATAAAAATATATTTAATGAATACAAAAATACACAAATGTAAGAAGCATCAAGTAAAAAGATGATGCAGACAGCCAAAAGTTACCACATAAAACAAAATCATGAGTAACATGCTAAAGACATTGAAGTGCACCCATTCTCCATACATTGGACTTTGATCAGCTCATGCAAAGACAGTGTAGGCTTCCCACCCTCTCTCAAAAACTGAAGCTAAACAAAGAATTCCCACCTCCTGCGTGACATATTTGACACCCTGCACATTCCACAGGCTTGAAGCAAAACATCACTGTCAACCAACTGTAGACACAACAGTTTCTCAGGAAAGACTGTGCATGAATGTTACTGATTGTCTGTTAGTCTCGTCTAGGTCTGTACAACCCACTAAACTAGAATATACTAATATCTTTAAAGTGCCCAAGGTGCCCAAGAAAGCTGCTCTGGAAGAGCCCGTGCCAGTAGCTGTGCCAAAAAAGCCAGAACCAGCACCAGCCCAAGGTACATGTTGCCGTGAACATTATCAAGCAGAATCTTGCTGCTGATTACCTGATGTTTTTCAGTACTGCCACTGTGTGCGAATTGGGAACTCAGTTACCTGGTACTTCTACACACAACCCAAGGGATATTTTGAATTTATTGTTACATTTTCAAATTCTGAATCACCAGGCAGAAAAATTTCGATTTTTAAGAGCATAGCATTATCAGAATAGCACCAAACTTTATCGTCTTAAATTGAGACAGCAAAAGGTCTTCATGACTCAGTGACTGTCTCAGTGACCGTGTATTGTAAGCACAAGTCTTTCAAAATGAAAAGCCTGTTTTTATTCAGAAATGCACATACAGTGTGAGTCGGAAGAAGTGATGCCTTAGTAAGTGCTGAAAGAATAATTAGATACTTTGAGAGAATGCAATGGAGGAATGATTTATAAAATCCAAGTGTGGGAGTTGCTGCAATGAGGAGAGGACAGAAAGAAGAAATAAGATAGTGAGAGTGAAATGAACCAGTAGAGTGAAAAGTGTAAACAAGGACTGGAAATGCAGAAGGAGAGAAAGAGAGATGAAGGAATAACAGGGGGATTTGCGTTCCTACACCGCCTATGACTGTAGATAAGAGATGGGCTGAGGCTGTTCCCAAGGTGCTAACAGAGCTGAAAGTGGCAGTTTCTCTTTGTGGATAAGGAAGGCTGCAGAGTATGCAGAGGAGTATCCTCACTCACACTTTGCCCTTGCGTAACATCAACTTAACCTAACTACAGATGTTCTGCATCTGTGTGTGCTTGTGTGAGAGAGTGAGAAAGGGATGGGATTCATACCAGGAGGCCAGCTTGTTTATTTTCTTGCGCGTACCTTTGGTTTAGGTTTCATTGTTTGTCGTCCTGTATAGTATGTCAAACTGATGGTTACTAATATCTTTAAAGCGCCTGAAGTGCCCAGGAAGGCTGCTCGAGAAGAAAAAGTACCTGTGGTCACTGCCAAAGCACCTGAGCCTCCAGCAGCCAGAGGTACCTGACTTGGTGGATAACTTGACAGAGAAGATACTTAATCTGCTTCTCTTGAGCGTTGTCCTGCTCTCTCTTGGCCTGTCTTTGTTTTAAATCTGAGACTCTTGAAGCTGTGAATGTTGGGTAAACTGTGCAGCAGCGTCTGAGGTTTTGGTCTCGCTTTTGTGATGTTTAGCGTCTGCATTGCCCTGGTGTTTGTTCCTGTCTGCCCAGTCTTTTCATCACTGTAAAATGAACCCCACTAATATCTTTGAAGTGCCTGTGATGCCGGAGGCAGAGGTCCTGGAAGAGGAAGAGGAAGAAGAAGCACCGGAAGAGGCAGTACCAGTGGCAGAGCCTGAAGAGCCAGAAGCTGCTCCAGCTGAAGGTATACCGTGGTGTCCTGGAAGTGTCTGTCCTGCTCTCTGCAGGGCTGATGCAGTGCTGACTGCACTTCTACCCTCTGCCTTTCATGGGGAGGGATGTGAGCTGCATTTAGCCACCTTGTGTTTGTACATGCCCGTTTGGGCCTATGGCAGGGGGTGGTGCTGATCTGGGGCATGCGCCCTGCCATGAGCCCTCTTAGTCACTTTGCTGCAAGCAGTCCACCTGGAGGAAGCGTGGATGGTTGAAGAAGACTGCCTGTAGCATGCCAAGGGCTTGGTTTTCTGCTTTGCTGCTCACCATTGGGCTGTCTGCTGCTCTTTGTCCCTGTCAAGTAAAAGAAACTAATATCTTTAAAGTGCCTGAGGTGGTTGAGGAGGAGGAGCCAAAAGAAGAGGTTCCAGTGGTTGTTCCCAAGAAGCCTGAGGTGGTGCCCAAGAAGCCTGTGCCAGTGCCTAAGAAACCAGAAGCTCCTGCAGCTAAAGGTATTTTTCTGGGGAGTTATGCTTTTTATCTTAATGTCTTGATTAATTCATTTATTTGTTGCTTCCATTTTTTGGGGTTAAGATTTCTTGTGTCTCCCCCCTTGGCCTCTCTGTGCATTAAAATTCCTATGTGACTAACTTACAGCCCCTTTAGGAGTGTTTCAGTGTTAGAAGTACCTAAACTCTTCGACTTTGTCATCAGATTCTTGATCTCTTTTATTATTCATAACTACATCGTTAAGTGGAAATAATATCTTTAAAGTGCTTAAGGTGCCCAAGAAAGCTGTCCCACAAGAAAAAGAGCCTGGTGCCGAACCCAAAAAACAGGAATTATTTCCAGGCAAAGGTATGTGTCATCATTAGAGTATCATCATAGAAAGAAATATCATACTCTTCTGGACTTAAATTGAACTAATTTATGAATCATAATCTGAGATATATGTCTAAACAATATGATGTTGAATGTGGGGTCTTAAAAATGAGTCAGATAAGTTAAATCTAGGTCTTCTAAAATATTGGCAACTTCCTGACCTTTCTGTGATCTTTGGAAATTAAGATTTACAAAATGCTTACTTTGAAGAGAATAATATTCTGTTCAGAGGAACAACCTGCAGATACATCTTCATTGTAAAACACATAATGAAGCACCTTTACATTTTTTAGTTATCTTTATTCATTTGTGAATGCAACAGTATCAGTTCCTTAACTCTTTAAAAGTGAGTAGTTAATGATGGTAAACTGGTGGTGAATTTATTAGCCAAACATTGAAAATACTTGGTGATTATACAATTAGCACTTAAAAGGCTGTTAAGATGAGCCAAAAGAGTGAAGAAAAAATGAACATTTCTGTTGGTAATGAGATTTGCAAATAAGAAAGAAACTGTGGAGAACTGAAAATTAAACAAATGTGCAAAGAATAAAAGTAAAATGACAAAAAAAGTAACTGTTAAATAAAATCTAAGTTTCATAAAAAATTATTACAGTTGATCGAACAAACATGAGTGACACGCTAAAGAAATTGAAGTGCACCCATTCTCCATACATTGGACTTTGATCAGCTCATGCAAAGACAGTGTAGGCTTCCCACCCTCTCTCAAAAACTGAAGCTAAACAAAGAATTCCCACCTCCTGCGTGACATATTTGACACCCTGCACATTCCACAGGCTTGAAGCAAAACATCACTGTCAACCAACTGTAGACACAACAGTTTCTCAGGAAAGACTGTGCATGAATGTTACTGATTGTCTGTTAGTCTCGTCTAGGTCTGTACAACCCACTAAACTAGAATATACTAATATCTTTAAAGTGCCCAAGGTGCCCAAGAAAGCTGCTCTGGAAGAGCCCGTGCCAGTAGCTGTGCCAAAAAAGCCAGAACCAGCACCAGCCCAAGGTACATGTTGCCGTGAACATTATCAAGCAGAATCTTGCTGCTGATTACCTGATGTTTTTCAGTACTGCCACTGTGTGCGAATTGGGAACTCAGTTACCTGGTACTTCTACACACAACCCAAGGGATATTTTGAATTTATTGTTACATTTTCAAATTCTGAATCACCAGGCAGAAAAATTTCGATTTTTAAGAGCATAGCATTATCAGAATAGCACCAAACTTTATCGTCTTAAATTGAGACAGCAAAAGGTCTTCATGACTCAGTGACTGTCTCAGTGACCGTGTATTGTAAGCACAAGTCTTTCAAAATGAAAAGCCTGTTTTTATTCAGAAATGCACATACAGTGTGAGTCGGAAGAAGTGATGCCTTAGTAAGTGCTGAAAGAATAATTAGATACTTTGAGAGAATGCAATGGAGGAATGATTTATAAAATCCAAGTGTGGGAGTTGCTGCAATGAGGAGAGGACAGAAAGAAGAAATAAGATAGTGAGAGTGAAATGAACCAGTAGAGTGAAAAGTGTAAACAAGGACTGGAAATGCAGAAGGAGAGAAAGAGAGATGAAGGAATAACAGGGGGATTTGCGTTCCTACACCGCCTATGACTGTAGATAAGAGATGGGCTGAGGCTGTTCCCAAGGTGCTAACAGAGCTGAAAGTGGCAGTTTCTCTTTGTGGATAAGGAAGGCTGCAGAGTATGCAGAGGAGTATCCTCACTCACACTTTGCCCTTGCGTAACATCAACTTAACCTAACTACAGATGTTCTGCATCTGTGTGTGCTTGTGTGAGAGAGTGAGAAAGGGATGGGATTCATACCAGGAGGCCAGCTTGTTTATTTTCTTGCGCGTACCTTTGGTTTAGGTTTCATTGTTTGTCGTCCTGTATAGTATGTCAAACTGATGGTTACTAATATCTTTAAAGCGCCTGAAGTGCCCAGGAAGGCTGCTCGAGAAGAAAAAGTACCTGTGGTCACTGCCAAAGCACCTGAGCCTCCAGCAGCCAGAGGTACCTGACTTGGTGGATAACTTGACAGAGAAGATACTTAATCTGCTTCTCTTGAGCGTTGTCCTGCTCTCTCTTGGCCTGTCTTTGTTTTAAATCTGAGACTCTTGAAGCTGTGAATGTTGGGTAAACTGTGCAGCAGCGTCTGAGGTTTTGGTCTCGCTTTTGTGATGTTTAGCGTCTGCATTGCCCTGGTGTTTGTTCCTGTCTGCCCAGTCTTTTCATCACTGTAAAATGAACCCCACTAATATCTTTGAAGTGCCTGTGATGCCGGAGGCAGAGGTCCTGGAAGAGGAAGAGGAAGAAGAAGCACCGGAAGAGGCAGTACCAGTGGCAGAGCCTGAAGAGCCAGAAGCTGCTCCAGCTGAAGGTATACCGTGGTGTCCTGGAAGTGTCTGTCCTGCTCTCTGCAGGGCTGATGCAGTGCTGACTGCACTTCTACCCTCTGCCTTCCATGGGGAGGGATGTGAGCTGCATTTAGCCACCTTGTGTTTGTACATGCCCGTTTGGGCCTATGGCAGGGGGTGGTGCTGGTCTGGGGCATGCGCCCTGCCATGAGCCCTCTTAGTCACTTTGCTGCAAGCAGTCCACCTGGAGGAAGCGTGGATGGTTGAAGAAGACTGCCTGTAGCATGCCAAGGGCTTGGTTTTCTGCTTTGCTGCTCACCATTGGGCTGTCTGCTGCTCTTTGTCCCTGTCAAGTAAAAGAAACTAATATCTTTAAAGTGCCTGAGGTGGTTGAGGAGGAGGAGCCAAAAGAAGAGGTTCCAGTGGTTGTTCCTATGAAGCCTGAGGCGGTGATCAAGAAGGCTGTGCCAGTGCCTAGGAAGCCTGAGGCAGTGACCAAGAAGCCTGAGGTGGTGCCCAAGAAGCCTGTGCCAGTGCCCAAGAAACCAGAGCCTGTGGCTGTGCCCAAGAAACCAGAACCTGTACCTGTTCTTAAAAAACCTGAGGTTCCTCCATTGAAAGGTATATAGATCAGTGTCGTGAACAGTTTCAGTATTTTCAGTGATATGCACAGTGCTTATGTATTTGTGTATGCAGTGTCCCTGAAAATTTTATTCTTCATATTCTTAGTCTGTTTCTCATCGTTGGCGCTTTTCTGCATTGTGCTTTTGTATGTTTCATTATTCACAAATATGAAAATTAAATATCTTTCAAGCACCAGAAGTGACAGCAAGAACTGTCCTAAAGGAGAAAGTGATTGTTGAGACACCTAAAAAGCCAGAATTCAGAAAACCAGTGCCTCCTCCAACCGAAGGTATATATGTCTTGAAGGCACTTTCTTAGAATGTCTTTTCTGTTTCTCTTTCCTTTGTTTATAACTGTGTCTATACAATGTGTCTTGTTTGCTTCCTGTTCAGAACACATTCTTTTGTTGTTATGGACACTGTTACTCACTGTTATTTTCTTTGTGGTAGTTGTCATTTTCTTTTTATGTTTCATTCACACATTTATTTGCATGTAAATAAAATGTATTAATATTTTTTGAAGTGCTTGAGGTCCCCAAGAAAGTTGCCTCAGGGGAGGAAGTACCTGTTGCTCTTCCTAAAGTACCTGAACCTCTACCAAGTGAAGGTATTATTGTAAAGACAATTTAACTATTATTCCAAATGTATGCTTTAAAAAAAAAAATTCTTCTTTTTTCCCTATTCTAGTTCTTGTATTTTGTTCACTTCACATTTTAGATTATACCAATTTATGTTTTTGTCTCTTCTATTACAGTTCCATAGGAGAGAGCTAAATATTACTTTAAATATTTTCACATAGTCCTATGTTGGGTATTCTTAAGAGTATCTTTTATCATTCAATTTTAGGCAATAATCAATTCTCACTAAATTCACATTTCTTAAGACCTAGTATTTCTATTGCTGTAATCTTAAATTAACTAAGAACATTCAAGCTTTTATTTTCTCCAGTTATAAATACTCATCCAAAATTTATTTCGTTTATATTGTACTATCTCCATCCAATCCTGAATTACACTTGCAGATAAAGCATTTTTCTCAAAGAATGCATTAACTGCAAAATTAGCGGCATGACCTGATACTGAGTGATTATGTATCCTAACATTTATTTGTCTGTGTGTATTGGAGTAGCCTTCTTTTTATTGGTGTCTGCAATGATCTTATCATTGGAAACTTACACCAGTTATCAATGTTCTTTAAAGAATATGAAATTGAAAAGGAAAGTGAAGCTGAAGAAACAGAAGAAATTTCAGTAACAGAAGTAGAAGAAGCTTTACCAGTTGAAGGTATATAGATTACCTAGAGGCTATCTGACGGTTTCCTCATCCATTACTGCACAGATTTTCTTGCTCTGTTGTTCTTCACAAATATACCTATATGCTGTTAGTCTCCATGTATTTCTTTCCCTCTTACATGTTGCAAACAAGTTCAGATCTCTTAATTCTTCTAAGTATAATATGCAAAATATTTTAAGTGCTTTCACTTTGTTTCCTGTCAACTGGATTCTTCTTATTATTTGCTTTCCCATCTTTGTCCTGATGTTGTTAACAAGTTTTTTTAAGTGAGCTTGAATGTTTGTGTTTTGTGTAAGCTACAGAGCAATCGCCTAAAACTCTTACTCCCATTTGATCAATGAGATTTTTTTCATTAACTTCATTGGAAATGGAAAATTATCATCTTTATGTTCTCACTCTTCACATATCTACTGTGGTAGTATGTTTATTCTAAATATACCTAATGTTATTTAAAGCACCAGAACCTGAAAAGAAAATTCCTGAAAAGCGAAAGCCAGCAGTTCCTGCACCAGTAGAAGACATTAAACTGGCAAAAGAACTACTTAAAGGTATAAGCATTTGAAGCCACCATTAACAATGGAGATTCAGACATGTAATCCTCTTTAATTACACTGGTGAATCTTAAAAAGCGTGCTTTAAAACGTGTCACTGGATCTTTCTTCTGTATTATTACTCTAATAAGGCATTTTGCTAATGCTAAATCTTTATGAATTTTCAGCGTATTGTGGGTAAATAATATTTTTTTACTTACTATATTTTACTGTTATTATGACAAGTCAGTTTGCATGCATTCTTTTCAATAGTTCTGGAATAAATGAATGTATTTATGAGTATCTTTAGAAAGTTAACACGTTTGTTTATGCTTAACATAATTCTTCTACTTTTAACGTGTTCTTACAAAAGACAAGAATCCTCACCTGTTATTTGCTGATTCTGCTTTGTAAACATTGGTTTCAAATCAACTCTGCTTCATTTCACCCAACTTCTTATAAATAGCTAATCAACCAGAATCTTACCTTTGTAGCCCTTGTCTTTCTACAGTGTCACTTGTATTAACCAGCTATATGTATTTTTGAGAAACTTCTTTTTGGAATCAGATTATATATATGATAAAATTCAAATAATTTTCTTTAAAGCTCCTGAAGCAAAGAAGAAAGTTGTGACAGCAAAACCTGTTGAGGCTCCACAATTGGAACCCCCACCTGCTAAAGGTACCTACCTAATAAAAATATCTTTATTCTCTGAGGCATCTTTTGAACCAAGACTTACACCTTTCAGTATATTCTTCTTTAATTTGCTCAGAAATATCAAGTGGTGCCTTTATTAGACTGTACTTCAAGAATAGACTCTAGTCTTGAATAGGTATAGTCCATGTCCTCATTAAATTCCCATTTTACAATTTATGAGATGTAAAAAAGATAATAACGGAAGAGTAAGAAAGTTTTGTCATTTATGTTTATTCCAGTTCTCTGCTTACAGAGAAATAATAATACACTGTTTAAGTGTATGTAGCATTGTGCATCCATACTTGCTGTTTGTCTGACATGTAACTTTATTTCATGAAAAGACACTTCCAGAATTGGCTTATGAAAGATAAATTGAGCAAGACACTTTACAAGTACTGCTTTGCATTCTTCATATGTACTAGTGTTCTAAGCAACACCATATAAATATCTTAATGCTTCTTAGAGATTAAACTATGAATATCATAGTACAGGTGAAGGTAATGAAAGAGTTAAAACGTAAATATGATAACTCTCTTTGAATACATAACTCTTCTAGTTTTCTTAGTTCATACTTCGCTTTTGTTATTTTGCATGAAAATTTACTCTTGTGGATAGGCCTTTAAGACCACTGAACAAATGGTAATGGGAGGTTGATTGAAAATACTGACTTCAGTCTCAGCAATTTTTTGCTTTGAATGTTCAGTAGTGTACCAGCACTTTGTGTGTTTGAAGTTGTTAATTGTTAATTAGCTCTTCCTACTGGTATGAACCTATAATAAAATCTGGAATAATATTCTTCTAAGTTCCTGGACTTGTAAAGAAACCTCGTAGAATAATTCCTGAAGTTACCCCTCCACCGAAAGAAGAAGTTGTTTTGAAAAGAGGTACAGTAACTTATAGTGGCATAAAACCCTGGAATACTAACATTGTTCAGTGTGTTCTCCTAAGTAATGTCGCTTTATGTGGTGTGGAAAATTACATGAGTAGTGTACTACCTGATGGGTGTTTATCATGGAAAGAGTTTATAATTGAAGAGATAAAGCAAGGGCATGCCAAAAATTAGTTAAGTCCAAAGGATCTGTGCTGAAAACAGAGTAGAATGCTGAAAATCTGGTTCACTGTTGTAACTCTCTTCTGTTTTCTATTGTCTATAAAACCTGTACAAAAACTCAATTTTTCAGGGTCTTCAGTTCATGGACACCTATATATTTTCCTGTGATACTGTAGATTTTATTAAAAATCACACGTGACATTCTCTTTTATGGTTTTCTTGGAATTACTTCACTGCTCTCAAGATCCAGTGGCACTATTGGATATCATTCTCATTTCCTGCAAAATCTTGAGCCTTTCAGATTACTTTGTGCTCAAAGCTTAAAAAAGAAGTAGTAATACCCAGGCTCTTTGAAATACTGAATGATCATTTGTGCCCTTCAAATTTTAGACAATCCAATTCCACAGATGTTCAATTTTTCAGATGAATCTCGTTAGATAGTCAAAATGCATATCTGACAGGACAAAAATAACTAAAATGTAATCCGGACAAGATATAAACTAGAGCTCTCCAAATACAACAATTGAAAATTATTGTTTTCTTCTCTGATGGAAGTCAGTAGATATTTAATCCAGAATCCTTCATTTTGTCCCTGAAAATCACCTATAACTGAAGTTATTAATGCATAATTATGTGGTAATTGATCTTTAAATTGTAATAGATGAAATTTTTCTCTCAGAAGAAAATACGAGACTGACAGACATCGTTCAAATGTTGTATATGGACATTTATCTGCTAACTAAACTCTCATAGAATTAATCCAATATTCACTCACCACAAATGCAAAGATACATTAAGAACAGTTCCTAAAATGTGTTAAGAAAGCACTAGGAAACTGCAGTGATGTTACTTAATCTAGTAGGACATTTTGAATTTCATAGTGGATATTTGTAGATTAAAAATAGCTTGACATGAAAAGCTGTTGTTAACTAACATGCTTGATGAATACTGTGTAAATAGATAATATTATTTTAAAATATATTTTATCTTCCATTATTCTCCTGAAATACCTACCCATAATATCTTTTCCATGAAAGTTCTATGATAAGAAATCGTGTTCTGTCATACACAGTTAACATCTTTCTACTCAAAGAGAGTGATCTTAAAACATCTTTTTGCTCTACATTACTTTTAAAATGCTTTCAGTATAGTATTTTACTGTGTATTTCATATGCCTATTTCTTCACTGATTGTATATGTTTAGGCTTCTGTCTTGCTCACTATCTATCTTATTCATTTGTTTACCCGTGCTTTAAAAACTGAAATTACTTTTCTTTTAAAGTTCTTAGAAAGAAACCAGAAGAGGAAGAACCTAAACCAGAGAAAGAACCTAAACCTGAAGTTAAACCAGTACCTACACCAGTAGAAAAAATTAAGAAACCTGAAGGTACTAGCTTACATTCAAATCTATCTGGTAGAAAACTTTTGTGGAAAAGAAAAACAACAAACAATTTAAAAAATATTCTCTGCAACTCAGAGTTCCAAAATTCTCTCAATTTTAAAATTCAGATTTGAATAGATGAGCTTCATAAATGTAATTCTGTGAATCAGAGCTTTGCTGGGAAGCACCACCAAATTTGGCATGCACATTGGGATCTGAATTCTACAGTGTGTAATCTGACTTGTCAATCTAAGTGTAGAAGAGAAATTTACAAGTATACTGTAAAACTGATTTTAAAAATTGCAGTGAAATGGTTAATCCAAATATTCTTTCAGTCAAGGTCTTGCAAATATGTGTCCTTTTGTCCATTTTACTGCTTCTAATTTGTTCAAATCCTAGCCTTAAAAATACATGTTCTTCAGCAGTTTGAGACATTAGGTTTTAAGTTTGAAAAGAGTGAAGACTTTTAATTATATTGGAGAGTGAGGTATTTAGAGATCCAAGGTGTTGCAGTATATCTTACAAAATAATGTTTTAAAGTCTCAGAAGTTCCCAAGAAGAAAACTGAGATACCTGTCATTAAAAAGGAGGAGAAACATGTTCCTGAACCACCAAAAGGTACATATGTGTGATGCTATTTTCTTTATTGCAGCAACTAAATTTTTTTAATTGCTGCATTTCGCGCTGAATTAAATGAATGCACTGTTGCCATTCCTTCTGTCCATGACAGTTATATACGTGTTAACTACTTTGCATTCTTCAGGATTTCTTTTTGTCTTTGATTCTTCAGCGCTTGAAAAATTTATCTTTTTTTTTCTATTTTATCTTGCTTTTAAAGAGCTCATCTCCAGTAAATTTCTTGCTTGCTGGCAAAATTTGTTGAAAACAGTTAGGTCTGTCTTCCATTAACTCTGTCTGTATTGTTGCTTGGAAATTTTATGTCCAATGAGATTAGAAATTATGTAAATTAACCTGTTTGTAATTGTTGTGTTTCAAATACTAGAACCTAAGCAGGCAGCTATCTCAGTTCCTGGGCCTGAACCTAAACCTGCCGTAGGTAAGACTTCTTTAGCCATGAATACCAGTGCAATCTTACTTGTACATCTTTTTCATTTAGAGTTTTTTTTCCTTAAAAATGACATTAAAAATACATATCAGCCATAGTACTATAAAGACGTACACTCTGCAGAGCATCTTAGAGAATATCATGCTTAAAACCAAAGTATTCATTGAGATAAATAAATGAGAACTCCTTTATAATTTTTTTTTTTTTCCTACAGCTTTAAAATCTCCGAAACCAGCAGCAGAACCAGCACCAGCTGTTACTACTGCACCAGTGACAACTCCTGTTGTTGGAAAGAAAGCAGGTATTTATGATAGTTCTATGCTACTTACAGGGTTTTTCTCTATAGATACCTAAATACGTGAAAGATAAAGACAATTAACAGCTGTACAATCGTGTAACTCATTCATTACCAGGTAATTTAGATCCTGTTCCAGGATCCTGATATCCTTGATACTGCCACCTGATGTGAAGCTTATCTCTGTGGAATTCCACTGAGATGAATCTGTACTATTATTTCTGGATTGTGAAATGTATGCTTGGATTTTTTTCCTACTACGAAGTTTGTGTATTCTGTTTATTCATGTTGTTTATGTTCTGATGTATGTCTTGTGAACTGCATCTTGAATCTTCTGTGTTGTAAATGGATGATTACACACATTTCTAAATAATTCCTGCCATATTTGATCTTCTGCTTTCAATAACAATACTTTGTTATTGAAATCCCAAGGGAAAGTGGCAGCAGTGTTGAAGAACCAGCGTATTGATAGCTTAATATGATATGCTTAGGGCTCTAAGTCCTACTCCACTATGAACAAATCATTCGTTCTCCTCCCCAAAGCATTCTAAGTCTGAGGTCCATCAGTAGATCTGATGTAGATGCTGGTCAGCCTTTGATTAGATGACATAGTGGCACTGCTATCCATTTTATGTAGGTAACGGGGTCCTAAACTATTGTCCTTGAACCATTACTTTCTGCTGCTTTCAATCTGGATTGAATATGGACTGGTAAACTACTGGGATGATGCTCTGTACCGTGACATTTTGCCATCTGTGCTGTTTTTATGTATCATTCTTATCTTTTTTTGTTTCGTTTTGTGTTTTGTTGTATAGTCTGTTGTGCGAAGCAAAATTGTTCTATGTTCACTTTATTTCAGGTATAGCTGGAAATTTTGTCTTAAAATGTGTTGTTCTTGATGCTTGTTCTTTTGGATTTTAACTCTCTAAATTACCTGTGAAATCTTTGTAGCTGCAGAAAAACCTGATGCACCATCTTTACTAAAGCATAAAGGTAAAATGCCTCCAGTGGAAGAAGACAAGACTGAGTCAATTGTGTTAAAGAAGATATCAGTTGAGAAACATGCACATATAAAAGAGAGACTAAGTCCTAAAGAGACAGTTCTGGACGTTCAGATGGTAGAGCCATTTGAGTTAAAAACTTTGCTGGAAACTGCTGGTGGATTATTAAAATCAGAACGATGTGAGCAGGAGCAAGTAATTCTTAAATATTTTGTGCTGCCTCCTGAAGGAGAGGAGCTAGAAATGACTCCTTTAATTTCAAGGACTCCTACCCCTACAGGTGAGACAAAAGAAGTTGCAATGGGTCATGTTACTTATGAAAAGAATGAACCACTACTAGTTGATGAGGAATTGCAATTGATCTGTATATCGTCTGAACACGAGGAAACTGTTTGCAGAGAAGAAAAGAGGGATGAAGCTAAACTGGCTGTTCATGAGGAAGGTGATATAGAGAGAGTCTCTGACAAGTCTAGGCTTCTTCAGGAAAGAGAGATTCCTGCATATGAAAAAGGAGGGGAAAACGAATCAACTTCTGTACCTAGTCTTATACCCAGAGGGCCTTTTGATCCCAGAGACAAGAAGAGATTTGTAAGAACAGAGAGAAAATCGAACATAAGTTTGCAACATGAGGAACCTCCCATTAAGAATAAAACCTCATTTGTGAAGACTGTCACACAAGCAGAAATATCTGGTAATCCTCTGCTTACCACTGAAGAAAAGAGAGGAGAATTTACTCTAGAGAAATCAGAAATTACCCCTGGAGAATCCGTGAAGGACCGTGGTATGCAGAAGAATGCTCAACAGGTGAAGAAATCTGGTATGACAGTAGCTGAAATTCCTATGTATAAGATTCTTAATAAAGAAACAAAGAAAATGGAAATTGTTCAAGATCATGAGAAAGATGAGAAAAGGGACTTTACATCATTGAATCTACATCCCTTAGAACTGTCTGATGAGACTACTGAACCAGCACTGAAAGAAGACCTAGAACACCTCAATGAAGAAAATGTAATCTCTAGAGTAAAAGCTCACAGAGACTTTGAACAGTATGTTCTTTATCCACAAGTAGTGGACATGAAAACAGGAGAAAAATATTCTGCAGAGGAAGAACCCATTGAACTTCATTATGAGGAGGGTTTAGAATCACTGTTGACTGAGAAAGCACTACTAAGTGATAAAAAACCAGGCAGAAGGATTATATCAGAGAAGCAAGACAAAACTATTTTCAGCAGCCCCTTAAAAAAAGACAAATTTAGACAATCAAATGCCCCTGAAGAGCTGCCCATGGGAAAACAAGAATTTGATACAGAGATTATAGATGAAGGAATGGAAAGAGAAGTTTCCATAAGAGAACATGAAAAGGGAGTTGGAGATGAAATAGCTAACAGAAATGAGTCAGCAAAGAAAGTTCCTATTCAGCCACCAAGGAATCAAGATAAAAAACTATTTCAAAAGCTTCATACCACTTCATATGAAAGTGAAAAAGCTCCGGATGTCAAAAGCAGCAAAATTAAAACTGAAGAAAAGAAAGCTCCTCTGACTGTAGAAGAAGTGAAGCTTACTGGAGGAGCGCTTCAAGAGATAGAAGGTATATCAGATGAAAAAACAGCATCTGAAAATGACTTTGGAAAAAGCACATCTGTTACTAAGGAAAAAGAGAAAGAAATGCTTCCAGGCAGAATGACATCAGGTAAAGGAATCCCTGAAAGCAGAGAAATCACTTACTCCTCCAGCATAGGTAAGATAATCACTCCCAAGAAAGTGGAAGGAGGGAAGGAGTACTGGAAATCAGAACCTGCTCATGTGATTGAGCAGGCCAGTAGCCTTTTGAGTGGTGACAGGAATTTGGATGCATCTGGTGAATCACATCAAGTTCTGGATGTTCCTGTTAAGCCTCATGCAAAGCGAGGTGAGGAAGACTACTGCCAAATTCTTCCACAAAGTGCTTGTACTATTTGCTTCAAGAGAAAGTACCATTTGCCATTGCAGTGTTTGTTCGTTAACACCATTCACATTTCCATCCACTCTATTGGCATTCAGCCACTCTTTACATGTTTGTCTTACTTGTATGTACGTATCTCTGTGCTGTTTATGTTCACTGTCTGAACATCACGCTTTTATAAGACTGTATAAATCATGTTGCGTGCCATTGTCTTCTCAAAAATACTTGCACATTTTTTCTAGCATTCATTTTTCCATCTACTGCAATAAAATCTATCCTGCATTTCATTCATATCATTCTGTCATTACAAGTATACACTACATTTTGTTTCACAAATCATGATAAGAAGCAGCATAGTGTGGCAAATGTTTTCAGAAGTTGTAGATGGGTCATCACAAATTGGACAACTTATGGAACATCCCTCAGTTCTGAGAATATCGCATTGTCCTGAAATGTATTTAATTTATACAATCTATTTTTGTTGTCTCCATTTAGTAAGTGTGTGTGCTTTTTCTCAAATAACACATAATTTGTAACAGGTACTTCAACTGTTTTGATTGACAGTTTGGTACTGATCAAGATCCTAATTGCAAGTGAAGTGTTAGGAAATGGCAGAATTTTACAGGACAATAAATTGAGGCATTCGGAGCTCCTAAGCTGCCTTTTGGTCTCCAGTGCTGAATATATCTTTCCCATCCTCAAAGATACTGAGCTTTCATTCAGATATAGACAGGATAAGCTATATAAATATATATGTCTATATATTTCCCTTCCATGTGTTCATAACAAAGGGAAGAGAAAACATTATTTGTAAAATAAATTTATCTTAATTTAATATGCATGTTTATTTAACTCCATTCCTAATAATATTGCTGTTCTTCTTCAGAGGCCAAGCCAACAAAAGAAGAAACTCCGAAGGGTATCAGCCCAGTCAAAGGTAAGAATGATTACTAAATGACTATGATTGCTATTGTTTTACAATCCTGAACTCAAATTATAAATAATGCTTTGAACAAAAAAAAAAAATCGCTATTCAGCAATCTTCTAAATTAGACTACCCAGCAAAGATTGTTTATAGTGTGTGGAAGATCAGTTGTTTTTGCCTGAGCAACAGTAGTTAATAGGCATACTTTCGATGAAAATGTCTTTAAAATTTTTGTTGATTCAGCCATTGATAATATCAGTTAACCTGCATGCTTTTCTCAATAGCTGGACATTACCAGAACATTAGACAGAACCAAACTTGACTATTGTATGAACGTAGTTAGAGATTATACAGCCTTCCAACAAAGCTATATCAAGCGAGCAAGGCTATGCCTCTACTTTCAGGGCACAACTAGTCTGTTGGAAGCAAAGAGGAGATGGAGGAAGAGCTACTTAAACACCTTTGATTCTCTACAAATCAGATTATTCTGAAGTTTACGCCCAATTTATCTCAAAATATCTGCCTTCAAATTCTATAGATAAATGCATGATTCTGTTATTCCATGTTTTGGTTTGAATAGATGAGATTTTGTGATCTTGTAACTAGTACAGTCACACTTTTTTCAGTTCATCTAATATTAACTCAAAAATTTAACACTAGTTACTGGCTCTATTGAAATTCCATTAAGTCCATAGGGTTCTGCAATACTATGCAATGCATGATTGAAGCAAGTGGATCAGAAACCAGTTCCAGTTTGGAATTGAAGAAAACTTATAAGAAAAGTAAAATAAAACAGATAATTTGTTTCTGATTCTGAATTACAGCCAAGAAGACACCTTCACCAGCAGATGCAGAAAGGAGGAAACTCAGGCCAGGTAGCGGTGGTGAAAAACCTCCTGAAGAGCCTCCATTCACTTATCAACTCAAGGCTGTGCCACTGAAGTTTGTCAAGGAGATGAAAGATATAGTGCTGAAAGAAGCAGAATCTGTTGGGTCTTCTGCAATCTTTGAAGTCCTTATTTCACCATCCACTGCAATTACCAGCTGGATGAAAGATGGAAGTAACATCCGAGAGAGCCCAAAGCACAAGTTTATTGCTGATGGCAAAGATAGAAAACTGCATATCATTGATGTCCAGCTGTCAGATGCTGGTGAATATACTTGCGTACTACGACTAGGGAACAAAGAGAAGACCTCTACTGCCAAACTCATTGTTGAAGGTAATCCCACTTCAGATCTGTCAGTAATTTAAAGGCTAACTCCTACTAAAGCTTATGGATTTACAGTGATAAATACATATTTTAGTTTTTATCAATAACTACAAAGTTTGATTTAGCATGTAAGGTATTCTTCATCATGCCATACAAATGAGAGAAATCAAAATAATGTGTTTCCCTCAGAACTCCCGGTACGATTTGTGAAAACACTTGAAGAAGAAGTCACTGTGATTAAAGGCCAGCCACTGTACTTGACCTGTGAGCTTAATAAAGAAAGAAGTGTGGTCTGGAGAAGGGATGGGAAGATCATCAAAGACAAGCCTGGGAAATTTGCTCTGGGTATTATTGGCTTGTCACATTCCCTCACCATCACTGATTCAGATGATTCTGATGCTGGCACCTACACTGTTACCGTGGAAGATACTGAGCTCTCATGCTCATCTTGTGTTAAGGTAGTAGGTAAGCAATCAAAATAATCTTCTCTTTTCTCTATGGCTCTTTTAAAATCAGTATTTCACCCATAGCATTGCAATATAAACTTATAGGTAGCACTTCTGCAGCTATTAAATGCTTGCTGTAATATAAAATCTCTAAGTCCTCTTTCTTCTGTTTATGATTCATCTATTTATTTTAAAAGTCTTATAACCTATATTTCTGTGCAACTTCTTGTAATGCAGAAGTGATAAGAGACTGGCTAGTAAAACCTATAAGAGACCAGCACGTAAAGCCAAAAGGAACAGCTACTTTTACCTGTGACATTGTCAAGGATACACCAAACATTAAATGGTTTAAAGGCGATGAGGAAATTCCTGCTGAACCAACTGACAAGACAGAAATCTTGAAAGAAGGAAACAAAATTTTCCTGAAAATTAAGAATGCTGGCCCTGCTGATATTGGAGAATATTCAGTAGAAATTGAAGGTCGCAGATACCCAGCTAAACTGACTCTTGGTGGTAAGGATTTTCTTATTTTCAGTGTTTAATCACCTTACGTGTTAAAAATTCCAAAATCTCTAAACAAAAATGAAAATGGTAGTTTGAGTTCTTGTAAAGCTTTATCAAAACTTGACCTGATTACATATCTGCTAATTTGTGCATTCTAGAACGTGAAGTTGAACTTCTCAAGCCATTAGAGGATGTTACAGTTTACGAGAAAGAAACAGCAAACTTCGATACAGAAATATCGGAAGAAGATATTCCTGGTGAATGGAAGCTGAAAGGTGAAATCCTGCGACCTTCACCTGTAAGCATCCTTGAATATAACAACATAGCTTACTTAAAATTAAACACTGTGAGCAGGTTCACTTAAGTTTTTATGATAAAATTTTTGCAGACATGCCTCTCTTACTCAGTCCAGAATGTAGAAAGACTAAACATTTTGGTGATTAAAAAAATGTGGTTCTCAAAGTAAGGATTATATGCCTTAAGGCTATCTTTTGAACTGCTTATTTTTTTAAAAGATAATGGTATATTATTCAGATGGTAATAGGTATAATTTATGTACATCACAGGGAACAATATATTTAAAAGGGTAGAAGGCTGAATAAATGCACTTTATTTTTTTAATTGTCATTTTTTAGTAAGTTAATTTTTTGAGAAATAATTCCAGTCTTTCTGACTCTACAGTTATCAAATGTTAGTGGAATTTCTTTATTTAAAATGTCTAGAAGTAATGCATTTGCATAATATTTACTAAAGTCTGTCATCCCTGCAGACATGTGAAATCAAAGCTGAAGGAGGAAAACGCTTCCTAACTTTGCACAAGGTCAAGTTAGAGCAAGCTGGTGAAGTCCTTTACCAAGCACTTAATGCAGTTACTACAGCTATCCTGACGGTGAAAGGTACAATGCGCTGTGAAATGAAACACAACATCAACTTTTCAGAAGTTCTGAGCACGGATACAAATAATGTGTTCTGTTTTGTTTCTAGAAATTGAACTGGACTTTGCTGTTCCCCTAAAAGATGTCACTGTCCCTGAGAAACGCCAAGCAAGATTTGAATGTGTCCTTACCAGAGAAGCCAACGTTATATGGTCTAAAGGCACTGATATACTGAAGATTGGAGAAAAGTTTGACATCATTGCAGATGGAAAGAAACATATTCTTGTAATCAATGATTCTCAGTTTGATGATGAAGGAGAATACACTGCTGAAGTTGAAGGCAAGAAGAGCACCGCAAGACTGTTTGTTGAAGGCAAGTAATTTATGAACAAAATGTTACAAAATTATGTATATATAACGCATGTATAGAATCACATTAGCTTTTTTTTTTTCTGTTGATACTTATGCGTGCTTTATTTTCACCCTACAGGTGTGAGGCTGAAGTTCATCTCACCTCTACAGGATCAAACAGTGAAAGAAGGAGAAACAGCTCACTTTCAGTTTGAGCTTTCTCATGAAGACATGCCAGTGAAATGGTACAAAAATGATAAGAGACTCCATACAAGCAGAACTGTTTTTATTACTTCAGAAGGAAAAGTTCATAAACTAGAAATGAGAGAAGTAACGCTTGATGATATCTCTGAAATCAAAGCTGTAGTCAAGGACATGAACACACAAGCAAACCTCAAAGTCTTAGGTAATTACTTAAACATAAAATACACTATATCATAACTACAAGCAATGTTTTTAAGTAGAGAGTGGCAAAATAATACATTTGTATCACTAATTTAATGTTTTGTATTCAATATCCCTTTTATAGAGGCTGATCCATACTTCACTGTGAGATTGCAAGACTACAGTGCTCTGGAGAAAGATGATGTTACTCTGCAGTGTGAGCTTAGCAAAGATGTCCCAGTAAAATGGTACAAAGATGGTGAAGAACTAGTTGCTTCAAGCAGAATTTCCATAAAAACAGATGGCGTGCGCCGTATCCTAACAATCAAAAAGGCTGCAGAGGGTGACAAGGGTGTTTATGAGTGCAGCTGTGAAACGGACAAGACAAACTGTAACATTGGCATTGAGCGTAAGTCATCATACCTTGGCTAAGGGAGTGTACTGAAGCCTTTGTAAAACAAAGTTGATAGAAGATAATAGTTATGTAGTTGAAATATATAAATTAACAATTACCAAGTATATTAAGAAGAGACAATATATATATAAATGGCTGTTGTAAAGACAGTGATTCTCATTTTTGCATCTGTCCATTTACAGTCAGGAAAAAAAAAGCTTAATTAAATATAGCATATCTAACTTAATTATGAAGAAAAATATTCTTGCTGAAAATAACTAAACTTTCAGACATATTGTAGAAAGATGTTATAGACAGCCCAACACTGTATTTTTAAAAAAGAGGTAACATCAGTAGTAGTATTTGAATTCTGTAGTGAAGGGCTAAGGAGAGAGTTGAGATCCTTTTCAGTCCTACGTTTGCTATGTTACAAAATAAGTAAGAAAATGTGAACTTTTTTTTTTCCTTTCAGCTCGCTTAATTAAAGTGGAGCGCCCGCTGTATGGAGTGGAAGTATTTGTAGGTGAAACAGCACGTTTTGAAATTGAGATTTCTGAGCCTGATGTCCACCCAGTATGGAAACTGAAGGGAGAGACCCTAACGCCTTCACCTGTGAGACTGCTGCTTTATTCTCAGACAATAATTTATGCTAGGAAAACATATTTGATTATAAAGCTTGCTGAGTAGTTTCTTGGAATACCTATATTTCAGGGATTCTTTTTTCATTATTACCAGGAATGTGAAATCATTGAAGATGGGAAGAAGCATATTCTCATCCTTCATAACTGCAAACTAGATATGACTGGAGAAGTGTCTTTCCAAGCTGCTAATGCTAAAAGTGCTGCCAATCTGAAAGTGAAAGGTAAGGCTTGCACTTTGTCAAAATGTGTATCTCAGGGCACTAGAACAAATCTAGCGGTAGCAATTTCTATATAAATTACTGCTGAGCTGAAAGTACTCTTCTTTGATTTCAGAATTGCCTCTTATCTTCATTACTCCACTAAGTGATGTGAAGGTCTTTGAGAAGGATGAAGCCAAGTTTGAATGTGAAGTGTCCAGAGAGCCCAAGACTTTCCGCTGGTTAAAAGGAACACAAGAGATCACTTCTGATGAAAGATTTGAAATAATTTCGGATGGGACAAAGCATGCTCTGATTATTAAATCTGTTGCATTTGATGATGAGGCTAAATATATGTTTGAAGCTGAAGATAAAAGAACAAGTGCCAAGCTAATTATTGAAGGTTTGTTTGCCTTTATAGGAAAGAGTTGTGACTTAGTTGTTCTTGAACTGTTTTTATTCATAGTATTTTTACTAATGAAATATTTTATTGACATAGGTATTCGCCTGAAATTCATTACTCCTCTCAAGGATGTAACAAAAAAGGAGCGAGAAACTGCAGTGTTCACAGTGGAACTCTCTCATGAAAATATCCCCGTTATCTGGTTCAAGAATGACCAACGGTTACATACCAGTAAAGTGGTTTCAATGACAGATGATGGCAAATTTCATACACTCACGATCAAAGATCTTACTATTGATGATACTTCTCAGATTAGAGTGGAAGCTATGGGCAAATCCTCAGAAGCTAAACTCACTGTTCTGGGTAAGCATACCCAAAAAGATTTTATATGATATATTATTATCAGAAGAGTCTTCCTAATGAAAAATCAGAAGGTCTTGTAATGTGTTTGGTTTGGCAAGGGTTGGTTTTTTGTGTTTTTTTTTTCTATCTAAACCTATTCTACAGTGTTTTACAATTTGCTTGTCTTCCACTGGGCTTCATTTACCCTTCACAAGGGATGATTAAAATAACTTTGAGCTTTCATCTAGGTGTGGCAAAATTAGCTATAAAATACTACTTACATGGTGCTCTGAAGCTCCTAAAAAGAGCGAAATCATTTTGTCAGCATACAAGTAATACACGGAAATGCTTCTTAGATATTTGTTTTCTCTTTTTGCAGGAAACTATGCAATAATAATTAGGACTATATTTTATTGCTCTTAGAAGGCATAAACAGGAAATGTATTTACAGTAAGAATCATTGTCCTTTCACTTGCAGAGGGAGACCCTTACTTCACTGGGAAGCTTCAGGATTACACAGCTGTAGAGAAAGATGAAGTGATTTTACAGTGCGAAATCAGCAAAGCAGATGCCCCAGTGAAATGGATGAAGGATGGCAAACCAATTACTCCATCAAAGAATGTTGTTATTAAGGCTGATGGTAAAAAGAGAATACTTATACTGAAGAAAGCTTTGAAGAAAGACATTGGACAGTATACTTGTGATTGTGGTACCGATCAAACCTCTGCTAACCTGAATATTGAAGGTAGGGCTGGGTTGCTATGTCAAAGTAGTCTGTTGGGATCCACTACAGACTGACAGAATCAATCTTTCTTTTTTTCTTTCCGTTCTCCAGACAGAGATATTGAAATCATCCGTCCACTATACAGTGTGGAGGTGATTGAGACAGAGACTGCCCGTTTTGATATTGAAATATCTGAGGAAGGTGTCCATGGCAATTGGAAGCTAAAAGGAGAACCCCTGACTGAATCACCTGTAAGCATATGTTTTAGGTTCTTTCTCATATGTTACTTAACAATTTTACATGTAGCTGGAATGTGAGGGAGAAGCAGACGGTTGCAGAAATTAAGTGAAAATTCATTCCACTTTCAGTAAGGGCAACTGTTGTAAAAATAGTGTAATTTTCAGTAATAACTTTAAAAATGTAATAGAAATCAGTACAAAATATCATATGAAATAGCTAAATAATAAATGATTTTACATAAATACACTCTCTATTGCCAGTTCCTAAAAATCAAAATGCAGAGACCTTATGAAGTTCTGTTAAATGTGATAGCATTTGAAAATATAAACTTTAGATTCTGTGGGTTTTTTTGTTTGTTTGTTTTGAGTTATGTTTGTTATAAATAGATGTAGATCGCATTTTCATACTCTTCACTATTGCTGTGACAGCTAAAAATTATTTAAAATGGTATATGGCTTAATTAAATATTATTAACTCCTTACTGGTCAGATCTGGAAGTTTAAAAAAAAAGTACAGTCATGACAGGAAATAATTTGGCAATGTTAGATGTTACAGTGCAGATGTGAATAATCAAAATGATCAAAAGTTCCATGAAAGTCAGTGTCTGGATGAAAGAAAACTTCTCAAGAACAGATCACAAAGGAAGCTTACCTTACCATTTTCTATTTATCTCTGGCCTTCTGATTGGTCTGCATATGAATGTATTGGCTAATCCATCAGCACATACATGCCACCCTCATAAATACACTGCCTCTTGCACTTTTTCCAGATTGCATTAGAAAGGAGGGGAAAAAAAGGGAGCAGACTATGAATGAATGTTTATGGAGTATGTTAGGGGCAGTGGGCCTGAGTTTTCTGAGTGTGGGAGAAAATAACAGATGCATGGTCTGAGGAGAAGTATGGGCTGATCTGCTGAGGAACACAAACAAGATACTGGAAAAAATCATTTCACTTTTCTTTTTGAAGGACTGTGAAATCAAGGAGGAAGGCAAAAAGCACTTTCTTACCTTGTACAATGTACGTTTAGATCAAGCTGGGGGAGTAGATTTCCAAGCAGCAAATGCCAAATCTGGTGCTCACCTTCGAGTGAAACGTAAGTATCTTTGGAACACTTATGAACGTATGAATGTTTTATGTACTCAGAACTTCTTTAGTATGAGTGGACAAATCTGTATATTGTAATCTACCCAAGCCAATTATTTCTAGAACAAGTAGCTCAAGCTACCCTTTTTATCCTTTAATTAAAGAATGTTGATATTTAGTTAGTTATTATAACACTGGATATAGTTTATTTATATAGGTGTAGAAAAAGTAAAAAGATGGCTGTGAATGCTTCTTCATGATCTGGCATCGTGTAGTTATGAAATCAAAGTATCACAGCATCAGGCTTTGCAGCATTAAAATATCACGTTAACCTGAGAAGATGGGATCACAGTGATATTTGGAGATAGGGTTAAGATCGTGATGGACAGGGACAGACCACATGGTTGAAGACCACTTGTTTCCTACTCCAATCCTAGCCCTCGCTATTTTGGAAAACACATGCCTTATCTAGCAAGAGGCATGCAAGGCTTGGCAGAGAGACAGATGCACAGCAACTTTCCTGCTGACCTTGTTCAATTTAAAGAAGCGTGCTCTGCAAATAGGAAATTTTTGGTCACTAGCCCTTCCCCTAAAAACCCAGGGTGGCCCCTTCTATTTAGAGAATTAAAAGAGCGGCACTGCAATGTCTGTCTCTCTTGAGGGAAGCCACCATGGAGATTAGTACATAAGGGCAGCAGTTCTCTCTTGGGTAGAAGTGACTAATCTGAAAATGATGTCGTCTTCTTACCAAGCTCGAGTAATAGGCTTGCTGAGACCTCTCAAGGATGTAACAGTGACAGCTGGGGAATCTGCAACTTTTGATTGTGAACTCTCTTATGAGGGAATCCCAGTAGAGTGGTACCTGCAAGGAAAGAAACTGGAGCCCAGTGATAAGGTAGGGAGACTAAACTTTATTTTCCCTTGTGTTTCTTCGTCCTTCTTCACTTTCACCTCTCTTCCACTTTTTTATTTATTATTTATATATACATATATTTTTTAATTTACTTTCTGCTAGTAGAGATAGTAAGACACAGCACTGCTGTTGTGATGAATGGCAACTTCTCACTGACTCAGAATGGAATATTTTACCTGGAAAAGGAGAATGTGGAATACTAAAAGTATGTTTTGTACAAAGGGAAGCTAAGACTTCAATTCCTGATTCTGTGCAAGATGCTGTTGCAGGGATGATGAATTATTTTTCCTCTGGTTAATTGTAGCTAGTGTGAGAGAGTTTTGAAAGGCGCTTTCAGGAAATGTTTCTTCTCTTGAATGCTGAGTTGCAGTCCAATTCTGCATATAAGGGGATTAAGAAGATTCAAATTCCATTTCAGGCATTTGTTCTGGCACTCAAGATAACTTTCTGAACAGATTTGCTTGTCCAGCACTTCTCACTAACTATTTTTAACCCTTCATCAAGTGCTGGCTCTTAACTTTGAGATCTGAGCGGTCTGGAATGTAGCCAGTTTAACATTTAAAGTTAATGGAGGGGGGAGATTAATGTAGGAAGTGTAAAATAAAATAGGTATGACTGGTTTTAAGACTACTTTTTTTTTACATGTTAGCTCTTCTACATGAGAAGGAATGAGAATATAAATGGAGATGTAAATCTCAGACAAAACAATCCTTCAAGGGATCATGGAATGTAGCAAAGTTTCAGAACCTGTAGTTATGCTCCTAATGATACTTCAGTATATATTTTTTACTTTTAAATGTAGTTTTAACAGATTGTATTCAGTTTTGGGAAATAGATCTTCCTGAGCTTTACCAAATTTGCCTAAGTGAAATCTAAATCATTAAAACATATAGAAATAAGATAAGAAAACAATTATCAGAGGAGTGACAATCCAATTTACTATATTTATGAACAGATAGGTGCAAAATTGAAACTCAACAGATGGGACATTTAGTAAACCAAAGTGATCACTTCTGAGTTTAGAAATAAAAATGTGGAAAACTATTAATCACTGCTATGGCTTGGTATTTATTACTGCCTGGCAAGTTATCACAAACTTAATATTTTTAAATGATCCTTTCAATTACTTGAGAAAATTCTAGATTTTTATTCAGCTTGCATATCTACTTAAAACTGTCATTTTTCTTCAGCTGAAATTTGTGAAGGAAAGTTTATGTAGACGTAGCTAATGAAAATGCATGATTACCAAGAATTTTCAACTGTAAATGAACAGTGATATTTTTTTCAGGCAAAATTTTCTACAAAATTTAATAATAGAAAGTCAAACTAGCACTTGAAAAAGAGTGTGTGTGTGGAGGGGAGACCAAGCTGCTTTATATTTCTGTACACTTTTTTACTTCAGATGTAGACAGAAGTGATAGCATAGGCATAAACATAAAATTTCAGATTTTTGTAAGTGAAACGACAAAACATAAATGATTCTCAAAATCCTCAGAAGATTTTTATTTTGAGCTATATTTATCTTATGTATAAGGAAATTATCTGAGCTTCATTTAGAAGGAAACAAAAAAAAATCTGTAGACTAAAAAAAAAGCTATTTCATTAAATGTTCCTCAAATATTTGTTGTAGATACTTACAAAAGTATTTTTTTATGTACTTTATAAGGTTGTCACACGTGCTGAAGGGAGAGTTCACACACTTATTCTTAGAGATGTCAAGTTAACAGATGCCGGTGAAGTGTCACTGACTGCAAAAGATTTCAGAACTCAAGCAAATCTTTTTGTGAAAGGTAAGTCAGTCATTTTAATTATACCATAGCCAGTGTTAACAGACCATTCATGTTTCACCCCACAAAAGGATGTCAGCATACACCATATATCAAATTAGAAGGCTCATATATACAACATCAGAATGGTAAATACATTTCCTTACTAAAAATACCCCTTTAAAATCTTGATGTTTCATGGAAGAGTTGAGAAAATGATGAAATAGCGAAATAGTGAAAATGTGACAGATGTGGGAGATCAATCAGTTCTTTAGGGTTTCTACAGCTTCACTGCAGATTTGAACGTTCAAGTGACCTCAGTATGACACACCAATACCATACCTAGTTAAGACTTGCTTTTAGTCTTTCAAGTATCTGGAAAACTATGAAAAAAAAACCTTCAGCAGAGAAGTTCAAGAGTGCTGTTGATTGTTCAATTTAAAAAAAAAAAAAGAAAAAGTGAGCAGAATGGAACAGTTCTGTACTAGCAGAAGGCCAGATGTGATTTAGACCTTTTCTACCAAAAATCTGTCTACTTTCAGAACCCCCAGTTGAATTTACTAAACCACTTGAGGATCAGACTGTCGAAGAGGAGGCCACTGCAATACTGGAATGTGAAGTTTCCAGGGAAAATGCAAAAGTGAAATGGTTTAAAAATGGAGAAGAAGTTCATAAAACAAAGAAGTATGATATCATTTCTGAAGGCAGAGTCAGAAAACTCATTATCCATGGCTGCACACTGGATGATGCAAAAACATATACCTGTGATGCCAAAGATTTTAAGACATCATGTTTTCTCAATGTTGAACGTAAGTAGATTATAATTTTCTATGGAATAAGAGTATAGACACTAGTACTATGATAAGCAATAAATCATAATATACATTTCAGCAATTTATTTTGCATTATCTGAGGTTTTCCTCTACTAAAAATTCTGTGCTTTTTTTGTAGCTCTTCGTGTTGAGTTCCTGAGGCCACTAACTGATCTTGAAGTTAAAGAAAAAGAGACTGCTCGGTTTGAATGTGAAATTTCTCGCCCAGGTGTCAAGGTCAATAATATTTTCATTTTTTTAAATTTGAGTAGTTCCTTCAACTAGAGCTTTTACTTAAAATTGTTGCAAAAGAACACACAGCTGAAATCTGTGCTGAGCATTAATTTTAGTAACCATGTCAATTTGTTGTAAAACAGGTGAAGTGGTTCAAGGATGGCATTGAAATTAGAAAAGGCAAGAAGTATGATATAATTTCCAAAGGGGCAGAACGCGTTCTTGTTATTAGTAAATGTCTCTTTGATGATGAAGCTGAATATGCCTGTGAAGCCAAAACAGCTAGAACTTCTGGCCTACTTACAGTGATAGGTAAATGCGTTATTTTCATAATTTCATCTGTAAAGAAGAAAAAATGTTGTTTTGATGTAAGATCTTATTTGGTTTTCCAAATTCTTTTTTGCAGAGGAAGAAGCTGTTTTCACAAAACATCTTCATGATCTTGAAGTAAATGAAAATGAGACTGTAAGGTTGATCTGTGAAGTCTCAAAGCCTAATGCTGAAGTTACTTGGTTTAAAGGAGATGAGGAGGTGCCTGATGGTGGTAGATTTGAATACATTTCTGATGGCCGAAAGAGAATTCTTGTCATACGTAATGCTCATCCTGAGGATGCTGGCAAATATACTTGCAAACTACCAAGCTCTAGTACAACAGGAAAACTTACTGTACATGGTAAGAGAGTTATTTTTTTGTCTCTGTTCTGAAAAAAAGAGATCAATTAGATCAATACATTTTGGTTTATTCTCTTTATAAAAAGAGAAATATAAAGATAGATACCTGCAAATTTATTTATTTATTTATTTATTTATTTATAGAACTTGCTGCAGAATTTCTTACCAGACCACAAAATCTTGAAGTTCTTGAAGGAGACAAAGCTGAATTTGCCTGTTCAGTATCCAAAGAGGCAATTACAGTACAATGGCTGTGGGGTGACACAGTCCTGGAACCTGGTGATAAGTACGACATCATTTCAGATGGCAAAAAGAGGACACTTGTGGTTAAAGACTCCATTATAGGAGATGCAGGAAAGTACACTGTCATGGTTGGTGAAGCTAAAGCTACAGCACGCCTGACAGTGATTGGTAAGTTTTGTTTTATCATTCTGAATATTTTATTGCATTTCTTGTACAACATGATTTATTACTTCTTCCATTTTTTCAATTTCAGAAAAACTCAGGATTGTAACTCCCCTTAAGGACCAAGAAGTTAATGAGGGTCAAGAAATTATCTTCAACTGTGAAGTAAATAAAGAGGGTGCCAAAGAGAAGTGGTACAAAAATGGCGAGGCAATATTTGATAGTGCAAAATATATTATTGTCCAGAAGGATTTAGTTTATACTCTCCGAATCAGGGATACACAGTTGAAAGATCAAGCAACATACAGTATCTCACTGTCAAACCACAGAGGGGAACATGCCGAGAGCTCTGCTGCCTTAACAGTATTAGGTAAAAAAAAACTTTCACTATATTACAGCTATTCAATGACCATTGTTTTGATTTCACAGGATGTAAATTAATCTTTTTTTTTTTTTTTTTTTTTTTAATTCTTAATAGAGGAGGATCTTAGAATTGTTGAACCCCTTGAAGACATTGAGACCATGGAAAAGAAAACTGTCACATTCTGGTGCAAAGTCAATCGTCTTAATGCAACTCTCAAATGGACAAAGAATGGTGAAGAGATTACCTTTGACAAGCGTGTTCTGTATAAAATTGATAAATACAAACACTCACTCATCATTAAAGACTGTGGCTTTAAAGATGAAGGTGAATACACTGTAACTGCTGGACAAGACAAATCTGTTGCAGAACTTCTCATCACAGAAGCACCAGCAGATTTCATTGAACATCTCCAGGACCAGACCGTCACTGAATTTGATGATGCTGTCTTTACCTGCCAGCTTTCCAAGGAGAAAGCTAGTGTAAAATGGTACAGAAATGGCAGAGAAATCAAAGAAGGCAAAAAGTATGCATGTTTTATTATGCTTGTACATATGTTATTTGTATTCACTTTACTTTCTGTCTTTATCTGGAAATTAAAATACTGCTTACTTATTTTCTCTCCCATAAAGATATCAGTTTGAAAAGGATGGAAATCTTCACAGATTAATCATAAAAGACTGTAGACTAGATGATGAATGTGAATATTCCTGTGGAGTGGATGACAGAAAATCTAGGGCAAGACTTTTTGTTGAAGGTACTTGTAAAATTAAGTTGGATTAATTTCTTCATTATTTAGTGATAGTAGAAATGATAGACAAATAACCCCAAATGAATTGACATTCATTTCAGAAATCCCTGTGGAGATTATTCGACCACCACAAGATGTTTATGAAGCTCCTGGTGCAGATGTCATCTTCATGGCTGAACTGAACAAAGATGGTGTGGAAGTCAAGTGGCTGAGAAACAACATGATTATCATCCAAGGTGACAAACATCAAATGATGAGTGAAGGAAAAGTCCATAGGCTGCAGGTGTGCGATATAAAGCCTCGTGACCAAGGAGAATACAGATTTATTGCTAAAGATAAGGAAGCAAGAGCTAAACTTGAATTAGCTGGTAAGTTGTCTGTTTCATACTTGTTTTATAAAATGTAAGATGAGTGAAATAAGTCTTCAACTAAATTTTGTTTTTCTTCTTTCAAAGAGTTGCATTAAAAAGAATATGCAATCAGGCATATGCTGTTGAGGAAATTAGAGGACGCTTTTCATTGTCTACAGTAAAGAGCGAGAATTGAGGTTTACAGAAGACAGAACCATTTCATTTGGTCACTGCAGATGTGAAAAGCAAAAATTATTTGACATGATCATTTTAGTTACATGAGTTATGGCTTCATTCATTCAACTTCAGACCAGTAAATTACATTAAATTAATGCTCAAAAAGCAGCTCCCTCTTTCCTGACTTTATAGGAGGGCTGATTTTCTTGCTCTCTGGAGCAATGTAATGAATACATAAAGAAACTTGTTTAGAATTCACATAACGGCTCCTTTTGTTTTTCTACTCCTTTGCTTCTACTTCTTTGCTTACCACACATTATTCTTTTAATATGGAAGTACTCATTTGTCACATTGATATTCCTTAGCTGCACCTAGAATCAAGACTGGTGATCAAAACCTAGTGGTTGATGTTGGGAAGCCTTTAACTATGACTGTTCCATATGATGCCTACCCAAGAGCAGAAGCTGAATGGTTGAAAGGGGAGGAAAGTCTACCAACAACAACAGTTGATACAACAACTGACTGTACTACCTTCAAAATTTATGAAGCAAAGAAATCAGATAAAGGAAGGTACAAGGTTGTACTTCGAAACAAACATGGACAGGCAGAAGCTTTCATCAATGTAAAGGTCATTGGTAAGTGCTCCTATTATTAAATTTTTACTTACATTTAGTTAAGCCACATAAAATAAAAAGATGCAATCACCTAAATTATTGTTATATATTTGTTAGATGTTCCAGGGCCAGTTAGAAACTTGGAAGTCACTGAAACTTATGATGGTGAAGTTGGCCTTGCCTGGCAAGAACCAGAAAGTGATGGTGGAAGTAAAATCATTGGCTATGTTGTTGAAAGGCGTGATATCAGGCGTAAGACTTGGATTGTGGCCACTGATCATGCTGAAAATTGTGAATACACTGTTACTGGACTTCAGAAAGGAGGAGTTGAGTACCTCTTCCGTGTAAGCGCACGGAACCGAGTGGGTACTGGTGAACCAGTAGAAACAGAGAGACCTGTGGAAGCTAAAAGCAAATTTGGTGAGCAGAAGTTACGAAAAATTTGGTGTTTGATGACAGCATGAAAGGAAAACAAAGCATTACTTACTGTAACAATAGATAGAGAAACATCCTTGTTTTTTCTTTTTCTCCATAAAATGAAATGCAGATGTTCCTGGTCCTCCTCAAAATGTAGAAGTTACTGATGTGAATAGGTCTGGTGCTACGCTTACCTGGGAAGTTCCTGAGTATGATGGAGGATCTCCAATTACTGGCTATGTTATTGAACTGCGTAACAGAGGTTCCATCAAATGGGAGCCAACTATGACCACTGGAGCTGATGAACTGTCAGCTGTCCTGACTGATGTTGTGGAAAATGAAGAATATTTCTTCAGAGTTAGAGCTCAAAATATAGTTGGAGTTGGCAAACCAAGTCATCCTACACGTGCAGTGAAGATTATGGACCCAATTGGTAAGCATGCCAGCGCTACTATGATTGCATTTGCTTATTTAAATATTACGTGTACTGGAATGTTCCAAGAAGCAATTAGAGAAATGTGTGTACTGAAAAATAACATGTTCAGCTAGGCTTTTCCTAATTTTGATGTTTAAACATTTCAGAAATATCTTACAAGCATTTGGCACAATAAGAACTGCCAATATTTTTGATCTGAACTTATGAGACAACCTTTATTTAAAAAATAGAAGGAATGCAACTTTAAAAATAGTACTTTAAGGTACAGACAACTGATATGCTGAACTATACTCCTTTACCAAGTTGCCAAGATGCGTTTCTCTCAAATTATTTTCAGAGAGACCAAGTCCTCCCATTAACCTTGATCATTCAGATCAAACAAAAACATCAGTGCAGCTCACATGGGAGCCTCCACTCGAAGATGGAGGAAGTCCAATCTTAGGATATATTATTGAAAGGAGAGAAGAAGGAACAGACAAATGGATCCGCTGTAACCCAAAACTAGTACCAGCGCTTACTTTTAAGGTGAGATGCTTGGCTCATCAGCAAAGTACTACCAAAAAAATGTGTAGTTAATTTTTAATGAGTTACTAAAAATTATTTGTGCTTTTTAGGTAACTGGATTGAAAGCAGGGTCTAGCTATTACTACAGAGTCTCAGCAGAAAATGCAGCTGGGGTGTCTGATCCAGCTGAGGCTATTGGACCATTAACTGCAGACGATCCTTTTGGTAAGCTATGTGCTGTTTATCAAAGATAATTAATTAGAAAAGATGCACAGCTGAAGTTCATCTTGTGGCTTGGATGTATGTGTTTCTTCTGTGATTCTAAATAGCAGAAAAAGCTTTAGTCCTATGAGATTCTGGGTTATTTCTCTTCGTTAAGAATCCCACCAATAATTAGCTGTATTAGGTAGAGACCTGTTAGGTTGCCTGGAGAGTAAGAGGTGACCTTTTGTCTCCTGACCTAGGTATGTGGAAGATGGGAGATATCTGAGGGAGAGAAAGTCAGGGAATACACAAAAGAAATCATGAAGTTCTTACTTTAAAGAATAGGTTAGATTTCTTATCTATTAATTCTAAAATATCACATATTTCTAACAGATTTTTAGCTGGGAAAGGGAGGAATTCATAAGCTACAACCAGGCCTAGACAGCTGCAACCTGTTGGCTCAGATGGACTCAGAATCACCCTTTAAAAACAGCTATCATTAGTCATTTTCAGAACATTTGAAAATATTTAATGAAATTCATTTTCCATTTTTTCAGTTGGACCTACAATGGACCTAAGTGCATTTAAAGATGGACTAGAAGTTATTGTTCCAGAGCCAATAAAGATCCATGTTCCTATCACTGGCTACCCTATTCCAACTGCCACATGGTCTTTTGGTGAGCAAGTCTTAGAAGAAGGTGATCGTGTAACAGTGAAGACCACTGCTGCCTTTGCAGAACTTGTAATTACTCCAAGCGAACGTCCAGACAAGGGAATTTATACCTTAACATTAGAAAACCCTGTATCATCTGTTTCAGGAGAAATCAATGTTAACGTCATTGGTAAGTGGACATGTATATATTCTAATATTAACATTATTAGATTAATACAGTAAAATCACATAACTTTCAGTAAGCCAAGAGTATTAAAACATAACTACAAATTAGAAATTAAACCCCCCAAAAGCTTTTTTCTTATCTTCAACAGCCAGCTGCTTACTATTTTAGGAAGAATAATTAAGTACAGCAAGTTTTTTGGCAGATAGATAAAATAAAGATCATCTGACAATGTCTGATTAGAAAATAATAAAATGATTGTGATTTCCAGCTCGCCCAGGTGCTCCAAAAGAGCTTAAAGTTGTAGACGTAAGCAGGAGTACAGTACAGCTGTCATGGGAACCTCCAGAAGATGATGGTGGAAGTCCAGTTATTGACTATATAATTGAAAAACGTGAAGTAAGCCGGAAAACATGGATCAAGGTATGTTCATTCTTTATCATTCCTTTTGTATTTGCTATATTGTTTCCACACGTGCTGCTGAATTTTGTCATAATTTTGTAATAGCTCTTTGGAAATAGATTTTAGAAGCACAATGGATTCTTCCTTCACATTAGGTTATGGATCATGTCGTGGACCAAGAGTTGTCTGTACCTGATCTCATCCAAGGAAAAGAATATTTATTTAGAGTTTCTGCACGCAATAAGTGTGGCCCAGGAGAGCCTGCATATATTGATGAACCCATAAATATGTCAGCACCAGCAAGTGAGTCAACTTTTTTAGACTTGCTCATTTTCTTGGTGACTGTCTTTGAAAATCTTGCTGATTTTCCTTTCAACAATATGTTAAAAATAATAAATAAATAAAAATATTAAACCAACTAAAAAAAAAAAAAAAAAAAAAACAAAAACAACCAAAAACCAAATGAACAAAAAAACAGTTCCTTAGATTGTTTTCTAAGATACCGTATGTATTTAATTTTTAATAGCGGTGCCCGATCCACCTGAGAATGTTAAATGGAGAAATCCAACTTCAAAAGGAATCTTCCTAACATGGGAACCTCCCAAATATGATGGTGGTGCTCGCATCAAGGGCTATCTGGTAGAAAAATCACAACGTGGCACAGATAAGTGGGAGATATGTGGGGAGCCTGTTATTGAAACAAAGTAAGTAACTTCACGCTATAGTTACAACCTTTTAACTAACTGTACTATCCAAGCCTCTTTAAAAATTTGTATTTTTTTTTTTTAACAAACAGAATGGAAGTAACAAAACTTACGGAAGGAGAGTGGTATGCGTATCGGGTTAAGGCTTTGAACAGAATAGGAGCAAGCAAGCCAAGCAAGCCAACAGATGATATTCAGGCCATTGATGCGAAAGGTAATTACTTCTATCAATTACAATAGCCACCTCATTTTTACTAGTCTCTGAAATATTGTTTCTATAACAATGTTTCAATTGTCTCCTAAATCAGAGGCTCCAGAAATTTTCTTAGATGTGAAACTGCTCGCTGGACTCACTGTGAAAGCTGGAACTAAAATTGAGCTGCCAGCCAAAATAACTGGAAAGCCTGAGCCCCGAATTACTTGGACCAAGGCCGAAAAAATACTGAGACCTGATGATAGAATCACTATTGAAACGAAACCTGGTCATTCTACAGTCACTATTACAGACAGCAAGAGGAGTGACAGTGGAACCTACATTATAGAAGCTGTAAATTCCAGTGGACGTGCTACAGCTGTTGTTGAAGTTAATGTTCTCGGTATGCACATTTTTTATTATTATTATTAAAAGCATGAGTAATGTATTGAGATATGCAAGCAGAAGATTAACGTTTTCATCCTATCTCCTACAGATAAACCTGGTCCACCAGCTGCATTTGATGTATCAGAAATCACTAATGAATCCTGCCTTCTGACATGGAATCCTCCCCGAGATGATGGAGGTTCTAAAATTACTAACTATATCCTTGAGAAAAGAGCTACGGACAGTGAAATATGGCATAAATTGTCATCGACTATCAAGGACACTTCATTCAGAGCTACCAATTTAACTCCTCATAAGGAATATGTGTTCCGAGTCAGTGCTGAGAACATGTATGGTATTGGGGAGCCAGTACAGTGTAACCCCATCATTGCAAAATATTCCTTTGGTTAGTGAATTAAATATTAAATTTTGAAAATGTTAAATTTTAACAGCTATGAAAATGCATGTGTAATGGTGTTTTTTTGTTTTGCTTTTTTCATTTATTAATTTATACAGATCCACCAGGCCCTCCAACAGGTCTCAAGCCTATAGAGGTTACCAAAGATTCAGTGACCCTAACATGGAATGAACCAGATGAAGATGGTGGCAGCCCCATTACTGGCTACTGGGTTGAGAGATACGATCCTGAGCAGGATAAATGGATAAAATGCAATAAAATGCCAGTGAAAGATACAACATTCAAGTAAGATATAGTCACTTTAGGCTGAAGCTGAGATGTAAAAATTTAAAAGTAGCCTTTTAAACAAATGTTACTTCATGACTGTTCTTTTTTCCCTGCTTCTGTAAGTTTAGATTCAACTAATATCCAGTTACATACTTTATCTGGTGAAGAAGTATGTCTTTACAGAAAACTGAATTGTTGCTTACTTTTTTCTTTTTTTCTATTATGCTTACTAACATCTGTGCTTTGTGATTACTTATAAGACATTCAAAAATAACAAACAAAGCCATCTTCTGCATCAATTTGCTAACATCCCTTTTTTAAACCTGACATTTGCATTAGCTAAAAGTCATACTACAAACAGAAATGTGAGATGACTCTCAATACATCTATCTCTACATCTCAGCACACCATTTTGCTGTTGGCAGTACGCCTATTCTCAATGTTTCATATAGCATCATTAGCTGTAACTTGGTTATTTCCAGATTTTCTAAGTAAATTATAAAGAATATAGAAAATATTGTTTTAGGTAAGAGTTAACATGTGGATTGTTTTAATCAAACTTAATTTTGATTTCCAGAGTTAAAGGTCTTACAAATAAGAAGAAATACAAGTTCCGTGTCTTGGCAGAGAATCTTGCAGGACCTGGAAAACCAAGCAAGGAAACAGAGCCAATCTTAGTGAAAGATCCAATTGGTATAATAAACATATCTTGAATGTTCTAATTTAACAAAAAAAAGTTTTTAGGTCTTTTTTTCCATCATTTAATTAATATTGAACTCTTGTCTAGATCCACCATGGCCCCCTGGAAAGCCAACAGTGAAGGATGTTGGCAAAACGTCATTATTTCTGAACTGGACAAAGCCAGAACACGATGGAGGGGCAAAGATTGAGTCTTATGTCATTGAACTGTTAAAGACTGGAACAGATGAGTGGGTGAGAGTGGCTGAAGGAGTGCCCACAACTGAACACTTTCTCAAAGGACTTATGGAGAAACAAGAATATTCATTCCGTGTAAGAGCTGTGAACAAGGCTGGAGAGAGTGAGCCTAGTGAACCCAGTGACCCTGTGCTGTGCAAGGAGAGGCTGTGTAAGTATTGTTTCAGAATGTGCTGTTTCTGCAAGTACACTCAGTCTATCTTAAAAAGCCTCATGTCTGCCTATCTCTGTAGGCAGCAAGTGAACGTTTCCAGACACACTAAATATTAAAATCTACCCTTGTTGATCTAAGAAGTTTTCATAGTTTCAGTATTATTCTCTATCTTCCAGGATCTTTGCTGGGCAAGATAGTAACCTGCTTTTCCTTTTATTATTATTTTACAGTTCCTCCTTCTCCTCCTCGATGGCTTGAGGTTATTAATATTACTAAAAACACAGCAGATCTTAAATGGACAGTGCCAGAAAAAGATGGCGGCTCCCCAATTACCAACTACATTGTTGAAAAGAGAGATGTAAGGAGAAAAGGCTGGCAGACTGTAGATACAACAGTGAAAGATACCAAGTACACAGTGAGCCCTCTGACTGAAGGCTCATTGTATGTCTTCCGTGTGGCTGCTGAAAATGCCATTGGGCAAAGTGACTACTGTGAAATTGAAGATTCAGTGCTTGCTAAAGATACTTTCAGTAAGTTTGAGATTTGCTTTCGGAGTGATTAATGGAATAGCTGACTTCTCATGGATTCCTTTTTTACTAATTTGTGTATGTATTTTGTTTAGCAACCCCTGGGCCTCCATATGCTCTTACAGTAGTTGAAGTGACAAAAGGTCATGTTGATTTGAAATGGGAACCACCTAAGAATGATGGTGGCAGACCAATTCAAAGGTAAGCTCATTTTATGATTGTGTTTTCTGTGGATTATTTTTCCATAAACGAAGACGCTTCTTTCAACGTTTTTAAATTTTAAATAGACATATTTTATATGAAGAAGAGGTGAATTTATGTGACAAGCAACTTTATGGTTGCAGCAAGTACAAGTTTAATTTTAAAAGTGGAAATTATACAAATAGAAATGATCTAATGTGCATAAACGATTAATGTGTGTAAACATCCTCAAAAAAAAAAAAGGGGGGGTGGGATCTAATTAAATGAGATGAAATTGAGTTGTATATACAAAATTAAGCTTTAATGCAGACATAGTCTCCAGCTCTAGGTGAAGCTCTAGCTACTTTTCCTGTTACATTTTTCAACACAACTGTTAACAACTGCCTGAGTTTCTCAGTAAAACTACATATGTTGAGCTGGTACAAAGCATCATCTTTGTTTTTTCTCTTTATTCCATTTCTCAGACTATTTTCCTCCTTTTGGTTTCTTCTAAATTCTCCTTTTCTTTAGTTTCTCAAGTATCTCTTCTCCGAAATTTACCTTGAGTAGCAGTTAGATTTTTCTCTATATATTTTCACTCTTCCTCTTCTTCCCATTCACAGTAAACATATCCTAAACAAACTGACAACTACAAAGATCTGCTTGAAGGAACATAAATCGTTTAATCTTTCTTATCATCCCATAGATTATTGTAAACAGAATTCAGATAACTGAAGTATTCAGAGATAATATCTACAGACATTTTCAATAGAACTTATCCACTGCTGTCTGAATTAGAAAATATATAAATATAGCATGGGAGTTTTTTTTACCTCTGCAGCTCTACAAAACCCAAGAACAGATTTACTCTGTCATCAGCAGCAACCCCATTAGCCTAATAGCTACTAAGGCTATTAGGATTGTGTTGCTGATATGTGAAATTATGCTTAGTCTGTCACCATTGACTACCTTTATTTTTCCATTGGCTAAACCATTCAAATCTCACATTATTTTAATGAGCAGGAAATCTGAAATGTTCATATTTGACATTCCTGATACTATTTGTTCCTATTTATTCAGATATGTTATTGAAAAGAAAGAAAAACTAGCCACCCGCTGGGTAAAAGCTGGCAAGACAGCTGGTCCAGATTGCAATTTCAGAGTGACTGATGTCATCGAAGGTATAGATGTACAGTTCCAGGTTCGTGCAGAAAATGAAGCTGGCTGTGGTCATCCCAGTGAACCAACTGATCTCATTCATATTGAAGATCCAACAAGTAAGTAGCATTATAACATACAGCATATGGACTATGGAAGCAGTGTGTTGGCTAGAACAGATAATTGAGTGAAAAATAACACATCTTTTTTATTTTTACAGGCCCTCCTTCACCTCCTCAGGATTTACATGTCACAGATGCAGGTCGAAATCATATTTGCATTGCATGGAAGCCACCAGAGAAGAATGGTGGAAGTCCTATTATTGGGTACAACGTTGAGTTGTGTGAAGCAGGAACAGAAAAATGGATGCGAATCAATTCTCGTCCAATAAAAGATCTAAAATGCAAAGTGGAGGAAGGTGTTGTTCCAGACAAGGAATATGTGCTGAGAGTCAGAGCAGTCAATGCTGTTGGAGCCAGTGAGCCATCAGACATCTCAGAAAAAGTTGTTACCAAGGACCCGGACTGTAAGAATAGATTTTCTTTCTGAAATCTACATAACTGATAACTGAAAAAAAGTCTATAGTGTTCAGTACATTTATAATATTAAATTTATTTTTACAGGTAATCCAACCATTGATCTAAAAACTCGTGATATTGTTGTTGTTAAAGGACAGAAATTAAGTATCCCTGTACCCTTCAGAGCTGTTCCATCCCCAACAATCACATGGCACAAAGATGGCAAAGAGTTAAAAGCTGGTGACAGAACAACGATGAAGAGTGACTACACTTCTGCATTGCTTGAAGTCATAGAGAGTGTTCATGCTGATGCTGGCGTTTATACAATTACATTGGAGAACAAACTGGCATCGACAACTGGTTCTGTCAACGTCAAAGTCATTGGTAACTAGACATCTTTCATTCTGGGAGAGATGCCTGTCTCTGTTTGAGCCCACTAACTGATGGAAGTACTAGAAAATCTCTTTTTTGCCATGTGGATTTATCACTTCAAGTCAGACGCTCTGTAAATTGCCTTCATTGCATTAATATAACAAAATCTAACCAAAAATACACTTTATTCTAAATTGATATTACTAGTCTGTGGCTGCATAAAGTCCAATTACTATGAATAATCATCATATAAATTTTAAAAAGCTTATGAAAATTAAGATTTTTTTTTCATCTTTAGGAATATGAGTTCCTATATATGCTTTGTAGCCAGCTTCTGTGGGTTTGGTCTGCCTTCTTTAAAGCAATGAAATGCAGTATAATTTCATATTTGTAGGAATACATTTCCCTTCTATTTAGTTAACTGTGACATTAAATAACTTTATTATAATTACAGGTCCACCTGGACAGTGTAAAGACATTAAGGCAAGCGAAATAACTAAGAATTCTTGTAAGGTAACCTGGGAACCTCCAGACTTTGATGGTGGTACTCCTATTCTGCATTATGTTCTGGAACGCAGAGAAGCTGGTCGTAGAACATATCTCCCAGTAATGTCTGGTGAAAATAAACTCTCATGGCATGTCAAAGATCTTATCCCAAACAGTGAATATTACTTCCGTGTTAAAGCTGTCAATAAAATTGGAGGAGGTGAATATCTTGAACTAAGAAACCCAATTATTGCAGAAGATCCAAAACGTAAGTCTACTACTAAGTGACCTAGCATGCTGAATTTTAACTAAAATCTTCACGTGTTCTTCACTCGTGTAATACCTCTTTTGCTGTTGTTTCACAGAGCCTCCAGATCCTCCTGTTGACCTTGAGACCCATAATCCAACATCAAAATCAGTAACTCTTACATGGAAACCACCACTGTTTGATGGCGGAAGCAAGATTATGGGCTACATAATAGAAAAGCTTGCTAAGGGCAAGGATGTATGGGAAAGATGCAATGAATATCTGGTACCTCTATTAACCTATCCAGTGAAAGGTCTTGAGGAAGGGAAGGAATACCAATTTCGTGTTCGTGCTGAGAATGCTGCTGGTATTAGTGAGCCTTCTCGGATTACTCCTTTTGTGAAAGCTGTGGATCCCATTGGTATGAATTGCTTATTTGATTGTTTGTTGTAATTGCCATTCACCCTCAAACATGTGGGTGGATTCTACTCTTCATTTGTCATTGTTATTACAGAGGCTCCCAAAGTCTTCCTTGCTGCAAACCTGCAGTCTGGTCTTGAGGTGAAGAAAGGTGATGAGATCATACTTGAGGCACATATTTCAGGATCACCTTATCCATCTATTACTTGGCTGAGGAATGATGAAGTTATCAGACCAGAGGAAATCAAAAAGAGAGTAACCACATATACTAGGAAGAAGAAGGGTGTAACTGAAGAAGAGGAACCTTTTCAGCTTTCGCTGCCAGAACGTATGAGTATTGACAACCATAAAAAAGGAGAGTCTGTGCTATCAATTCGTGACTCCATCAGAGCTGACCATGGCACATTTACAATTAAAGTGGAAAATGATCATGGTGTTGCAAAAGCGTCCTGTGAAGTTAATGTGTTAGGTGTGTAGTGAATGTACTTGTAACCAGCTACTTGTTCAATGCACTAAGTGAGAAGTGAAGTACATTAGTACTCATCATTTTTTCTTGCTTTACTGGCAGATATTCCTGGGCCTCCAGTCAACTTTGTATTTGAAGACATGAGGAAAAATTCTGTCATTTGCAAGTGGGAGCCTCCCCTTGATGATGGTGGAAGCGAAATCCTGAACTATGTACTGGAAAAGAAAGACAACACAAAAGCTGAAATAGGCTGGGTTACTATCAGCTCAACACTCAGGCACTGTCAATTCCATGTAACAAAACTGATTGAAGAGAAAGAATATCTCTTCCGTGTATTTGCTGAAAATAGAGTTGGAGCAGGGCCCCCATGTGTTTCAAAACCAATGACAGCAAAAGATCCTTTCTGTAAGTTTTAATTTTGAAATACAGTCTTTTCTGAAAACTGCTATTAATCTACAGACTCTTAGAACACTCAGTTTCATCCACGTGAAAGTTTCCCAGAAGAGTACTGGACAATACAATTATTACTTATTGCATTTTTTTAAAACCATAGATATAAAGGGAAATATCAAAAAGCATTCTAGTTTCAATAGTAAAGAAATAAGAACAGCAGTCATATTCTTACCAAAAGAGAAAACCACTGTAAGTTTGATGACTGGTTACAGTTAGGAATCAAAAAGAGCAAGAAAATTAAGACTTCCTTAAAATTAATAATTTCTCATATTTTTGTTCTTAGTTCTGAGTAAATTCTGAATAAGACAGCAATGATTACAAAATTGTAATCTTTTTCTTCTAGCTCCACCAGATCCACCTAATAAGCCTGACGTGGAAGATGTTACCAGCAACAGTATGTTGGTTAAATGGAATGAACCAAAAGACAATGGCAGCCCAATCATAGGATATTGGATTGAAAAACGTGAAATTAATGGCACTCATTGGGCTCGAGTCAACAGGAATCTTGTGAATGCTCTGGAACTAAAAGTTGAAGGACTATTGGAAGGATTAACCTATATCTTCAGAGTTTGTGCTGAAAATGCAGCTGGCCCTGGTAAATTCAGTCCACCATCAGATCCAAAAACTGCACAGGACCCAATAAGTAAGTAGCTTAACAAAATGTGCTAGCAGACTAGTGACAGAATAGTATTCATAACCTTTAATTTTGATTTACGTATCTTATTTTATAGTGCCACCTGGTCCACCCATTCCAAGGGTTGCTGATACAACCTCAGTTTCTATTGAGTTAGAATGGGAACCTCCTATGTATAATGGTGGTGGAGATATCACTGGTTACCATGTATACAAACAATTAATGGGAACAAAAGAATGGTCTCGTTGCACAGAGAAGCCCATTAAGGTCCGGCAGTATACTGTGAAAGAAGTCAGAGAAGGTGCAGACTATAAACTTCGTGTTACTGCACTTAATGCAGCTGGTGAAGGACCACCTGGTGAAACTGAACCTGTAACCGTTGCAGAACCCCAAGGTATGGCAATTATAATATTTTGAAAAATTTTCAAGCTGCCTAAAAGCCGTACTTGAATCTTTCCCTTGAACTAATGAAACATCTCTCTTTCTTCTTCAGAACCTCCTACTGTTGAGCTGGATGTTTCTGTCAAAGCAGGCATTCAGATCATGGCTGGGCAAACAATTAAAATTCCTGCTACTGTGACAGGGCGTCCTGCTCCCACCATTGTATGGACTGTGGAGGAAGGTGAATTGGACAAAGATAGAGTTGTTATTGAAAATGTTGGCACAAAATCAGAATTAACCATTAAGAATGCATTGAGAAAAGACCATGGAAGATATGTAATTACTGCAACAAACAGTAGTGGTTCCAAATCAGCGGGGACCAGAGTAGAAGTATTTGGTAAGAAAAAATATTTTCTGAAATCAGCTGAGCATCTCTTTTGGTGAAATAATCTTTGGGCTTTATCCTACTTGTTTGATTTTATTTTTTTCAGATGTTCCTGGACCAGTACTTGACCTAAAGCCAGTGGTCACAAACAGAAAGATGTGCTTGCTTAACTGGTCTGATCCCGAAGATGATGGAGGCAGTGATATCATAGGCTTTATTGTTGAACGGAAAGATGCCAAAATGCATACATGGAGACTAGCTATCGACACAGAAAGATCTAAATGTGATATTACAGGTCTAGTTGAAGGGCAGGAATATAAATTTCGTGTCAGTGCCAAGAACAAGTTTGGTACCGGTCCAGCTGTTGAAATAGGACCAATTCTTGCAGTTGATCCATTAGGTAAGATAATTTATGACTTATTTATGTTTTTTTTCTTTCTCCCTGTCAGGATAATTTGACTGCCTTTCACAATTTATTTGCTCAGATTTCTGAAACAGAGTGTAGAATTACTGTATCTCTTTATGTAATAAAATTCTGGTATCTACTGACATACTGATTGCTGCCATTTCATCTATATATATTAAAAACTTTCTGCTATCCATATACATATTCAAATATTTTGCATATGAAAGATATGACTTTGAAAAGCCACAGCTATTTTAGCTACTGTAGTCATACAATTTAAAATATCAGTGGCTACTCCAAAAGTAATGCCTCCTATTTTATGTTGGTCCTGGACATCAGAGGCAGATGTTAGTGGTATGGCAGTGGAGGTTGAACCTTCCCATCAATATTCTGTTAAATTTTGTTGCCATGTGACAGATGGCAGCAGAGATAAAATAATAAATAAAATGCTACCTGACAAAGTGCATATGAAGTAAAGGTATGGGACTGAATTCCTCCTTGCAGAAAAAATTATAGCCATTGTCATTCATCTGCACTCGCTGAATGTTTATGGACACTAAATGTTTATGGATGTTAGCACAACAAAAGCTGGACTGCATGGGCAGTATTTTTCTACCAGCCATCACAGCAGCTGTGAAGCAATGTGTTATCTCCTCTAGTTCACATTTTTACAAGCACAGCATGCAGGCTCTTGTTCATAGCTGTCAAAAAAGCAGTTAATGGTGATGACTGTGGAAAAAAAGTGTTTTATAGCTGAGAATTTGCTCTATCAAATAATGTTATGCTCTTTATATCTGTTGTAGTTTCCATCGAAATAAATGGGAGGCATTACTTTCAGAGTAACTGACGTTATATTTTATATTTTTTTCATTATGATTTATCTGTGTTAATAGGTCCTCCAACAGCACCTGAGAGATTCATGTACACAGAGAGGACAAAGTCAACCATTACACTTGATTGGAAGCCTCCACGTAGTGATGGTGGTAGTCCTATCTTAGGATATATTGTCGAGAAGAGGAGGCATGATTCAAAAGACTATGAAAGAGTGAACCCAAGGCTCTGTCCAACCACATCTCTTCTCGTTGAAAAACTTGATGAACTCCATATGTATGAATTCCGTGTCAAAGCTGTTAATGAGATTGGAGAGAGTGAGCCGTCATTGCCCCTCAATGTAGTTATACAGGATGATGAAGGTATATCTAGTTTAAAGAAATCCATATAAACACCTTAAAAATAATGCAATTTCTGTTTCACTCCTAACTTCATTCTTTTTCTGCTTTTCAGTACCTCCCACTGTAACATTACGCTTAGCTGTGAGAGGAGATACTATCAAAGTGAAGGCAGGAGAGCCAGTTAATATTCCTGCTGATGTGACTGGACTGCCAATGCCGAAGATTGAATGGGACAAGAATGAAGTTTTAATTGACCAAACATCCAGTGCACTTAAGATAACAAAGGAAGAAGTATCAAGAAGTGAGGCAAAAACTGAACTTACCCTGCCTGCAGCCACAAGAGATGATAAAGGCACTTACACTGTGAGAGCTACCAATCGTCTTGGCACTGCGTTTCGCAATGCGCATGTTGAAGTGTATGGTAAGGATGTGACATTTCAATAAAATGGTAGACAGTTAGAATGCTTTTGTCTTTTTCTTAATGCAGTTCTATGTTCTCTTACTCTTATATAGATCGTCCTTCTCCACCAAGAAACCTTGCTGTTTCTGATATTAAAGCAGAATCATGCTATTTAACATGGGATGCACCTCTTGATAATGGTGGTAGCGAAATTACCCATTACATTATTGAGAAACGTGATGCTAGTAGGAAGAAGTCAGAGTGGGAAGAAGTCTCCAACAGTGCTGTAGACAGAAGATATGGGGTAATTTTATTATTTTTATGATATACTTCTGTATGACAGCATGCAATAAAAACTGCCTCTTGCATAGATACCTGTGCTAGTGGTCCATTTATAGTGCATAATTACTGAATGTACATTGCCCAACTGTGAATATACATATTATGTATATGTATTTTCCTCATGTGACCAAACAAAATAAATTGTTCTCATTCACTATTTAATCTCATGTGAATTTAGAAGATGTCTTCTTTTCCATTTTCCAGTATTACTTGTAGCTTTACCAACTGCAAAGTAAAATCTGATGACATTTTTATTTACATTTGATTGTGTGCACGTGAAATAAGACTATCCCTAGGGCACTGCATGCAGCTATGTAGTTACATACACGTCATGATATCGGTGAGATTCCGAGGTAGAATACAAAGCTAAAAACCCCTGAATAATAACAAATAAGTTGATTCTGAAAAATAACTACATACTGACTGAAATCTTATTTTTCAGGTGTGGAATCTTGCAACAAATGAAAAATACCAGTTTAGAGTCCGGGCTGTAAACAAATACGGAATAAGTGATGAATGCCTCTCAGAAAAAGTTGTTATTAAGGATCCCTATGGCCTTCCTGGACCTCCTGGAAAGCCCAAAATTTTAGATCACACTAGATCATCAATGCTGGTGGCATGGGAGCCTCCTTTGGACAACGGTGGCAGCCCAATAACTGGCTATTGGTTGGAGAAGAGAGAGGTGGGAGGTGTCTACTGGTCACGAGTTAATAGGGCTCCAGTAACGAAACCATCAGTAAAGGGTTTACAGTACAATGTGCTTCGCTTGGCTGAAGGTGTTGAATATCAGTTCAGAGTTATGGCTGAAAATCTTGCTGGAATTGGCCCACCCAGTGAACCGTCAGATCCTGCTTTAGCAGCAGATCCCATATGTAAGTATAAAATTTGTGACTACTTTTAAGATCTGTATCACAATACAATGTGGTACTTTTGTTAACATTGAATTTAGTGCAATTAATTGAATGCTTTGTTTTCATTAAACCAGAACAACGTTGTTTATGCAAAGTAGTTACCTAATTTTCTATTTTTCATTGGTTTTTAAATAACTGGCTTATTTAAACTATTACCCTTTCACTTATAAGCGTATAACTGTGATTATGCCATCACAAATATTGCCAAGTATATTTGTTTGAGTTCAGTATCAGATTTTTATATAATTACTTTTCTTCACTGTCAGAGTTCAGTGTTTATTGTTTATCTATGTACCTAAAGAATTCCTCAATAATATATGTAATATATGCAATTATTATGCATGTTCTAGGATTATATGCTCTGTGTATGGCAGAAAAACACTGAAAATGTTTGCATCCTTCTATAAACTCTTAAGAAAACTATACACAAGTACTAACTCTCAGGTAATTTTTGCATTTGCTTGCTCTTGTTTTACAAGTTGTGCCTGGCCCACCATCTTGTCCAGAGATCAAAGACAAAACCAAATCATCTGTATCTCTTGCGTGGAAGCCTCCACAAAAGGATGGTGGTAGCCCAATAAAAGGATATATTGTTGAAATGCAAGATGAAGGTAGTACTGACTGGAAAAAGGTGAATGAAGGAGACAAACTCTTTCCCACTTGCGAATGTGTTATTCCCAATTTGAAAGAGCTCAGAAAATACCGATTCAGGGTGAAAGCTGTAAATGCTGCTGGAGAATCAGAACCAAGTCCTGCGACATCTGACATACCTATCCAAGATATTTTAGGTAAGTGTTGTAGAAATTCATTTAGGTATTATATCTCAATGTTATCTACTGCTGTGAATAGTTGAACAGGACGTGAAGCAAGAGTCAACAGAATCAATAACAAGCAAATAATTGAACAGGAATGTAATAAAAGACTATGAGACTTTTTGGAAAGTGTTATGATAGCGCTTGTAAGTGCATGATCTACTGAGAACACTTACAAATTCACACAACCATAGTCCAGAAGTACTTCGTATTTTGTGATGAAATTGCAACAACAAATTTATTTGTATAATTTCCAGTTTACTTTTTATGCACACCACCTTTTCCAAATAAACATACAGTCTGTATTTAGACTAGTTCTGGCAGAAATTTACTTTTGGCAGCTCTGAAAAATTATTAACTAATTTTTTTTTTAATTTTGTTTTGTTTTGGTTTTTTTTCAGAGGAACCAGAAATCTTCCTTGATATTGGAGCACAGGATTTTCTCTCTTGTCGTGCTGGCACAACAATTAAAATCCCAGCTGTTATCAAAGGTCGTCCAGTTCCAAAATCATTTTGGGAATTTGAAGGAAAAGCAAAGACAACAGCAAAGGTTAGTAAAAGAAACGACAATTTTCTTAATCTATTTCTAGACATTTCAGTACGTCCCTTTCATATTTACTTTATTCCCTTTATTTATAGGAGGGAGGTCATAATGTACCTGAAGAAGCTCAGGTAAAGCAAGCAAGTTTTGTAACTTCAGTATTGCAAAATTTTTCAAACATAGACATTTGAAGTTGATCTATACATTTCTTTCTTTCTATGATCTACAGGTGGAAGCAACTGATACACGTTCAGTGATAATCATCCCTGAGTGCAACAGAAGTCATTCGGGACGATACAGTATTACAGCAAAAAACAAAGCAGGACAAAAAACAGCACATATCAGAGTCAATGTTCTTGGTATGGCTTACATATACTGAAATGTTCAGATGGTAGATTTTGGGGATTTTTTTCCTACATACTTGTGTAACATTGTTTCCGTTATGCTTTTACTTCAACAGATGTCCCAGGTCCACCAAAAGACCTAAAAGTAAGTGATATCACAAGAGGTAGTTGCAAACTTTCATGGAAGATGCCAGATGATGATGGCGGAGATAGAATCAGAGGATATGTTATTGAAAAAAGAACTATTGATGGGAAAGCCTGGACAAAAGTCAATGCAAACTGTGGAAGCACTTCCTTTGTTGTGCCTGATCTCATATGTGGTCAAGAGTATTTCTTCCGGGTACGTGCAGAAAACCGTTTTGGTGTTGGCCCACCTGCAGAAACTATCCAACGAACCACAGCCAGGGATCCAATCCGTAAGTGAAATCAAAATGAATAGAGTTAATTGAAACCAGATGATACTGTACAGTGAATTTATTTATGTTTCTGTTTCCTTTCTTAAGATCCTCCTGATCCACCTATTAAATTGAAGATTGGCCTTGTAACCAAGAACACAGTGAGCTTGACGTGGAAACCTCCAAAGAATGATGGCGGAGCTCCTGTTACTCATTATAATGTTGAATGTCTCCATTGGGATCGTACTGGAGAAGTGAAAGAGACTTGGAAACAGTGCAATAGACGTGATGTGGAGGAAACAAAGTTTACTGTTGAGGATCTTATAGAAGGTGGTGAATATGAATTCAGAGTCAAGGCTGTAAACATAGCAGGTCCTAGCAGGCCTTCAGCTACTGTCGGTCCACTTGTTGTCAAAGACCAAACGTGTAAGTAGTGGCTAATACCAATAAATATGAGTTCTACTCTACAATCATGAATGAAGCATTTTTGTATGCTAACTTTTATCAACATTTCATTGTAGGCCCACCATCTATTGAACTCAAAGAATTTATGGAGGTTGAAGAAGGAACAGATGTTAACATTGTGGCCAAGATAAAGGGCATACCCTTCCCAGCACTAACTTGGGAAAAAGCTTCTCCAAAGAAACCGGATGACAAAAAGCCAGTGTCATATGACCAACATGTCAACAAGATTGTTGGTGAAGATTCTTGCACTTTATTGATTCAGCAGTCTCGCAGAAGTGATACAGGTTTATATACTATAACAGCTGTAAATAATTTGGGAACTGCTTCAAAGGAGATGAGACTAAATGTTCTGGGTAAATATCAAGAACTCTTATGTTACATGTGTGATACTTGATTTGAACAGTGTTTGAATTGATTCTTCTTTAATAAAAATTTATATTTTAGGCCGTCCTGGACCTCCAGTGGGCCCAATTAAGTTTGAATCCATTTTGGCTGACAAAATGACAATATCGTGGCTTCCTCCGTTAGATGATGGTGGTTCTAAGATTACAAACTATGTTATTGAGAAAAAAGAAGCAAATAGGAGAACGTGGGTACCAGTTACAAATGAGCCCAAGGAATGTTTATTCACTATTCCCAAGTTGATGGAAGGCCATGAGTATGTGTTCCGCATTATGGCGCAAAATAAGTATGGTATTGGAGAACCTTTGGACAGTGAACCAGAAACAGCAAGAAACCTTTTCAGTAAGTGGAAATCTGTTTTCAGATTATGTCAAATATTTTCATACACTGATACGTGTAATGACATCTGATTATATAACACTATTATTTTTCTCCACTGAAGTAAATTCGCTAGAGTAGCTTGAAGAATTTTATCAGTAGTAGTTAGGGGTTGTATGGTATCTAAAAATACTTCCCTGCTAAATATATTGAAATAAAGTCTCTGAATTTATTAAGCTGTAAATTACAAATAAGGTTTTATCTTATAAGATTTAGGTCATTCTGTTGCGTTTGAGACATTATTGATATTATAGATCAGGAATTTGCTGCCTTCAGTTTTGAAAGAGAAATTTGAGCAATAGTGATGTAGAAGTAATGTTTATCAAGTGTAAAATATCTTTAAAACATTCAGGATTGGGCTAGGTGTTGAAACGAGGTAATGATCCAGGAAGAAAAAAAAAATAAAAAAAAAATCATTGTTTTTTGAATGAAAGATACATTACTGTAGTTTCATGGTATATCATGGGATTCATAAGGGAAAAGGGATTGTAAGCTGAATGAGGGAAAAGGTCTCATGCTGCAACTGTAATCACGTGACTACATAGGTCTGTTTTGTACTCTAGGTATCTCCATCTTCCTGTAGCAATTTTTTACAAGCTATCTGTAATTTTTTTCCCCAGCTGTTCCTGGACCATGTGACAAACCAACAGTTAGCAGTATAACACGTGACTCTATGACTGTAAATTGGGAAGAACCAGAACATGATGGTGGCTCTCCTATTACCGGTTACTGGTTGGAGCGCAAAGAAACTACCGGAAAGAGATGGACCAGGATTAATCGTGACCCAATCAAACCTATGGCACTCGGTGTTTCATACAAAGTTACTGGTCTTATTGAAGGTTCTGAATATCAATTTCGTGTATCGGCTATTAATGCAGCTGGTGTTGGACCACCAAGCATGCCGTCTGATCCAGCAATTGCTAGAGACCCTATTGGTAAATATTTTTGTTTGCCATTTTTGAATTTGAAAATACTCACATGGGACCACAGAATATATTGTTATGCTGTAACTGTGTGATCATCTTTTTCAGCCCCACCTGGCCCTCCTATTCCAAAAGTTACTGATTGGACAAAATCTTCTGTGGACTTGGAGTGGACTCCACCATTAAAGGATGGAGGCTCTAGGATCACTGGGTACATTGTTGAGTATAAAGAGGAAGGAAAGGAAGAATGGGAAAAGGTAGGTGGAAATCCTACAGAATCTGATTTTTTTCCTCTGTATGTCTTATCTTTTCATATGTATGCCTGTATGTCTTTTCTTTCAGATTTTTTATAACTCTATATTTAAAAGTAGGACAAAATATGTAGGTGATTGGTGATCTGTGATTTAAAAAAAAAAAAAAGAACAGAAGAGAAAAACAGGTTATCCCAGGCATAATCTCTGTTAAATTATTTACAACTAATATGGCCCCTGCTTTTTTTTTTTTTTTTTTTTAAAAAAGAATATTTTGGCCATTTTTTGTATCAGTGAAAATACTGAGATGCATTTAAAGTAGTACATACATTTCCTGCATTTTTTCTGGGTAAACAGGATTCATATTTAGATTTATAAAAGAACAATTTTTTTTTCTTTTTTTTCTTTTTTTCTTTTTTTTTAGCACCACTGTCACTTATGAGCCTATTTGACCAACAAAACAAGTAATCCTTGTAAACCTACAGAGCATTGTAATGTCTCTGTCTTTTAAAATGATCAAAAAAGTGAATCTTCAGAACAATAACTTCTCCTATTTTCTGAAAACTCCTGTATGAGCTAGATTACTGTATGCTCAATAATGTCTTGTACTTGTAAATGTGAAACAATTTCTCATTTAAGATTTATTTCAAGCATGACAAAGAAATTGATGATACCTTGATTTTTTTTATTTTTATTTTTTTATTATTTTTTTTTTTGGTTGATTTTATTATGTTTTTTTCCAGGTAAAGGATAAAGAAATCAGAGGAACCAAGTTTGTTGTAGCAGGATTAAAAGAAGGGTGTTTTTATAAATTTAGAGTAAGGGCAGTGAATGCTGCTGGCATTGGAGAGCCTGGAGAAGTCACAGACATTATTGAAATGAAGGACAGAATTGGTATTTATCACTTTCATTTACTTCTTTAAATATTTCTAATTCAAAATGAGAAAAAAAAGACTGATTTTTTTTTTTTATTTTTTATTTTGCTCACCTCCCACAGTGGCTCCTGATATTAATTTGGATGCAAGTGTCAGGGACAGAATTGTTGTTCATGCTGGAGGAGTAATTCGAATCATAGCATATGTATCAGGAAAACCAGCTCCAACAGTGAGTTGGAGCAGAGATGATCAAGCTTTACCAGAAGAAGCTAAAATTGAAGAAACAGCTATAAGTTCTTCTTTAGTCATCAAGAATTGCAAACGGAGCCACCAGGGTATATACACTCTTCTTGCTAAAAATGCAGGTGGTGAGCGGAAGAAGACCATTATTGTTGATGTGCTAGGTAAAAAGCAATTTCATTCCTTGTAAAGAAGTTAAATTTCATAATATTCAGTATGTATATTTAAATACTCCATTTTTTTCTTTGATTTCAGATGTGCCAGGCCCAGTTGGCATGCCATTCCTTACTGAGAACCTAACAAGTGACTCTTGTAAATTGACATGGTTTACTCCAGAAGATGATGGTGGTTCTCCTATTACCAACTACATAATTGAAAAACGTGAATCTGACCACAGAGCCTGGACTCCAGTAAGCTATACAGTTACAAGACAGAACGCTGTTGTTCAGGGACTGACTGAAGGGAGTGCCTACTTTTTCCGAATTGCAGCAGAGAATATTATTGGCATGGGTCCTTTCACAGAGACAACAAAAGAACTTATCATTAGAGATCCAATAAGTAAGTTGATTATGTGGTGTAAGTTATTGTCATGAGATGAATCTGCAGGAAAATGAATTTAACATATTTTTGTGTTTGTTCACAGCTGTTCCTGACCGTCCTGAAGACCTGGAGGTTAAAGCAGTTACGAAGAACTCTGTTACATTAACTTGGAATCCTCCAAAATATAATGGAGGCTCGGATATCACCATGTATGTTCTGGAGAGTCGTCTCATTGGAAAAGAAAAATTCCACAGAGTTACTAAGGAGAAAATGCTTGATAGGAAATACACTGTAGAAGGCTTGAAAGAGGGTGACACCTATGAATATCGTGTGAGTGCTTGCAATATTGTGGGGCAAGGCAAGCCATCATTTTGCACAAAACCAATCACATGCAGGGATGAAATCGGTATGTATCTTTTTCATATTTCTTTTGAAAATAATGATCATTCTTACCGATTCCTTACTTTTTCTTACTAATATTGCTGACATTGTGGAAATCATATTTTTTAATTTCATCTTTCAGCTCCTCCAACACTTGACCTTGACTTCAGAGACAAACTTATTGTTCGGGTTGGTGAAGCTTTCAGCCTAACTGGACGTTACTCAGGAAAGCCTGCACCAAAGATTACTTGGCTGAGGGATGATATTGTTTTGAAAGAAGATAATCGTACGAAGATTAAGACAACTCCTACGACACTTTGTCTGGGGGTACTAAAATCTGTCCGTGAAGATTCAGGCAAATACTGTGTTATTGTAGAGAACAGCACAGGATCAAGAAAAGGGTTTTGTCAAGTTACTGTTGTTGGTAGGTTTCTCTGAACATTAGTACTGCCTTGAACGTTTCATTATAATTCAAATTCATTGAATTATATTAAATGAAAAAACTGTGTCCTTTATTAAAATATTCTGATTTATTACACTCTTATTTTTATTGAAATATTATTTATTGATTGAGTTCATAGTTAACTCTGCCTTAATTTATTCTGCATGAATATATATTTCCACAAGCATTTCAAGAATATCAATTTACTGTAGAAAATGTCAGTCACTAAATACTTTATAAGCATTAAGAAATTAGGTTCAGTGAGTCAGACAAGCATTAAGGTAGGAATAACTTTGAGATTTTGATTCCTTATTAAAAATAGATGCTGGGGTTCTATTTTCATAATGTTTTTACTGTATTAACACTGGTTTAATCTCTGTTATTGTTTGAAGATTTTATAAGAACAAGGGTATGATTTATTTTTTTCTTAAACAGATCGCCCGTCACCTCCAGTGGGTCCAGTTATATTTGATGAAGTTCATAAAGATCATATGATAGTTTCCTGGAAACCTCCACTTGATGATGGAGGCAGTGAAATTACAAACTACATTATTGAGAAGAGGGATACACACAGAGACCTGTGGATGCCAGTTACATCTGCTACAGTTAAGACAACATGCAAAATTCCTAAGCTGCTTGAAGGAAGAGAATATCAAGTTCGAATTTATGCTGAAAATCTCTACGGCATAAGCGATCCTCTCATCTCTGATGAGATGAAAGCCAAGGACCGTTTCAGTACGTCACTTGTTTGCTTGTTTATCTTATTTTGATATTGTAATCTTTACTCTGCCTGTTGCCCTCATGAACTCCTGCGGGCTTTTTTTTCCCCAGGTGTTCCTGATGCACCTGAACAACCAGTTATTAAGGATGTTACAAAAGACTCTGCAGTAGTAGTTTGGAACAAACCATATGACGGAGGCAAGCCAATAACAAACTATATTGTGGAAAAGAAGGAAACAATGGCTACTAGATGGGTCAGAGTTACCAAAGACCCAATTTTCCCAAGTACTCAGTTCAAAGTTCCTGACCTCCTTGAAGGCTGCCAGTATGAATTCCGTGTTTCAGCAGAAAATGAAATTGGTGTTGGTAATCCTAGTCCACCATCAAAGCCAATTTTTGCTAGAGATCCAATTGGTAAAGTATTAAATTTGCTTTTTTTCATAGAAGTTTTAATGCACTCTTACTTTCACTTAGAAATCCTTTAAAATATTTTCCTTTTTTCCTTTTTTCTTTGCAACAGTAAAACCAAGTCCACCTGTTAATCCGGAAGCAGTAGATAAAACTAAGAATTCTGTTGACTTGACTTGGCAACCACCACGCCATGATGGTAATGGAAAGATAATTGGCTACCTTGTTGAATATCAGAAGGTTGGAGATGAAGAATGGAAAAAGGCCAATCTTACACCAGATTCTTGTCCTGAGACAAAATATAAAGTCACTGGACTTACTGAGGGTTTGACCTATAAGTTCAGGGTCATGGCAGTCAATGCAGCAGGTGAATCTGAACCAGCCTATGTTCCTGATCCAGTAGAAGTAAAGGACAGACTTGGTGAGTGTAATAAAGTCAGATGAGTTTACTTAGGAAGGGACTTGTTTTCTCAATTTCTAAAAAAATTTATTTTGATTCCAGAACCTCCTGAGCTGATACTTGATGCTAATATGGCCCGGGAACAGCATGTAAGAGCAGGAGATACACTGAGACTTAGTGCTGTTATTAAAGGTGTTCCGTTTCCAAAAGTTTCTTGGAAGAAAGAAGACAAGGAAGTCTCACCCAAAGCTGATATTGAGGTTACAGGTGTTGGCAGTAAGCTTGAAATTCGTAACGCTGCCCATGAAGATGGTGGAATTTACTCCCTGACAGTTGAAAATCCAGCTGGTTCAAAGACTGTTTCAGTGAAAGTTCTTGTCTTAGGTAATCTTTTTTTATGTTACTTGCCTGGTTTTATTCTTTAATTTGAGATTAAGAAATGAAAGAATGTCAGGAAAATATCAACAAATTGAGATATAAGGAAAGGTTGAGGGAACTGGGCTTGTTTAGCTTGGAGAAGAGAATGCTCTGGGGAGACCTCATCGTGGCTTCCGGTATTTGAAGGGAGCATATAAACAGGAGGAGGAACAGCTGTGTACAAGGGTGGATAATGATAGGACAAGGGGGAATGGTTTTAAACTGAGGCAGAGGAGGTTTAGGTTAGATATTAGGAGGAAGTTTTTCCACACAGAGGGTGGTGACACACTGGAACAGGTTACCCAAGGAGGTTGTGGATGCCCCATCCCTGGAGGCATTCAAAGCCAGGCTGGATGTGATTCTGGGCAGCCTGGTCTAGTGGTTGGAGACCCTGCACGTAGCAGGGGGTTGAAACTTGATGATCATTGTGGTCCCTTTCAACCTGGGCCATTCTATGATTCTGTGATAAAATACACAGTAGAAAAAAAAGATTGACACAGGAAATATGTTTGTTTGTTTGTTTTTTTTCCTCTTAAAATCTACTAAATTTAAAAAAAAAAATCTTTGGTTATCAAATAGATAACGGATTTGTTTTCAATGCTATTAGATAAGCCTGGTCCACCTAGAAATCTGCAAGTCAGTGATGTTAGAAGTGATTCTTGCTACCTGACATGGAAGGAACCAGAAGATGATGGTGGCTCTGTTATTACCAACTATGTGGTGGAAAGGAAAGACGTAGCTTCTGCACAGTGGATATCTGTCTCATCGACCTCCAAGAAACGCAGTCACATGGCTAAATATCTCATGGAAGGCACTCAGTATCTTTTCCGAGTTGCAGCTGAGAATCTGTTTGGTAGAGGACCATATGTGGAAACACTCAAGCCAATTAAAGCAATAGATCCACTGCGTAAGTGTTACTCAGTTATGATTTGTTTTATTTGTGTTGTTCTCTGTAATTTTTGAAATGGTCCTGTTGGAACTAATGTGAATATTGTTGAGTGTACTATCAGATGGGTCGGCCATCTATTAACTGATGTGGGTTTTATGTTTTAAAAGATCCTCCTGGGCCACCGAAGAATCTGCATCACGTAGATGTTGACAAGACTGAAGTTTCCCTTGTTTGGAATAGACCAGATCGTGATGGCGGTGCTGAGATAACTGGATATTTGGTAGAATATCAGGAAGATGGTGCAGATGAGTGGACAAAGTTCCAAACAGTCCCAATGCTAGACTGTGTTGTTACAGGCCTACAAAAAGGAAAAATATACAAATTCCGTGTGAAAGCTCAAAATATTGTGGGTCTCAGCCTTCCAGATACAACGATACCAATAGAATGTCAAGAAAAACTAGGTAATTTTTAGCTTTTTTGTATTGTTTCACTGATTCTTTCTCTCCTTTAACTATACTCTCCGAAAACCATAATGCAATTTCTGTTTTTTTCTAATTTCAGTACCTCCATCTGTAGAACTAGATGTGAAGTTAATTGAAGGTCTTGTTGTTAAAGCTGGTACCACAGTGAGACTTCCTGCAATTATGAGAGGTGTGCCAGTTCCCACTGCAAAATGGGTTACTGATGACACTGAAATTAAGACGGAAGGCAGACACAAGATAGAGACTGACAATTATTCAACTGTACTTACCATCAAAGACTGTGTAAGAAAAGATACGGGAGAATATCTACTCACAGTATCTAATGCAGCTGGCCACAAAACTGTTGCTCTACATCTTACAGTTTTGGATGTTCCTGGCCCACCGACTGGTCCTATTAATATTCTTGAAGTAACACCAGAACATATGGTTATCTCTTGGCGCCCTCCTAAAGACGATGGTGGGAGTCCTATAATAAACTATATTGTTGAGAAGCGTCAATCAAAGAAAGAGACTTGGGGAGTAGTTAGCTCTGGAACAAGTCACACAAAAATTAAGATTCCACGACTGCAGAAAGGCTGTGAATATATTTTCCGTGTTCGGGCAGAAAATAAGATAGGCATTGGTGCGCCTCTTGATTCAGAACCAACAGTTGCTAAATATATGTTTGATCCACCATCCCCACCTGGTAAACCAATAGTGTTTGATATTACAGAAAATGCTGCAACAGTATCTTGGACCCTACCAATGTCAGATGGTGGAACTCCAATAACTGGTTATATACTTGAGCGTCGAGAAGCATCTGGTAAATGGGTGCGTGTCAATAAGACACCAATACTTGATATGAAATACAGAGTCACTGGTCTCTTTGAAGGCAACACATATGAATTCAGAGTTTTTGCAGAAAACATGGTGGGCTTAAGCAAGCCGTCTCCAAGCTCTGATCCAATAAAGGCGTCACGTCCTATCACTCCTCCTGGACCACCCATTAATCCAAAATTAAAAGATAAAACCAGAGAAACAGCTGATCTAGTCTGGACAAAACCCCTCAAAGATGGTGGCAGCCCAATTCTGGGATATATTGTGGAATGCCAGAAAACTGGAACTACACAGTGGAACAGGATTAATAAAGATGATCTCATCAGACAATGTGCCTTTAGAGTACCTGGGTTAATAGAAGGAAATGAATATAAATTCCGAATAAAAGCTGTCAACATTGTAGGAGAGGGAGAGCCAAGAGAACTGGCAGAAACTGTACTTGCAAAGGATATTCTTTCTCCTCCAGAAGTAAGCTTAGATGTGACTTGTCGAGACTTAATTACTGTCCGAGTAGGCCAAACAATCCATATTACTGGCAAAGTAAAAGGTAGGCCAGATCCTGACATAACGTGGTCTAAGGACGGCAAAGTTTTGGTACAGGAAAAACGCATTGAAATAATCCATGATCTACCTAATGTTGGACTGCAAGTAAAAGAAGCCAAAAGATCTGATCATGGCAAGTATATAATAGCAGCTAAGAACAGCTGTGGACATGCTCAAGGTTTTGCCATTGTGAATGTACTTGACAGACCTGGACCATGTCAGAACCTGAAAATAAGCTATGTCACAAAAGATTCTTGTATGATTGCTTGGGAGAGTCCAGTGGACAATGGTGGCTCAGAAATCACAAATTATATTGTAGAGTACCGTCAACCAAATCAGAGGGGGTGGTCAATTGTGTCCTCTGATGTCACTAAACGGTTAGTAAAGGCAAATCTTATAGAGAACCGTGAATACTTCTTTAGAGTTTGTGCAGAAAACAAAATAGGTCCAGGTCCTTGCATTGAGACCAAAACTCCCATCCTTGCCATAAATCCTATTGACAAGCCTGGAGAGCCGGAAAATCTTCACATTGCGGAGAAAGGAAAAACATTTGTATTTCTGAAATGGAGAAGACCAGATTATGATGGTGGAAGCCCGAATTTAAGTTATCATGTGGAGAGAAAACTGAAAGATTCAGATGAATGGGAAAGGGTTCATAAAGGCAGCATTAAGGAAACACACTACATGGTTGATAAATGTATTGAAAATAAGATTTACCAATTCAGAGTTCAAACCAAGAATGAGGCAGGTGAAAGTGACTGGGTAAAAACTGCTGAAGTTGTTGTGAAGGAAGATCTGCAGAAACCAGTGCTGGACTTGAAGTTAAGCGGAGTACTAACAGTGAAAGCTGGTGACACAATTAGAATTGAGGCTGGAGTCAGAGGAAAACCACAGCCTGAAGTTGCATGGACAAAAGACAAAGATGCAACGGATCTTACAAGGTCTCCAAGAGTCAGCATTGAAACAACATCTGACACATCAAAGTTTGTTCTCACAAAATCAAGGCGTAGTGATGGTGGGAAATATGTGATTACTGCGACTAACACAGCTGGTAGTTTTGTAGCGTATGCTACTGTTATTGTTTTGGATAAACCAGGTCCTGTAAGAAACTTGAAAGTCACTGATATTTCAAGTGACAGATGTACTGTTACCTGGGAACCTCCAGAGGATGATGGCGGTTGTGAAATACAAAACTACATCCTAGAAAAGTGTGAAAGCAAGCGTATGGTTTGGTCTACATACTCTTCTTCTGTCCTAACTAACTATGCAAATGTAACACGCCTCATTGAGGGTAATGAATATATATTCAGAGTTCGTGCAGAAAATAAGATGGGCACTGGTCCACCAACAGAAACACACCCAATTATCGCAAAAACTAAATTTGATAGACCTGGACGCCCTGACCCTCCAGAGGTAACAAGAGTAAGCAAAGAAGAGATGACTGTCGTTTGGAATCCACCAGAATACGATGGTGGCAAGTCAATTACAGGATACATCTTAGAGAAGAAAGAGAAACGATCATTAAGATGGGTTCCAGTTACTAAGACTGCTATTCCAGAGAGACGCAAGAAGGTTACTAATCTCATCCCTGGTCATGAATATCAGTTCCGTGTCAGTGCTGAAAATGAAGTTGGACTTGGAGAACCAAGCTTGCCATCAAGACCAGTAGTAGCAAAAGACCCAATAGGTATAATACTGTTATATTCTACCTTATTTTGTTTGAATGTAAACAGATTGTTAAATCGCATAACTGTATTCTTATCTGTAATTTTTATTGCCTTTCAGAACCACCTGGTCCTCCCACCAACTTGAGGGTGGTTGATAGTACAAAGAGTTCAATAACCCTTGGCTGGGGAAAACCAGTGTATGACGGTGGTGCTCCAATTATTGGATATGTTGTGGAAATTAGACCAAAAGTGGAAGGTGCTGATCCTGAAGCAGGGTGGAAACGATGCAATGTTGCTGCTCAAGTTATTCATACAGAATTTACAGCCACCAGTCTGGATGAGAAACAATTATATGAGTTCAGAGTTTCTGCCCAAAATCAGGTTGGCTTTGGCCGGCCAGCAGAACTGAAAGAAGCTGTGTCTCCCAAAGAAATACTTGGTAAGTTTTCCCATTTTTGCTATGAGTTTTTGCATGCAATCTTTATTTGCTCTGTTTTTAACTTATTTCATGTCCTAAACTTTGAATTTTATTTCTGTAAATTTATCTTTTAGAACCTCCTGAGATTGAATTGGATGCAAGCATGAGAAAGTTAGTCACAGTAAGAGCAGGATGTCCTATCAGACTTTTTGCCATTATTAGAGGTCGCCCAGCACCAAAAGTCACTTGGAGGAGAATGGGTATTGATAACGTCATCAGAAAAGGACAAGTTGATCTGGTTGACACTATGGCCTTCTGTGTCATCCCTGATTCAACACGTGATGACTCAGGCAAATATTCATTGACACTCGTCAATGTAGCTGGAGAAAAGGCTGTGTTTGTGAACGTTAGAGTTCTGGGTAAGTAACCAGAAAACTATCTGCAGACATTGTTTTAATAATATTGTATGTTCATTACAGAAATCTTTATGCCCACTAATGCTGAAGTTTTTGAACACAAATAAATATATTGGCTAACACTGTCTCTGATTGTGTAACATCCTGTTAGTACTCCTTAATTGTAATTTGAAGAATTTTCAATACAATGACTTGCATAAATTGAAATTTCTTTATAGATACTCCTGGACCTGTGTCAGACTTCAGAGCTTCAGATGTCACCAAGATGTCATGCCATCTCTCATGGGCACCTCCAGAGAATGATGGCGGTAGCCCAGTGACTCATTACATCCTGCAGAAACGTGAGGCTGACAGGAAGACTTGGGGAACAGTCACTGCAGAACTAAAGAAAACTAGTTTCCAAATAGCTAACCTTGTACCTGGAAATGAATATTACTTCAGAGTAACAGCGGTAAATGAATATGGATCAGGTGTTCCAAGTGACATACCAAAACCAGTCCTAGCAACAGATCCCTTAAGTAAGTATGCTTTTATGCATATTACATTGTTTTCTATGATTAAGTAAGATTTGGGATTTTTTTTTAAAGCAGTTATTTCTAAACAGGATAATGCTACTATCTACTCAGTGTCATAAATATTTGCATCAGTTACTTTCAGATAACACATGTGAATGCAGTATTTTCACAATTTTTCAAAAAGTTTCCTCTTTTCTATATTTCACTAGTTGAATTAACATAAACAGCATCCAACAATTCAGAAAATCTTGGTAATTCATTGTTTAATGTTTCTTTACCTCTCCTTCTCTTTTTCCCACTCCTAAAGGTGAACCTGATCCACCAAGAAAACTTGAAGTTACTGAAATTACAAAGAATAGTGCTACTTTAGGCTGGCTGCCACCACTGCGTGATGGAGGTTCAAAAGTTGATGGGTACATTGTTAGCTACAAAGAAGATGAACAACCAGAAGATCGTTGGACAGAATATTCAATAGTCAAAGACCTCTCTATTGTTGTAGCTGGTCTGAAAGAAGGAAAAAAGTACAAATTTAGAGTGGCAGCTCGAAATGCTGTTGGAGTAAGTTTTCCAAGAGAAGCTGAAGGAGTGTTTGAAATTAAAGAACAACTCAGTAAGTACCTAATTCAATTTTACCCTTGTTACAATGCTCTCCTTAGCAATAAAATAGGCAAGCATTCTTGTTCTAAGTTTGAGACCTAAGAAGCCAATAACTTGATGAAGTCATCTTGAGGATTATAATTAACTGTACTGGATATTTTCACAGGTCAAAAAGGATGAGCATGACTTATTAAACAATATTGTGTGCATTGCTTCAGTTGGAGCCAGAAGACAGGAATTAGGGAGAGAAAATAAATATATCCAATTTACTTAAAATGAAAGAGAAAAGGGGAACAGTAGGTCAACAGTAGAGTGAGATAAGTGGGCTCTGAAGTGGTTGTTCTTTTGAGATAAGAGAGAAAATGTTGCTTGTTTTGTAGAGTAACTTGGGAATGTAAAGCTAAAACAGGGGTGGAGGACATACCAGCCTACTGGAGTACTTCAGGCAAAGGAAGACATAAGAGTGTGCAAAAATTAAGAACAGCCTCCTTCATCTGTGATGTGGAGAGAGGTACAGGATCAACAGAGAATGAAAACTAGACAGGGGCAGGAAGAAAAGTACACTAAATGTATGGACAGTCTTCTATTGGAAGGCAACAAAAATTTGTGCAAACATTAGGAAAGGGGCTCTAGTTTGAAGAGTGATTCAAAAGTAGTAAAAAGATAGGCTGTGGAAACAGATTAAATTCAGTGAGAATTTCAGTCTTTCTTTTCTTCTCCTTCATGTCTGTCTTGTAGAAAGTAAGAACTCATCTGTACAATAGGTTATCCATGTCAGATTTCACAGGAGTTGTGCGATTTGTTCAGTGTGCAAGAAATTCAAACTGAATTTTTTTTTCTTATAATCTGTATGAGAATGCAAAAGTAAGACTGGCATGGATATTGCACACTGCAAAATCCTAGTTGTTCATAAGTGGACCTAAATTAACAATTATCAAGTTGTTCCTACTTGTTATTCCACTTGAGGGAGATGAGAAGAACTTTCACACGAAAGCATGAGAAGTGAATTGATATGTCATAGATGTTGAATTTATATGTCACTGTCTGTTTTTTTCCAGTCCCACCTAAGATCCTGATGCCTGATCATGTTCACATTAAAGCTGGGAAGAAGCTGAGAATTGAAGCTCATGTATATGGGAAACCTCAGCCAGTTTGTAAATGGCTGAAAGGAGATGAAGATGTAATCACATCCAGTCGCCTTGCTGTGCATAAAGCAGAAAAGTCTTCTGTTCTTATCATTAAGGATGTGACTAGGAAAGATTCTGGTTTTTACACTCTTACTGCAGAAAACAGCTCTGGTACTGACAGTCAGAAAATCAGAGTGATAGTCATGGGTATGTATCATTTAATTACTTTCTTAAAAATCCGATTTTATACAAAACTAGTTTTAGTATGTTCCAGTGGTTTCCATTTTCCTTCATAACTTTCAATGTGTTTCTTTTTGTAGATAAGCCAGGTCCACCACAGCCTCCATTTGACATTTCTGAAATAGATGCTGATGCTTGCACTCTTGCATGGCATATACCTCTTGAAGATGGTGGCAGTAACATTACCAACTATGTAGTTGAAAAATGTGATGTAAGCCGAGGAGACTGGGTAACAGCTTTAGCTTCTGTCACAAAGACAAGCTGCAGAATTGGAAAACTGATTCCTGGAGAAGAATACATGTTCCGTGTTCGTGCTGAAAACCGTTTTGGGATTTCTGAGCCACTTAATTCTGACAAGATGATTGCAAGGTTCCCATTTGGTATGTCAGATTTTCACAGCAACATCTCTTTCTTTTTTTTTTTTTTTTTTTTTTTTTCCCTTCCTAATAAGAAAACATGTGAGATTTATATCAATTCTTGTATTTCTGTCTAGATGTACCCAGTGAACCAAAGAATGCACGTATTACCAAGGTTAATAAGGACTGCATTTTTGTTGCCTGGGATAGACCAGATAGTGATGGAGGCAGTCCAATCACTGGTTATCTTATTGAACGCAAAGAAAGGAACAGCTTGCTGTGGGTGAAAGCTAATGATACAGCTGTGCGTTCCACAGAGTACCCTTGTGTGGGGCTCATTGAAGGTCTTGAGTATGCTTTCAGAATTTATGCACTGAACAGAGCTGGAGCAAGTAAACCTAGTAAACCAACTGAGATTGTCACGGCAAGGACACCAGTCGGTAAGCCACACAAACCACTGAGTAGCAACAGACTACTGTTTTTACGATCATTTCAAATGTATCTGCAATTCTTCATAGAGTTTGCACTTGTTTTCATGTTTGCTGTGAATGCATTGTATGGTCATACTGTAGACTGGATCCAGATCTGTTAAATATTTCATATATATTTTAAATATATTTATTAATATAGTAGCTATTAAAAAACAGCAACAAAACACCAGACTAAAACATGATCTTACTCATCTTAGATCCTCCTGGAAAACCTGAAGTTATTGATGTCACTAAGAGTACTGCATCGCTGGTATGGACAAGACCAAAGCATGATGGTGGTAGCAAGCTTATTGGCTACTTTGTTGAAGCTTGCAAATTACCTGGTGACAAATGGGTCCGGTGCAATACAACGCCACATCAAATACCTCTGGAAGAGTACACTGCTACTGATCTGGAAGAAAATGCTCAATATCAATTTAGAGCAATTGCTAAGACAGCAGTTAATATTAGCCGACCTTCAGAACCTTCTGATCCAGTGACCATTCATCCAGAAAATGGTGAGAAATGCAAAAACATTTGAGAACTCTGAGAATCTATCCATATTGAACTAATAGTCATGAGAAGAATGGGATGCTTACCTCTTACTAAACTGATTAAATCTTGTGCTCTTTCCCTTCAGTTCCTCCCAGAATAGAGTTGGATCTATCTATGCAATCACAGCTAACAGTAAAAGCTGGAACTAATGTACGTCTGGAGGCCAAAGTATATGGAAAACCAATGCCAACCATCACTTGGAAGAAAGAAGGAGAACATTTAAAGCCATCAGAAGGTGTTAAGATAACTACTAAGAGAAATCTTGCTGTTGTTGAACTGTTCAGTGTTAACAGGAAGCAAACAGGAGACTATACTATAACTGCTGAAAATCCAAGTGGATCAAAGTCAGCAACTATTAGGCTTAAAGTACTTGGTAAGCTAAACACCATCTGTTAATAAATGCATTTGTGGTTAAATTATATAGCAAGAGCTAGAGGTTTCACATACTGTTGTTTATTCTTCTAGATAAGCCTGGTCCTCCAGCCTCTGTAAAAATCAAGCATATGTATGCAGATCATGCAATGCTTTCTTGGGAGCCTCCTCTAGAAGATGGAGGTTCAGAAATTACTAATTACATTGTTGACAAACGTGAAACAAGCAGACCAAACTGGGCCCAAGTCAGCGCCACTGTACCCATTACAAGTTGCACAGTGGAGAAACTAATAGAAGGGCATGAGTACCAGTTCCGTATATGTGCTGAGAACAAATATGGTGTTGGAGACCCTATATTGACTGAACCAGCAGTTGCTAAGAATCCATATGGTAAGTGTTTAGCAGGCTATCTTCACAAGTCACTGTTTTTTGTGGGTTGTTTTTTTTTTTTTTTTTTTTTGTATACACTTATGGATGTCAACATAACTTTCAAATAAATCTTTACAGATGTACCCGGACCTTGTGATCCACCTGTAATCAGTAATGTAACAAAAGACTTCATGACTGTTAGCTGGAAGCCACCAGCTAATGATGGTGGGTCCCCAATAACTGGTTATATACTTGAGAAGCGTGAAACTAAAGCTCTTAACTGGACAAAGGTAAACAGGAAGCCTGTCATTGAAAGAACTGTTAAGGCTTCAGGACTCCAAGAAGGAACAGAATACGAGTTCCGGGTGATAGCATTGAATAAGGCTGGACCTGGCAAGCCTAGTGCACCATCCAAAGCGGTGTATGCTCGTGATCCTCAATGTAAGCTTAAAGTCTCAGATATTTTCCATGGTATTTCCAAATATGTTTGTACAGCATTTGGTATAATTAACTTTATGCTATTTTAATTCTCAGATCCTCCTGGCCCACCTGCTTTCCCGAAGGTGGTTGACACTACTCGTAATTCAATAAGCCTGTCATGGAGCAAACCAGCATATGATGGTGGAAGCCCTATTATTGGTTATCTAGTAGAATCAAAAAGAGCTGACACAGACAACTGGGTCAGATGCAATCTTCCCAAGAACTTACAGGCTACACACTTTGTGGTAACAGGGCTGATGGAAGATACAGAGTACCAGTTCCGCATATATGCTGTCAATAAGATTGGATACAGTGATCCAAGTGATGTCCCTGATAAACACACTGCGAAAGATATTTTAAGTATGTTCATGGAAAGTATATTACCATGTTCACTTTTGTTTTAATTCATGGGATGGCTTTTAAATGAAGGGTTTGTCACACATCATTTAAAAAAGGATTAGTTTGGAATGTGTCATTTCTCAAAGGAATGTTGTTTAAAAGTAACTAATTTGGAAAAAAATGGGGCAGTTAGGAACTGAGAAGAATTGTACTGGTGTCTGCATTTTTCATTTATATGCCAGATACTCTTCCACTTCCTATTTTTTCTCTTACTAATCATAAATCAGACTTTTCAGGTAGTCTTCATGTCTTCTAAATAATTTGAAGCCAAAATTGTTATTCTAAGAGTCTGTGCATGACACTATGTAAACGTAAACTGGAACGCAGGAAATTCCATCTGAACATGAAGAAGAACTTTAATTTAGAGGATGCCAGAGCACAGGAACAGACTACCTGGAGAGGTTGTGGATCTCTTTCACTGGAGATATATAAAACCCAACCAGACTTTCCTGTGTAACCTTCTACAGGGAACCTGTTTTAGCAGGGAGATTGGATCTGATGGTCTTCAGAGATCCCTTCCAAGTCCCATGATTCTGTGAGACTTATTTCCTAAGAGCTGTACTGGCTTCTATATTCATTTTGCCATACATAGAAAATCATTCCTTCACAGAACTGCTTTGGTTCAAGAAAAGTAGTACAGACTTCGTACTCCTTTGAATTATGGAGGAAATTAGAGTCCTTTTTATATGATAAGTAATGTAAACGATGGAAAAAAATAATGGAAATGATGGCAAAGTCTATACTTGATCTTGAAATGAGAATCAGGACACAAACTCACTAATATCATCATGGACAAAAGAATTGGTTAATCTAGTGGAATGCCTGTAAAGCAGTACTCTTGTCAGAGAAACCTTAGTGATAGTCATCATAAAGGTTATGTTTTAATCACCTCATTTTTGTTTAACAGTTCCTCCTGAAGGAGAACTTGATGCAGAACTAAGGAAAGTACTTGTATTACGTGCTGGAGTCACAATGAGACTTTATGTGCCAGTAAGAGGACGACCACCTCCCAAGATTACGTGGTCTAAAGTGGGTGCCAACTTAAGAGACAGACAAGGATTAGAGATCAAATCAACTGATTTTGATACCTTCCTGCGCTGTGAAAATGTAAACAAATACGATGCTGGAAGATACGTCCTCAGTCTGGAGAATAGTTGTGGTAAAAAGGCATACACCATTGTTGTGAAAGTACTTGGTAAGTGCCAGAGTTTTCCCCAGAATAATATAATGGTTCAATTTGTAACTTTTTTTTTTTTTTTTGCATCTCATTTACTAAATTAAATCCATGGGATTTGTGCTTATCTAGATACTCCAGGCCCTCCTGTTAACCTTGTTGTAAAGGAAGCATCTAAAGATTCTGCTTATATAACATGGGAACCTCCACTAATCGATGGTGGCAGTCCAATCACAAATTATGTTGTTGAAAAACGTGATGCAGAAAGAAAGTCATGGTCCACAGTAACAGCAGAATGTCCAAAGACAAGCTACAGGATAACTAACTTAGAAGAAGGCAAATCCTACTTCTTCAGGGTTTTTGCTGAAAATGAATATGGTATCGGAGACCCCTGTGAAACTCGTGATGCTGTTAAAGCTTCTGGTAAGAAAAATCAGTCAATTTCTCCTGTTTTGATATTCAATTCTTTTTTTTTTTTTTTAGCCTGAAAGGACACTAACTATACTTTTTTTCCTCTTCTAGAAACACCTGGGCCAGTTGTGGATCTAAAAGCTTCAGCTGTAACAAAATCATCTTGCAATTTAGTATGGAAAAAGCCTATCAGTGATGGTGGAAGCCGTATTTTTGCCTATGTTGTGGAGGTTCTCATTGGTGAAGATAAGTGGCAAGAAGTGATGCGGTCAAAGAACCTTCATTATTCAATGAGAGACCTAAAGGAAGGTCAAGAATACACGTTCAGAGTTAGAGCCCAAAATGATGCTGGATATGGAACTCCAAGGGAGCTCACAATTGTGGCAAGAGATGATGTTGGTATGAAGCAACTTAAAAGATAATTTTCACTCACCAAACCACATTTATTTCATGCTTAGCATCGTTGCTATATGTACATGTATATCAGATGCCTCTAAAAGGAAGAAAATTTTTCTGTGAGGGTGGTGAGGCACTGCAGCATGGAAAACTCTGGCCCAGGGAAGCTGTGCGTGCCCCATTCCTGGAGATGTTTAAGGCCAGATTGGATAGGGCTTTGAGGAGCCTGAGTTAGTAGGAGATGTCCCTGTCACTGACGTGGGGGTTGGAATTAGATGGTCTTTAAGGTCCCTTCCAGCACAGACCTTTCTATGATTCTCTGAAAAGAGCATCTGAATTTTATCTCAGAATTTACACTTACTTTAATAATTGATCTTTTTATTTTATTTTATTTTATTTTTTTACAGTGGCACCTGATCTTGATTTAAGAGATCTACCTGATTTGTGCTATGTAGCTAAAGAGGGTAGCAATTTCCGTCTTAAAATCCCTATCAAAGGCAAGCCTTTCCCAACTGTAACTTGGAAGAAAGATGAAGACAAGGCACTTACTGAGAGTGGAAGAGTTGCTTTTGAATCTACGGCAGTAAACACAACACTTTTAGTACGTGACTGCCAGAAAGCTGATGCTGGAAAATACACAATCACTTTGAAGAATGTTGCTGGCAGCAAGGAAGGCACCATTTCTGTGAAAGTTGTTGGCAAACCTGGCATACCAACAGGTCCAGTGAAATTTGATGAAGTCACAGCTGATGCCATGACCTTAAAATGGGGTCCTCCAAAAGATGATGGTGGTTCAGAAATCACTAACTATGTTATAGAGAAAAGAGATAATATAAGCAATAAGTGGGTGACTTGTGCCTCTGCAGTCCAGAAAACTACATTTAGAGTTACACGGCTTCATGAAGGAAATGAATATACGTTCAGGATCAGGGCTGAAAATAAATATGGAGTAGGTGAAGGTCTTAAATCTGACCCTGTTGTTGCAAAACATCCATTTGGTAAGTAATCATTATAATATTGCAATTGTTATAAAAAGGTTTTAGGGGTGATATTCATTGTTAATGATGCTGCATTTTTTAATATTGTTTAGATGTGCCCGATGCTCCTCCACCCCCCAACATTGTTGATGTTCGACATGATTCTGTATCTTTAACTTGGACAGATCCCAGAAGAACTGGAGGCTCACCAATCACAGGTATATTCCCAAAAGCCTCCTTACTATTCCGGTTCTTAATAGTTTGGGAGAATAATTGGTTGATTTCACTGTTTTACTTTCTGTTCTTTCTGTATGATGAATCTTCTAAAAGGCCTAATTTCAAAAGAAGGAAGTCAGGAAGTGCCTAACCAAGAAAGTTTTTATGCAGAGAGACAAAACAGCCAAAGCACCAAAAAACTATCACGGCTACATGTTACATCACTTGGGGCTGTACAATTTGCATTACAAGCGTCTCACTGTTTTTCTTAGATACATCTGTAATGTATGTCCACATCTGTTTCTTAATCTGGTTTTCAGTGTTGTCTTGTGCAATTCCTACGTGACATACCATGCAAACAGTATGATATTTTGCAAATGTGTGGTAAATGAAGATCTCTAGAAATCCTCTCATTTTCATCTCACATTTATCTTCTAGGTTATCATATCGAATTCAAAGAAAGAAATAGTCTTTTGTGGAAGAGAGCCAATACAATTCCAATCAGAATGAAAGATTTCAGAGTGACAGGATTAACTGAAGGACTGGAGTATGAGTTCAGAGTAATGGCAATCAATATAGCTGGAGTAGGTAAACCAAGTCCACCATCTGAACCTGTTGTGGCACTTGATCCCATTGGTAAGTTTATAAGGAGAACAAAATGAAAATTCTGAAAGCTGAAATCACTGTTTTTTGACCATGGTTTACCATTTTTTCTTTAAGATCCTCCTGGGAAACCTGAAGTTATCAATGTAACAAGGAACTCAGTAACACTTATTTGGACAGAACCAAAATATGATGGTGGACATAAGTTAACTGGCTATATTGTTGAAAAGCGTGATTTGCCTTCGAAGACTTGGACTAAAGCTAATCATGTGAATGTTCCAGACTGTGCATTCACTGTAACTGACCTTACTGAAGGTTCCAAATACGAGTTCAGAATTAGAGCTAAGAACACTGCTGGGGCTATCAGTCCTCCATCTGAATCCACAGGAACCATAATATGCAAGGATGAGTATGGTACGTAGATGGCATCAAAATTAATTCTATTTGAATAATTAATATCGTGCCAAATCCTTTTTTTTTTTTTTTTTTTTTTTGTTTATTTGTTTGTTTGGCTGGTTATTTTACTATCTTCTTTGTAAATGAATCGATGGTTTGTTTGTTTGTTTTTACAGAGGCACCAACAATTGTTATCGAACCTACTTTGAAGGAAGGTTTAACAGTGAAAGCAGGAGACACAATTACTGTATCTGCTATTAGTATCCGTGGTAAACCACCTCCAACTTCAGCATGGTCAAAAGCTGGAAAAGATTTTAGACCTTCAGAGCTTGTGCACATTGAAACTACACCCACATCTTCTACCCTAACCATCAAATATGCAGCCAGAAAGGATTCTGGAGAATACACAATCACTGCAACCAATCCTTTTGGCACTAAACAAGAGAGTGTACATGTGAAAGTTTTAGATGTTCCAGGACCTCCAGGGCCTATTGAGATCAGCAATGTTTCAGCAGAAAAAGCCACTCTGACATGGTCACCTCCTGCAGAAGATGGTGGATCACCAATCAAATCATATATTCTTGAAAAGAGAGAAACTAGCCGATTGCTCTGGACATTAGTGGCTGAAAATATCGAGACTTGTAGGCATGTTGTTAGCAAACTCATTCAAGGAAATGAGTATGTTTTCCGTGTCTCAGCAGTAAATCAATATGGCAAGGGTGAACCAGTACAATCAGAACCAGTTAAAATGGTGGACAGATTTGGTAAGTTGAACAAGCGAAGAAGTTCAAGTATACTTTTAATAATCTCTGAGGACTTGATTTTTTTCTGAACTTTGTACTTTCTTCTTTTCTATCAGGTCCCCCTGGTCCTCCTGGAAAACCAGAAGTAACAAATGTGACTAAAAATACTGTGACAGTTACCTGGAAAAGGCCAGTAGATGATGGCGGAAGTGAAATCACAGGTTACTATGTGGAGCGGAGAGAAAAGAAAGGTTTAAGATGGGTCAGAGCAACAAAGAAACCAGTTTCAGATCTTAGATGCAAAGTAACTGGTCTCCTGGAAGGAAGTGAATACGAATTCCGTGTCAGTGCAGAAAACAGAGCGGGAGTTGGACCACCAAGTGATGCTTCAAACTCAGTCATGTGCAAGGATGTTGCATGTTAGTATCATGCTTTTTAATTTTTGAGTGGTGGTTGGGGGATAATTTTAGACAGTATAAGAGTTATTTACTCTTATGATGTAACGTAATGTGGTATTTTATCTTTTCCTCATTTTTCAGACCCACCTGGTCCACCTGCAAATCCAAGAGTGACTGATACTACAAAGACAAGTGCATCTTTAGCCTGGGGCAAGCCTCACTATGATGGTGGTCTTGACATCATTGGCTACATAGTGGAGCATCAAAAGGAAGGAGAAGAAGAATGGGTAAAAGACACGACAGGGACTGCTTTAAGAATCACTCAATTTGTTGTTGCTCATCTGCAGACAGGAGCCAAATACAATTTCAGAATCTCTGCCATGAATGCTGTAGGTACTGGTGAACCAGCACTAATTCCCAGTGTGGAAATCAAAGAGCGGGAAGAAATTCCTGACTTTGAATTAGACGCTGAGCTAAGAAGAACACTTGTTGTCAGAGCTGGGTTAACTATTCGGATTTTTGTGCCTATTAAAGGACGTCCAACTCCAGAAATTACATGGACAAAAGATGATGTTTCACTCAAAGGACGTGCTAGTATTGAAAATACAGACTCTTTTACACTCTTGATTGTCACAGAGTGCACCAGATATGATGCAGGAAAATACGTATTGACACTTGAAAATGCTGCTGGTAAGAAGACTGGTTTTGTAAATGTGAAAGTCTTGGATACACCAGGTCCACCAATAAACCTTAAACCTAGAGAAATCACCAAGGACAGCATCACCCTCCAATGGGATATGCCTCTGATAGATGGTGGTTCCCGTATAACAAACTATATTGTTGAGAAACGTGAATCAACTCGCAAAGCATATTCAACAGTCACAACAAAGTGCCAGAAGTGTTCTTTCAGGATTCCTAATTTGTCTGAGGGATGTGAATACTATTTCAGAGTGTTGGCTGAAAACGAGTTTGGTATTGGCGAACCAGCTGAAACTGCAGAACCAGTAAGGGCTTCTGAGGCACCGTCACCACCTGACAGCCTTAATATTATGGATGTAACACGAAACTCAGTTAGCCTGGCTTGGCCAAAACCAGAACATGATGGCGGCAGCAAGATCACTGGATATGTAATTGAAGCACAGAGAAAAGGAACAAACCAATGGGCACACATTACAACTGTAAAAACATTGGATTGTGTAGTGAAGAATCTAACTGAAAATGAAGAGTATACTTTCCAGGTTATGGCGGTTAACAGTGCTGGGAGAAGTGCCCCAAGAGAAAGCAGACCAGTTATTATCAAGGAACAAACAATGCTTCCAGAGTTTGACCTTCGTAGTATCTACCAGAAAACAGTCATCGCCAAAGCTGGTGACAATATCAAGATTGAAATCCCTGTGCTTGGTCGTCCAAGGCCAACTGTGACTTGGAAGAAAGAAGACCAGATACTTAAGCAAACGCAAAGGGTAAATTATGAAAATACTGCAACGGCAACCATACTAAACATCAATGAATGTACACGAAGTGATAGTGGTCGATATCCACTGTCAGCTAAAAATATTGTGGGAGAAGTTAGTGAAGTTATTACAGTTCAAGTTCATGATATACCTGGACCTCCTACAGGACCAATCAAATTTGATGAAATTTCTTCTGACTTTGTAACGTTTTCATGGCAGCCTCCTTTGAATGATGGAGGTGTACCAATAAGTAATTATGTCGTAGAGATGCGTCAAACTGACAGTACCACATGGACTGAACTGGCAACCACAGTGATACGTACTACGTTTAAAGCCACTCGTCTTAATACTGGAGTTGAGTATCAGTTCCGAGTCAAAGCTCAAAACAGATATGGAACTGGTCCAGCCATTACTTCAGAATCTGTAGTTGCCAACTATCCATTTAAGGTGCCTGGACCACCTGGTACTCCTCAGGTGATTGCAGTCACCAAAGAAACTATGACCATTAGCTGGAATGAGCCAATTACTGATGGTGGAAGCCCAATTCTGGGTTATCACATTGAAAGGAAAGAACGAAATAGCATTCTTTGGCAGACTGTAAGTAAAATGCTGGTATCAGGCAATATCTTTAAATCAACTGGACTTAGTGATGGCATTGCATATGAATTCCGTGTTATAGCAGAAAATCTGGCTGGCAAGAGTAGGCCAAGCAAGCCATCTGAGCCTGTATTTGCTTTAGACCCAATAGATCCACCTGGTAAGCCAGTACCTCTGAACATTACAAGACACGCAGTGACACTGAAGTGGACTAAACCGGAATATAATGGAGGTTTTAAGATAACTGGCTACACTGTTGAAAAAAGAGATCTTCCTAATGGCCGTTGGCTGAAGGCTAATTTCAGCAACATATTAGAGACTGAATTCACTGTCAGTGGTTTGACAGAAGATGCTGCCTATGAATTCCGTGTGATTGCTAGAAATGCTGGTGGGGCTGTGAGTCAGCCCTCTGAGCCATCAGATGCAATAACTTGTAGAGATGACATTGAAGCACCAAGGATAAGTGTGGATGCTAAATATAAAGACACCTTAGTGCTGAAAGCGGGTGAAGTTTTCAGACTTGAGGCTGATGTATCAGGTCGCCCTCCACCAGCTATGGTATGGACAAAAGGAGAAAAAGAACTTCAAGACACAGCAAAACTAGAAATAAAGACAGCAGACTTTTCTACTGTTCTTATCAATAAAGATTCTTCAAGAAGAGACGGCGGTGCCTATACACTTACTGCAACAAATCCTGGTGGCTTCGCCAAGCATATCTTCAATGTTAAGGTTCTTGATAGACCTGGTCCTCCAGAAGGGCCATTGGCTGTGTCCGAAGTCACTGCAGAAAAATGTGTGCTGTCATGGTTACCTCCTCTGGATGATGGAGGAGCAAAGATTGACCACTATGTGGTTGAAAAACGTGAAACCAGTAGATTGGCATGGACAGCTGTAGCCACTGAAGTTCCGCTGACTAAACTGAAGGTTACTAAGCTGTTGAAGGGCAATGAGTATGTGTTCCGTGTTATGGCTGTTAACAAATACGGAGTTGGTGAGCCTCTTGAATCAGAGCCAGTTCTTGCAGTAAATCCATATGTGCCACCTGATCCACCTAAAACACCTGAAGTTACAGCAATAACAAAAGATTCCATGGTTGTCTGCTGGGGCCATCCTGATTCTGATGGTGGGAGCCCAATAACTAACTACATTGTGGAACGACGTGACAGAGCTGGTCTTCGGTGGGTAAAATGTAACAAGCGAGTTGTTACTGACTTACGTTACAAAGTGTCCGGACTGACAGAAGGTCATGAATATGAATACAGAGTCATGGCTGAAAATGCTGCTGGAGTTAGTGAGCCAAGCCCAACTAGTCCATTCTATAAAGCTTGTGATACTGTATTTAAGCCTGGTCCCCCAGGTAATCCTCGTGTTTTGGATAGCAGCAAGTCCTCTATTACAATAGCATGGAATAAACCAATATACGATGGTGGTTCAGAGATTACAGGTTATATGGTTGAGATTGCACTACCTGAGGAAGATGAGTGGAAGATTGTAACTCCTCCAGTAGGACTAAAGGCCACTTCTTTTACTATCACTGACCTAAAAGAAAACCAAGAGTATAAAATCCGGATATATGCTATGAATTCTGAAGGTCTTGGGGAACCTGCTCTTGTTCCTGGGACTCCTAAAGCTGAAGAAAGACTGCTACCCCCAGAGATTGAACTTGATGCAGAACTTCGTAAACTTGTAACTATCAGAGCCTGCTGTACTCTAAGACTCTTTGTTCCAATTAAAGGAAGACCAGCACCAGAGGTAAAATGGACGAGAGAACATGGGGAATCTCTGGATAGAGCAACCATTGAATCAACAAGCTCTTATACTCTACTTATTGTTGAAAATGTAAATAGATTTGATAGTGGCAAATACATGTTGACAATTGAAAACAGCTCAGGTAGTAAGTCAGCATTTGTGAATGTCAGAGTACTTGATACTCCAGGGGCACCTCAAGATTTGAAAATAAAAGAAGTTACAAAGTCATCAGTTACACTCACATGGGAGCCTCCTCTCATAGATGGTGGCTCTAAAATAAAAAATTACATTGTTGAAAAGCGTGAATCAACAAGAAAAGCTTATTCAACTGTTAATGCCAATTGCCACAAGACCAGCTGGAAAGTTGATTCACTGCAAGAAGGCTGCAATTACTACTTCAGAGTCCTAGCTGAAAATGAATATGGAATAGGCCTTCCAGTTGAAACTTCAGAATCTGTGAAAGTATCAGAAAGACCACTTCCACCAGGAAAGATAACTTTGTTGGATGTGACAAGAAATAGCGTATCCTTATCTTGGGAAAAACCTGAGCATGATGGTGGTAGCAGAATTCTGGGTTATATTGTAGAAATGCAAAGCAAAGGCAGTGAAAAGTGGTCAACTTGTGCTACAGTGAAAGTTACTGAAGCCACTATCACAGGATTGATCCAAGGTGAAGAATACACTTTCCGTGTTTCAGCTCAGAATGAAAAAGGTGTCAGTGATCCTCGCCAGCTGGGTATACCAGTTGTTGCAAAAGACCTTGTGATTCCACCAGCTTTCAAACTACTGTTCACTACTTTCAGTGTTCTAGCAGGAGAAGACTTAAAGGTTGATGTTCCTTTTGTTGGTCGACCCAAACCAGCAGTCTTTTGGCATAAAGATAATGTGGCATTGAAGCAAACTACCAGAGTCAATGCAGAAAGTTCAGAAAATAACACAGTGTTAACGATAAAAGAAGCATGCAGAGAAGATGTGGGAGCATATTTAGTTAAACTTACGAATTCTGCAGGTGAAGCAACTGAGACCTTAAATATTGTTGTCCTTGATAAACCAGGACCCCCAACTGGACCAGTCAAAGTAGATGAAGTAACAGCAGATAGTATTACCATTTCTTGGGAGCCACCCAAATATGATGGTGGTAGCTCCATTAATAATTATATTGTAGAAAAAAGAGACACTTCCACCACCATTTGGCAGATTGTGTCTGCTACTGTTGCAAGAACAACGATAAAAGCGTGTAGATTAAAGACTGGCTGTGAATATCAATTCAGAATCACAGCTGAAAACAGATATGGAAAGAGCACCTATCTCACTTCAGAGCCAGTTGTAGCCCAATACCCATTTAAACTTCCTGGTCCACCTGGAACGCCTTTTGTAACGAGCACATCAAAAGACAGCATGGTGGTACAATGGAATGAACCAGTCAATGATGGTGGTAGCAAGATCATTGGGTATCACTTGGAGCGCAAGGAGAGAAATAGCATTCTGTGGGCTAAGCTGAATAGGACACCTATTCCAGATACCAAATTTAAGACAACTGGCCTTGAGGAGGGTCTTGAATATGAGTTCAGAGTTTATGCAGAAAACATAGTAGGTATTGGAAAAGCAAGTAGAGCATCTGAATGCTATACTGCACATGACCCATGTGACCCTCCCGGACGTCCAGAACCTTTAATTGTCACAAGAAGTTCAGTAACGCTTCAGTGGAAGAAACCTATATATGATGGTGGAAGTAAGATTACAGGTTATGTTGTTGAAAAGAAAGAACTACCTGATGGTCGCTGGATGAAAGCAAGTTTTACAAATGTAATTGATACCCAATTTGAAGTAACTGGTCTGGTTGAAAACCAGAGATATGAGTTCCGTGTTATAGCACGAAATGCTGCAGGTGTTTTCAGTGAGCCGTCTGAGAGCTCGGGTGCCATTACAGCAAGAGATGAAGTAGAACCACCTCATATAACTATGGATCCAAAATACAAAGACACAATTGTAGTACATGCTGGTGAATCATTCAAGTTGGAAGCTGATGTTCATGGCAAACCAATACCTTCCATTCAGTGGCTAAAAGGTGATCATGAGCTCACAAACACTGCTCGTATGGAAATTAAAAGTACGGATTTTGCAACAAGTCTCAGTGTGAAGGAAGCTATTAGAGTTGACAGTGGTCAGTATGTGCTATTTGCAAAGAACGTTGCGGGCGAAAAGAAAGTTCCTGTTCATGTCAAAGTTCTTGATAGACCTGGACCACCAGAAGGACCTGTTGAGATTACAGGTGTCACTGCTGAAAAATGTATGTTATCATGGAAACCTCCACTACAAGATGGCGGTAGTGATATTTCACATTATGTTGTGGAAAAAAGGGAAACCAGTCGCCTGGTTTGGACTGTCATTGATTCAAATGTGCAAACACTCAGTTGCAAAGTAACTAAACTTTTAGAAGGAAATGAATACGTTTTCCGTATCATGGCAGTAAACAAATATGGCGTTGGTGAACCTCTTGAATCTGAACCAGTACTTGCAAAGAACCCATTTGTAGTGCCACTTCCACCAAAGGCTCCAGAAGTCACAGCCATTACCAAGGATTCTATGATAGTTGTTTGGGAAAGGCCAGCCTCGGATGGAGGTAGTGAAATCCTAGGCTATGTCCTTGAAAAACGGGACAAGGAAGGTATTCGCTGGACAAGATGTAACAAACGCCTGATAAGTGAACTGCGATACAGAGTGACTGGGCTGATCGAAAGTCATAATTACGAGTTCAGAGTTTCAGCTGAAAATGCTGCTGGTCTCAGTGAACCAAGCCTACCTTCTACTTACTATAAGGCATGCGATCCTATTTATAAGCCAGGACCACCCAACAATCCTAAGGTTGTGGATATTACAAGATCATCAGTTTTCCTTTCATGGAGTAAACCTATTTATGATGGTGGCTCTGAAATTCAGGGATACATTGTAGAAAAATGTGATGTAAGTGATGGTGAGTGGGCAATTTGTACCCCTCCAACTGGAATTAAGAACACCCATATGGAAGTAGAAAAACTAGTGGAAAAACATGAATACAAATTCCGTGTCTGTGCAGTTAATAAAGCAGGAGTTGGAGATCATGCAGATGTTCCTGGTTCTGTTATTGTGGAAGAAAAGATGGAGGCTCCAGACCTTGACCTTGACATGGAATTAAGGAAGATCGTAAACGTGCGGGCAGGAGGTTCCTTGAGACTGTTTGTTCCCATCAGAGGTCGTCCAACACCTGAAGTAAAATGGGATAAAGTGGATGGTGAGATCAGAGATGCAGCCATTATTGACACCACTAGCAGCTTTACTTCCCTTGTTCTAGACAATGTCAACAGATTTGATACTGGAAAATATACCCTGACTTTAGAAAACAGCAGTGGAACAAAGTCTGCCTTTGTCAGTGTAAGAGTACTGGATACTCCAAGTGCACCTATTAATTTAAAAATCAGAGAGATCACTAAAGACTCTGTTTCACTTTCGTGGGAGCCTCCTCTCTTGGATGGTGGAGCAAAAATAAAGAATTACATTATTGAAAAGCGTGAAGCAACAAGAAAGGCATATGCAGCTGTTGTAACAAACTGCCACAAGACTTCATGGAAAGTAGATCAACTTCAGGAGGGCTGCTATTATTTCTTTAGAATCTCTGCTGAGAATGAATATGGAATTGGCCTCCCTGCAGAAACCAGTGACCCAATTAAAGTTGCTGAAGTTCCTCAGCCTCCTGGGAAAATAACAGTGGATGATGTCACAAGAAACAGTGTTTCACTAAGCTGGGCAAAACCTGAACATGATGGTGGCAGCAAAATTATACAATATATTGTTGAAATGCAAGCAAAGGGTAGTGAGAAGTGGTCAGAGTGTGCTCGTGTGAAAACACTTGAAGCAGTTATTACTAACTTAACTCAAGGGGAAGAATATCTTTTTAGAGTAATGGCTGTAAATGAAAAGGGTAAGAGTGATCCTAGAGCACTTGCGGTTCCAGTAGTTGCCAAAGACTTGGTGATTGAACCTGATGTAAGGCCTGCTTTTCACAGTTACAGTATCCAAGTGGGACAAGATCTGAAAGTAGAAGTACCAGTTTCAGGTCGACCTAAACCAACTGTTACCTGGGTAAAAGATGGCCAGACACTAAGGCAGACAACAAGAGTCAATGTCAGTGATGTGCCAGATCTCACTGTACTGAATATTAAAGAAACTAGCAAAGAGGACACTGGTACTTACGAAATCACAGTGGCCAATGTTGTTGGGCAGAAGACTGCCTCTATTGAAATTATAACTCTAGACAAACCTGACCCTCCAGTTGGACCTGTGAAGTTTGATGAAATAAGTGCAGAAAGTGTTACCTTGTCATGGAATCCTCCAGCATACACAGGTGGCTGTCAAATCACCAACTATGTTGTTCACAAGAGAGATACAACAACCACTGTATGGGAAACAGTTTCAGCTACTGTTGCAAGAACTGTACTAAAGGTGACTAAACTAAAAACTGGTTCAGAATATCAGTTCAGAATATTTGCCGAGAACAGGTATGGGCAGAGCTTTGCATTGGAATCTGCACCAGTTGTAGCACAGTACCCATACAAAGAACCTGGACCTCCTGGCACACCATTTGTGACAATAGTTACAAAAGACTCCATGGTCGTACAATGGCATGAACCAATAAATGATGGTGGCAGTAAGGTACTGGGCTACCATCTTGAGAGAAAGGAGAAGAACAGCATCTTATGGACTAAAGTGAATAAGACTATTATTCAGGACACAAGTTTTAAGACAACTAACCTCGAAGAAGGAATTGAATATGAATTTAGAGTTTCTGCAGAAAATATTGTTGGTATAGGTAAAACAAGTAAAGTTTCTGAGTGCTACGTAGCTCGTGATCCATGTGATCCTCCAGGTCGCCCAGAAGCTATAATAATAAAAAGAAGCTCTATTACTCTACAGTGGACCAAACCAGAATATGATGGTGGAAGTAAAATTACTGGGTATATTGTAGAGAAACGTGACTTACCAGATGGTCGCTGGATGAAAGCTAGTTTCACAAATATCATTGAAACTCAGTTCACTGTAACAGGGCTTACCGAAGACCAAAGATACGAATTTAGAGTCATTGCAAAGAATGCTGCAGGTGCAATAAGTAAACCTTCTGACAGTACAGGACCAATAACAGCAAGGGATGAAGTTGAACTTCCACGAATTTCAATGGATCCAAAGTACAAAGAGACAATTGTTGTAAATGCTGGTGATACATTCAGACTTGAGGCTGATGTTCATGGAAAGCCACTACCAACCATTAAGTGGTACAAAGGAGATAAAGAGCTTGAGGAAACTGCTAGATATGAGATAAAGAACACAGATTTCAGTGCATTAATAATTGTAAAAGATGCTATTAGAATTGATGGTGGGCAGTTTATTTTAGAAGCCTCTAATGTTGCAGGAACAAAGACAGTACCAGTAAACGTAAAAGTCCTGGATAGACCAGGCCCTCCTGTGGGCCCTGTCCAAGTAACCGGAGTTACAGCTGAAAAATGTTCATTGGCATGGTCTCCTCCTCTTCATGATGGTGGCAGTGATATTTCTCATTATATTGTAGAGAAGAGAGAAACTAGTCGCCTAGCATGGACTGTTGTTGCTTCAGAGGTTCTACCTACAATGCTGAAAGTAACAAAACTTTTGGAAGGAAATGAATATATTTTCCGTATTATGGCAGTTAACAAATACGGAGTTGGTGAACCGCTGGAATCTGTGCCTGTAATGATGAAAAATCCATTTGTGGTTCCTAGTCCACCAAAGGCCTTGGAAATCACCAACATCACAAAGGATTCTATGACTGTCTGCTGGAGCCGACCAGATAGTGATGGTGGTAGTGAAATCATAGGGTATATTGTAGAAAAGAGAGATCGAGCAGGTATCAGATGGATAAAATGCAATAAACGACGAATTACAGATCTGCGACTAAGAGTTACAGGATTAACAGAGGATCATGAGTATGAATTCAGAGTTTCTGCTGAAAATGCTGCTGGATTGGGTGAGCCAAGCCAAGTTTCCCCTTACTTTAAAGCCTGTGACCCCATGTTCAAGCCTGGCCCGCCTACAAATGCCCATATTGTGGATACCACTAAAAGTTCAGTTACGCTTGGCTGGAGTAAACCTATTTATGATGGTGGCTGTGAAATCCAGGGATATCTTGTAGAAATCTGCAAAGCAGATGAAGATGAATGGTCACTTGTTACTCCACAGACAGGTATACGTGCCACTCGATTTGAAATCAAAAAGCTTACTGAACATCAGGAATATAAACTACGAGTTTGTGCTCTCAACAAGGTTGGTGTAGGAGAGGCTGCATCAGTTCCTGGTACTATTAAACCAGAAGACAAACTTGAAGCTCCAGAACTTGATATTGATTCAGAGCTAAGGAAAGGGATAGTGGTTAGAGCTGGTGGCTCTGCTAGGATCCACATACCATTCAGGGGACGACCAATACCTGACATCACATGGTCTCGAGAAGAAGGTGAATTCACAGAAAAAGTTCAAATTGATAAAGGCGTAAACTACACACAACTCTCAATTGACAACTGTGACAGAAATGATGCTGGAAAGTATATTCTTAAGTTGGAGAACAGCAGTGGTTCTAAATCTGCTTTTGTTATAGTAAAAGTCTTAGATACACCAGGACCACCACAAAACTTAATAGTAAAGGATATAAAGAAGGATTCTGCTGTACTATCTTGGGAACCTCCAATTATTGATGGTGGTGCAAAGATAAAGAACTACGTAATAGACAAACGTGAGTCAACCAGGAAGGCATTTGCAAATGTAAGCGCGAAGTGTGGCAAGACAAGCTTTAAAGTTGAAAATCTTACAGAAGGAGCAATCTATTACTTCAGAGTCATGGCTGAGAATGAATTTGGAATTGGTGTTCCAGCTGAAACAGCAGATGCTGTGAAAGCCTCTGAGCCACCTCTGCCTCCTGGGAAAGTAACACTCACTGACGTTACTCAGAGAAGTGCATCACTTACATGGGAAAAACCAGAACATGATGGAGGTAGCAGAATTTTGGGATACATTGTTGAAATGCTGCCTAAAGGAACAGAAAAATGGAGTGTTGTTAGTGAGACCAAAACATGCAGTGCAGTTGTTTCTGGTCTGAGTCCAGGCCAAGAATATCAATTCCGTGTGATTGCCTACAATGAAAAAGGCAAAAGTGATCCCAGAGCACTTGGAGTTCCTGTGATAGCTAAAGACTTGACAATTGAGCCAAGTTTTAAGTTGATGTTTAATACATACAGTGTACAGGCTGGAGAAGATTTGAAAGTAGAAGTACCATTTATAGGTAGACCAAAACCTACTATTACTTGGACAAAAGATGAACAGCCACTGAAACAAACAACCAGATTAAATATTGAGAATACATCAACGTCAACTATTCTACATATTAAAGAAAGCAACAAAGAGGACTTTGGTAAATATACAGTAACGGCATCAAACACAGCAGGCACAGCAAGCGAGCAATTGAGTATAATTGTACTGGAAAAACCTGGCCCACCACGAGGACCTGTGCGCTTTGATGAAGTTAGCGCAGACTTTGTTGTTTTATCATGGGATCCACCTGATTATACTGGTGGCTGTCAGATAAGTAACTATATAGTAGAAAAGCGTGACACCAGCACTACCACATGGAATATTGTGTCAGCAACTGTTGCAAGAACAACTATCAAAGCAACAAAGCTTAAGACAGGTTCTGAATACCAGTTCAGGATTTCTGCTGAAAATAGATATGGAAAGAGCTCTCCTTTGGACTCTAAGCCAGTTGTTGTGCAATACCCCTACAAGGTGCCTGGGCCACCTGGAACCCCATTTGTAACAGCAGCTTCCAAGGACCATATGATTGTACAATGGAATGAACCAGTTAATGATGGAGGAAGCAAAGTTCTTGGCTACCATCTTGAACGTAAAGATAAGAACAGCATTCTTTGGATAAAACAGAACAAGTCACTCATTGCAGACACCACATATAAAACAGATGGCCTTGAAGAAGGTCTTGAATATGAGTTCAGAGTTTCTGCTGAAAACATTGTTGGCGTTGGCAAAGTCAGCAAAGTATCAGAGTTATATGTTGCCCGAGATCCATGTGACCCACCTGGCCGCCCAGAGGCAATTGTTGTTACAAGAAATAACATTACACTGAGGTGGAAGAAACCAGAATATGATGGTGGAAGCAAAATAACTGGATATATTGTAGAAAAGAAAGAACTACCAGACGGTCGGTGGATGAAAGCCAGCTTTACAAATGTTTTAGAAACAGAGTTTACAGTAAGTGGTCTTGTTGAAGACCAACGATATGAATTCAGAGTCATTGCAAGAAATGCAGCTGGTTGCTTGAGTGAACCATCTGAAAGTACAGGGCCCATTACAGCCAGAGATGAAATTGAAGCACCGGGAGCTTCTCTGGATCCTAAATACAGAGATGTCATTGTTGTTCATGCTGGAGAAACCTTTATTCTTGAGGCTGATATTCATGGCAAACCTATTCCTGACATTACATGGTCAAAAGATGGTAAAGATCTTGAAGAAACAACTGCAAGAATGGAAATTAAATCTACTATTCAGAAAACAACTCTTACAGTCAAAGACTGTGTAAGAGTAGATGGAGGTCACTATACTCTTAACCTCAGAAACGTTGGTGGCACAAAATCTATACCTATTACTGTAAAAGTGCTAGATAGGCCAGGACCTCCAGAAGGGCCTTTGAAGGTTACTGGTGTAACAGCAGAAAAATGCTACTTGGCATGGGCTCCGCCTTTACATGATGGTGGTTCCAGTATCTCACATTATATCATTGAGAAGAGAGAGACAAGCAGGCTTTCATGGACACAAGTAGCTACAGATGTGCAGGCCCTTAGCCACAAAGTAACTAGACTCCTTGCTGGCAATGAGTACATTTTCCGTGTAATGGCAGTGAACAAATACGGAACAGGAGAACCCTTGGAATCTGAGCCAGTTGTGGCTTGTAATCCATACAAACCTCCCGGTCCTCCTTCAACACCTGAAGTTTCAGCGATCACAAAAGACTCAATGGTTGTAACGTGGAGTCGTCCAGAAGACAATGGGGGAGCTGAAATTGAAGGATACATACTTGAAAAACGAGACAAAGATGGTGTCCGGTGGACCAAATGCAATAAGAAACGGCTGACAGACTTGCGATTCCGAGTAACAGGTCTTACTGATGGGCATTTCTATGAATTTAGAGTTTCTGCTGAAAATGCTGCAGGTGTAGGGGAACCCAGTGAGCCGTCCATTTTCTATCGTGCTTGTGATGTATTATATCCACCAGGTCCACCAAGCAATCCAAAGGTTACAGATACTTCCAGGTCATCAGTTTCTCTTGCCTGGGGTAAGCCCATTTATGATGGTGGTGCTCCAGTTAAGGGATATGTAGTAGAAGCAAAAGAAGCAGCTGCTGATGAATGGACTACTTGCACCCCACCAACAGGGCTACAAGCAAAACAATTCACTGTAACAAAACTTAAAGAGAACCAGGAGTACAACTTCCGCATCTGTGCCATCAACTCAGAAGGAGTAGGAGAACCTGCTACTATACCTGGCACAGTTATAGCAGCGGACAAGACTGAACCTCCTGAAATTGAACTTGATGCAGATCTCAGAAAAGTAGTCATTGTACGTGCCAGTGGTACCTTACGTTTGTTTGTCACTATCAAAGGAAGACCAGAACCTGAAGTTAAATGGGAGAAAGCAGAAGGAACAATTAGTGATCGAGCTCAGATCGAAGTCACTAGTTCCTACACAATGTTGGTAATTGACAATGTGAATCGATTTGATAGTGGCAAATACAATCTAACTTTAGAGAACAACAGTGGCAAAAAAACAGCTTTTGTTAATGTCAGAGTGCTTGATACACCTAGTGCACCAGTGAACCTGACAGTCAGAGAAGTGAAAAAAGATTTTGTAACACTGGCGTGGGAACCACCACTTATTGATGGTGGAGCTAAAATTACCAACTATGTAGTTGAAAAGCGAGAATCTACAAGAAAAGCATATGCCACAATTACAAATAACTGCACTAAGAATTCCTTCAAAATTACTCAGCTACAAGAAGGATCTAGTTATTATTTCCGTGTTCTAGCTGTAAATGAATATGGGGCTGGCTTACCAGCAGAAACACCTGAGCCAATTAAGGCTTCAGAACCACCTTCTCCACCTGCAAAGGTCATTCTTGTTGATGTAACTCGCAACTCTGCTTCAATTAAATGGGAAAAGCCAGAGAGTGATGGTGGCAGTAAAATTACTGGTTATATAGTAGAAATGCAAACTAAAGGAAGTGTGAAATGGAGCACATGTACCCAAGTAAAAACATTAGAAGCAACAATAACAGGATTAACTATGGGAGAAGAATACAGTTTCAGAGTGATTGCTACTAATGAAAAAGGGAAAAGTGATCCAAGAGAACTTGGTGTCCCAGTCATTGCAAAAGATATTGAAATCCAGCCATCTGCTGAGCTCCTTTTCAACACATTCACTGTGAAAGCTGGAGATGATCTTAAGATTGATGTGCCATTCAGAGGGCGACCTCTTCCATCCATTTGCTGGAAGAAGGATGGGAATCCCTTAAAAGAGACAACCAGGGTGAATGTTCAGACATCAAAGACTTCAACTTCACTATCCATCAAGGAAGCTTCACATGAAGATCTGGGACATTATGAGTTACATCTTTCAAATTCTGCTGGATCAACAACTGCTTCTTTAACTGTAGTTGTTCTTGACAGACCAGGACCACCAACTGATGTTCATATTGATGAAGTTAGTGCTGATAGTGTAACTTTATCTTGGAAACCTCCAGAATATGATGGTGGGTGCCATATTAGCAATTACATTGTGGAGAAACGAGACACTACCACAACAACCTGGGACATAGTATCTGCAGCAGTTGCAAGAACATCAATTAAAGTATCACGACTTACTACCGGTTCTGAATATCAGTTCCGTATTTGCGCAGAAAATCGTTATGGGAAGAGCACACATGTTAATTCTCCATCTGTTGTGGCAGAGTATCCATTTAAGCCCCCAGGACCTCCTGGTACTCCTCATGTGGCACATGCAACTAAAGCTTTCATGATTGTAACTTGGCAGGTACCAGTTAATGATGGAGGTAGCAGAGTACTAGGATATCACTTGGAACGTAAAGAAAGAAGCAGCATTCTTTGGGCAAAAGTCAACAAAAGTCTTATAACTGATACACAGATGAAAGTTACAGGTCTTGATGAAGGTCTGATGTATGAATATCGTGTGTATGCCGAAAACATTGCAGGCATAGGCAAATGCAGTAAATCATGTGAACCAGTTGCTGCAAGAGATCCGTGTGATCCTCCTGGTCAACCAGAAGTTACTAATATTACAAGAACATGTGTCTCACTGAAATGGACTAAACCAGAATATGATGGTGGAGCTAAAGTAACAGGATACATTATTGAGCGCAGAGAGATGCCAGATGGTCGCTGGTTAAAGTGTAATTTCACAAATGTGCAAGAAACATACTTTGATGTAGGTGGACTTACGGAAGACCAGCGTTACGAATTCCGTGTGATTGCAAAGAATGCTGCTGGACTCTTCAGTCAGCCATCTGAATCAACCGGACCTGTGACCGTAAAAGATGATGTAGAGGCTCCAAGAATTATGATAGATGTTAAATTCAGAGATGTTGTAGTTGTGAAAGCTGGAGAAGTGTTTAAAGTCAATGCTGATATTGCAGGGCGGCCAATACCAGTAATTTCATGGACAAAAGATGGCAAAGAACTTGAGGGAAAAGCTAGAGTTGAAATAGCCTCAACAGACTATGCTACTGCAATAACAGTTAAGGACTGTATCCGAGGTGATTCAGGACAGTATGTACTAACATTACAAAATGTTGCAGGAACAAAATCTTTGGCAATTAATTGCAAAGTACTTGACAGACCTGGCCCACCAGCAGGCCCACTAGAAATAACTGGCCTTACTGCTGAAAAGTGTCATTTATCATGGGGACCTCCTCAAGAGAATGGAGGTGCAGATATTGATTATTATGTTGTAGAAAAACGTGAGACCAGCAGAATTGCATGGACAATTTGTGAAGGAGAGCTTAAGACAACATCCTGTAAAGTGACAAAACTGCTGAAGGGTAATGAGTATATTTTTAGAGTGATGGGAGTTAACAAATATGGTGTTGGTGAGCCACTAGAAAGTGTTGCTGTCAAAGCCTTAGACCCATTTACGGTTCCAAGTCCACCTACTTCTTTGGAGATCACCAGTGTAAGCAAAGATTCAATAACTTTGTGCTGGGCAAGACCTGAGTCTGATGGAGGCAATGAGATCTCTGGCTACGTAATTGAAAGACGTGAGAAAACTAGCCTAAGATGGATACGTGTAAACAAAAAGCCGGTATATGATTTAAGAGTGAAATCATCTGGTCTCCGTGAAGGATGTGAATATGAATTCCGAGTTTATGCAGAAAATGCTGCTGGTCTCAGCCTTCCAAGCCAAAGCACACCATTAATTCGGGCAGAAGATCCAATCTTCTTGCCATCTCCCCCATCTAAACCAAAGATTATGGATTCCACAAGGTCAAATATCACAATTGGGTGGACAAAGCCACTGTTTGATGGAGGCGCTCCAGTAACTGCATACACAGTTGAATACAAGAAAACTGATGAAACTGACTGGACAACTGCTATTCAGAACTTAAGAGGTACAGAGTACACCATAAGTGGGTTAGTGTCTGGCTCTGAATATGTCTTCAGAGTGAAATCCATCAACAAAATGGGTGTCAGTGAACCAAGTGACAGCTCAGAACCTCACTTGGCAAAAGAAAGAGAGGAAGAACCTGCTTTCGATATTGACAGTGAAATGCGAAAGACACTAACTGTAAAGGCTGGTGAATCATTCACAATGACAGTTCCTTTCAGAGGCAAACCAGTCCCAAATGTAACATGGAACAAACCAGATACTGATCTCCGTACACGAGCAAGCATTGATGTTTCACATAATCGCACATCTCTTACTATTGAAAAGGCAACAAGAAATGATTCTGGAAAATACACTTTAACGTTGCAAAACGTCCTGAACACTGTTACCTTGACTTTAGTTGTCAAAGTTCTTGACACTCCTGGCCCGCCATCTCATGTAACAACAAAAGATGTAACTAAAGAATCTGCTGTGTTATCTTGGGATGTTCCTGATAACGATGGTGGGGCACCTGTGAAGAACTACGTCATTGAAAAACGAGAAGCTAGCAAGAAAGCATGGGTCACTGTGACGAATAATTGTCATCGCCTGTCATATAAAGTAACTGGTTTACAAGAAGGTGCCATTTACTACTTCAGAGTTTCTGGAGAGAATGAGTATGGTGTTGGAGTGCCTTCTGAGACCAAGGAGGGAACCAAAATAACAGGTATGTTTCACTAAAAAAAAAATAATTCTGTAACATATAACAATGCATGTTCTGAAATGTTTATTTCAAAATAATATAAAAGATATTTAATCTGTTTATAATAAGAAAATTAAATATGTGGTAGATACGTTTGTGATTTTACAAAAGAAAATGCTGAACAACAGCATAAATTTTAAATTTTATTTGCATTTTACTGAAAATGTTCTAACATACAAATTCATTACCAAAAAAAAAAAAAAAAACAAAAAAAAAACCAAAAACCAACCCTCAATCCAGTGTAATTGCTAACATAAAAAGGAATAATTTCTTGTTGCTTAACCTGTTGAACTTTTTTTCTCAGAAAAACCCAGCCCACCAGAAAAACTTGGAGTGACAAACGTCACAAAGGACAGCGTTTCTCTGTCATGGCTAAAACCAGAACACGATGGTGGAAGCAGAATTGTGAGCTACCTCATTGAGGCTCTTGAGAAAGGACAGCAGAAATGGGTTAAGTGTGCAGTTGTAAAGACAACTCATCATGTTGTCCATGGTCTTAAGGAGAATGTTGACTATTTCTTCAGAGTGTCTGCAGAAAACCAAGCAGGGTTAAGTGATCCTAAGGAACTACTTCTTCCTGTTACAGTTAAAGAACAATTAGGTAAGCCGGCTGTCATGAGACAAAAGTCAATATGCATTAAATTGAATTCATATTTTAGAATAGATAGCATTTTTTAATTATTTGAAAATGTTTTTGTTTTCAGAATCTCCTGAGATTGACATGAAGGGCTTCCCTCACAACACTGTGTATGTTCGGGCAGGTTCAAACCTGAAAGTTGAAATTCCAGTTTCTGGAAAACCATTGCCAAAGGTGACATTGTCTAGAGATGGCGCACCAATCAAACCCACCTTGAGATTTCACACAGAAACAACAGCAGAAAGTTTCATTGTTAACCTTAAAGAAAGTGTGGCTGCTGATGCTGGCAGATATGATATCACTGCTGCTAATTCGAGTGGCACCACAAAGTCATTCGTTAATATTGTTGTGCTGGATAGACCAGGTCCTCCTGTTGGTCCTGTTGTCCTTAGTGATATCACTGAGGAGAGTGTAACACTCAGATGGCAGCCACCAGCTTATGATGGCGGAAGTCAAGTTACCAACTATATTGTACTGAAAAGAGAAACAAGTACAGCTGCCTGGTCTGAGGTCTCTGCAACCGTTGCTAGAACTGTTATTAAAGTCATGAAACTCACAACAGGAGAAGAATACCAATTCCGCATTAAAGCTGAGAACCGCTTTGGCATCAGCGATCACGTTGACTCACAATGTGTAGTTGTCAAACTTCCTTACAGTAAGTAACGCTCTTCTCACACAGCAGATCAAAATTCTAATGTTCAGATGTTGAAAGGCTCATTTTGTTAACGATCGCTTCTTTTAATATCACCAGCTACCCCTGGTCCTCCTTCCACACCGTGGGTCACTAGTGTCACCCGAGAGAGTATTACAGTCGGATGGCACGAACCAGTCACTAACGGTGGCAGCCCTGTCATTGGATACCACTTGGAAATGAAGGACAGGAATAGCATATTATGGCAGAAGGCTAACAAGACCCTCATTCGCACAACTCACTTTAAAGTCACCACCATCAGTGCCGGCCTTATCTATGAATTTAGAGTTTATGCTGAAAATGCAGCTGGTGTTGGAAAAGCAAGTCATCCTTCTGATCCGGTCCTTGCAATTGATGCTTGTGGTATGTATTCCATAGAAAATAAAGAAACCCAACCACTGAAATAGTGCTTTTCCTTTTCCCCTGTGATATTCTTTCTTGTGGAGTAAGCTAATACCCAAAACATTTGTTAGTATTATTATAAAGATTGTTATTCATTTGCAATATTTTCATGTTTTCTATCACAGAACCACCAAGAAATGTTCGTGTCTCAGATATTTCCAAGACTGCTATTACTTTGTCATGGCAGAAGCCAGCATTTGATGGTGGTAGCAAGATCACTGGATACATTGTAGAAAAACGTGATCTACCAGATGGCAGATGGTCAAAAGCTAGTTTCACCAATGTTATTGAGACTCAGTTCACAGTATCTGGTCTGACACAGAATTCCCAGTATGAATTCCGAGTCTTTGCCAAGAATGCTATTGGTTCCATTAGTAATCCATCAGATGTTGTGGGTCCTGTTACCTGTGTTGATACATATGGTAAGTGTTTTGCAATGATATAACAGTTTTATGTGCTTCTTAAAGTCAGTGCTGTTTTGTAGAACCATAGCCTTTTCAATACAGAAAACTAACTTGTCTTGATAAACTTGAATGATGGTGAACTTTTTGAGCATGATTGTAATTAACATCTTTGGCTGTATCTGCGTTTGTTTGAGTTGTGGCATGTTGATTCTTTCAACGACAGAAGTAAGCCCATGTCCCATGGCCAAAGTGATATTTATAACACATAGTTGCCTTTTTTTTTTTTTTTTTTTTGGTAGTGTTGTAACTCATTCCAGCTTTCTGATTTAAATTACTCATGCTAGCTTCAATCAATATCTGTAAAATGCTTGTAACTGTTAGTTTAGAAAAAGTATTGCTTATTTTTACTTTTATTAAAGACAAGTCTTAACTGTTTTGTTTTTTATTCTTATTTTTTCTTAAGGTGCACCTGAAATCGATGTGCCGCCAGAATATACAGAAGTAGTGAAATACAAAGCAGGAACTTCTATTAAGCTAAAACTAGGCATTTCAGGAAAGCCTATACCAACAATTGAATGGTTCAAAAATGGCAATGAGCTGCAAAGCAGTTCACTACTGTCTATCGAGAACACAACAGAATTTGCTTCTATACTCATCAAGGATGCAACTCGACTTAACAGTGGCACCTATGAATTAAAACTGAAGAATGCCATGGGATCAGCCTCTGCCCATGTGCGATTACAGATACTCGGTATGTCTTGAGAAATTACTGTGTAACACTGTTAAACAATAATCTACTAAAAAATTCTTAACACCTTGTTTTTGGCATTTTATACAGACAAACCTGGACCCCCAACTGGACCAATACAGTTTAAGACAGTCACTGCAGAAAAGATCACAATAATGTGGGACCCTCCAGCAGATGATGGTGGTGCACCTGTAACACACTATGTTGTTGAAAAGCGGGAGACAAGTCGTGTTGTATGGTCTTTAGTTTCTGAGAAAGAGGAGGGGTGTATTATAACTACAACAAAACTTGTCAAAGGAAATGAATATGTGTTCCGTGTCCGTGGTGTGAACAAGTTTGGAGTTGGTGATTCCTTGGAGTCTGAACCAGTTATAGCCAAAAACTCATTTGGTAAGAACCATATAACATCAGTAATAGAACTGAATCATCCTATCTGGTATTTGCACATAGTGTTCACCTACTGACATATATGTATATTTTTTTAATTTAGTTGCACCTGGACCACCTGGTGTACCAGAAGTCACAATGATAACCAAGAATTCTATGACTGTTGTCTGGAGTAGGCCCACTGTTGATGGAGGTAGCGAAATATCAGGATATTTTCTTGAGAAGCGTGACAAGAAGAGTCTTAGCTGGTTCAAGGTTACTAAGGAAACCATTCGTGACACCAGACAGAAAGTAACAGGTCTGACTGAAAACAGTGAATATCATTTCCGAGTCTGTGCAGTCAATGCGGCTGGACAAGGTCCATTCTGTGAAGCATCTGACTTCTACAAAGCTGTAGATCCTGTTGGTAAGAAACAACGTGCAATATGTGTAATTGGTTAGAGATCAATAGGCAGCAAGCAATTAAGATGGCTTGCGGCAGTGTAACTGCAGGATATTTTATTCCTTTTTATGATTACTTGTAGTATGGTTTTTGACTTTCTTTTCTTAAACTGTCACTTACAGATAAGCCAGGCTCACCAACAAAATTGAAGGTTGTGGATACAACTAAGACATCTGTCACCCTTGGCTGGATTAAACCTACTTATGATGGAGGAAGTCCGATTACCAGCTATGTGGTTGAGAAAAGGGAAGGTGAAGAGCAAGAATGGACTATAGTCAGCTCTAAGGGAGAAGTGAGAACAACTGAATATGTTGTCTCCCACCTTCAGCCAAGCATTAATTATTATTTCCGTGTCTCTGCTATAAATTGTGCTGGACAAGGAGAGCCTATTGAAATGACAGAGCCTGTTCAAGCTAAAGATATTCTCGGTACTGTACCTTTCTATAACTTTTCTGTGGTTTTATTTTTCAGACCTTTTTTTATTTTACCTTCCAAATATGCATTATTCATTTTTATCTATTTCCACAGTGGCACCAGAGATTGATCTGGATGTTGCCCTCCGGACCTCTATCATTGCTAAAGCAGGTGAAGATGTGGAAATAATGATTCCATTCAAAGGAAGACCTCCTCCAACTGTCACATGGAGAAAGGGTGACAAAAATCTCGGAACTGATGAAAAATATATCATCCAGAATACAGAATCATCAACATTACTTTCTATTCCTCAAGTTACCCGAGATGACACAGGAAAATATGTTCTTACAATTGAAAATGGAGTTGGAGAACCCAAATCATCATTTGTGAATGTGAAGGTACTTGACACACCATCTGCCTGCCAGAAGCTGCAGCTTAAGCATGTTTCTCGTGGCACAGTTACATTGGTATGGGAGCCACCTCTCATTAATGGTGGTTCTGAAATAACAAATTATGTTGTTGAAAAAAGAGATGCTACAAAGAGGGCCTGGTCAACTGTAACAACAAAGTGTTCTCAAACTACCTTTAAGCTAACTAACCTGTCAGAAAAGACTGCGTTCTTCTTCCGTGTTCTTGCTGAAAATGAAATTGGACTGGGTGAGCCTTGTGAGACATCTGAACCAGTGAAAGCTGCAGACGTACCAGGACCTATAAAAGACCTTGCCATGAAAGATTCTACAAAAACTTCTGTTAAATTGCATTGGAGCAAACCGGACTATGATGGTGGTAGCATTATATCAGACTACATTATTGAAAAGAAACTGCAGGAAGAAAAGGAATGGACATATGCAGGCACAAGCAAGAGCTGTGAATTTGAAGTTGAAAGACTTAAAGAGCTGTCTATCATGGAATTCAGAGTCTTTGCAAAAAATGAAAAAGGCATGAGTGATGGTGTTACTGTTGGACCCATTACAGTGAAAGAATATATAATAACACCAGAAGCTGACCTTTCTGACATTCCTGGAGGTCAAATCAGTGTGCGAATTGGGCACAACCTTCACATTGAACTGCCCTATAAGGGTAAACCTAAGCCATCAATGAGCTGGCTGAAGGACAACCTCCCTCTTAAAGAAACTGAACATCTTCGTTTCAAGAAAACTGAAAACAAGATAAGCTTAAGTATCAAGAATGTGAAAAAGGAGCATGGTGGCAAATATACTTTGATTCTTGATAATGTTGTCTCCAGAAAAACATTTACAATCACTGTCATCACTCTTGGTCCACCATCTAAGCCAAAAGGACCCTTAAGACTAGATGAAGTCAAAGCAGATAGTGTAGTTTTGTCATGGGAAGCTCCTGAAGATGATGGGGGAGGTGAAATTACTGGCTACAGTATTGAGAAAAGAGAAACTTCTCAAATGAACTGGAAGCTGGTGTGCTCGAGTGCTGCTAGAACAACTTTCAAAGTACCAAACCTCGTTAAAGACACTGAATATCAGTTTAGAGTCCGTGCAGAAAACAGATACGGAGTAAGCCCACCTCTTGTCTCAGCAGATGTTGTGGCAAAGCATCAATTCAGAACACCAGGTGCACCAGGCAAGCCTGTTGTATACAATGTAACTGCTGATGGAATGACCATTGCGTGGGATGCTCCTGCTTATGATGGCGGTTCAGAAATCATTGGCTACCACGTTGAAAAGAAGGAGAGAAACAGTATTTTGTGGCAGAAGGTTAATGTTGCATTAATATCTAGCAGAGAATACAGGATTACTGGGCTAGTTGAGGGTCTGGATTACCAGTTCCAAGTGTATGCAGAAAACACTGCCGGTCTAAGCCGAGCCAGCGAGCCAAGCAAGTTTACTTTGGCAGTCTCTCCAGTAGGTGAGTGAATGACCAGTCATCCCCCAAAATTCTAGTGTTCTAGATTATGGTGAACAGTAATAAAAAATAATTCTTCATTGTTTTTACCCCCTTTCAGATCCACCTGGTACTCCTGATTACATTGATGTCACCAGAGAAACAGTCACTCTTAAATGGACCCCCCCACTGCGTGATGGAGGCAGTAAGATTGTGGCCTACAGTATTGAGAAGCGGCAAGGAAGTGAAGACCGGTGGCTGAGATGTAACTTTACTGATGTCAGTGAATGCCAATATACAGTTACAGGACTTAGTCCAGGTGATCGATATGAATTCAGAGTGCTTGCAAGAAATGCTGTTGGTACCATCAGCCCACCTTCACAGTCTTCAGGCTATATCATGACCAGAGATGAAAATGGTAAGATTTCTTAACATAATTGTTTGGATACTGGAGCCAAGTAGACCTTGTGGAAGATGGGAGGTCACAGGGGGGAGAAATGTTTGACTGCCCTTCCACTCAACTCAGAATCATGCTCCAGCATAGGAGGAACTAAATGGAGGACCCAAACCTGACAGACATGTGTAATCATTGCTACATTAGAGTAACAACATACAATAGTCTTTTTCACCTGTTGTAGAATGTTGCTAACAGGAAAAATAAGCTTACAGTTTGTAATTCTGTATATAACAATGTTTTATAATTACTGAGTTAAGAAGACTATATTTTCCTTTTTCAGTTGCTCCAACAATTGAATTTGGCCCTGAGCACTTTGAAGGCCTAACTGTTAAAGCTGGAGAGAGCATTAGACTTAAAGCTTTAATTAAAGGACGTCCAGTACCTAAGGTGACATGGTTTAAGGATGGCAAGGAGATTGAAAAAACAATGAGTATAGAAATAACTACAGGTATTGGATATAGCACAATCTTCATTAGAGATGCTACCCGGGATCATCGTGGAGTGTACACAGTAGAAGCCAAAAATGCATCAGGCACTAAACGAGAAGACATTACATTCAGAATACAAGGTATCACACCAAATGCTTTTAGTACAATTTTTTATACCAATATTTTACCTAAGTGCCAATAAATTAAAATTCCAAACTTTTTATTTTGCAGACACACCAGGAAAAGTTGGTGGACCAATACGATTCACAAACATCACTGGAGAAAAAGTGACATTATGGTGGGAGCCTCCTGCTAATGATGGTTGTGCTTCTATTTCCCACTACATCATTGAAAAGCGTGAAACCAGCAGGATTGCATGGGCATTAGTTGATGACAAGTGTGAAGCTTGCAGCTACACTGCACTTAAATTAATTAAAGGCAATGAGTACCAGTTCCGTGTCTCTGCAGTAAACAAATTTGGAGTTGGCAGACCATTGGAGTCTGATCCAGTTGTAGCACAAATACCTTACAGTAAGTTTCCATCTCATTCTGTGGAAATAACTGTAGAGTTACAATCTTCTATTTCTAATTATGTTTTTCTTTTCCTTTTTTTCTTTTTTCCTTTTTTCTTTTTTTTTTTTTTTTAGCTCTTCCCGATGCCCCAGGAACACCAGAGCCCACTAACGTAACAGGAGACAGTATCACTCTGACATGGGCAAGACCGAAGTCAGATGGTGGAAGTGAGATAAATGAATATATTCTAGAAAGGAGAGAAAAGAAGAGCATGCGCTGGGTTAAAGTGATCAGTAAGAGGCCCATTGCTGAGAACAGATACAGAGTAACTGGCCTTATTGAAGGCAACGAATATGAATTCCATGTCATGGCTGAAAATGCTGCAGGAGTTGGACCTCCAAGTGATGTTTCAAAGCTAATTAAATGCAGAGAACCAGTTAGCCCACCTAGTGCACCTAATGTCGTAAGGGTGACGGATACATCAAAGACTAGTGTAAGCTTAGAGTGGACCAAACCAGTTTTTGATGGCGGTATGGAAATAATTGGATACATTATTGAAATGTGCAAAGCTGATCTAGAAACATGGCAGAAAGTCAATGCAGAGACTGTTCTTGCTACTAAATATACCGTGGTTGATCTGGAGGCAGGAGAACACTATAAATTCAGAGTGAGTGCAGTCAATGGTGCTGGCAAAGGAGAAAGCTGTGAAGTTCCTGCATCAGTCCAAACTGTAGACAGGCTTTCTGCACCTGAAATTGACATTGATGCAAACTTCAAGCAGACTCACATTGTGAGAGCAGGTGCAAGTATTCGCCTATTTATTGCCTTCTCTGGAAGACCTGTTCCCACTGCTGTGTGGTCCAAAGCAGATGCAAATCTGAGCTTGCGTGCTGACATTCAAACCACTGACTCATTTAGCACATTGACTGTGGAGGAATGCAATAGAAACGATGCTGGCAAATATGTCTTTACTGTGGAAAACAACAGTGGAAGTAAGTCAATTACATTTACTGTCAAGGTGTTGGACACTCCTGGTCCACCTGGTCCTATTACATTTAAGGATGTGACCCGAGGATCTATTACTTTAATGTGGGATGCTCCTGTACTGGATGGAGGTTCACGTATTCATCACTACATTGTGGAAAAACGGGAAGCAAGCCGTCGTAGCTGGCAAGTGGTGAGTTCAAAATGCACTCGACAAATCTTTAAGGTCACTGATCTGGCAGAAGGTGTTCCATATTACTACCGAGTGTCAGCAGAAAATGAATATGGCGTAGGTGAACCTTGTGAGTTGACGGAACCAATTGTAGCCACTGAAGAACCTGCACCACCTAAGAGATTAGATATTGTCGATACTACCAAATCTTCTGTAGTTTTAGCTTGGCTTAAACCTGACCATGATGGTGGTAGTCGTGTTACTGGGTACCTTCTTGAAATGAAACAGAAAGGCTCTGACAAATGGATTCCGGCTGGTCAAACCAAGCAACTTACTTTCACTGTTGAAGGCCTTGTGGAAAACACTGAGTATGAGTTCCGGGTCAAGGCAAAGAACGATGCTGGCTACAGTGAGCCAAGAGAAGCTTTCTCTTCTGTTATCATTAAAGAGCCACAGATTGAACCAACAGCAGATCTCAGTGAAATAAGCAGACAACTCATAACATGCAAGGCTGGAAGCACTTTTACTATTGATATACCAATTAGTGGCCGCCCAGCTCCAAAAGTGACATGGAAACTTGAGGAGATGAGGCTGAAGGAAACTGAGAGAGTTACCATCAAGACAACAAAAGACAGAACCACACTGACAGTAAAGGACAGTATGAGAGGCGACTCTGGGAAATACTACCTCACGCTTGAAAACACTGCTGGCGTGAAAACATTCACTGTCACAGTGGTAGTCATAGGACGGCCAGGTCCAGTCACTGGCCCAATTGAAATATCATCGGTCTCTGCTGAATCCTGTGTGTTGACCTGGAAAGAACCTGAAGACGATGGTGGCAGTGATATTACAAACTACATTGTAGAGAAACGTGAATCTGGCACAACAGCATGGCAGCTGGTAAATTCGAGTGTAAAACGTACACAGATCAAAGTCACCCGTCTCACAAAATACCAGGAGTACAGTTTTCGAGTAAGCTCAGAAAACAGATTTGGAGTCAGCAAACCCCTTGAATCAAAAACTGTAGTTGCTGAACATCCATTTGGTAAGTGAAACATTTTTACTTTTAAGTTGTTGTTCTCTTCTGGCTGTTATGTTTTTAATAACTAATATTTTCCCAACCTCCCATTTGTGTTTAGTCCCACCAAGCCCACCTTCAAGGCCAGAAGTCTATTCCGTGTCTGCAAATGCCATGGCAATTCGTTGGGAGGAACCCTATCATGATGGTGGCAGCAAAGTCATTGGATACTGGGTTGAAAAGAAAGAGCGCAACACCATCCTTTGGGTGAAGGAAAATAAAGTGCCATGCTGTGAATGCAACTTCAAAATCACTGGGCTGGTGGAAGGGCTAGAATATCAATTCAGAACCTATGCTCTAAATGCTGCAGGTGTTAGCAAAGCTAGTGAAGCTTCCAGACCTGTAGTGGCTCAAAATCCAGTTGGTAAGTATTATTTTCAATAGTTGTTTTGTATATTAAGTTAAAATAGAATGGCATTTCTCATTTTCTGTTTTATTCCTCCAGATCCACCGGGAAGGCCAGAAGTAACAGATGTCACCAGATCTACAGTGTCCCTGAGCTGGTCACCACCACTTTACGATGGTGGAAGTAAAGTTATTGGATACATCATTGAACGGAAGCCATATAATGAATCTGGTGATGGACGCTGGCTGAAATGCAATTATACCATAGTCTCAGAAAACTTCTTTACAGTGACAGCTCTTGGTGAAGATGAAGCATATGAATTCCGTGTTCTAGCAAAGAATGCAGCTGGTGTGATTAGCAAAGGATCTGAATCAACCGGTGCTGTCATTTGCAAAGATGAATACTGTAAGAAATATTCATTTGGAACAACTAAGTACATGGCGTTCCATTTTTAATTACCATCTTCTGATTTGTAATTTATTTATTTATTTTTTTTCCTCTGACAGCACCACCAAAGGCTGAACTCGATGCCAGGTTGCAGGGAGAAGTTGTAACCATTAGGGCTGGATCTGATCTTGTTCTTGATGCGGCCATTGGTGGGAAACCAGAACCAAAAGTCTTCTGGTCCAAAGGAGATAAGGAATTGGACCTATGTGAAAAGATATCTCTGCAGTACACCAGCAAACGAGCCATTGCAATTATCAAGTTCTGTGACAGAAGTGATAGTGGAAAATATACTCTAACAGTGAAAAATGCCAGTGGGACAAAGCAAATTTCTGTTCTTGTCAAAGTGCTTGGTATGTTTTTCGTGATCAATATTTGTGCTTAATGTATATTAGATTAAAAAACAAACAAACAAACAAACAAACAAAAAAAAAATGAAACAACAGAACCAAAAACTAAACAAGAAACACAAGTGTTGCTGTAAAAATAAGAGTGAGGAATTTTTCCTTAGTTGCTAATAATAACGCTTATTTCTACCTCTACTCAGATTCACCAGGTCCATGCGCAGGAAAAATCACAGTAAGCAGGATAACTGAAGAGAAGTGCACTCTGGCGTGGAATATTCCTGAGGAGGATGGAGGTGCACAAATCACTCACTACATTGTAGAAAGGCGCGAAACCAGCAGACTTCACTGGGTTATTGTTGAGGCCGAATGCCAGACATTATCATGTGTGGTAACAAAACTTATTAAAAATAACGAGTACATCTTCCGTGTCAGAGGTGTCAACAAATATGGGCCAGGTGTTCCACTTGAAACAGAACCTATCATTGCCAGGAATGCTTTCAGTGAGTGTTACTACCTTCCATTCTGTGTCAGTATGTGTGGAATGTCTGTCATAGGTAAAGAATTTGTAAAACAATTTTTGTCCCTTCATTTTTAAAACCAACAGCTATCCCAACACAGCCTGGTACTCCTGAAGAAGTGAGTGTTGGCAAGGAACACATCATCATTCAGTGGACAAAACCAGAATCAGATGGTGGCAGTGAGATTAAGGATTATCTTGTAGACAAACGTGAAAGGAAAAGTCTGCGCTGGACACGAGTGAACAGAGATTACACTATTTATGATACCAGACTGAAAGTTACTGGTCTTATGGAAGGTGGTCAGTACCAGTTCCGTGTCACTGCAGTGAATGCTGCTGGAAACAGCGAGCCTAGCGAAGCTTCACAATATATGTTATGCAAGGAACCATCATGTAAGTTGCCACATTTAAAATATATTTTAACTTTTACTTATAATAATGGAGCATAAAACCAAATTCATGCTTCAACTAGGATACTCAGAAAGACATAGGAACTCACTGATCTAGACAGTATTTGAAAAAATTTAGAAGAAGTTGTAGTTCATTTTAAATGCATTTCCCAGTTTATACTGTTGATAAGTTATTTTTAACTGTAAAATGTTCCCTTAACCAACGTGAAATACATTTTCTTGTTTTTCAAAGATACTCCTGCAGCACCTTCAGCTCCAAGAGTTGTGGACACTACTATGCACAGCATAAGTTTAGCGTGGTCAAAGCCCACATATGATGGTGGTGCTGACATCTTAGGCTACGTTCTTGAGATGAAGGAAGAAGGTACTGAACAGTGGTACCGACCACATACAACTCCCACTCTGAGGAATGCTGAGTTCACTGTAACTGGTCTTAAAACAACCCAGAAATACCAATTTAGAGTTGCTGCTACCAATGTGAATGGTATGAGTGAATTTAGTGAATCATCAGCAGAAATAGAACCTGTGGAAAGAATAGGTAATTTGAAAAATTCAATGTGTATTTTAAAGAATAATTCTATTTTCTTTTAAAACTACTAAAACATTAATTCATTTCATGTTTCTTGTACTCTTTGTCAGAAAAACCTGAGCTTGAGCTTGCTGATGACCTGAGGAAGACAGTAACAGTGAGAGCTGGTGGTTCCCTGCGTCTGATGGTCTCTGTGTCGGGTAGACCTGCTCCTGTAATCACATGGAGCAAGCAGGGTATTGACCTTGTAAGTCGAGGTATTATTGATACTACAGACAGCTACACTCTACTTATTGTGGATAAAGTTAATCGGTACGATGCTGGAAAGTATGTAATTGAAGCTGAAAATCAATCAGGAAAAAAATCAGCAACTATTTCTGTGAAAGTGTATGGTAAGTAATTCTACAGTTATACATGGTTATTAGACTACTTGTGGTGCATGTTACTGAGGAGTAAGAAATTCAGGCATTTCCAAAAGAAGTTTGTAGTTTTAAACAGCATGAGATTGTTTGAGAAGAAGTCAAAGAAATAGAGGAAAATATGAAGTTCTAAAGCTGAGCTACAGTCGTAGAATTATTAAGGTGGGAAAAGACCACTGAAATCATCTAGTCCCACCACCATGCCTTCTAAACCCATGTCCCTAAGTGCCACATCTACTATTTTCTTGAGAATCTTGTGGGATAGTGATTCCACCACTCCCTAAGCAGCCTGTTCCAATGCATTACCGCTGCTTCTGAGAAGAAATTTTTTCTATTATCCAACCTCCCCGGCTCAACTTAAAGCCACTGCCTCTTATTCTATCGCTGTTATCTGGAACAAGAATCCATGATCTACCTCCTTTCACGTAGTGGTAGAGAGCAATAAGGTCTCCCGTGAGCCTCCTCTTTTCCAGACTAAACAATCCCATTTATAAATGAAATCCTACTGTTACTGTTATTATTTATTGTTGTTGTTTTAATTCAGAACTCAATCTGAGGAAGGGATCTCAAAGAAAAAAAAAATATTTTCTTTTTGGTTTAGATACACCCGGTCCACCAGCTGCAGTGAGAATTAAGGAAGTATCAAGAGATTCTGCAACACTTAATTGGGACATTCCAACCATTGATGGTGGAGCCCCTGTCAGCAATTATATAATTGAGAAACGTGAAGCTTCCATGAGAGCTTACAAGACTGTCACTACCAAATGCAGCAAGACATTTTATAGAGTTACTGGACTTCTGGAAGGAGCTTTGTATTATTTCAGAGTACTGCCAGAAAATATTTATGGCATTGGTGAAGCTTGTGAGACATCTGACGCAGTATTAGTATCTGATGTACCTATGCCACCACAAAAACTGGAAGTGATCGACATCACCAAATCAACTGTTACTCTTGCTTGGGAGAAACCACCACATGATGGTGGCAGCAGATTGACTGGCTATGTTATTGAGGCCAGCAAAGCTGGAACAGAAAGATGGTTGAAGGTAGTGACAGTAAAGCCTACTGTCTATGAACATACAATTATCTCTCTCAATGAAGGCGAACAGTACTTGTTCAGGGTCAGAGCACAGAATCAGAAGGGTGTTTCAGAAGCACGAGAGATTGTCACAGCAGTAACAGTACAGGACCAAAAAGGTAAGTATCTACTGCTAAAAATAACAGTGTGAAACTGACACCAAGTGAATGGAATATTTATAAAACATATTCTGAGAAAATCAATGTACTTCTTTCTTTTCTTAGTTCTGCCTACAATTGACCTTGCCGGAATACCTCAGAAGACAATTCATGTACCTGCTGGCAAGCCCATCGAGTTAGCTATTCCAATTGGAGGACGACCACCTCCAGCTGCATCTTGGTTCTTGGCTGGTTCTAAACTAAAAGAATCAGAACGCATCAAAATGGAGACTGCTGCCAAAATGGCTAAACTGACAGTTCGTGAGACCACCATTCATGACACTGGAGAGTATACACTTGAACTGAAGAACACAACTGGAACAGTTACTGATACAGTAAAAGTTATAATCCTTGGTAAGAACTTCTGAAAGTAATCACCCGTGATCTTTATTTGTCTGAACTTTGCTCCCATCGATATGATTCTTCTCTCAACATTATTTTTTGCCTTTTATTTTTCATAGACAAACCTGGACCACCTGTTGGACCTATCCGAATTGATGAAATTGATTCAAATTATGTAACCATCTCCTGGGAGCCACCTGAGCTGGACGGTGGAGCTACACTTAGTGGCTATGTGGTAGAGCAGCGTGACGCTCACCGTCCTGGATGGCTGCCAGTTTCAGAGTCGGTAACCAGAACAACATACAAGTTCACCAGGCTTGTTGAAGGTGCAGAATACGTGTTCCGTGTGGCTGCTACAAACCGCTTTGGAATTGGATCTTACCTGCAGTCTGAGATTATAGAATGCAAGAGCAGAATTCGTAAGTCTACCTTTAAGAACAAAATATGCATGTTTACATGGCTTATGTAGCCATGCACAGATAAGATTTTCCTAAATGTTACCACCTTCTTTTGCCAAATAATGGGATACACTGTGGTACACTGTAGCCTTTGTATGTTACTGGGGAAAAACACTATCCATAGGCTTACTTAGGTATTGTAAAAGCACCACTTACTTAGGTATTGTAAAAGAGAATGTGGACAGTAAGCACGGTCTTTTTGTGCTCAGATCTATTGTTAGCTATCTATCTACTATTACAGAAAATTTGCTTTACACCCCATTACAAAAGCAGGATTATTTCATTGGCCTAGTTCGTAAAGTACTTTGATATTTTTTGATTTAAAAGAGTTTGATAGGATGTTGATACTACGTTATCATTCATAGTACATTGTATATTTCTCTGTGTAAAATTATTGATGCTTTCTTCGCTAAGTCTGTGTTTCCTTTTTACAGGTATCCCTGGCCCTCCTGGCACTCCAGAAGTGTTTGATGTCTCTCGAGATGGTATGACATTAACTTGGCATCCTCCAGATGATGATGGTGACTCTCAGATTACTGGTTATATTGTGGAACGCAAAGAAGTTAGAGCAGATAGATGGATTCGTGCAAACAAAGTTCCAGTCACTATGACTCGTTACCGTTCCACTGGGTTGGTTGAAGGATTAGAATATGAACACCGCATCACAGCAATCAATGCAAGAGGTGCTGGGAAACCCAGTCGTCCTTCCAAGTCTGTTGTTGCCAGGGATCCAATTGGTAAGTAATTTCCTACATAGATTAAGCATATTATGGCAGAATGGAACGGAAAGTCACTCTTTTTAGTAATTTGAAAATTTATCTGCATATGTTTATGAACAGCAGAGGAGATTCTGACTGGAAGGAACCAAGAAAAAAGTATTAGTGAAAATCTTTTTCTTTCTTTTTCAACTTCTTCCAAGTTTCCCTATATAAATCCTATAGTGACTACATACAGATCTTATGCTGGAAGTTTGTATTTGTTATGTGTTTTAAATCTTCATAAAGATGATCTTACTGAGCCCTCATGTGGTCTTCTCTTCCAGCTCCTCCAGGGAAACCTCAGAATCCAAGAGTCACTGACACTACAAGAACGTCTGTCTCTCTGGCTTGGAGTCCACCAGAAGATGAAGGTGGCTCTAAAGTCACCGGCTACTTAATTGAGATGCAGAAGGTAGATCAATTTGAATGGACCAAATGCAATACCACTCCCACCAAGATTCGTGAATACACTTTGACACATCTACCACAAGGCGCAGAGTACAGATTCCGCGTGCTAGCCTGTAATGCTGGTGGGCCAGGAGAACCTGCTGAAGTGCCAGGAACGGTCAAAATTACTGAAATGCTTGGTAAGACACTTCACATCTTAACTCCTATTGAAAGCCATCCTAAAGAAAAATTTAGCTAAAGTGTATACCTGTAAAACACACGTGGCCTGAGATGTTAATTTTCTTTACAGAATATCCTGACTTTGAACTTGATGAAAAATACCAGGAAGGTCTCATGGTGAGACAAGGTGGAGTTATCAGGCTTACAATACCCATTAAGGGTAAGCCCATTCCGGTATGCAAATGGACCAAAGAAGGACATGACATCAGCAAAAGGGCCATGATTGCAACCTCCGAAACTCACACAGAACTTGTGATCAAAGATGCAGAAAGAGAAGATTCTGGCACCTACGATCTGGCACTTGAAAACAAGTGTGGCAAAAAAGCTGTGTATATTAAAGTCAGAGTGATTGGCATTCCAAATCCACCAGAAGGGCCTCTTGAGTATGATGATATACAAGCTCGTTCTGTCAGAGTAAGCTGGAGACCTCCTACAGATGATGGTGGTGCAGATATACTAGGTTATATTGTTGAGAGACGAGAAGTACCAAAGACTGCCTGGTACACTGTTGATTCTAGAGTAAAAGGGACATCTTTGGTGGTGAAAGGTCTAAAAGAAAATGTGGAATATCACTTCCGTGTTTCTGCGGAAAATCATTTTGGCATTAGCAAATCTCTCAAATCTGAAGAACCAGCTGTACCAAAGACACCGCTGAGTAAGTCCCCATTTTAAATCTTTTAAAACTTTTTTTAATGACTACTGCTTGCTTACTTACATTATGCTTCTACAAGTGCAATAGTATGTGCAAACAGTTGAATGCTATGGCTTTATTATTTCTACTAATCATGTTCTTGTTATTATCTTATTATTATCAGATCCTCCGGAGCCTCCAAACAACCCACCTGAAGTGCTTGATGTCACAAAGAGTTCAGTTAACTTGTCCTGGTCCAGACCTAAAGATGATGGTGGTTCTCGTGTAACTGGGTACTACATTGAACGTAAGGAGACATCTACAGAAAAATGGGTCCGGCATAACAAAACGCAGATCACTACTACAATGTACACAGTCACCGGACTTGTTCCAGATGCTGAATATCAGTTCCGTGTTGTTGCTCAAAATGAAATTGGTGAAAGTGAAGCAAGTCCTGCTTCTGAACCAGTTGTATGCAAGGATCCATTTGGTAAGAAAATGTTTGCATTAATAGATCTTGTGAAAAACAATTTAGTAACATTCAGAAAGGAATTTTATTTCTGTATATTTTGCAATTTTCAGACAAACCAAGCCAACCTGGAGAAATTGAGATCACTTCGATATCGAAGGACAGCATTACAATGGAATGGGAACGACCTGAAAGTGATGGTGGCAAAGAGATCCTAGGATACTGGGTTGAATATCGACAGTCTGGAGAAAGCACCTGGAAAAAATGCAATAAAGAACTCATCAAGGACAGACAGTTTACAGTAGGAGGTTTATTGGAGGCCACAGAATATGAATTCCGTGTTTTTGCAGAAAATCAGACTGGCCTCAGCAGACCTCGAAGGACTGCTATGGCAGTGAAAACTAAATTAACATGTAAGCAAAAAGTACACTGTCATATTTGCTGCAATACTGCTGTGATGTCATGTGTCATAAACCACAGTGATACACTGACTGTGCTTTACAAATTATTTGCCAACAGGACTGTCCTAAGGCACAGTCCAGTTGTTCAAATGTAAGAGGCACAAGTGTAAATGAAGGTTAAATTTCAGTAAATAAGAATAGAGGAACATTTCATGTTAATTGTTATCCTTTTTTTTTTTTCTTTTTCTTTCTTTTAGCTGGAGAAGCACCTGCCATAAGAAAAGAAATGCAGGATGTTACAACTAAACTGGGTGAAGCAGCTCAGCTGACATGCCAGATTGTTGGGAGACCTCTTCCTGATATTAAATGGTACCGCTTTGGCAAAGAATTGGTGCAGAGCCGAAAATACAAAATGTCATCTGATGGACGCAACCATACACTGACAGTATTAACAGATGAACAAGAGGATGAAGGTCTCTACACTTGTATGGCTACCAACGATGTCGGAGAAATTGAAACTAGTGGCAAGCTATTGTTGCAGGCTCCTCCTCAGTTCCATCCTGGCTTCCCATTGAAAGAGAAATACTATGCTGGTGCTGGTGGCACTCTCCGCCTTCACGTTGTGTATATTGGCCGACCAGTACCAGCAATAACTTGGTTCCATAGCAACAAACCTCTGAGAGGATCAGAATCAGTTACTATTGAGAACACAGAGCAGTATACTCATCTTGCAATTAAGAATGTCCAGCACAAAACTCATGCTGGGAAGTACAAAGTGCAACTCAGTAACACGTTTGGAACAGTTGACACCGTACTTAATGTGGAAATACAAGGTAAAGAATTCTATTTTCGGTGTATTTGTGGAATATTTTCTAAAATACTGAGTAGCAAAAGAAGAACTAAAAAGATGCTGCTTTCTGTTTTACAGATAAGCCAGATAAACCAGAAGGGCCGATCGTTATAGAATCTGTACTAAAGAACTCTGTGGTGATTAGCTGGAAACCACCACAGGACGATGGAGGTGCTATGATAACAAATTACGTCATAGAGAAACGTGAAGCCAAGGAAGGAGCAGAATGGGAACTTGTATCTTCAAGCATTTCAGGCACAACTTGTAGAATTGTTAATCTAACTGAAAATGCAGGCTATTATTTCCGTGTTTCTGCTCAGAATACATATGGAATTAGTGAAGCACTGGAAGTCTCATCAGTTGTCGTTATGAAGCCTCCATTTGGTAAGTGAACACCAAAATATCCAGTTCAGTATGCCTGTGTAATTACTAAGGCAAGTTCACTTCAATGTTTGAATCTCTTTATTCTTTACAGAAAAACCGGGACAACCTGGTCAGCCAGTTGCAAGTGCTATCACAAAAGATTCTTGTGTTGTCTCATGGAAGCCACCTGCGAGTGATGGAGGTGCAAAGATCAGAACATACTATCTTGAGAAGCGTGAGAAGAAACAAAACAAGTGGATTTCTGTAACAACAGATGAAATTCGTGAAACTGTATTCTCTGTGAAAGACCTTATTGAAGGCCTTGAATACGAGTTCCGTGTAAAATGTGAAAATCTAGGTGGTGAAAGCGAGTGGAGTGAGGTATCACAACCAGTTATTCCAAAATCTGATGTACCAATTCAAGCTCCACATTTCAAGGAAGAACTAAGAAACCTGAATGTGAAATTTCAAGCTAACGCCACATTTGTCTGCAAAGTCACTGGTCATCCTAAACCAGTCGTCAAATGGTACAGGCAGGGCAAAGAAATCATGCCGGATGGTGAAAAGATCAAAATACAGGAATTCAAGGGTGGATACCACCAGCTAATCATTACAAATGTAACAGATGATGATGCCACAGTATATCAAGTTAGAGCTACCAATCAAGGAGGATCAGTGTCTGGCACTGCCTCTTTGGATGTTGAAGGTAAATGAAGGGTCTCAATTCCCAAGACAGATTCTTGTTAAATTTTGAGCAGTCAGATTATTGGTGCTCTTCTCAGGTGTTTTTGCTCATGTGTTGTTTTTTCCTTCCTCTTTTTGTTCCAGTTCCTGCAAAGATTCACTTGCCCAAAAACCTGGAAGGTATGGGAGCCGTTCATGCCCTCCGAGGGGAAGTAGTGAGCATCAAGATCCCATTCAGTGGCAAGCCTCCCCCTGTGATCACATGGCAGAAGGGACAGGATCTCATTGATACTAATGGACATTACCAAGTCATTGTTACAAGATCATTCACATCTCTTGTTTTCCCAAATGGTGTTGACAGAAAAGATGCAGGTTTTTACATTGTTTGTGCCAAAAACAGATTTGGAATTGATCAAAAAACAGTTGAATTAGATGTGGCTGATGTGCCTGATCCACCAAGAGGTTTGAAAGTAACAGACATTTCGAGGGATTCAGTCAACTTAACCTGGATTGAACCAGCCACTGATGGTGGGAGCAGGATCGTAAACTACATTATTGAGAAACGTGCTACAACAGCAGAGCGATGGATTCGTGTTGCACAAGCTCGTGAGACACGATACACAGTAGTGAACCTATTTGGCAAGACCACCTATCAGTTCCGTGTAATTGCAGAAAACAAGTTTGGCCAAAGCCAGCCTTCTGAACCTACTGATCCAATTATAACAAAGGAAGATAAGACTAGAGTAATGAACTATGATGAAGAGGTTGATGAAACCAGAGAAGTCACCACAGCTAAAGCTACTCACTATTCTACAAAGGAACTCTACGACAAATACATGATTGCAGAAGAGCTTGGACGTGGGCAGTTTGGCATTGCACACCGCTGTGTTGAGGCAGTTTCAAAGAAGACTTACCTGGCTAAGTTTGTCAAAGTAAAAGGTGCTGACCAAGTTTTGGTAAAGAAAGAAATTTCTATTCTAAACATTGCTAGGCACCGAAATATCCTGTATCTTCACGAATCGTTTGAGAGCCTTGAAGAATTGGTCATGATCTTTGAATTCATTTCGGGAGTCGATATCTTTGAAAGAATCAGCACAGCTTCATTTGAACTGAATGAAAGAGAAATAGTAAGTTATGTACGCCAGGTCTGTGATGCACTAGAATTCTTACATCGCCACAGCATTGGACATTTTGATATCAAACCAGACAATATTATTTATTTCACAAGAAGGAGCTCCGTAGTTAAAATTGTCGAATTTGGGCAAGCCAGACAACTGAAGCCTGGAGACAGCTTTAGACTCCAGTTCACTTCACCTGAATATTATGCACCTGAAGTACATCACCATGATCTGGTCAGCACAGCAACTGACATGTGGTCAGTTGGTGCTCTAACCTACATACTTCTCAGCGGCATTAATCCTTTCATTGCTGAAACAAATCAACAAGTTATTGAAAATATTCTAAATGCTGAATACAATTTTGATGATGAAGCATTCAAAGACATAAGCATTGAGGCTATGGACTTCATTGATCGCCTGTTAGTAAAGGAAAGAAAAGCTCGAATGACAGCTGCTGAAGCACTTAATCACACATGGCTTAAACAGAAAACAGAGAAGACTAGCACTAAAACCATCAAGACCTTAAGACACAGGCGTTACTACCACACTCTAGTAAAGAAGGAGTGGAACACAGTTGTGTCAGTAGCCCGTATTTCCTGTGGAGGTGCAATTAGATCTCAGAAAGGAGTAACAGTGGCCAAAGTTAAAGTTGCTCCAATAGACATTGGTCCCATTACTGGGCAGATAAACCATGCTGCTGCAGAAGAAGGAGGGCATGCCAAATACGTGTGTAAGATTGAAAACTATGATCAGTCCACACAGGTCACCTGGTACTTCGGTATGAGGCAACTAGAAAACAATGAGAAATATGAAATTAATTATGAAGAAGGTGTGGCAACAATGTATGTCAAAGATATTTCTAAATCAGATGATGGAACCTACAGATGCAAGGTTGTAAACGACTACGGTGAAGACAGCTCTTATGCAGAACTTTTTGTTAAAGGTGTGAGAGAAATGTCTGAGCACTACAGATGTAGAGCTGTTAGGAAAGTGAAACGCCGGGTTGATGCAATGAGACTCTTAGAGCGTCCACCAGAATTTACTTTGCCTTTGTATAATCGCACTGCATATGTTGGAGAAAATGTCAGGTTTGGTGTAACTATAACAGTCCACCCAGAACCTCGATTGACGTGGTTCAAATCGGGCCAGAGAATCAAACCTGGTGATGACGATAAGTATACTTTTGAATCAGACAAAGGTCTTTACCAACTCATCATCAATAAAGTCACTGAAGAGGACGATGCTGAATACAGTATTATAGCACGCAATAAATATGGGGAAGACAGCTGCAAAGCTAAGCTGACTGTGATTCCGCATCCACCTCCAGCAGATACTACGCTGAGGCCAATGTTTAAAAGGCTGCTGGCCAATGCTGAATGCCAAGAAGGCCAAAATGTCAGTTTTGAGATCAGGGTATCTGGTATACCAAAGCCGACACTGACATGGGAGAAAGATGGTCAACCTCTATCCTTTGGTCCTAACTTTGATATAATTCATGAAGGTTTAGATTACTATGCTTTGCATATCAGAGATACTTTACCAGAAGACAGCGGTTATTACAGAGTTACTGCTACAAACAGCGCTGGATCTACAAGCTGCCAGGCTTATCTAAAAGTCGAACGCCTGAAATATGTCAAGCGTGAGTACAAGACTGAAGAAGAGCGGGAGAAGCATGTACAAAGGCAAATTGACAAGACCTTAAGAATGGCAGAGATCCTTTCTGGGGTTGAAGCTGTTCCATTGACACAAACTGCACAAGAGGCTCTCAGAGAAGCTGCTATCTTATACAAACCAGCTGTCAGCACTAAGACTGTCAAAGGTGAATATGAAATTAAGAAAGAAGAAAAGAAGGAAGAAAGAAAACTTCGTATGCCGTATGAGGTTCCAGAGCCTCGCAAACATGTGCGCACTACTCTTGAGGAAGATCAGACCATTAAACACTTTGTGCCTCTGTCAGATATGAAATGGTACAAGAGGCTGCGAGACCAGTATGAAATGCCAGGAAAACTTGAGAGAACTGTTCAGAAACGCCAGAAACGCATACGTCTTTCCAGGTGGGAACAGTTCTATGTGATGCCACTGCCACGCATTTCTGATCAGTATAAGCCTAAATGGCGCATACCAAAGCTAACACAAGATGATCTTGAAACTGTGAGACCAGCACGTCGGCGTGCACCATCTCCAGATTACGAATTCTACTACAGACCAAGGAGGAGGTCACTTGGTGATTTATCTGATGAGGAATTACTCCTGCCTATTGAGGACTATTTAGCCATGAAGAGAACTGAAGAGGAAAGACTGCGCCTCGAAGAAGAGCTCGAGCTAGGCTTTTCTGCTTCCCCACCAAGTAGAAGCCCTCCACGCTTTGAGCTGTCTGCGCTTCGGTACTCGACTGCAGGAACACAGGTCCAGTCAGAGGAAGAAAGAAAGAGAGAGCTGAGGTATTCCAGCTACCATATCCCAACTAAAGCTGACACAAGTGCAAGCTATGCAGAGCTACGTCAGCGCTATGACAGAGCTGCCTACAGACCCCCCAAACAAAAGCAAAGAATAATGGCTGAAAGAGAGGATGAAGAATTGCTCCGTCCTGTTGGTGCTACTCAAAGACTCTCTGAGTACAAGAGTGAGCTGGAATATATGGCAGAAGAGGAAAAGAGCAGACTTAGGAGAAGGAGGGAAAGAGAAATAACTGAGATCACATCAGAAGAAGAAGAAGAAATAGAAATGGTGCAACATGTTCACAGGGAATTTTCACCTCCTTCCAGATTACTAAGGAGAAGAAGATCCCTTTCTCCAACTTACATTGAGTTGATGCGCCCTGTATCTGAATTAATTAGACCCCGTTCACGACCTCCCGAGGAAAGTGAAAGAAGATCCCCAACACCAGAGAGAACTCGACCACGTTCACCTAGCCCGGTTTCTACTGAAAGATCACTCTCTCGGTTTGAAAGGATGGCAAGATTTGACATCTTTTCTCGATATGAGTCCATGAAATCTGCTTTGAAAACACAGAAAACTATGGAAAGGAAATACGAAGTCCTAACTCAACAGCCTTTCACCCTTGACCATGCTCCTCGCATCACCCTGAGAATGCGCTCACACCGTGTGCCATGTGGCCACAACACCAGGTTTATTCTGAATGTCCAGTCAAAGCCAACGGCTGATGTGAAGTGGTACCACAATGGTATTGAGCTCCAGGAGAGCAGTAAGATACATTTCTCGAATACCAGCGGGGTATTAACACTGGAAATTCTCGACTGCCATATTGATGACAGTGGAACATACAGGGCTGTATGCACAAACTACAAAGGAGAATGTTCTGATTATGCAACCTTAGATGTTACTGGAGGAGATTACACTACATACTCTTCCCAGCGGAGAGACGAAGAAGTACCAAGGTCAATTTTACCTGACCTGACAAGAACAGAGGCATATGCAGTCTCATCATTTAAGAAAGCATCTGCTACAGAAGCAAGTTCCTCAGTAAGAGAGGTCAAATCAGAAGTGTCAGCAACAAGAGAGTCACTTCTATCATATGAACACTACGCTTCTTCTGAAGAAAAAATCACTGCCTCAGAAGAGAAATCACTGGAAGAAAGGACAGTACATAAGGCATTTAAGAGCACTCTGCCAGCAACGATCCTTACAAAACCGCGGTCAATCACAGTTTCCGAAGGCGAGACTGCAAGATTTTCGTGTGACGTTGATGGTGAACCAGCACCAACAATAACATGGGTCCGTGCGGGTCAACCTATTGTTTCTTCCAGGCGCTTCCAAGTAACACGGACACAGTACAAATCTACTTTTGAAATTTCTTTGGTCCAGATTTCAGATGAAGGAAGTTACACTGTTGTGGTGGAAAACTCTGAAGGAAGACAGGAAGCGCACTTCACTTTGACCGTTCAAAGAAAAAGAATCCCTGAAAAAGCAATTACGTCACCTCCGAGAGTCAAATCTCCTGAGCCTCGTGTAAAGTCTCCAGAGCCAGTTAAGTCTCCTAAACGAGTGAAATCTCCTGAACCCATCAGTGCCCACCCAAAAGCCAAGTCACCACCTGGAGACAAAACAGCACCAGTGGAGAAATTACCAACTGCTTCTCCTCCAAAGATAAAAGAGCAACTGAAAGCAGAAACCCTTGGAGATAAGGTGAAGTTATCCTGTGCAGTTGAAAGTAGCGCTTTAAGCGTCAGGGAAGTGGCTTGGTATAAAGACGGCAAAAAACTGAAAGAAGACCGTCATTTCAAGTTCCATTATGCAGCAGATGGCACATACGAGCTCAAAATCCATGACCTCACAGAATCTGACAAAGGAGAATATACTTGTGAAATTATGGGAGAAGGAGGTATTTCAAAAACTAGCTTCCAGTTTACCGGCCAAGTATTTAAAAATATCCATTCCCAGGTACGAAGTGTCTCTGAAACTCATAAATCAGCCGAGAAAGGAGATGAAGTACTTACTGTTTCTACCCACAAGAAATCATCAGTGGCAGCTGAAGAAAAAGCAGCAATTGAAGAAGTCATTAAAAAGTCAATTGTTACTGAAGATGTCAAACAATTGAAAGCAGAAGTTAGAGCTTCTTCGACTCAAATGACCGTGTCTGAAGGGCAGAAAGTGACTTTGAAAGCCAACGTTCCTGGTGCCTCTGAGGTAAAATGGGTGCTAAATGGAATGGAGCTAAGAAATTCAGATGATTACAGATATGGCATTTCTGGAAGTGATCACACACTAACTATCAAGAAGGCTAGTAATAAAGATGAAGGTATACTCACCTGCGAAGGTAAAACTGACGAAGGCGTTATTAAATGCCAGTACGTGCTTATCTTGTCCAAAGAGCGCTCAAACGAACCAGCATTTATCATGCAGCCCAAGTCTCAAAATGTCAATGAAGGACAAGATGTGTTGTTCACCTGTGAAGTTTCTGGCGATCCTTCTCCCGAAATTGAATGGCTTAGGAATAATCAACCTGTAAGTATTAGTTTTTTATGTTCACTTGAAAACTTAGAATTCTTCACTGAACTGATCTTAATGAAACAATTTTATCCTCCACAGATTGCTGTTTCATCACATATGAGAGTGACTCGCTCTAAAAACACTTATTCTCTTGAGATTCGGAATGCTGCAGTGAGTGACACTGGAAAATACACAGTTAAGGCTAAAAATTACCACGGGCAATGCTCTGCTACAGCCTCTTTGACTGTATTCCGTAAGTTCATTTTCTGCATCGTGTGTTGACATTAATGGGGTCTTTTTGCTGTGGTATGTCTACTAAAAGGATTTTTTATAAAAGCCAGCAAGGTTGATACAGGTATTTTAACCTGTTGCTATTTATTATGTGTATTGATATATCCACAAAACTAAAGACCATTAGAAATGGTCTTTAGAAATGAAAAATCTTCAGAGTGCCCACAGAGAAGCATGCAGATGTTCTTTCATAGCCCTAGCTGAGTGTTAACAGAAAGCTGAACATTTCTTCTAGGCTAAGACCTTGGTGCTGGCAAGCACTTTTTCCTGAATTACTAACAGAACCACATCCAATGAAACAAAATAATCCTATGTTGAAAACCGTTATGGTACCTTACGAACCAGATTTAAGATTTTATTGGCTGAACAAGGACATCTCTGTTCCTAGCACCATGGGGTTACTATGATTTGCTTGGATGACTGTGCTTGGGCTTAAAGGAAAGCTGCAGTAGCTGATCGTTTCTACAACTATGAACTGAACACACAGTTTCTCATTCTAATAATGGCTTTATTAGGAAATAGTGTGTTGACGATCTATTTCTTAAGTATGTCTTTCCCTTCCACCTGATACAACCTAGCAACCATTCTGTTTCCTACTTGTTTCATTTCCAAATTAGCATTTTTGTAACTTGGGCATCTTGAAACAAACAATTTTACACAATTATACTCTCCATTGCAGTTTTCCAATGAAAGCAAACTGAGCTAAGCTGTCTGTCTGTTCATTTCTGTGAAATTAACCATATAGACTGCATGACTTACTTAGTTAATGTGATGTTATTGGTTTTTCCTTCTATGTTTGTGATGCTCCTCAGCTCTAATTGAAGAACCTCCAAAGGAGGTAGTATTGAAGACAAGTGGCGACGCAAGCATGCACGAAAGTTTTTCTTCTCAATCCTTTCAAATGGCTGCTTCTAAACAAGAGGCTTCATTCAGCACTTTCAGCAGTAGCAGCATGACTGAAACGAAATTTGCAAGCATGTCTGCCAAAAGCATGTCCTCCATGAAAGAATCCTTTGTAGAGATGAGCTCCAGCAGTATTATGGGGAAATCTAGTATGGCTCAACTGGAAAGTTCAACTAGTAAGATGCTTAAATCAGGTGTGAGAGGTGAGCAATGAATTACTGGTAGAGTTAGTGCTTTGAATATCTTGAAATAGTCCTTGAAGTAAACCTGCTACACCTCACAAGTTTAGTGGAAACAAACTAACTTGGTATTTCTTTTCCTGTTTTGTAAAGGAGTACCACCAAAAATTGAAGCTCTGCCATCTGACATCAGTATTGATGAAGGAAAAGTTCTCACATTATCTTGTGCTTTTTCGGGTGAACCTGCTCCTGAAATAACGTGGTACTGCAGAGGGAGAAAAATTACCAGTCAGGACCAGCAAGGCAGATTCCACATTGAAACTAGTGAAGATCTAACCACCCTGATCATCATGGATGTCCAGAAGAATGACGGTGGAATTTACACTCTGAATTTAGGAAATGAATTTGGTACCGATTCTGCCACTGTGAATATTAATATTCGATCAATTTAGAAAGCTTGATCTGTATTATTTACACTTGTCTTTTTACAAGTGATTAATATATGGACTGATCTGTAAATATTAAAAAAAAATATTTTTGTACCTACCTGAATGAGACAAAGTCCAGAGATATACGTTATGACTTATAGTCATTATTGACCTAAGAATTTTAAACACTTTTTTCACTGACATGTACATACTGTATATAGCCGAAGTTAACGGTTATGAAGTTTTGTACCATTTGTTTTACGACATTTTGAAATGTAACTTTTGGAATTAACAGTTGGTAGGAGAAAGTTTCCTGGCAAACGACTATCCTGCTCAACATTTAACTAATTTTTGTGCCTCAACTCATTGTTGATGTTTAAGAATGCCTCAACAGGTAGAGGGGCTCCCTGTTGAAGATTACCTACCACCAAGAGAGGATACTGTGCATAGTATTTCATACATGCACAAATAATTATGTTGAATCAGAAATGTAAGGCACTAGTGATATTTACATTTACCCTCCTGTAAGTATTACTTTAATGTTTTACATTGGATCTGATTATGTCATAATTTCCATACCTGACTGACAATTTCTGAACAAAGTGCAAGCGGCCAGCACTTTGTTCGACCACTGTTTGGGTGCTGCTTCTGACACACTGACTGTCTGAATGGCTTTAAAAAAGTAACATCACCTGGCCATCCCCATAATCAACAAAGCCATTTAGGTACTCAAGTGCAGCAGCAGTACCAACTCTTGGAGGTTTGTAGGGTGCAGTGATTGAGTTTGTGTAGTAGTATTAGACACTTAGTAGTCACTTACAGGCAACTAAGCAGTGAACCACAGTTTGAAAACAAGCTGTTGTTATATCAGGTATTGCCCTGCACTTCAATTTGCTGTAGTTCTTCTAATGTAGTATTAAATCTAATTGTTAGATGTTGAACCTCCTTGAGATAGAATTGTTCATTTAAAATAAAGCATGCTTTCTGCACCTTAAAGTCTGTGTTTGTTTGGTGTTTTGGTTTAATTGAGTATTTAAACCCCTTTGCGGGTTCACTTTTTTCCATAGGAAAAAAAATCGAAACAATTATAAACTAGCTGGGCACTACTCATGGAACAGTGAACACTGATACCACAGTGAAGTTAATCACAGAATGGCCCAGGTTGGAAGGGACCTCAAGGATCACGAATCTCCAACCCCCCTGCCACATGCAGGGCAACCAAGCTCCCCATTTAATACTAGACCAGGCTGCCCAGGGCCCCATCCAGGGACAGGGCATCCACAACCTCTCTGGGCAGCCTGTTCTAGCACCTCACCACTCTCATAGTAAAGAACTTCCCTGATATCCAACCTAAATCTTGCCTCCTTCAACTTAACACCAGGACAAGAGGATACAGTTTTATTTACCTTTTCAAAGAGTTGACTCCCCTCCTGTTTCTAGGCTCCCTTTTGGTATTGAAAGGCTGCAATGAGGTCATCCTGCAGCAGCCTTTTCTCCAGGCTGAATGAGCCCAGCTCCCTCGGCCTGTCTTTGTAGGGTAGGTGCTCCAGCCTCCAGCTCATCTTTGTGACGCTCCTCTGGACCCTCTCCAGTCGCTCTCTGTCATTTTTGTACTGGGAGCTCCAGACCTGGACACAGTATTCCAGATGGCGCCTTACAGGAGCAGAGTAGAGAGGGACAATCACTTCCTCTCTTCTGATGGAGCCCAGGATATCATTTGCTTTCTGAGCTGCAAGAGCAAGAAAAGAACAAGTCTCAGCTGAAGGAAAAAACATGCCTAGATGTGCCTTCAAAGCTAGGGCCTTGCTTGTGCAGCACACAGTGAGGTGCTAAAGACCTTCAAGATCCACGCTAGCTCAGCCTGTGTGGGTTACCAGAAACACAATAAGTAGCACCATTCACCAACTAGCAAAACTTACCTTGCTTCTCAGTAGGCTATGCTAGCTTAGTGTTGTACAGCACTAAGAGGACTACATTGCTGCTAGCCTCCCACCTGTAATCACCTAAGGAGCAAGCTCAGCACTGCAAAGGAGTCACGTAGTCAGAGACAAAATGACCTGAATTTCAGCTAATAAACCTCCATTTAGCTAATAAATGGAGGTTAAAATACAAAAGAAAGCTACGTTTTGGATCATGACAAGACAGTTGGTAGTGATGGAAATAGGCACGTTTAGAAACAATGACAAAGAATCTGAATGTGTGGTACTTTCCCTTAGAGACAGCAGTAAAAGAGATCAATATCTGATAACTGATCAAAAAAGAGATCAGTTCGCTACTGGAAATTCACTCTTCAATTGTCTCTACTGAATCTAGACATTTTTACTTGATCAAGCTGCAAGCAGTTCATGTGGTAGTATAAGCAAGTTAGTTCTGTCTGCAAGCACATCTAACTTTAAGCAGATGACTAACTCATATGCCTCAAATAGGATTTCAATAATGTACTTACCGAATTTGCTGGAGTACAGTTTTAATAGATAACTTGACATGCTGCTGAGCCTGTGTTCACAAGACAGTGAAGTTAACACTAAAACTGAGTGTCACTTTCATAAAACATCCCAAAACAACAGCAATTTTCATGACTAAGCATTCTCTGAATAAAAATAAGAAAATGAAGAATGAATGTCCAAAATTATTTACTTCCTCCAATCAGGTATTAATGCACTAATTACATAACTTTTGTTATGAAGGTCAGCTCCCATTCCCCACAGAAAAGAGCAATAATACAATTACGCATTTCTAGTTAGCTTTCCCCTGGACCTGGAAGCAAAAATATAATATATAATATTTTTATATAATATTTTTATAATTTTTATTATATATTTTTTCATATTTTATATAATATATTATATATATATACATATATTTAGTATATATCTTACACACCTGGCCCACTCTGGTTCTAGCTTAGTACAATTTTTCAGAATGACTTCATAGCTCCTAATGCCAAAAGTACTATGGTATATCATCTTCACTCATTTCACTTACTTAAACACACTTTCGGATTTCAGCCATAGTGCAGAAGTATATTAAGAAAAAAAAAAAAAAAAAAAAAAAAGCTGATTTATCTTTAGCAAGAATATGTTGCACATATACTAAAAGATATCTATCATTCCCGCTTTAGTCACATGGAAAAAAACCAAGAGAGTCCTGAAGTAATTAATTACAGGGAGCCGTTATACTTGAATCTAAACATTACAACTCTTATCTAACCAATCATGCCTAAAATATTTACCAGCAGTATTTTAAACACTGATTTACAACTACATGTACTGATCAGTGTCAGGGAAATGTTTGCACAGAATCCAGACTATTTATTTTCTCTGTAGGAGCTGAAAGTCAGAAACAGACTCCCATTAAAGTGACATGTACTTACCATATATATGTACTTACTGTATATATGTACTTACCATATATATGTACTTACCATTACATTGGAAAAAACTTGAGTGAAATTTCAGTAGGCGTTTCTAAACCAATATATATGATTCAACAGAACACCCAAATACGTCATTTACTTCTCTGAACGCTGCTTTTTTTTTACTACTTGCTTTTACAATTGCCTTAGGTGTCACACAGAATACATAAAAGCAAACATTTAGGAAAAAAAAAAGTAGAAGCATGTGTGGCTGATATGCAAATGACAGGTGCATGAAAACTGGCAGATCTGAGCACAAATGACAGCACTGAGCTGGAAGCCATTAATATCTCCATTCAAATGAGCCTTTCCATTTCCTCTGACAACCAACAGAATGGTTTAAAGACTGGTAGCCTACACAAGCAACAGTTTATGCTTTTTCTCAACGTTTGGATCTATTTTGATTTAGATGAATCAATATTCCAGAAGTTTATAATGAAACCTTCAAATCCAACCCCATCTGTCTTTTCCAAACTGCTTCAATACCACCAAATTATTCATAAACACCAGAGGAAGACGACTTAGACCAAATTAAAGAAGATTTGATTATAAAAAACAGATTTTGGTATGTGCTCAAGTACAAAAAAACCCTGTGCATTTATTTAGGAATTGTGTAAATGAAAAACAGTAAATGGCTTGCTTAAAGTGCTCTACAGCTAGGACTTCATAAACCAAGCTTATCTTAAAATGAACACCAACCCTCCCCCTTATGCCAAAAGCTTACAATGCTAACGCTAGCAACCTTATGGATTAAGGTGCTAGTAGGCACTGTTATACTATATTATACTACTCATGAATTACTTACTGAGTATCAGAATCTGATCTCACTTACAGTTAATGCAGATTTACACTGATGTAAATGAGAGCAGAATGCATCCCCTGGTGTACACCATCCTGAAACGACATGAAGGAATCACCAAAACAGAAGCTCCCTTTGTATAAATATGTCACAAATAAAATATGTCCAGATACAGATACACCTATCCATACCAACAGCAGCTTCATGGTCTAATAGTTCAGTTCTTACTTCTACAAGATGTGTTTTCAGCAAAGTATTACATGAGCAGAGTATATATTAGAAGTGCTGCATTAGCTACTTGTGATGCTACACACACCAGAAACAATTTATGCCCATTTTGAAACCTTTAGTAGATTTTTGTATCTTTAGTAGTGAAAGTAGGTAAAAAATTTTTGATGCAAAAGAAGAATAAATAAATACAATTATTAAATATCCAATGCTTGATACAAATGCTTCATATTAAGTTATTTGTATACTTTTTCTTTTTTTTAATAGAAAAATACATGAAATATTTCTACTCTCATTGGCTAAAAACAAGGACCAGATTATATATACCCTTGTGTTTTTAAAGAAGGCAATGTCAACTACCATCATGCTGCTAGAATAGATCCGTTAATGCCCAGTCCCACAGTCCTTACTCAGGCAAAAAAAAGCCCCAGCAGGGCCATCAAAGCTCCAGACAGACTGTTTATACAAATGATCAGCAGGCACAAGCTGCATTTTCTCCAAAAAGGAAAAAAAAAGAAAACACAAAACAAAACCTCTTTGCTAAAGTTTATAATCTGCAGGTTTACTACTGTATCAATCAGACCTTCAAACTTTTTAAGAGCAACATTTACAAATGTAGATGTTTATCTTTTAAACCATCATTTGTTCCAAAAAAATGCACATTCAAACTGTGAAATATTAGGAAAATACTCTTGCAAATAAACTATATAAAGATAAAATACACTTCAAAGATATTTTTCAGGTTATTCTATAAAGTGCAGAGAAATCCTTCTAAAAAGGGAAATTACTACTTCCTATAATAACAATATAATTACAGCAGCCTTTGCATAGCATTTTTTATAGAAAATTTAAACACTTTCAGCTTCTTCAGGAAGAAAAGGATGAGAGACTCCCTTCCAGGTCAGATCTTTCATTTGATATCGATCTATTTTCTTCCGGAATGGTTGATGACACCAGATTCCCATTTACAGCATTTCCAGGGCAGTGAGCAGATCCTATGAAGATATCAAGAAGATTTAAATTTCCAATTAAAAAAATCCCTCACCCAATCTGTCAGTTATTCTACTTGTTAAGTCTTCGCTCTTCATAAGGAATGAGATGCATAACTACTCTGGACTTCTAAAAGATTTCCATCAGTATCACACACAAGGATGATGGATATAATGAATGTTCACCTAGTATACATGTAGTAGCTTTTTAAAACAATTAGTACTGAATTTGGAGGACAGCTATCTGTGCAGACAAATGCCGCATGACAAAGATTTATTATAGAAAGAAAAACACTGGTGCACTATACACGTTTAATTAAAACAATTTCTATTATTAAAATTAAATTGATGACTTCTGCAAGTTGAGTATTGTTAGACTGCCTGTCAGGAAAGAGGAAAAGCTAGGATAACTAGAAAACTCTGGTGTTAGCAGGAAGACGACTTTTCAGCAGTCCTGGAAAGAGTTAAGCTTGGTGAAGAAGGTCCAGATGTTAACAACCAAATCAAGACTGATGTGCAGTTACATTAGCAGAGAAACACAGAATGGAGTTTAAGCCAAGTTTATTAGCTTGGGATCGATGGTGGCAGATCCTAAGCTGGTGGCAGGTGACTGAGGCAAAAGTGGTTGTCATTCCACAATATGTGAGCATCAGAAAACCAAGGAAATGGTGTGGAGGTGCAAATATTTGTGACATGATAGCGTAAAAGCATTAGAACCTCTCTGGGCTCACACATGCTCTCAGCACTGCACAGGCCTCAGGTTTTTTTCAATCCAAGTGACGCACTAGGCATTCCAGAAGAAAGCAAGACTAAACCAGAACCAGCCAAGTTAAAAGTCTTCCTGAGAGGAGTTACAACACAGTCCAAAGGACAGCAAGAATCAAGATTGAAAAACCACAGAACCAAATACTAAATCCGTAGGGCCCATTAAAGCAGGAGAGACTACTGTTTAGTACAAACACTCCTGTTTTGGTTAGATCTCCATTTTAGATTACAAGCAGTCCTACTCACTTCAATACTTCAGCTTCAGTTGTAAGATTCTTATCAATATGAATGAAAACCAGAGAAATCAGTTACATAATACAGGTGCTTCAATCTGTAGTGTAGGAAATGTATAACCAAACCTTTTCCCTTGTACTGACATCAGCACTACAATACTTGACATAAACAGGGTAATAAATTCTACAGAAAGATACAAAAGAAAACAACCATCCCTCTTCCAAACTTACTCTGAGAATCTTCCAGGGGAGTGTCACTGTAAGATTCTGTATCTGAGTATGTTCTTCTGCGTTGCTGTGATAACCGATGGAGGGAAATTGGTTCTTTCACAGAGTGATTATCCCTATAAACAAAATGAGTTACATTAGTATGAAAAATCTGTAAGAATCCAAATTTGAAAACAACTTTGACTATAGATTTGTTGTTCAATCAATTATGTTTTTCACTATACTAACACAGAAATGACCTGGTCAACAGAACATCCTTGATTTTCATAATTTTAAAGCCTGAAAATTGAAATTAAAAAAATGCAGTTTGTTGTTTGCATGCAGAAGAAAATAGTTCAAACGTCCGAAAGATTAACCCAAAAAACAATAGTAGCACTTCAGGCTACATGTCTAAATTTATGAAGTTAGCAGAAGTCATTTGCATGAAGTTTCTAGCATGAATAAATATTTACAGAGCAAGTAACAGACACAGCAACACTTCAATTTTAGTGCTAGCAGGTTCTGCAAGGTGTTTTGAGAAAAAAATCTAATGGAATAGAAAAGTACCTTTCCGAATAACAAGGACCAGGATGGCTAATGGAACGCTTCATCTAGGAAAACAAAAAAAAGTCACAAGTTGTTTACAGGAATGATTCACACTGACATTAATTTATACTTTATTTACAGCCTCACAAAGAGGATGGGTGATTTTCTTTTAATTAAAAACAACTTTTGTTAAAAACAAAGCAAAACACAACAAAACCTGTTTAAACTCTAAAAAAGGAAAAAAATAAAATAAAATGGATTGCCACCAATGCTAAAGCGTTCACACAGGAAATGCAATTTAACCAAAATATGTGATAAACAGAAATACTGAGGTAGTCTTCTTCCCCCCTACCAAAAGACCATTTAAATTCTGCACACACAAAGCCAAAATTCTGTCCTTTGATTCTTTGTGGTTCTTCTGACACCACTGCCAAACTTTTACATATGAGCAGTATTACTTTAAATAAATAAACTGGAAGATAAATAGATTGGAAGAAAATAAGAAGATCAAAGCGCAAATAAAGGGAATCCCACAACAAAAAGCTACAATACAACCCATCTTAGAATCTACGTATGCAATTAATGAGATATTTAAGACAATTCTGCATATACTGTCCTCCTAAAAGAAACAATTAGTAACAATTATGCAAGCAGTATCTTTACTATTATTTACCTTTTTGATAAATAAGATTATATTACACTAATATAAACATTTTTGAATGACATACATTGAAAGATATGTTATACTGCTGAAGTGCTTCTAGTATTCAATTCTCAGTAATTTCATGGATATCTCAGTATAGGATCTTGATAGGTATGACAAATTACTCTGATTACATAAAGGCTAGAAAACAAAGACTGGAAACAGAGAAGTATTGTTTTACTAAATATTTAAAACCAGCACTCAACATAGCAAAGTCAAGATTCCATCTGCTGACATCAAAGCACACAGCAATACTTTTCTACCATTTTTCTTCCCATAAACAACAACATGATCCTTAGAGAAAAAAAGCATTTTAAAAGTGTCTAACCATTTGGACAGGTGATGGTGACACAGGAGAAACTAAGGGATCGGGATGAGGCAGCTGGAACATTTCTGGCTTAAACTTGGCATTAGCAATCTTCACGCATTCTTCAAGTGTTGTGATAAATGTATTACACGTGGCACTAAGCAAGGAAGAGGCTTCATTCATGTTCTGAAAGCAAATGAAAGCAGAAGTATAAGCAAGAAAAAAGACAAACACAATTTTCCCATACACCCACTAAATTCCATCCTTACTATTAAGACCTAACAGTAATTCAGAATCACAGAATCCTTAGAGTTGTAAGGGACCTATAAAGGTAATCTAGTCCAACCCCCCTGCAATGAACAGGGACATCCACAGCTAGATCAGGTTGCCAGGGGTGTGATCCAGCCTCACCTTGAAAGTCTCCACAGGGATGGGGCATCCACCACATCTCTGAGCACCCTGTTCCAGTGCCTCACCACCCAAGTTATCAAAGATTTTTTCCTTATAGATAACCTAAATTTAACCTCTTCGAGCTTGCAATTCATTCTCCCTTGCTATATCGCCACAGACCCTGCTAAAGAATCTGTCCCCTTCTTTCCCGTAGCTCCGCTTTGGATACTGAAAGGCCACCAAAGAGACTTCTCCACTCCAGGCTGAACAGTCTCAGCTTTCTCAGCCTATGCTCATAGGAGAGGTGTTCCATCCCTTGGATCACTTTTGTGGCCCTGCTCTGGATATGCTCTAACAGGTCATGCCTTTCTAGCAATGGATTCCACATCTGGACACAGTATTCCAGGTAAGGCCTCACCAACACAGAGTAAAAGGGCAGGATCACCCTTTTTGACCAGCTGGCTATGCTTCTTTTGATGCAGCCTAGGATCCAATTGGTTCTCTGGGCTACAAGGATGCATTGCTGGCTCATGTCTGGCTTCCCATCCACCAGTATCCCCAGGTCTTTTTCACCAGGGCTGCACACAATCTTTTCACCCCCCTGCTTGTATTGATGGAGAGGGTTGCCTCAACTCAGGTGCAAGATCTTACATTTGGACTTGCCGAGTCTCATGATCAGGTGGCCAGTAGAAGACAAAAATCACAAGGCTCCCTTTGCTGCCTTGGTCTCTAAGTGTCACCTAACGGCTTTTGACTTGCTCACGACTATTCTTTCGGGAAGCTCTTCACATGCTATTCCTTTTCTGACACAGATAGCAACACCCCCTCCCCTCCTTCGTTGCCTGTCCCTTTTGAACAGCTTGTAGCCATTGATAGCCATGCTCCAATCATGGGAATCATCCTACGAGGTTTTGGTGACAGCAACTATATTGCTGTTTTCTAGTAGCACAGTATCTTCCAGATCCTCCTGTTTGTTTCCAAAGATACATGCATTGGTGTAGAGACACTTCAAGCTGGACAGCTGGTCTTGTCATCTCCTTAAAGAATAACTCCTAAATTCCTTTTAATTATTTCCCTTAATTTTCTCCATTGCCTTTTATCACCCCAGCAGTCACTGCCTCATCATCATACCATTTGTCTGGACTGCAGTTTTGCCAGCACCTCTCAAAGAAGCGGATCCTTCAATGCCCCTTCTAGTATCTGTCCCTCTAATATAGCTATGCCATTCCACACCTTATCAATGGAAGGGAAGGCTCACTTCCCCTGCCCCCTATCCTCCTTTAAAACTCTTCCAATCAGCAATACAGCAATGATAGTGGAGTGGCACAATCCTAGGCTAGAGCAAATGAAAACAAGTCCAAACGCAGCAGCCGCCGTGGACACAGAAACAAAGGAAAGAATTACTGCTTATCTTTGGAATGCCTCAGGCAGAAAGGCAGGGATCTCCAGCAAGATACCCTTGCCTCTACTGCCAACCCTTAAATGAGATCTGGGAAAGAGCAGATCTTGCCTCCATCCTTTCTGGTCACTCAGGTGCGTTGCATACACCTGAGCTCTCTTAGGTTGATCCTGCCTTCCCACCAGGTGCTCAATCACTGGTTCAGGCTATGACTTAGCACTTCCCCTACAAACGCTATAATATTTTTACTAGTAGCAGATATAACAGGTCTTCTGTCCTTTTAACCAGTATTAGTATTACGTAGACACAAGCATTCAAAAACTGAGTTGAAGTTAGATCTCCCAAAATTATGAAGAAGGGAAAAGAACGTAAGTTGTCAGTGGAACCTTAAGCAGAATAAGGTACCTAATACCATTACAGACATTCAATACCTCAATGCTGGGAGGAGAGCAAGTCTCATCATGGTGAACAAATTCTTGTATTGTATGAACTTGCTGCATCAGAAGATCACAGTAGAGACGAAGTTCAGACATTTTGGTTTTAAGAGATTCAGTGGTCTCACTTATCTCTGTAAGAAATAAAGGAAATATCAACTTACAGCATAATAATTGCTTAAACTATCATTACTTACTGGAAACTTAGGTACAGATCTTTCACAGTGGTACAAGCGCAGAGTGCAGTCTGTGTTCAATTAAAATGGCATGGAAGGTAGAGTGGAGTAGACTACAACCAAGTTCTTTGATCTATAGTAGTTCCACAGGTAGCCTTAGGCATCACCAACTTCAAGAAAACCCGATGGACTGACTCTAAGAAAAACAATACCAGGACGGAGACTTGGTGGCATCAATCTGTCTACCTGCTACTCCTGGGCCAAAACTCCGTCATCCGTTTTACAAAATGCCACCCTTTAGCAAACTCTGCCCATTATAATACCAAAACACACCTCCATTCCAAAAGCTACCTGCCTCCAAGGTGCAAACAAAAAGCAAAGCACAAGAATTTTATGCCAATCAGAACCAAGTAACGTAATGACTAGAGCTAGTCAAGCCCCATCTGCAGAGTAAGAAATGCTAAAAAAATTGGCTTAAGAGAGTGGGAAGATAAGGAAGATACATTTGCAGACAAGCGAGAGACAGACCATCTCTGATTCCTAAAATCAGTCAATGAGCTGACTGAAAGCTGAAAGAGTTTTCCCCACACCATAAGGTTGCCTACTGGGTAAGGTTCACACACTCAGCTATATTGAGCACTTTCTCAGGAAACTTTGTAATCTGTATAGAGTTAGTTTTATAATTTAGTGTGCTTGTGGCCAGGCTGCATTACAATTAGTTATTCCATGTGCACTGCATTGTTTCTGATTAGCCTCACACACTTTGCAGACAGTGAATTAATCACCAGCAATCTAAAAGCACCCGTTATCTGTTGCTAATGAACTGCACAATACAAATGATTTAGCTGTGTGGGGCCAAAAGGTTGTAAACTAACATGGAACACCACTAGACAATTAGTTTGTACTTTTGGTAACTGATGCTACTTTAAGGACAATCAGAAAGAAGCGTATAACAAGAAAATAAAGTTGAAATCTCTCTCAACTACAGTGCAATATAGAAAAAAAAAGTCACTAAATGAAAATTTAGCAGACTGCAGAAATGGTTACAACAAAACAGCAAAAATACTGCGCAGAAAATAAAAGCAATTATATAGAATCAGACCGGCAGCAGCTGAAATTAAATGGCTTCATAACCACTACAAACAACACAGTCGTAACAGTAAGTTGCTGATGCTTCTCGGTCAAGAAGGTAATCCTTTCCCTCTAGTCAAGGCTTGTGAAATCACATCTGGAGTACTCTGCTCAATCTGGACTCCTCAGTGCAAGAAAGATATGAGCACATTGGACCACATCTGGCAAAGTATTGTGAAAATGATAGGGGACTGGATTCTCTGACATACAAGGAGACAGAGAGGCAGCTGCAAGCGTTAAGGCGTGGGCAAATATTGCGTGGGCAGTTTGTAGATAACTCAGTATTTGACAGGAAGATTTGAAGAAGACATAGCCAGACTGTTCTCAGTGACAGGAAAAAATGTAATGGGGAAAAAACTGAAACATAGGATATTTCATCCAAGCTTGGGAAAATAGTTTTGTACTATTGTAGTGGACTGTTTTATTAGGAAACTGTAGTATTTCAATCCTTGGAGATACTAAAACTGAGCTAGCTGTGGTCCTGGGCAGCCTGCTATAATTGAATCTGCTTCAGCAGGTATATACACTATCTCAAGAGGTCTCTTTCTCCAGACTCAACTACTCTGTGAAAAGATTTGGAAAGATGAGAATATACACACATTTGTACACACCTCGGGTTAACCAGGAGAGATCACCTTATTTACATTCTCTTTCTTACATTAATTCCCTTTAAATATTTTGATTTTGGTTTTCAAGAGGCCTTTAGTCTGATTCAGTAAAGTACTTGTGTGTTGCCTTCCTGTAGTGGAGGCGATTTCATCCAGTGGGTTTTTGGAAGAATTTTCTTCCGTAAAAGGAAACTTAAACAATGCTCACATATTAAAATTCAGGATGCATTACTGTCAAATAGGACAGAGCTGAACACGTTCAGAAATTTTAAGAATAAAGGATGTGACTGATTTTACACAGAAGTGGTTCTGTGTAGTCTCAAACAGAATAAAGACACAGAGTATCCACTACTGCAGTGTCTGTAAAAATGCATTAGGCAAAAAACTAATGAACATACATACCTTCTCAAAAACAGCCCTGGGAATCAGATATCCAAACTCTATAGACTTTGACTTTAAACTGCTTGTTCCTAACTGCCCACAGTCAGGCTCCTAACCAAACATGGAGTATTTGTTAAAAGAGAAATGATACAAGTTTCTTTGAAGTAAATTGAACTCATATACTCTACTTCATATGATTACAGCAACATTCCTGGAATGCCAAATAGAAACATGGTGCAGGACAAATCTGAAGAAGGCAAAGTAATCCAAATTGAAAAGCAATACAGAAAGGAGAAGTGATAAAGCCTGTGAGCAGCAAAATAAAGTCAATAACAGACTACGTAACAGTTATTTGCATCAGTCATTACCATATCTCAAATACCACGGGGAAATATACCCTACAGATGATTAGAAACGATGACAACTTTTATTTTAAAGACAACAGTGCTGAATTTCTACCACAGTATTTTTGCTATCATTACCTGAAATTGTGCAAAAGTGGTTGACTTGTGCATGGGAACACACATACCTTTTTCTTTTTTTGTTCTAGTATCTGCTAAACAGGCCTTTGCACTTCCCAGTGCTACCAGCCACCTCTGCCTTTCAGCTGCATTAACTGCTTTCATATAGAAATGCTGTTCCCCTGGGATGATTAACTCCATTCTGGTGTTGTCTGTTGCATGGACTAAAGATATAAAAGAGAAAAAGAAGTTTTAAGAAAACCAAACCAAAGCAAAACCACAAAAACTACAGCTCACACACCCTAACCTGGTAACACTTATTTATTAAATAAAAAGATCTCAAAGCAATATCTCTGTACTGCTGGCAAACAACAGAAAACCCAGAACAGCTCCCTAGTGCATCTTCTTCAAGAGAAAAGGCAGGAGCATCAAACACCGAACAACGCAAATAGAAGGACATTTCCTTACTGCATTAACAATTCACTGCACCTTAACCTGTAGTAACAGCTGCACTCTAACTCTGATCTAAAGATGGCAAACTTAAGAGTTTCATTGCAAGAAGTACTTACAGAGATCTAAAAAGCATTATACAAGACTAAAAAGTGAATTAATCTCCCCTGCTGTCAGGTCACACAGCCCTAGAAACAAGAACTGAGGTGGACTCTGCTTACAGTCCATTATATCCATTACTACGTCTTCAACAGAATACTTTGCTGAGTTCACATTACCAACCACAGTTTCTCCAGATCCACTTCCCACTAGCCATGGATGTAGGAGATAATCAAATCTAGACTTCACCTATCATCCTTCATACACCATAAGAACAAAACAACAAAAATGACTCAAGAAAACAAAAGACTGAGCATCTCTGCTTTCTAAGCATCTCCCCCCTTTCAGGTTACTGCCGCCACTCTTGTCCCTTACATGACTGAAGAGAGGTATAAACAATTAGCCTAGGCAACTTCAAGCACAGGCCACATGCACACAACTATTCAGAACAAAGAAGAATATATTGTGGGTTTTGAATTACAATACTAATTAAAAAAAAAAAAAGCTCTAAACGCCCCAAACTTTTCTTTCGTTACCATTTCATAATTCATACTCGTATCATTCGTAAACTACAAAGCAATCATGTTGAACTATAAATACACAAAAAGAGGAAGGAAAAATCTATGATGCAAACTGTACATTGGTTGGTCTCTTCCACCTCCCCAACACCTAAAATTTCTTCTAGCAGAAATCCAACTCTTACCTTTTATTTCACACACGGCCATCTTTATACTTCCTTTGCTGCCTTTGCAAACGTCATCCTGTGAATCATAGTACGACAATATCCCATTGTCTAAGACAAACCACCGAGGCTGCCAACCTGGCAAGATCAAAAACATGAAAAAGGAAGTTTAGTTTAATTACTAAATTGCAAATCAAATGCATCTCTTTGGCTGTTAAATCTTTTATGAACGATGCAAACATTATAGCAATCCCATGACACAACAGGAAATAAAGTCTGAATGAAATGGTCTGAAGACAAGAGCTGCTCTATCATCGCACCAGTATTATACAGCTAATTCATTCCCATTCTTTTTGAATGAAAGATTGGCAGTATTTCGGTTTCTACTACTTTCCATTCTACTGCAGAATGAAATTTTAATTTAGCCACTAATTAATCCCATTTTGAAGGGATACTTCTGAAGAAACATCTTTGTCCAAATACATTTTTCAGGTAGACTTCTTTTAGATTGTAGTCATAGAAATAACTGCCATCACAAGTGCCACATTCAGTCTCCTCTACCTACTGTATTTCAGTGAAAAGGTTTGCATGCCACATTTGACCACTGACACACCACTGCCTCTGAAGGTAGCTCAGCTCCACTGCTCAACAACTTAATGTCAAGCACTGTACAGGGAACTGAGATGCAGCTTATATTATGTAGAGTCCATTTGCAAGGACAGATTACACCAACACCACTCAGATTTTCACCAGCTTTGCATCAGCAAAACTATTTCATGATCACTGACCTTATTCTGCTATAAAACTGAGCAGTTTATACAGGAATCTCTGAGAACTCTACAGAGCATTATGACAAATAGAAATGCTAATATATTTTAACTCACGAGGGCCCACGACAACAATTCTATTTATTTCTCTTAGAGATGTTTTATAAAACTCAATGTTCAGTAGAAAGGGTACCTTATTTCTCAATGCTATCAAAAAATATTTTTGCCTAGCAAATTACCTTTCTTTCTAAAACAAACACAGAACTTAAGTATTCCTTGAGAGCATACCAAGAACTTGGACCCATTATAGGCTGTATCAGCTAGGCAATACAAACAGATGATCCCTCTATTTTACAACCTGAGACCACATTTCTAATTTCCTGTTCAGTTTTGATGGGACAGGAGTAATGTATGGCCAAGGCCTCAACACATTTGGTGACACAACGATGTGGTCTTTGGGACTCACCATGCCCCCAAACCAGCAAACCAAGCTGTAGCCATCTAGCACCCACACGTTGTAACACTGCAGTTTAGACAGCCATCACTCTTGAACATCTGCTAACATGAGCAGTATGAAGCCTTTTAGTCACTACCACTATTAATGCTAATTCAAGAAGCACAGGACCAGATCACATGAAACACAGTATCACAGACTCATTAAGGTTAGAAAGCCATCAAATTTAGCAACAAACCTATCACCACCAGGCACATAGAAACATGTCCTTCAGCACTACATCTAAACATTGCTTGAACACCTCCATGGACAGTGACTTCATCACTTCCCTCCACAGCCTGTTCCAGTATCACAATTCCAAGATAAGGAAATAATAACATGCAATATCTCTTTAAGTTATATATTAGCTGTAACAGCATACATCTTTATCTTTCAAAATGCAGGCTTGTACTCAATAGGCAGATCCACATTCTCATAAAAACAGAATATTAAAAACAAGCAAACCAACAAACAAAAAAACCACAATCACTAAGGGAGGCCAGATCCCATAAGAAAAAAAATAATCAAGTTATATGTGTACAAAACCACTTACGCTAAAACAACGTGCAACGAAACGACTGCACAGAAGACCATGTCCTATAAAATGCACCTCTGAAATGCACTAGCTTTTCGTTGTTTTTTTTTTTCCCCAGTGGAGTGGTGTTGCACTCTGAACTACCCTTATCTCCTTGGCACATGCATTAAGTCAATGAGCATCCAAATAGTCTTATTCTGATAAAAAGAGACTGTATATAGATGATTATTTCTGCCTCATATTATGCTGGCGTTGGAAAAAAAAACAAAACAGAAGGTGCCTCACAAAAGTAAGCAAAAGAACAAAACCACTTCTAACTTGAGTTTAGATGAGTAACCAAATCTGATATTTGACAAAATACTTAACAAAATTTGTATTTTACAAGTCCCTAGATGCACCCATATTACTGAAGCTAGAGAGGAGTCTCCTTTGTTGTTAAAGAAAGAGGAAACTAAATAATATTTTCCACTGTGCTTCAGCAGTGATAACAAGCTGCTTGGCTACTACTGTGAAAACTACAATAAATACTACGGCCTCTTTTTGGCTACAAAAACACAGAGCAGAGTAACAACAAGGTTAGTAACGATACTGGAAAAAAAAAAATCAGTAATACACTTGGTTTTCTGAAACTTGATTCCCTGCTATACTCAGGAAATTCTACAGAATTTCTGACACCATAATTTTCAAATGCAAAAGCAGTAGATGCCCTCAGTTGGGCAACACATGTGGAAGGAAGGGTCCTGCAAATTGGCAGTTTAGAGGGTGACTGACTATTAGAGGCAGTCATGTACACATACATGTAACTGTCTATTGTACAGCGCTTTCAATTACTGGTACAAATTTACCTATTAGGTAACAGACCAAATGAGAAGTTCGTAATAAACACCACAAGGTATCATGTTTTCTAAGCCTTCATAGCTTTGCACCACTCCACACTAAAAACTCAATTCCCTGAAGCAGAACAGCACACACAAGGACCAGGAGACTGAGAGGGCAATGAAGTCAATGGTTGCCAAGACGAGGCTTGATTAGGCACAGCATGGGATCCAGCACAACCTACTCTACAGGCAGAATCAGTTATATTACAGCACTAGAAAAAAAATCTTGAAACCTTGAAAGTGCAGCCCACCCACTGCTATCTCCAGACAGAGATGACGTCTCTGTTATGGGAGGATGGTGCAAACAACGCTGCGCTTTCAGACAGCAAACACAGATAATGCAGATCTGTGGTCCACAGCAGCTCTACAGATGCAATTCCTGCATATCTTACCCTGAACTCCAGCTTTTGTATGTTTTAGTTAGGACAGAGAAGCAGAGACTTTAGAAACCAACATCCAAAACCCAATTAGGAGAATTCAGACTTCAGGAACATTGAGCACTGAAGATTTCCGGCAACCCTACCTAATTATGAACAGGTTGCCTAGTAAGTCTGTGAATGCCCCTTCCATGGAAGGATTAAAGGCCAGGCTAGATGGGCTCTGAGCAACTTAGGCTACAGGGAGGTACCGCAGCCTATAGCAAAGGATTGGAATTACATGATGTTAGAGGTCCTTTCCAACCCAAACCATTCTACAAGCCCTCAACAGCAAGCAACACTACCCAGCAGATCCGCACCCGGCAAATAAAAGCCATTTCTCATGAAAACAGAAAGAGCAACATCCGAGCTCGCAGAACGAGACGCCGGGACGGAGGCTCCCCGCCCAGCTGCCAGAGGCCCCATCGAAACGCAGGGGTCAGCCCCGCAGCCGAAGCCCTCCGCCCAGCACGAGGCAGGGCGCGACGCCGGGGCCCACACGCAGCCCCCCCCAGGCCGAGGCCCAGAGCCCCGCACCGCAGGCCCGACCGTTCCAAAGGCCGCCGCAGGCCCGGCCCGCCGCCTACCCGCCAGGTAGTTGGTCCACTTGTACAGGACTCCTTCCATCGCTCAGAGCTCCGCTCCGGGCCGCATCCTCCCGCTCCGCCTGGTGAAAGGGCGGGCGCCGCCGCGGAGCCGGGGCTCGGCTCGCCGCTACTCTTCGCGCGGAGGCGGAGCCGCCCGGCCCAGCTCGGCTCAGTCCAGAAGCGGCGCGGCCCGCGCCGGCCCCGGCGGCGCCACCCGCCCGGTGGGGCGCTCCGCGCTCCCCATGCGCGGTTCCCTGGCCGCTCCCTCACGGCCGTTTTGCTTCCTGGGCCCGCCCACCCGGACGGGAGGCTCCGCCCCTCCGGCCGCGGTGCCACGCCGGCGAAACGCGATGGGCCGCAGGCTGAGCCTGCTCCTGGCTGCGCTGGCCCTGCTGGCGGCCCCGGCACGGGCCGAGGAGGAGGTGAAGATAGAGGTGCTGCACCTCCCCGATGCCTGCAGCCCCAAGAGCAAGAAGGGGGACCTGCTGAACGCGCACTACGACGGCTTCCTGGCCAGCAACGGCTCCAAGTTCTACTGCAGGTGGGGGCGGCGGCGGTGGACGTGGCGCGGCCTTCCCCGAGCAGCGGGCACGGGAGCGGCCGGCAGCGGCGTGCCTCCTCCTTTCAGGCTCCTTCATCCTGTATGTACCAAGTGCCGAGGGTGCTGGAAGGGAAGCGGTAGGCACGCTGGTCGGCCCAGGCCGACAATGAGACTGCAGCTGCGAGCGCTTTCCTCCTTGTCCCGAACTGCCTCGGGGAAGCCTTCCCTCAGGGTCAGCCCTCGCCCGTGTTTTGACAGATGTTACAGGCAGTGGCCTAAATTAGGACCCAGCCTCAGTTCATCCTTCCCCTTCTATTATTTAAGAAAAAAAATCAACAGATAACCCTACATTTAACTACAGTTTTACTTGCATTTTTTCCCCCCATTGGAGTGAACATTCTTAACACAAAAGCTCTCTTACACATGTAATTATAAATGTAGCAGAAAAATAGCATTATACTTAAGGTATTATTACTATTTAAACATTCTTCTGTTTTAATAATAGAATCATAGAATGGCTTTGGGTTGGAAGGGACCACAGAGATCATCTAATAATGTAATGCATGCTTTCACTGACTGATAACCTAAAGTAATTTTAAAAATACATAGAAATGCTAAATTTGTTGTTATCCACTTAATTTTTTTTTTTAACAGTCGGACGCAAAATGATGGTCATCCAAAATGGTTCGTTCTGGGTGTTGGACAAGTCATAAAGGGGTTGGATATTGCTATGATGAATATGTGTCCTGGAGAAAAACGGAAAGTGGTCATCCCTCCATCATTAGCATATGGACAGCAAGGATATGGTAAAAAAAAAAAAAAAAAAAAAGAGTTTAAAAACTAATTTTTTTTTTTTTTTTTTGCTCTGTTTTATTTACCTTCTAATGTGCAAACAGTATTGTAAATGACTAAGAGTTGGTGCTTTATTAATTTTGTAGAACACTTCAGGTGACTGGAGCAGCATGGCTTAATTTTGCTAATTCCAGTTTGATTTAAGCAGTTCTTTTCACAGACTGCCACCAAAGCTCTGCATTTTGCATCAGAATTCCCAGTACATGCCACCTGTCTTGGTTTTGTGAGCACCGCTGCAATACCAAAAACATACAGCCAGAGTAAGATCTCCGTGATTCATATATGCATTTTGTCTTAGTATATTACCATAGAATTATTAAGGCTGGAAAGGGCCACAGAGATCATCTAGTCCAGCCATCAACCCACCGTGCCCACTAAGCCATGTCCCTCAGTGCCACATCTGCACAGAGACTGCTACTTACCAGGGCAGCTGTTCAAGGCCTCACCACTCTGAGAGGAATTTTTTTCCTATGATCCAACCTGAAATTATATTCTATTCATACTTTGTTTCTATTAATTCAGTCCTACTAGCTTTAGCCTCTTAACTGAGCAAAACAGAATGTAATCCAGCTCATACACTGAGTCAACTTAACTGGAAATCATTTGTTTAAAAGATTGCTTACATTCTGCATAGTTAATGCACAACATCATCACATAGTCTAATAATTGCATCAATACAATGCATAAAATCTGATTTGAATTCATGATTTTAAATATAAAAGAGACTTCTAGTCATTTTTATGTAGTGTTTCTGTACTCAGCTGTAAATAAATGCAGTCTGGTTTGGGTGTATTAGTTTTTTTTGGAAAATGCAACTTCTGATGTATAGTAATTATTTGGTAAATGTTACTGTGTTAGAATCTTATGCATCAGTTCCGTGTTTGGTATAATCCACTGTAGCCAATGAAGTTTAGTAGGATCAAATTTTTACCTCTTGAGCATAATGTTTAATGAGCAAGTCTTGCAACAAAGAGAAACACTGACACAAAAATACATTCTTTTAATCTAATACTACCATTAACTGTTTGTTCTAGGTAGCACATCAAGAAACTGTTCTGTTTCTGAAATACACCTGTCTCCTCTGTCTCAGCGCATTCCTGCATGTTGTGGAAGATGCCTGCCTAATCTTGAGTTAGAACACATGCATGTGGCTTTCTAAATCTTTACATATCTTTCCTTTGTCGGTATGTATAATCGTAAATACTGGCACTGAAGACTAATACTCTATCTTTATTTGGTAAGTCGTATATAAACAGTGGTATATATCCAGTTATATTTAAAACTTCTACATGTTCAGGCTTTTAAGATTAAAGTCTTTGAATTTTAAAACTTGTGATTTTTAACATCGGTATTTTAGATGAGAAGTGTAAGTAATAGTTTTGTTTGCCTTGTTCTTATAAGCAAAGTACATTTAGCTTATCTTCAGTTTATGGTCACAACATTCTGTCAAAAGTCATGCACACTAGCTTTGGCTATGAATAGAAGCAACTTGCATGTTCACATGTTAATATTAAACTGCATGGTTTCTAAAAGCTTTTTTGGCTTTGCTTTCAGACCTGATCTGTTTATTCCGGTCTGCTTCAGTTCCTTTTTTTTGGCCACAAGCATGATACAGTGCCTTATGTTAATAGGCAAATGCTTTGACACAGGAATAATACTGTCTAACATGTTTTGGTGTTTTTATCTAGGGACCAGAGAAAATATTCCAGTGGTTCTTCAGGGCTTTTTGGGTTGTGAGGTTTTCTGTGGGTTGTTTTGGTTTTCAAATGTGAATCAGATGAATTACATGCTATTGCTTCTTCCTAGTGAGATGCACATTTAACTCACTGTTTCGCATAGTGTCCTTTAATCATAGGTATAATTCAGAGTAAATTTGTTAAACCTGATATTATCTGCTTGTTTCTTCAGACAGAAAATGTATAAAACATTGGTTTAGTACTATAATGCATATATTATAAATAAATAAATTAATACGTACATCTTAGAATGGATCTCTCAGTAAGCCTCATCATAGGACAGTATATGAAACAGTGAGAACACCAGAAATATTTGTTTTTCATGATGCAGAATCACTCTTCAAAGTTGACTACATCCTCATTTTTGAAAATATGGTATGAACAGTATAATTTTCAGAGAAGTATATTGTTTTCAAGTCTCTCTCAAAATAGTTTCTATAACACAATGACCTGCTGAACCAGCATCATGCCAGAACATGAACTGATAAGTCTAGCTGTGTAATATTTAAATCAAGCATTTAATCTGAATATTAACACTGTCTTTTGTAAGAAAAAATAGGAAAATTTACGTGCACATTTACCATACATGTGATCACTGAATATACATTATCATTTCTTAAATGTGCTTTTTCTTTTATTCATAGCACAGGGCAAGATTCCACCTAATGCAACACTCATCTTTGAGATTGAACTTTATGCAGTAAATAAGGGACCTCGTAGTGTTGAAGCATTTCATCAAATAGACAAGGACAATGACAAGAAGCTCTCCGAACTCGAGGTGATTTGACATAATGTTGAATGGATTGTATTTATAAAACTTTGGAGATACTTTTATCATAACGTAATCCTTACACGAGCTGCTTTTGATGCAGTTCATTACGGAAAGCTTTTGTATGCTTAGACCAAGTATACACTGTCATGCTGACATTTGCTTTAGTCTACTAGTCTGTCCCAGACATAGTAGGAAAGTAACTTCAGACATGCCTACACTGCAGTCACAGTTACTCACACACGTATAACCTAGTGTTCTTGAAGATAGCTGCTGAGTTTTCTGGTATAAAAGCCACAATAGTTGATTTTTTTTTTTTTCCCCTTCCAGATAAGTCAATATTTGAAAGAAGAATTTGCAAGAGATGGCAAAAAACGTCATCCCTCAGTCCATGATGAAATTTTAGCTGACATATTTAAGAAGAATGACCATGATGGAGATGGCTTCATATCAGCTAAGGAGTACAATGTCTACCAGCATGATGAACTCTAATTACCTGTCAAATCTTTGGCTGTTTTATGGACAAAAAATTAAAAAAAACCACCAAAGTAATACTTTGTTACAGAATATTTTTGTTTGTTTGTTTTTTATAGTGGCATCTTTTTTATTTCTAAGGTGACTGTAAAATACTACTTTCAACTTTTAGCTAATAAAATGTTTTAGATGTTACAAAATAAATAAAATTGGAAAACACCAAGATCCATAGTTTCATTTTTCCTTTATCATTTCCTAATCTACACAATTGATTACTGGTGTTGCTCAATGTGTAAAGTGCTGATCAAAATGATTGTTTCTTTCTCATCAGTAAAAAAAACCAAAACTGTTCCAGTACCTGTTGACATATTTAGAAAATTCCTAATGAATACTTCTAAGTCCAAACAGAAAAACAGAATCCCAGGCAGGTAACTGCAGGCTTTCTATAGCTTTTAGGCCACTGTAGCACTTTCATCTATTAAAAAAAAAAAAAAAACCTTAAAAGAAAGAAATTGAAATTTCAAGATAAAAATACAAATGTTTATCAATGTTAAATCAAGTTAATATTATAGTTATTTTGTGTTGAAGTTCGGCGTTTATGAATATACAGTATTTTTAATGGGATTTCAAACCTTGACTACAGTAAATTTGCTAAAATCGCTCAATAAACTGGCTAAAAGTTAGAAACTTCTAATGCCATGTTTTATTTGAGATGAAAGAGAATAGAAGGTACTCCTGTATAAGCATAAGTATTTATCTGGGCATCTGGCTTCCCTCACTTTGGAAAAAACACAAAGAAGAAACAGTGATAGTTAATATACAGTACTCTCATAGTTAATAAAGTCAATATTCCTATAGTTTATACACAGTTATTCTACCTGCTTATGCAACCGTCATCATAACACTTGCATATCACACTTTTCTACTGATAGCAAATTACCATTTATTTCAACATGGAAGAATCAGGTGTACACACAGTGAAATGGCAGCCCAGGCAAAGAAACAAAACTTCCACATACGGCTTTACGCTTAAAATCATTAATTACGCTTAAAATCAAATCAAAAATGTACAAATTTTGTTTTCCTGTTTCAACATAGCAATGGCAAAGCTTGAACTATACACAAATCAACCATTCTCCCTGTCTCTGCATTGGACGCTGTTGTGTAGTGCCCCCTGGAGTATATATTCTAAAGAACAGTTTATTTCTTGTGGTTGAGAACTACTTAAAAAAACTTCAGCCTGAAGTCTAGCTGGAAGGATCTAGTTCTGTTATGTTAAATTTCCTAAGCTTTCTCCATTAAACTTTTTTTCTGAACACATAAAATGTATGAAATTCAAGAGCAGTTGTAACCTAAAATCCAAACATACCTTGTATGCTGGCTGGTACTTCTTAGTAATGACATCCTAATATTAAACTCCTAACCCCAGTTTTATTAGTTCCCTTTTGTAAATGAAACATTAGACTGAGCTAATGTTTTTTAATCTGATACTTCAATTAAACATTCATGAGAACACTAAATTATTAATAAATATTCTCATTTTACAATTATATGCCAGTGTAGATAAAGGCAACATTTGGAGGCTTCAAAACAAATTTCTGTAAACAACTTTATAGGTAAGTTATAGTATATATTTTGACATTATTAAAATTCATTTTAAAAGTACATCTTCCACTATGATAATGAAGTGTGAAGGTACTAGAAAGATGAAAAGCAAAATGTCAGGGAATGCATTGGAACATTCTCAAGTAATTAAGATCATTGTGAAGCAAATAAGTTGAAAATAATAGTGAAATAAAATATTTTGCACTTGCACTATTTTGCATTTAAACCATTTGAATCACATGTAATAACTCTGAAAACTTGTGGCACCCAGTTATGCCCATGTCTGTAACAACAGGCACTTACCTACAGCAGTTACTTCACTCTTTTATGCCAGAGGTCGAAACAGGGCACAGCATGCAGTCGTACATACTTCTGTCCATTAAAAGAGCACTCTAGGCATCCATAGACTGTTTCTCTTTTAGAACTTCCCATTCCACAAAGAACACAAGGACCTTTGGGGATGTTGTTATTAAGTAAATTAATTCGGACATGAGCCCCATCTCTGAGATAGCTTGTAGAGAGATCAGTCATGCTTGCAGCTTTCTCATAGTAGTCTGTAAAAAGGTCCTCCAAGTAACCGTCAGAGCTAGGGACGATACTCACTATTCTTTTATCTGAAAAAGAATGCACACACAAAATTTGTCATTACATTATGAAGTGTTTACAAAACAACTTGTGAATCAATTGGTGGAAATAACAACTGATTCATGAATCCATTCTAAACATGCTGCACCATAGCTCACTTCCCATCAAAAGCCTTGGGTGGTGAAAACTTTCCTTTAATCTCACAAAAGACACTGGCAGAAACTAGAATTTTTTTTTTTTTATATGACATGCATAGTAGAAATATTTATATACAAATGATTCTAGAAGTTAAGGTCACGATATAAGATTGTGAAAAATAAGTGCCGATTACCACACAGCTGCACACTTTCTTGTTTTAGCATTTTTATTTTTGTTCCTGAATTTATTTCCTAAAAATTGTTTTTTCTGTTTCCATTTTTTTTTCCATGCTGACCTCCTAGCAAATTTCTGAGCATCCAGACATCCCAGAAGAAAGTCGCTTTGAAAACTACTTATCTTCTCTCTTTTCAGGGAGTAATGAGTTTAGGTTGGATAACCAACTTCTAGGCAGCTACAGAGAGTGAGGTGTATCATGCCCACTGAAGATCGGTTCCTTTAGGGTAGACTGAAACACAACTGAAGGTTTAGGCCATATAAGCTCTTTGATCAAGAATGGAATACAACAGAGCAAGAACATCCGTACAGAGCAGCCTTAGAAGGATGTGTCTGGTGCTCTTCATTTTCAGATTTACAGCCTTCCTCAATACTTAGACCAAGGTTTGTTAAAAGTAGAGGATCTTGCTCTACACTGACTACAAGAAGTTCCCAAACTTGAGTAGCATAGAGTTAGAGGCATCCAAAAGAAATCAGCCTGCATAAAGTGATACTATTTTCGGTGGTTGTGTTCACATCAGAACAAGAAAAGAGAACTACAGTGGTCTCTTGCCAATATCCCTGTCATGTGATGATGCAGCCTAAAGAGTACATTCTAACGTTTAAATTAATATTGCTTTGTACCTAAACTTTGTCATAAAGCTGAAATATTATTTATAAATTATGACTTGGATACTCCATGTAAATGGTGAAAACATGAAATAACTTTAATCTTAACAGATTATTACTTTATCATCAGCTATAAATTAAAATCTTTAGTTTTAATGAATAGCAATACCTGTAAATTTATTTACAAAAAAAGATTGTCAGTATGAATTTAATCACTTGAAAATCATTTCTGTTTGGAAGGAATTTATTAGGTATATTTTGCATTAAAATTTTCCTTTTAAAATGTCCATCTTACCAACTAAAACCAAAAATACACTTTTCATACATTAACAAAAGACATACTTCGATGAAAGAGATTATGCTTTAATCTCCTTAATTTGTTCATTGAAGATGATCCAGATTTCTCTTTTTCAAATCCCCCCTTTGCAATTGGAGTCACACACAGTTCTGTAAAAATTAAATGTAAGCTTTTAGAAGAATGCAATAGGAAAGCTACACAACACAATTTAATATTCTTTCCTTAATCTATAATAGGTTGATAAAGTTAGTGGGATTAAATTCATCTGTGCTGATGTTAACTGCTAATACAAATCAGTGCACTGTAATAGCACAATCAAATGATACAGCATCAGTGGAAATTTTTGCATGTTGGTGGCTTCCAACTTACAATCTCAGAGTTTCTGCATGTTTTAAGGAATTAAGACAGCCAATATCATATTAATGGAACTCCTGTATCTGAAAGAAACATCCCTTTACAGAGATCTCTCATTTGAAATTGAAGTAAGAATTCTAAGCAAGGCTGTGAATTTTATCGTCCTCTCTTCCAATGCAGGATCAGCTGACAAAAGTGATTTTTTGAATTCAAAGTATCACTTTAGTTTCCATCCATAAATTGCGAGAAAACCTCAGAAGTAAAATATATGGATAATTGACTGCATGAAACTGAAAAAAGCCAAACCTCAACTGATAATTCTTTTTTAATTATGCAGTTAAAAATACCCTCTTAATTCATAATTTCCCCAACTTCAGCAAGAACATTATTTTTTGCATGTTTCTACCATTGCATAAAGGTAAAATAAAACACTTAAAAATTGGAACATTATATTGAGATTCACAGAAGTGAATGTAAGGAACTACTGCATTGCGTATCTCATACTTGTAATCAGGTAACTATGCACAGTTGGGATTGTATTTGAAGTTTTTACAAAATGGAAGAGGTATCTCACAGCTCGTTAAAAAAGTCCTTTAAAATGCAGAGTTTCTGTCTTGGAATGTAAAAACTGTATATGCTAAAAGATACTTGCAACTTTAAAAGCAGATACTGCTGTCTAGATCTGCAGTGGTACAGTTCACTTCCCTAATCTTTTGTCTTGCTATTTAAAGAAAGCCACAATCTTAATCAGAGTCAAGCAATTCCTGAAACAGCCTTGTGACTCCTGCAGAGATCCTGGCATTTATGCACAGGTAAATCTGGTGTTTGAAACATCATCTAACATTATGTGGTATTATCATGTACTAGATCAAATCCTAAAATCAAATTTATTATTTATTTGAAACAACATTTCTACCATTACAGGCTACGCTTCAGTGTCCATAGCAAACAAACTCCATCACTTCCCTAAAAATGAGAAAAGCTTACTGGAGCTGCATACATTTTTTGCATTTGTTTTCAGTAATTGTGATTCGTAAATATCTTTAAATATCTTCAGTTAGCCATATACATAATAATGTATCCAACTGAACTTAAAGACCCAGAAACAAAAACAAAATTCCTCATTTCATTTAAAAGTCCTGCACATTTTCTTCTTTATTTAAATCTCTTACTTTCTCTTTTTATACAAAAGTGATCAGATAGTCTTTAAAGGCTAGAAAGCAAGTGATATTTTGTTCCTTGCTAATGGAGCAGTGTGTGGGAAGGAAAAATCATCATCATCATCAAGTCCTACTATTTTTTAGAAAATTTTCCATGACAAAATTTTTCTGTAACTATCTTGTTTATCTTTTAAGTAATTGCTTCCCTTATAAAGTCAGACTACTTGTGCGCATAAAATTAAAGCATACCCATTTTATGGAATTGGGTTTATGCATATCAAGAGCAAGGAAACTTTATTAGAAGGTAAAACTACTATAACCAGTTGCAGTAATGACACTAACTGTAATGCGATTGACTTACCAAAATTCCCATCCAAACGAATATAAAGTTCAAATACACTAAAAGCAATCGTTGTATGTGCAGGAAAAACAATGGCTTTGTCCCGTCCTTTACTATTTTGGTCTTCAATTATGTGAAACTATGGTTTCGAAAATCAAAAGAAAAAATTCAAAATGAAAAACTAAGCAAAATAATACCTTAAATGTACACAGTGAAAATTACATTACCAGGAGGAATCTTTGAGGATCCAATTTCACAAATAAAGGTTTTCAGGTTTTTGTTGTTTTTTTTTTCCCAATCAATGCTATATTTATACAAAGAAAATAATCTAACTTGCATTAGTTTTTTTGAAAATCATGTGAATGACTTAAAAAAGGGCAAAGTTCAGAAGATTTGAAAGTTCAATTATTCAAACATATAGATGAGAGAGAGGAGAAGAGAGGGAGAAATTGGGCAGGGAGCAAGAGCCAACTGTTGAAATAGTCACAACCCAAAGCTGTAACAAGCTACAGAAGATCAATCCAGTAGGGAAGGATAGGTTACGTTTCTCAAACATTCAAACTAAAAAGAAGGAATTTCCAAATTTTTGCCAAGACTTCACCCAGAGAAACGGCTCACTGTCTATCCATCCTTCCATCCTTTTCCTATCCCCCACATAAGCAACGTGAATTAAAAAATCCAAGTTCTCATTCACTTTATATCAGTGCAATAAACCTCATTTCTCTTCAGAATTTTCTGTTTACTTCAGTAAAAATGCAATCAAATCCAGACAATCTATAAAAATGAGCTTGCTGTTTGACTTTTCACTTAAATTACAGAACTTTGTCAAACATACATACCCTCATAGTCTCTCCACGCATCCCAGTATGAACAGTTAATGAGCATTGCCTTGTTGTCCTAATGCTTTCCATGACTACACACAGAATCTCCATCCTACTTTTTCTTGTTTGATGGACTAGACAATGATCAAAGTTTATTTTTCTAAAATCAAGTGAGAGACAAAGAGGAAATTCAGAGATTATTAGCATTTAACAAACCTTATTGCATAATTAGGAACTTTAAGTCAGTAAAAAAAAAAAAATCACCATAACTTCTGTCTCATTGCTATAAGAGAGCTGACTGAGAAGGTTTCTGGGAACTTCACATTGATTATGCTGATTTTCAGTGTCTGGAAACAAAGTCATCAGAAGATTCAAAGAAAGCTAACAATATACAAGTATTAAGTTACATGGGATATCTTGGAAAATTTCAAGGCTGGTGCTGTACTTACTGACATTAAGGAGGTGTCAACACACCCTAATTAGTAGCTTTTTTTTTTTTCCAGGTTGATATAATCCTACTGTCTCATATTAATTATAGTCATCTTTTTAAAATGTAGTTATGAGTTTGATTACTAAAAATAATAGTTTTAATGCTTTATCTTAGGGCTTCTATAAAAGCTTGTGATAGTGACTGTTTGTTTCAGAAATTTAAAGTGATACCTGTAGAATCTGGCATATCTAAATGAATTAAAAACTAGCTAACTAATAGGTATCAACTGTAACTGCAACATACTGCATAAACTATAAATACAGAACAATCATCAAATGTTTTTTTTCTAGAAGAATCTCCAAAGAGACTAGCTCTTAGCCTTATATTTTTATTGGAAGACTATGATCAGTTTCTCCCACTAACCCCAGCTCAAGTTATGGTAGCAGCTAGGTACAGAATAAGAGAGGTTATGAATACCAAATGACATGCTTGGTAAATAACTACTAGGAAACAAGCATCTTTGAAAACACCAAATGTCACATCAAGCATAGTGAATACTTTACTGGATTGCAATATTGGGATTGTCCCTGTGGCTAAGGGACAATCACTGAAATATAAACTGAAAATGATCACCTAGAAAAAGACCCATTTGTGCCAACACTACAGTACCACCGAGTGCATTTTCAGTGTTAAGAGCTGACAAAAGTTTTGGAGAAAAGGACTACATTCATAGCAATCCAGCAGATTATTAAAAACTCACTCAAATAGATCTATTTTCTTTTAAAATAAAAGTTTGGAGGAATAACCTAATAAAATCTTGAATATTGGAAATAATTTTGGCAACATACATCTCTTTAGTTCATCAGACAACAACATAGCAATCAACCTACTACCAAAAGCAGAAGATGGCTAATGTCATTTGGAAGTCAATTTCAAATTTGCAATAGTATGGAATAACATTGAGTCTTTGGTGGACTCTTCCTTACTCTAATTCTTTTTTTTTTTTTCTTGAAAGATGCACTATAATTAAAAAAATAATTCATTCAGGTAAACTATATTCTTGTGTTATACAGGAGATCATGCATCTAATTTAAGTGGTGAACTTGAGACTCATTAGACAGATAAAGAATTTGGAAAACATCTGTTTTTGACTACTACTGATTGCATAAAAATAATCAAAATCTAACAATTTCTTTATTAATACATTTTCTTCAGAGAAGCAACCTAATTGTATGAAATATTATTGCAGAACCAAAATACATAACACAACCTTGTAGTAAGTTCTTTAAGCAGCGTCGGTACTTCAACCTCGTGTTTGGTCACTATGCCAAATGAAGCTTTAAAGGCAATAGAATCTGATCCAGCAACATCAAAACCAACATCGTTGATTATCTGATTTCCTCTTCTACCACTGAGTGAAACATCTGATTTGTCTTCATAGTTGAGCAACTGGTAGGATGAAACACCTGAGTAAAAGAAGACAACTGTTGTGTGATGAAGATCTGAGCATAGTATTTTTACAAAGCATTATATTCTTTTAACAGAATATTTTGATTGTTTGAAAACTATATAGAAAAATGTGAAGAAGAGAATGAAGTGTACTGTTCGTACTCCGCTATTCTGATGAAAAATTCACAGCTGTGTGTTGTTCTTATTTATCAGCATTACTACTGATGACTAATAGAAAGAGAGTGTGCAGGAACTCAGGCATCTCTCTACTTTTTTGGAGAACTGTGCCCATGCTCCCACATGGGATAAGCCTAAGCGTGAAATTATGATTAGGGCTGTTTCTACATTTCTGTGTTTATCATTATTCTCCTATATCACGAGAGGCAGGATAAACAGAATCAGTGTGTTATGAGTGCATTGACAAAGGCTCTGAAACACAAAGGAAATGACATAGTGAAGACTGCATACAATGTGAAAATTTGGAATAAAGAGAAAGGTAACACAGCTGATACATCATGTCCTGGTACCTAACAACTCATAGGAAAGACTTGTTACATACAGGCAATTACAGGCAATTTTTCCTCCTTTCTAACTTGTAGAATTAAGTTTGTTGCTGTTGTGTTCTGGTGGTTTTTTTTTTTTTGTTTTGTTTTGTTTTGTTTTTTATTTTTGGCCTTACATTTACATATTTCTTATGTAATACGTTAGGGAGTTCTTAAAATTTCTGGATTTAAGACAAGTTAACCTTACACTGATTTTAATTTTTGAAACACAGGTCTGCCAGTAACATTAATTTTGCCTTTTAGCTGTTACCTAGAAAATCTTGCCATGTTTCCATGTGTCCCTAGAGATTTTGGAGAGTACCAGTTTAATTTGAAGGAAAACAACAGATTAATTCTAATTCATTCAAACATTTCTGGTAATCTATTATACAACAACAGGATAGGTACCAAAGCATTTTTATAATGCTTTCTTTATAACCTTAAACATGTTTCCAGTACACTAACAAAACTACTAGAACACATTGGTTGCCTGCCAAATTAATACAAAGAAGGCAGATAGATCAGGGAATTAGGCATCCAATTATTTTTTCTTATTCTTTGGAGCTTTTAGAATAAAGTGACATTAGGAAGTCACCTAGAATTAATCCCGTTTGTCTGTATCTTTAACAAAAAAGCCCATTCTATATTTTTCATAATGCTAAAAAGATTGCAATGCTTGTATTTGTCACAAAAAAAAAAAAAAAAAAAAAAAAAGGAAATCCAATTACAGTTCTCTTTGTTCACATTAAAGGACAATACTTTCTCCATATGACATCTAACCTTTACAGAAAAGACTTTGTGATGAGATTTCACAACCTTTTCCTCTGCCTTCTTAAATGAGAATTTTTCTACCTTTTTTTTTTTTTCTTCCATTCAGGACAAGCTTGCTGACTTGTCCTGAATGCAAGACGAATGGGATTTCTGTCATCTTGTTTGCATCCTGCAATCACTTCTCTGTGGGGTCAGCAGACATTTCTGTCTTCCTGTGCTGTTTTTTTTGTAGAGTTTATAGTTTATGTATTTGTAACACAATTAATACCTTTATTAAAACATGCTTTGAAAATAAGTAAAATTAAGCAATTAAATACTTTTCAGAAAAGCATATCATGCAGCTATAAATTGCCCAGACTCTTTAAAGGAATGTAAAAGAAAATGCATGCAGTATAGCTCAATTTTTACATCTTCTACTTCTCAAGGAAACTTAAAACTTTCTGATTTTGCACTGAAAAGACAAACGCAGTTAAACTCTGTAAAATTTTTCTCATATTTAAAAACGTGGAAAAAAAAAAAGCTCATAGAAAACCTATTACTTGTTAGATTGCTGTCGCCAAATGTTTCTGCTTATTCAAAGCACAGTTCAACACACAAGATCACTAAGATGAAACAGCTGCTAAGCTTTCGTCAGTGCTACATATTCCAATGTGAGTTTATAGGAAAATAGTGAAAATTAAAATCAAACAGTAAGTAGCAAATAATCAATATACATCAACATATCTATTGCGAGTTGTGAGAAAAAGACAACCCACAAGGCTCAACTGGATCTGTTAAAAAATAGGGTTTTTTTTTAAATATAACTTTTTTTTTTTCAATTTTCCTGAAAGTCTTCTCTTTTTTAACCAGCCTGAAATACACTTTTTTTCCTGAGTATTTATTAAATGACTAAGCAAAATAATTTTATTACACATGTACTGAAGAACCATTATGCTACCTACACAGATGAAACCACAACAACTGGCATGTAATAATGGGAAAAAATGGGAAAACATGCATTTTTCTGCTTTGAAGATAAATAGAAAACTTACCTGCAGAAATTTCTTTCTCCCCTTCAAGAATGTCTTTTAACGTGAAAGGTGTCGAAGCAAATTTAGATTTTTTCGAAAGCAAACATTTTCTTTTCTTAATCACAAGGCTGAGAGGTTGGTACTTATCAGCTTCACTGAGGCTGGGCACTGGCACTAGTCTTCCTCCGTCACCAACCTGTTTAACAAAGTTTTTGGTTGCAGCAGCAAACATATTACAACATTAGAAATGATAATAACAAAAAGCTCTGCCTCAAGTGTAACTTCCCAATCCAAAGCCCATGTTTTTCTTTGCAGTATTCTTCCAAACAAATTGCTTGGAAAAAAAAAAAAAAAAAGCTACCAATTTTTATTTAGTTATTTATTTTCAATCAAACCATATTTTACTTGGAAAATACTCAACAGCATCTGAACTGCCCTGCTTCTAGGAGTACTGCTGAAAACCTTTCTCAAAGACCTCCAGCTAAGCTCTCTAGTTCTGCATAATTAATAATGCATTACCAGTGTAAACTGATAGGGAAATGCTTGTCCTTTCCACTGCAGTTTAATGCGACTATCTGAAAATCAAAATTACAATCTTAGAATGAGAAGATCACAGTTTCTGTGATCCTCAGCTTCCTGCCAGGAGTGACCGACATGTTGCTGCTTATTGCAGCACATCTTGGCCTGTTTTGCCAGCAGCTGCAGGCAGAGCGCTTCATTCTCAGCTTTGTGGCAGCAGCAGTCCTTCTGCAGCAGTGTTTCCTTTCAGCAGCAGCTGCGCAGCAGAATTCAAGCTCAGCCCAGCAGTCGGTGGCATGAGGTTCAGTGGTACCATCCCAGCCAAGCAAGGCTGAGGGCTACAGTTAACTTTCGGGACATCATTTTCTCCTCTCTTGGACTCCTCCACTTGCAGGCTCTACAGCAGGACTCTGACAGGCTGGATTGATGGGCTGAGACCAATGGGATGAAGTTCAAGAAGACCAAGTGCCCAGTCCTGCACTTTGGCCACAACAACCCATGTAATGCTGCAGGTTGGGGGCAGAGTGGCTGGAAAGCTGTGTGGAGGAAAAGGATCTGTGGGGTGTTGGTCAGTGCTTGGCTGAACACGAGCTGACAGTGTGCCCAGGTGGCCAAGAAAGCCAGTGTCATCCTGGCTTGTGTCAGAAATAGCATAACCAGCAGCAGGAGGAAGGTACCGTACTCAGCTGTACTGTACTCAGCTCTGGTGAGATCGCACCTTAAAGTGCTGTATTCAGTTTTCTACCCCTCACTACAGAAAAGTGAGGCCCTGGAGTGCATCCAGAGAAGTGCAACGAAGCTGGTCTGGAGCACAAACCTTACGGGGGGCGGCTGAGGGAGCTGGGATTGTTCAGTTTGGAGAAGAGGAGGCTCAAGAGTGACCTTATAGCTCTTTACTACCTGAAAGGAGGTTGTGGCAAGGTAGGGGTCAGCTTCTTCTCCCAGGTAACGGTGATAGGAAGAGAGGGAACGGCCTCAATTGCACCAGAGAACTTGAAAAATGTCTTCTAGACAGGTAGTGGAGTCAGCATCCCTGGAAATATTTGAGAATCATGTAGATGTACTTAGGCTGAGCAGCAGCATTTTGCTCCAATTTCTCGGCACCCTCTAGAGCAAACAAGTCCCTATCATTCATATTCCACTCCACTAACAACAAAGAACAAACTCTGTGCTTATTTACTCAATCAAAACACATTAACAAAACTTGAAAGGCTATAAAGAGAAAAAACTCTAAGAAAATTCTAAAATAAAAATTGCCTGTTCCAATCTGATTTAGATTGATCTCATATCTTATAACTGCTCAACAGGACAATATTTCTTCTACAGGTTATTAATCTCAGCTAGCACTGTTTATTCAACATGCATTTTTATGTCTCTCACTTAGTGTGTGGCAACAGACCATACTCAGTATGATCCAATATCTTGGATCATGCTTGCATGGTACTCACCTTCCTTGTATTATTTTCATGCTACAGGTCAGAGAACTATGTTAGCTTTGCCATTTCAGAAAACATTTACTAACTTTGCATGTCTAAGTGAAAACTAAGTTAAACACTGGCAATGCATCCCTCAAGAGAGTTAAGCCCACATCACTTTCATCATCAACTTCTTGGCATAGAAACAGGTGCAATTACTTAGCAGAACTCCTTAAGTATCTTTGAGCTATGTTACATATACCCACAGATCTTAAAAAAGAAAAATAACAAAACAACTGGTGTAAATATTCAACATCTAAAAGCCAGTAAAATAAAATATTAGTGAAAAAATTCTTGGCAAATTTCAAAACTTCCCAGCAGATGGCATAAGCATTTCCCTAAAAACTGAGGGTCTCAGCAACACAGATCCTGTTACATTACCAAGGTAACAAAAATGACATCTATTGAAACCAACCATGGCCCTTGTTACATGAATTTATCATTTTATACTACATACCTATTTCTAAGCTTTAAAAGCTGCATTCATTCAAAGCGAACAGAGACTAGTTAATAACTAAAAATGGTTGAATTTCTGTTTTAACAAAAAAAATATTTTTTAAATTGTTGAATTTTATGTGAAGTCACATAAATGCATGGAACTGAAAATGTTACTATTTTCTGGGCCATTTTACTTAATTAGCTTTATTGAACTTAATAAATACACTCCTGGATTATTGTGTTTTTCTTCCTAGAGATGGCTGAAGCTGCTAGAGTCTCACAGAGAGAAGAGGAGCCTCACGCAAAGAAAAAAGTATCTAAATAGGTGAACTGTCTTAGTACCCAGCACTGGCACTGGCACTAGAGAAACCCAGCAGGAAGGCTGGGCTTCCTTATGGGAACAAGAGTGCTGTCTATAATACCTCTATAGTTTGTAGATAAGTGGTGAAACAACATTTAAACATAACTATTATATATAAATCAGAGAGCTCATGCTTATATCATGATATTATTGGCCACGGATGTACTTCTACTTCATAATCTAGTGGCTTTCCTATCTATTAAATGCACAGGAGAGTGGTCCATGTAACATCAACACTCTGTAGTCTTAAAGTAGTTAAGCTTAGATTTGTTCTGTTTAAACTCACCCTGACGGTGGCTGAAGACTCTTAACAGTTCTGCTCTGCATTCTGATCAAGCTTGGTAAATTGTTAACATTCTTCCCACTTCATTGTGCTGGCTCTCAATTTTCTCTTATGGACAAATATTTTCTCTCTCTTCTTAAAGTGCTTTTATCCAAGCTGCTGTATGACACTCTATAAGTAGAAGAGTTGTCCTCCTTGTTAGATGGGACTACTAGGCACTTAGTTCATGTCCTGGTCAGAAGAAGAACATACTGTAATTTTGTTTTCTGCAGAGCTGACAGCTGCTCTAGGCACAGTTCCACAGGACTGCAGTGAGCATTCTGCTGCTCCTCTTGGATTTCCTGTCCCTATGGGAATGCCCTTAAAGCAGTCGTGTAATGCATGATTCCATCTCTTTTGCTGCTCTAAGCACTTGTAGCATTGCTTGATTACTTTTTTTGCAAAGTGGAGCCTGTCTAGCAATTCTGTTGTATAAGCAAAAAACAGTTTAATGCTGCGTCTCCGGAGCCCAGAGCTGATGCTGTGCTAAACTCTGCTCCAGCAGTTTGCTGGACACTGCTGTCTCTTGATGTTATGCTCATAGAGACCTCTGCTCAGGGAACTGCCTGCACCATTTCAGGAAGAAGAGTGAGTTGAAAGCTTTCAGCAGATAACTGCATGTTGGATTTCTTTATTATCTAGTTTAAATGTGGTGAGACTTTAAATCAGTTCACAAATGCTGTTTCAATTATGCAGTATAGTGGAACAATTAAATTAGCTATGGCAGTATTTTAATTTTGTGTAGACTATTAAGCTCTCAGTTTGGTAAAACAGTAAAAAACCATAGTCACTGCTTGTGTATCTGAAACTTAATTAGTTCATTATGGGGACCTCTCTAGGCAGCACGATAAATTGACCATATCAAAATTACAGAGCTCAGAAATTGGAGGCTGCAACTCTTAGGAGGCCTAGTCCTGAAATGTTTTAAATCCCCACATTTACAGTAGGATTTATGTGTGGTGTCAGATCCTTTCGAATATTCCACAACAATCTATATTCCCAGTGGCAAAAAAAAAAAATAAATTACTGAGAGGCTTAGAAATAGAAATATTTTAATAGACTGTCACGTGCTACGTGTATGGGACCTTTGTGTGTAAATGGTTTCTATACCAGCTAGAAAGGTTCTGAAATGAAAAACTACTTTTCAGACGTACAGCCCAGGTACTCCCTGAGAGCCTCCTTCTATGCTGTGTCACAGAACAGACTGCAGTAACGCACATTCATTGTCCATGCTGCAGTGCACACAGGATGAGTTCTCCTGCCAGGAGGGGCTGTACTGCAGCATGGCACTCGCCCAGCAATCAGTGCATTGAAGATGACCTTTCCGTAAGCATTACATCAATGAGAGGCCGCAAGATGTGACGTTCAACTTACTTTCATATGGCCTCTGGTTGACCTCATCCCTCATTCTCCTTTACACAAGCAGCTTCTGTTGACTGGATGGGAACACGCTGCATAGCTCTGGGCACCTCCTCACTGCCCTCCCACGAGAGCTGCGTTAGTGACGAGGAGGTAACATAGGGATCAGGGGGCGTATGTTCTGCTAGCAGTTCTGTCAGCTCACAGACTCACCTTCAGACCTGGATGCGGAGGCTACTTGAGCTGTGCTTCAAGCATACATATTTCAATAATACCATATTAAATGACCACTACTGGTTGAAGCGTATAATATATCCCAACTTCTGCTTATCTCTAATTACCCCGATTTTATTGGCAATATTTTGAATGGGCAGATGGCTGTGCTAGCTGCAAAGCATTTATTAGTGAGAAATGCAAAAGCAGTACTCCAGGGAGAGATTTGCTGAGAAAGCATGTTTGCATTTAAACCCATTAACTAAGAGGAGAGGCCACATCTTTCAGATGAGAGAAATGGTCTATCTTTCATTACATAAACAATACTGCATACAATGAGGCCCACTTTCATCATCCAGAATCATTAGGTTAGTGATGACAAATCTCTTAGAAACAGATTTCCCAGCATGATTTAATGCAAGCTTACCACTGCCTTTCCTGTGAGGGATGCTGCTCCATGGGTTAAACCTTTCAGCCAGCATCTGTGGGTGGGCACACTGCATTGGAGGACATCTCTGTGGCCTTGAAACTCAACCTCCATGAGGACGTAGAACTGTAGC